AAAATACCAGAATCCCTTGAAGGCGTCCTTTTTGGTGAAACGGTATTACGTTTAAGTTCCGACACCTAAACTATGTCACATCTGTCATATCGATTCCGATTAGGACTGCAGGCAGAACACCATCGTCTACGAGAACCTGGGATAAACGTTCACGTCTTTTTGGTCTCCTTGTGAAGCTGACAAGCTTCCTAGCAAAATCTGTTTTTTTGGTGCGGGTCTTTTTTTCATTTCACTAATACATCCCTTCGTCCATTACAGCCGACTTGATACGTTCACTGTGTGGCTCGGCATTGTCACAACTGCCCTATCTGATTTCTAGAACCAGCTTTTAGGCAATCCTCGTCTAGGCTCGACCAAATACCGGAATTGTCTGATATAATATCCATCAGCACCTCAAATATGGATGTCGAGATTTGTCTCAAGTTCTCAGATAACTGGGAGGTTTCTCTAAACGTCTGCTTCTTCGTTCTTGCTCATTGTATTGGCCTAAGTAGGACTCCTCTGGACAGGTCCAAGACAGTTTAACAGGAGCACAGCTCGTTGAACGGATCAAAAGCGAAACCGGAGGCCAAAAAATAATTCTCACCTGTATGGGAGCTTGTCTTCCCTCCGACAAGACCCTTAGAGACTTGGATGTGTAGTCTGGATATGTCTTCAAGGTTGATATGGATTCAGCACACCAAGTTACAGATATGGCAAAGATGAAATTCTGAGCATATTCAACCTTGAAGAAGCTATGATACCTCTTCGTCTTATAATAACACTTCACACCATTCCACCCCCGATGCAATACTAAAAAATTTCAGAGCCTTAGAAGACGCTGGATACGACCGGAATAATGAACAGTACTGCAGATTGCGAGTGGAGTTTGTCATGATACCTGCATTGGTTCAGGCACGGCGTAATGCAAACGTCCCTTTGCGGTCATCCACCAGAGGCGCTCCTAAGAAAAAACATGCTATCTCTATGATACCGACGACACAGATGAGACGTGATGTTGATGCTGAGGCCCCTCGACGAGATCTCAAAAATTTTCATGAATATGATTTGTGAGCCGAGATCAATCACCAGTTTCTGGTATTCCTCATGTGTTCACTGGTCGCGCCGACTGGGCAGCGGGGCACTCGGGCCGTGGATTTTCAGACTCCGTTTTGGTTTGTGTCGAGGCAAAGAAGAAAGAAACATTTGGGAATGCCGAGCTTCAGTTGACTGCGTATTTGGCAATCTGCTACCATGAAAGGAAAAAAGCTAACAAATCTGTCCCGTCTGTACAAGGCTTTAGCACTGATGGCCGACGCTATACTTTCCAGCTTTTGACCTCAGACGGCACGCTATACTCTAGCAAAACCTATAATACTGTGGATGAGAAGGATCTTGAGATTGTGTATAATTTCATAGTCGATCAAGTGCAAACTGCAATTAATTTGTCTCCAACAAGCACACCAGTCAAAGGATCACACACAGAAAAGGCAGAGGCGGCTAAGACTTATGCACAAGACACATTTTGGGGAATATTCGAGCCACCTCCATACTGCTCAGACGGCGAAGAAGAAGAACGGTCAGAACTAGATCTTGATACCTTTGCATTGCGAGAACGAGGCATGCTGAAGTGAACTTTGTCTCCTTATCTCGCTTTACAGATTTGTATCATCGACAACGATTGAGAAATTACCGGGTTAGGGACCCAATAAAAGTGTGCTATCAGAGAACGTGCTTAAGAACTGTTAAAATGATGCCCATGTCTTCTTTGGAAGTTGGTTTTATGAGCTTAGACCTCTATGAAAGGAACATGGAGCAGCCTGCAAAATTCTATCCAAGGGAATAGTGATATGTGGAACGAGTTCTGCACGTTGTTCTGGTTTCAGGGCTTACAATGATTATTCCCAACCCCTGAAGCTACTCTCAAGGACGTACTGGATGAAACCATTATTTGGGCCTGAGGTATGTGAGGCACTCACTGCCGACCACTGTAAGGAGAAGGAAATTGAAGGAAGAGAATCGCATAGCAGAATGCATGTCAATAATTCTTATATATCTTGAAAACCTCCTCTTATTTACTGTAACAGTATAACGGAACTACTGTGACATGTCAGATTCCCCGTCACCATCCACCGACTTGACTTATCTACGTATACAGTTGATAGTTTGATTATCAATAATAACTTATAATCTTCTCAAGGAACACCAATTCCCCCCATCACAATAACTAAGTTGGCTGAAGAGGGAAAAGCATGTCCATATCTCCAGTACTGTAGTCTTGAAACTCGTGAAGCAAGGCGTCCCATTGATTCCAGTTAAGAGGACTGTCGTCGAAGGGATTTGAATCCATCTCCATGGTGCTATCTATTGCAGTGCCGTCTGTTCGAATCGGCAATCCGGTGTTTAGATTGTAAGTGTTCTGTGTACTATTATCGCAGTCCGCAGTGAGATGACTTTTACCCGCAGCAAGTCCTTGAGATGGTGATGTAACATGTTCAGAGGTCGTTAATGGCCCCTCTATTGTTGGCTCGGTCGATATTGAAGGGTCTCGTGGAAGTGGTCGAGTGGAAAACAATGTGGAGTTGCTAAAGGAAGTCGAAGTTGAACCTTGGTGAGTATACCGCCATAACAGATCAATGACTTCGGGTTGTGGTAAAGGATCAATTCGGCTGTACTCCGACTCTGTCACATGTGCGGACCAAGCCTTGATTGCCAAATTAGCAACTGCCAAATGAAGAGGACTTCTTTGGCGTTGAGTCATTATCTTCGTTTGCCGCTTGAACAAGGCATCAATCAATTGCCACGCTCTGGCCACTTCTTGCCCAACATTGCGATGGCGCAAAACTAATAGCATAACAATTAAAGCTTCCCAGGGGAAATGGAAATCAAGATGCCAATGGAATTTCTGCACTTTCGGACTCCGAAAGATAAGGTCACCGTATTCGAGGAGCCTGAAGCAGAGATTGAAGAGCAAGTCTCTTTCGGTAGGTAGGAGAGGTTGCCCCTTTTCTTGATATTGTCGTGGATGATGTGCCCGCAGCCGCGAGCTTGTCACAGCCGATTTGGCAACAACAAATGTCACGAAATGAAGCGGAATCGAGGAATCGCAATGGTTGATATACTTTCTTTCAAAGATTTGCTCGAGTTCGTCAATAATAGCATCCTTCTGATCGACGGAAATTGTTGTAGAGCTCAGAAACTCCCAGAAGCCGTCAAAAGACGACGTCTTGTTTTCTGCCTGTTTAGCAAGCCAAGCACCAAGTTCGTAGGACATCAGACAAAAGAACATTTCTGTCGGCCCCGAGGATTCATCCGGAATATCCTTCATGCCGGGATCAAGCGCGCTATCGTTGATATTACTTGGGAGTTTGGTGTCTGCTAGAAGTAACATATGTGATTCACAGCCAGCCATGTGGCCTATGGTGGCGTCAACCACGGTCAAGTTCCACCAAATCCGTCGACGCATCTCTGTTTCAAAGACAGATAACCCGAGCTTCGAGCCGTCCTTGTGAAGACCAATGCGTTGTGCTATTCGGACACAAATTCCAGTCAAAGACCATAGGATATGTGGATTGTACACAAGCCGGACGGAGATCTGTACAAGATGTTAGGTCGATCCGGAAAAGGTCTATTAGATACGTACGATGAAAAGGAGGAACGCTTGAAGCACCTTCAGCTCCGATGTACCAAGGATTCCCGCATTCACCAAGGCCTGTTGCGCGCATTGTCGATATCGAGTCAATAGCGCTGATTTGGAGTCCTCGAAATATTTCTGAACTTCATCCACATGCATACAAAGCAATGCTGAGGAGTAGATGGAGAACATTAGAGCCTCCATTTCGGGTGACAAAGAGCTGAGGTCGCTCGCAGCGTCCAAAATCTGCTGTTGTAACGTCGGCACATGGATAATTTTTGTCAGGGGATTGACACCGTCAAGGAATGTGTTCCACAACTGAAAGATTTGTATCGTGTTGGGATGGAAATGTGTAAGGGTTTGGCGTGAACTTCCACCCCCGAATAGAAAACCACTACTGAATTCTTCATCAGTCTGTATCCTAGGCGCTGCAGAATTCTCAGTCCCATCATCCGGGAGCACATCTTCGGCATCTTGAAGCTGTGTCATAACTCGTCAGCAATGGACCACATAGGGAATGGTATGTGGCGATGGGTTCACACCTCGTGGCTAACGCTCTTCCACAGATGACTATTGACACATATGTCAGTAAAATTTGGCACAATATGCAGCCTAGAACGGTTTCACAAACTTGTCAAGGTAAAGAGACCTTCCTTTTCTCGTCACCAATCTGCCTGACCCTGGTCTAGAAGTGTTTCCAGGTGTTGCATCCGAGAAGATACTAGGGTTACCACGGGGCCTCGGAGTGCCTTGACTGCTTTCGGATTCCACTGTATTGATAGAATTCAACTTCTGAGGCCTATCTGGCTCAACTGAAGACAAATCAATCCCGGCTTTTCGCAATGCGTATTCATAGTGTTGGATACGAGCCGCCAATGCAGACTCGGGATCTTTCCTTTTCCGTCTTCGTGGTGGAAGCGGTGCTCGATATTCACAGTCCACTCGTGCTTTAGCACAAGATGCGCATGGTTCGCGTCGGTTACATTTGACCTTTCTCCTCTGGCAAAGGACACATGCATGAGCCTTTAGGGCGGTCGAGTTGCCGTTCGGGCTGTCCGGCATACCGAGGTGGGCTTATCAAACTGAGCGATTCACAACCCTCATCTCAATGTCAAATTGCGCAAATGACTATGCATATGAAGCATTTCTTTGAATTTGACAGACGTCGGACCATGTATTCTGCTGAAATATTGTTAAGAAGAGAAGAATATTCAAGCTCGGAGTCGGAATCTCGGAGTAAGAGCGACTGATCCGTGGAGCTAGTCCGAAAGAAGTTACATGCTGTTTCCATGTTGACGTCTCAACCTCACAGCCTCCCAAGTTTCACCCTTAACCCTTTCATCATCAATCAGGTTTGAGGAGGCAGAGCATGGCGCAAAATGGCCCTTGACATTTTTCAGAAAACGAACCATGGTAATTTCAACACAGGAGAAGTCGGTTCGTTCCAGTCGCTCCCGTCCACTTCGTCATGCGTCGTCTTTTCTCCTCGCCGAAAAAGACCAGTGAAGGCCGGCACAGTTCAAAGGAGAGAGCTCGCAAATTCGGCGGCTTGAAAAGGTCAAAATCATCTAAGTATGTTTCAATCTTGAATCGACTTGTAACGCCCGTTGTGTATGCTGACTTCTTACCCGAATCCAGGGTCATCGTGGAAGATGAAGAACGTACGCTTTCGTCCTCTTATTGGGATGACCTACCAGTCGAGATCCAAATTTCAATATTTGTGGAATGTAGTGTCTACGACTTCCTACCTTTGAAGCTTGTCTGTCGCGGGTTTTACGAGGTCCTGACCCGTCATGAACTTGTTATCGCGCAAGAATACCTACGACGTCGACGTCATGATACACTCCCATCTACTATCGACCACGAGCGGACATATACAATGAACCCCGAGGACGATGTCGTTCTTCTTTCCGACTTATTTCCTCCTACGAAGAGCGCTAGAGGTGGCTATCTATATACCTTTCGATACTTGCATACCTTGCGACGCCGGCAGGACACTTGTGCCCGGCTGTCTTATTACTTGGCAAATCGTGTGATGGACCGATTCTTCGATTCCAACCAAACTTTTGTTAAGGGCATGTCAGCTTCCAAATCAGAGCGTGATCTGATGTTTGAACATGGAATTGCACATTTGAAGTTCAACTTCATTCCTCTAACGTGAGCACTCTCTTAAGTATGCTTTACTAGACAGGGCTAACGCACTTCCAGATATTGCGTGCTTTATTTTCTAGAGACTTACGCTTCCGCACGAAAGGAACATTTGAATCATTTATTAAGAGATTACGAAGCGGGAAGGCTCCCCGTACCCATCCCTCCGAACGTGCGTAGGAATATGTACGCAAAGTTGCAGACTGACATTCTTCGCTCTCCGCCGTTCACCGATACTTCGACACTAATTGCCACCCATCATTGTATGTATCTACTTGTTTCATGCCTTCTACGTACTTTGTCACCAGGACAAACTGAGTTTGTTGATCCCACCTGGATTGGTGGGCTTCTGACAGCATCTGGACTTGGAAGGGTTGTTGAATACTTTTCCGCTGAGATAGGGGATGGAGTTAAAATTCGAACGCGGCGTAGAGATTTCATGATCAACTTCGAGAAGGACATAGATCGTTATGTGCGAGAGGAGATGCATCCATACGTCTACGTACTCCCACCAAGTGGCCAGCCGCATTACCCTACCGTTCATGAGGTCTGGCTGGACGCTGCTATACGTGAGTTGAGATCCCGAGATGCGATTCCTCACGATCCGGGGAAGCTCACGATCTGGAACGGAGCCCCGATGCTTATGGCGTGTGACAATTGCCTCGCAGCCGAAGGTTGGACGATTGCGTAGATGAAATACGACCGGTCTTATGAGTATCGCAAAGCTAACACGAAGTAACGTTCCATTGAATGACTAAACATCCGAAACATGAGCACATGAGCACACGAGCTTAGAGATGGGGTGAAAGAGTTACACCTCAATCGAATGGCCGACTCCCTGGTTACGTCGGTATTCGGTTTCTCACTTTAAACCAACAATCTGCCTCCATTTGTGCCTGATCGTTCCACCTGTTACGTTCCGATCTTTCATGCAATACGGATATGCCTCTAGAATATCATACACGGTACGAACACGACCAATTATCGTTTGCCTCTCCACGTCTTTCGTCAGTTTTTCCCAGACTCAAAGTCGGATCCCACGAATAGTGTTAACAGGGATGCGTCTCCAGCGGCGAAGACAATAAGTTCGAGGGTCCCGGCTTTGGAAATAAGTTTCATATGTTCCAGCGCAGCTGTACTTCATCCGCTAGATCCCACCGGCAGGCGGTGATTTCAGTGGGTGAGGAAGGATATGATTTTTTGAGCTTTGCAACTGCCTCCTCTAGGCGTTCGCGTGATGACGAGGAGATGATAACCTTCAAAATGTCATTCTTGACACTTGCCTCTAGCAACTCGAAATCCGAGTCCGGAAGTGCCTCCGATAACAAGGGCACAAATGAAACCCCTCATTTTTTTTTCGACCCATTTCAAGTTATCTGACATTCTGAAAATACTTATGCAGTCCTCTGGGAAAGAGTTCTGACAATATGAAATCAGAATTTCACAGCACAACTTCACTATATAGAAAACGTAAAATCATGAACTCTTCCATTTTCGCACCCTATTACTATAGCACCATCTTTGACTGTTGAGACATGGGGTGCATAGCTAAAAGCACACGGGGCCGATAGTCAGGAGTCAGCCACAACCCTCTTTGACCCTGGATAGTTACCCATTGATTGCCGTGCAAAGATGACTTGTTTATTGCTTTAAGGAAATCTGGTAGGAAACTTTTACACCAGTCTTGGGTAGTAAAGCATCCTAGTTAGTTGCAAGATATGAAATTGTCTGTGGAGAGTTCATTATTGGAATCCCAGCCAGAATTGTCCAACAGGGAGCGCTCAAGCGCGCCTGTAGCGGGATCCCATAATTTGATGCCTACACTAGAGCCGGAAGCCAGTACTTGGCCATGAGGTAAGAAAGCGAGTGATACAACCATCATTGGGTAATTCAGAGTGTGCAGTAAACTACTAGCGTCTGGCTTCTCTAATGGGGTTGTCAGACTCTGGGATCTTGCTACAGGCATGCTCAAGCATACCTTGGAGGGCCACTGCGTTGATACAGGAATGCCAAAACCAGTTGCTTCAATTGCTTTGTCAACTAATAATCAACTGCTTGCATTTGGCTTCTTTGACTATATTATCGGCCTCTGGGACCTCGCTACAGGCACGCTCAAGCGCACACCTTGGACCATAGAGGTGTGGCTATATCAGTTGCCTTCTCACCTACTGGCCAACTGCTAGCATCTAGCTCCGGTCATGATATTAAACTCTGGAATCTCGCTACAGGCGCGCTCAAGTCACGTGAAAGGAGAAGTGCGCTGACAAATTCTTCATCATCCTCCAGATTTTTCAGGGTATGCTTGAGTGAACCTGTAGCGGAATTCCAGAGCTTCATGTCCCAGGAAGAACAAGATGCAAGCAGTCGGCCATCAGGTGAGAAGACAACTGACCCAACCGCATTTGTACGGCCCTTTAGGGTGGACTTGAACGCACCCATAGTAGGATCCCATAGCCTTATAGTGTTATCAATGGCGCCAGACGCCAGAAGCTGGCCATCTAGTGAGAATATGACCGAGGCCACCGAATCTGAATGGTGCTCTAGGGTGTACTTCAGCACGCATGCGATGAAACCAGGCTAGCTCCCCCATAGATCTGGCGGGATATTTCTTCATGAGGCTATCCCAAAGGGCTTTGGTAAGGTGCTCCTGATTTGGGAGGAATAGAGTAACAACATCACCAATGTGAAAGAAGAGGATGATGCCGTCTTCGTTTTTGAAAAGGCAGAGCTCCTCAGAGATCTGTTTAAAGCCTAATTCAATGATGGTTACTGTAAATTCTCGTTGCCAGAGAAGTGGTGATTGTTTCAAGCCGTGGAGAGCCTTCAACAGGCGATAATAGATATCAGGATCTCCAGGGATTCCGGTAGGAATTTTAATGAAATACCCATTCTTGTCAGCCTTGGCGTTGAGGTAGGCTGTGATCATGTCATATTACCAAGCTTTATACCCAAATATTGTAGCAAGAGCGACAACGGCCCAGATGGCCTTGGAACTTATTGTTGCCGAATATGGGCACTCTTCCCATTTGCTATGAGTTTCCTTAGAGACTCCGCATGCACATTCCTTCCTTAGCCTACTCCGGGTGGCCTCATGTTTAGCTTGTTCAGGGTTGGTATTGCTATTGTTGTTATTATTGTCAGCGTTATTGCCTCCAAAGGTGGCATAGGCACGTTTGCTCTTGTCTTCTCTAACAGTGCCTTCAAATCTGGCAACAAGTTCCACAAAACTCTCTTCTCGGCCACAATAAACTGATTCGAACCACATGCTATAAAAGATATCATGGGTGTTCTTAATTGCATGCATGAACTGCAGCATCAGATATTTCTCATCGTCGCCAATCTTGGACCTTATATTCCTCAGCTCTGTTATAGAGCGTGATCCAGCTCTTGATCCAGGCGTTGATTTGCCTCTGGTTGCTGGGGCCAGCTTTCAACTCCATCAATTGATCAAAGATGGCGTTTTGTTCCTTCTCCATGTCCGGCATATGACGCTTTTTGAGTTTGACAAGGATCTCTCTAACGTCGACTTCGTTTTCAACGGAGGAATGCATTCTGGTCGATCGTCTGGAAGATATGCGAACAGATTGCGCTTATCTCAGTCGTCTGCGGTCGTAAAGTTTTATATCTCTCTTGTACTTTGTTTGGCGAAGGCTGAAGGTTGCCTCCGTTTCTTCTGCTCCTTGCACTGGCATCTCCGGCTCGAGGAGTCTCTTGCCATATGCTTTCGTTTTATCCGCTGCTTCGGTTGCTGATGGTTCTGCGGCACCATTGGCAGGCATCTCAAAGTCCGGATTGATATAAATCCATACTTCGCTATGTATCTTGATGGTTAAACCATTCATGGTAGTTAGCGAAATCACTGTGCTTGGATCGCGCAGCTAGGATTCGCCCTAGTATAGGGCGTAGAAGTTTGAGCTCTTCTGGGCGGGCTAGGGACGTTGTAATCTCGAGATCTTGATAGGCCTGCGGTACGACTTTCTTCCAGTGAGTCTGGGCTTAGGCAATTGCTGATGATTTGGTATGCAGCTTAAAATCTGCATATGACCCATAAGTAAGGGGAGGACAGGGTTTAATTCGCGCCTTCTTTTGCAGCCTGGTCTGCTACTTGGTTGCCAGGAACATTTGCATGTCTAGGGACCCAGCAGATCCATATTGGGCTATACTCAGTAAATGGGCGTAGTTAACGGGAAGTCCAAGTGGCCGCGAGTATGCGGAAGTCCTCGAAGACTTCTTGTGATGAGCCGGTCGTTGAGGACAAGAGCTGGATTTTTACTTCCAGGTTGTGCAGGTATATCCATATGTTAGTGTCGGTTTAGCCGGATCCTGGATTACGAAGCACAGGATTGCGGCAAGGGCGGTTCGACAGCCCTACTAGGGTGAGCCTAGTAATATTGAAGTTATTCCTAATATTACGACTGACCCCCAAGAGCAAGGAGGACGAAGAATTAGCTAGGTGCGTGCCGCGTAGGACTAACTAATATCCGGTGCCGAAACGCGTAGGGTTGATATTCACGTTCCGACAGTTAGATCCTGAATAAGATCCTATGTGTTGTATAGTGGATTTTAGTCCCGAGAGAGCTGCTATCGCTTCTGCATCAAAGACCTCCTTGTTGGGATCCAGGCGGAATAAGCCACGTAAGACCTGATCGCCGCCTATGAATCCCATAAACCCTCCGCCTGTTTATCTATTTTCTTGTTTAGATCCATCCGTGTAGATCACGAAGTCTTTTTCCGGGATAGATTGTAGCAGTGTTTGGAAGTTGTCTGCGGATTGTTCTTTTGTAAGGCCTGCTGGCGCCCCAGCCCGCACTAAGGCTGTTTTCCTGGTTCATGCTTGATCTAGGGTGGGTGCATCAGTGCATTGACCTGTTCTAATTAGGGTAACATTAATACCTGGCGCGCAAATTAGCTGGTTAGATAACCCTTTTGTGTAATAGCTTTGGCCCGTCTCTGAAGAGGGTGATATGGGTCTAGCTGGGAGAGACGTGTAGATGCTACAAGGGCAATCTAATCCAGCTCGATATCTGGGGGATAGAAGCCCGATTCCCAGTATAGAATAGGGAATAGGGGTGGCAGAAAACTGGGAGAACTGCTCTTGCTCCTATTAGAATAACAGTAGAAAGGTCTTCTAGGTGTTTATTCACTTAGATTGGAATTGGGGAAGAGCCTGGCCGGGGTCCGGAGCGGGTGCGACCGGGCCACATGCTTTGCGGAGGGCGCAGGCTGATATAAACTGTTGTAGGAGGCGAGGTTTCATTCCGTGGACTGTACCTCCAAAAGAGCAGAGGCCGCTCGCTGTTGTGACTGCTCTAGACGTCATTTCTTAGACGTGCCAGTTGAACCTAAGCTTCTTATTAAAGAGGATCCCTGGCCAGCGGAGATATGGGCGGTCAGTCCCTTCAGAGACTGTGATTGAGCCAGTTATAACCGAGGCGTTTGTAGTCAGATCTTGTTCTACTCGATATCGGGAGAAATGAATGAGGTCATATATATCTTATTCCTTTAGCATTCCCCCATAATATTGCTTCTTGTAAGATATGCCCAGTATCTTGCTGTTGAATTGTCAGGGATGGAGAGATTTCAAGAATAGCGCCATCGTCTGCGTATCCAAATCTCTTTCTCGGGTCACCCATATGAAATAACGGGGCGATATATAGCATGAATAAAATGCCGGAGATAGAGGATCCTTGTGGGAGCCCGCATGATATCTCTGTGTTTGGGCTTAATTCGTTGTTGAAGCAGATTTGTACCGTTCTTTCTGTGACAAAGGAGGATATCCAGAGTACCAGGTTATTTGGTCATCCTTGTGCTCGGAGCCGGAGGATCAATCTGTGAGGGTTTCTATTTAACGGCCGTGGCCCAGAAGGTGTACTGCAGTTCTTCCCAAACAAAACCATATATGATAATAATGATATGTCCCAGGTGCCTAACCCTGCAGTGTTGCAGTTCCTTGAAGTAGCCACTCCCTCAAGTATATAGGATTTTGGTGGTATGGAGGAAAATCGACTCAAAAACCCGTAGGAAAAAGAGAAAAATACCTCCACGAGCACAGATAGTCGGAGGAGCGATAGTGTTGTGGTATCTCTCCTAGGCCGGTTTGACAAAAGTTCGACGGCTGCTATTTCTGTATTTGGGGAGATATTATTGGCTGATGGGAAAGTTGTTAGCGCAGCCTGAGATAGGTATAGCGCATGAATCCGACGCGGCCAAAAGACTGACATCTCCCCATCGACACAAACAACATCAGAGAATGTGCAAAAATGGGCATTGCAACACCAATACAGCTATTCAATACTTCATGGTCCGCCCATCGTCTTTCGCCGCTACATCATAGCAAAGATCATCGAGTCTTGATCGGCAATCAGGATGCATTGAAGACATACGCGAAACGTCTGCGTGATGTACTTACAGGCGACTTTTTGCGTAGCATGCAGGTGACTTTGACCAAAAATCTTGCTGATGATGCGTTTAGTAAAGCTGGGTCATTGGTTGATTGTCGATGGGAGTTCATCTCGACGAACGATCACGTCGATGCCAACGAGGAGGATGAGGATGATGAACCATCAATTGAGATGAGAGACTGCATGGGGATATTTATCACACTTGACTATGAAAACATTGCATACAGGGCCGCTCTGCTCACTAGTCCTGACGGATATTCGCCAGCATCAACAGACAAAAGATGGAAACAATCAACGTGTCTCCCTCTACTGTTGACGCGAATGCCAACTACACTAAGAAACACTTTTATCGAGTTCTTGACCACAAATTTTGACGCATATTGCTCGACTCTGCATTTACCGCCCGAGTATCTGTGTATGGTACTGGAGGCGACCATCACGTACTTGGCAAGAAGTGAAAGTTCATGGCAGGCATCAAGTGCGATTCTTGAACAGGTGCTGAAAGACACGCAGTTGACTCTTTCGTTTGGCCAGTCTATTGCACCAGCTCTGAAATCTCTCGATGTTAGTTTGCCGCGTGAGACTCTGTCGACTTTTGCGCGAGGCCCGCGCAATGCCAACACGTCGTATTTTTCAACATCTTTGTCTCAGTATATGGATCAACATCTTGCTATGAAAGTCAATCTTGGGAACGCTACAGCAGAAGAACTGGGTAATGGGTCGAGAAGTGCACAACACCTCTGGCTGAGCAAGGTTGCTACAGGAACATTTGTATTGACCAGTGAGGGAAGATTCAAGCTCATTGACACATCCAACTCGCAAGATTATGCAGAGGAGCAGACGGAAGTGCAGAGGTTGATTCGGTCAGCGAATGGGCAGATTTTAAGGTCATTGGTACGACGGGCAGTCGGTGATGATGTGACGACGTGAGTTGTATGCGATAAATGACACCCTTGCTATCAATTTTGTGCACATCTTAAGAAAGTCCGAGGAATTTTCGGGTTACCACTTCGAAAGGGTCGACTGGACTAGAAAATTCAAGAGGATGTTCCCTTGCCGGAGCTTCTCGCGATCCGCACAATCTAACTCAGCCTGGAGAACCTCAAACCCAACTCCTTTTCGCTGCCACAGGTAACAGAAATGTTTGGCAGGCCTATAAGACGCGAAACGCCATATGAAGATGGATGGTATACTATTACAGTTCGCTGATATCCATCCATCGGATTCCATGGCATAGCTTTATCGTCCTCGCATGAAGGACTCCAACTACGGCAGTCCTAATCAGCCGAACTTCATTATCCACTGCTCATTAATGTACATTAGCTAATGTAGCAATATCCTAAATCAAAAACAATTCCTGCGTCCAAAAATGCAAAAAGGCGCTATGAAGAAAGTAGTGACACATCTAGATGAAATTGCGGTCATACAAAGCATGAATCGTTAAAAACAGGGGGAAAATGTCAGCTTCTATGCAAACGCTTCTTGCAAATCCTCAATTTCTGTCAATCGTAAAGCTTCGTCCACATTGGGGACAAAATGTGTAAGTCCACCACACTTCTCCACGATTCCACTACGCTCAAAGAGCTGGAAGACGGAGCCATGGAGTGAGGGAAGGCGGCAAAAGAATACACGTACTCCACGGTTCACGTAGTTTTCCACAATTTCCAGTAAGACTTGTGTCCCCGAAGCATCGATGCTGGTCACACCGTGAACGTCGAAGATGACGTTCTTATCGCTGCCTGCTGGTCTGACCCGAGGTAGAGCCGGATGCGCACGACTGGTGCCGTATAATTCTAGTCGGCGAAGACGGCTTTTGAGATCCCCGGTGTTTGCGAATGTGAGAGGTTCTGGGATCTTGACAATCAGACAGCCTTCAATGAACTCGACTTTTTCCGGGTACAGCTCGGCATTCTCGAATTGGTTCGGCGTTCCAGAAACTTTGCCCAGAATCTGGATTCGTGGCTTGGTAGCATGTCGAATGACACGTAGAAGAGATAGACCGCAACCAAGAGCGATACCCATCGTAAGAGAATAAAAGATCGTTGATAGGAAGATCAAAATCATCAAGATAAGTTCTGACCAGCCCCGAACTTGAATAAAGAATCGCAGATCATGCGGACATTCCTCGATCAGAGAGTAGGCTACTACTGATATCATTGCACATAGCACCGCTTTCTGCACCGGACGTTAGCGATATCGTCATGGGAAGCAGAGCAAAGTAGCTTACCGGCAAATAGTACAAGTAATCCAAAAAGAAGACCACAACAACCAACGTGATGAGACTTAAAAAGATGCCACTCATTTGAGTCCGCCCTCCAGCGGAAGAGTTGAATTTACTCCTACCGTATCCACCAAAGGCTGGAAGAGCTGTGAACAGACCGCCTGTCACATTAGCCATACCTAATGCCACCATCTCGCGGTTTGCCGATACTGGAGCACCCTTGATACCGTCATTAGCACCGTCTCCCAGGCCCTTCGCAGCAACCGAGGATTCAAAGAAACCAAGTAGGGCGATTACGAACGAAGTGCTCAATGAAGATCGAATGTGGACCATACGACTGGGAAGGAAAGGCCAATGAAACTGAAAGAGCCCGGATCCGCTAGCTCCATCGGGTCTTACATTTCCGAGAACTTCGAGGCCTTTCTTGTCCCATTCGAGGTACCAAGTGAGCACAGCTGAGAGGATGACCACAATCAGCCGATCCGGGAAGTACACAACCTGTGGAAGACGACGTGCAAGTTTGTTCTTCAGTATCCTGGGTAGTGTTAATTGTGGACGTATATGCGTCGGGGTTATAAGGATAAACTGACCTGAATACCATAATGATAGCAAAACTCGAAAATGCCACAATTGTTGTGAGCTTATGTGCGTATTTCCCATTCTCAATGATGAACGTCAGCTTTTCTGCAGTACTTGCATGGTTGACACTGCGTGCCATTTCCATTAATCCCATTTCTGGAATAAGCTGGTCGACCATAATGACGAATCCAATGGCTGTGATAAAGCCTCGCAAGAAAGGTCGGCTGAGTACATTATCCAAAAATCCAAGACGAGCCAATCCCGCAATCAAGATAAAAGCGCCTGATAGGCAAGTCACTAAACCCACGATTTGCGCGTGCAGCAGAGCGTCTGATTCGCTAGAATGTCCGGATTCAACAGTTGCTTTAACGACAGTTCCCACGAGAAGTGAGCCAGCCGCTTCAGGTCCGACGATCAGCTGGGGACTACTTCCGAGGATTGCGTAAAGTAGTGGCTGTACGATAAACGAGTATAAACCGTTGATTGGAGGCGCATGAGCAAGATTCGCTGACAGAGATAGAGCCATGGGAATATAAACCGACGATATGGTTAAGGCGGCGACTAGATCCCCCCGGAGGAAATCCCACCGGTATTGGGCAACCCAGTTGACAAAAGGCACATAATAGGACAGGTACCTAGAAGGGTCATCAGTTATAAAACTTAAACGGCGTGCACCCGGGACTGTGGTAAGAGCATACATTTTCCTGCGATTCTTCAAGCTCATTTCCGCAAGTAGCCTGTTCGTAACAGACGTGCCATCGGTAACGGGTGTCTGTAATCCAGATGTCATGAATCTAGGAGTCCTTGTTCCCCAGAAGTAGCTTCCCGCAAGAGAGCTTGGCTCGTCCTCCTCAGGATTCGGGGAGAAGGTTCCATGATTGCATTCTCGCAGACCACACACAGAGTGTCTTCGATCGTAGTCCTCTAGCAGTCCACTTCGTTCATTCGGTCCATTATTTTTATGATTTCCGGAAGAACCGCGAGCGTGGTTACACGTGCTTTCAGGCCAATGGTTGGGACCTGGCGAAGGTCCTGTTGACGGCGAGTCATGGCCGAGGATATTGACGATGCGATCTCGGAGGGACGACGAGTCCTCTGGTTGTGACGGTTGACCTTTTGACATTTTGGCGCTATCCGAGTCGCATATCCAGAAACAATGTCACGGTCCTTGCGAACAGCGAAGAGACATAACCTACATCACTTGGGAAGTCGGAACGACGACAATTTCCAACGGCATAAACAATCCCATCTCCAGAGCCCCGCTAAATCGGGACTACGTAGCCGCAGCCAATGGAATGCGCGCTGAATGTAAGAACGTGCGCTTTAATGTTTGAGGCTTGTCACCGCTTCTTGCATGGACAGGAAAAGACCGATAGAAATTTTTGAACGATGATTGCATTCAACAGATAGAGTCAGCAGCGTTGACGTGCATGCATAGAGCAACGTTCTGCCAGTGCATACCGCCCTTCTGCCTGCAGACGCAGGGTTGATGTCTTGGCCAGGGATAACCACATACATAATCAGTATATGGAGTAACTTAACAGGCTCAACACAGACATGAAGCAGTAAGCAGCAAGTAGCAATTCATCATTTTTTTACTGTCTTCAATTCAATAACCATCTCCGATGTCACGTGATCGTATCTTCTCGCGTAGTGCTCATAGTTCACGTGACCCATACTAGGAGTGATACGATTGGCTAAATCTTCTTGGCACTTGGAGAAGCCGATTTTGGGCCGCCACAAAAAAATAGCAAGCTTTGCGTTCCTTGCAGCCTCTGACGACTCAACGTGACCACGACTACTTATCCCAGACAGGACTGAGAGAAGAGCATCATCAGTCCATTTTGAAGATTATTAAACGCTGTACCCGAGTTCAACGACGACATAAAAAGTTCTTTTCTCTCCCGCCAACTTTTCTTTGCAAATCTCGTCCCCGCCTTGTAAAGGCGCCACCCCGCCAAAATGTCGTTAACGAATTGTCGATTCTACGAGGAGAAGTATCCAGAGGTGGATAGCTTCGTTATGGTCAATGTTAAGCAAGTGCGTGAAAATCGGTTTCTGTCGTGATACGAACACCGGCTTACATACGTTATTCTAGATCGCTGAGATGGGCGCCTACGTGAAGCTTCTGGAATACGATAACATCGATGGCATGATCCTACTTTCCGAACTTTCACGAAGACGTATTCGAAGCATTCAGAAACTCATTCGAATTGGCCGAAACGAAGTCGTGGTTGTGTTGCGTGTGGATAAAGAAAAGGGTATGCGAACTATCGACAAGAGTTTGTAATGTATATTGACTTTGGGGTCCTTCTTTCTAGGTTATATCGATCTTTCGAAACGACGAGTATCGCCCGAAGATGTTGTTAAGTGCGAGGAACGTTACAACAAGAGCAAATTGGTGCACTCGATCATGCGCCACGTCGCAGAAAAGACCAAGACTCCGATCGAAGAATTATACCAGAACATCGGCTGGCCCCTGAATCGCAACTTTGGCCACGCTTACGATGCGTTCAAGCTTTCCATCACGTAAGTACCCTACTTTCATATGCTCATATCCCAACGTCGGCTAACCCTAGACTCGCAGTAACCCAGATGTATGGAACGACGTTACTTTCACTAACCAAATCATCAAAGACGAACTACAATCATACATCAGCAAAAAGCTCACTCCTGCTCCCACCAAAGTTCGCGCTGACGTCGAGGTCACTTGTTTCGGTTACGACGGAATCGACGCAGTCAAAGACGCACTTCGTGCAGCCGAGGAGAAGAACACTCCCGATACCCAGATCAAGGTCAAGCTTGTGTCTCCGCCACTCTATGTTTTGACTTGCCAAACTCTAGACAAAGCCCTCGGTATCAAGCTATTGGAAGAAGCCATACAAAGCATCGAAACAAAGATTAAAGCGGCTAGCGGTGGATTGGTTGTTAAAATGGCACCCAAGGCAGTTACAGAGCATGATGACGCCAAGCTTCAAGAACTTATGGACAAGCGTGAACGCGAGAACATGGAAGTCAGCGGTGATGAGAGCCAGTCAGAGAGTGATGAAGGTGTACCTGAATAGAGAGCCTGAATGGAGAAGTGTCACGTTTCAACTTGTGCCTGGTGTTTTTATTGGAAGACGATTGACTCGACGACATCAGCAGCTGTTAGTGGATGGGGTTATGATGTGTGCCTGAGCCTGGGTCGATTCTCCTGGGGACCTACCTTCGACAGCGCACCCAGCTCGGCACAAGAGTCTTGCGTCACTGCCCGCAGTGGCTTGCTCTAACAGAGAGCTATGTGGCTTCGGTGCACTGTCGAGGTATGCTTCATGAAGATGCAGTAAGTTACTGCTTTGCATCAAGTCTCATCATCTGTGTCTAGCTTCTACTCCTTTCACGACTGCGGATTGTTGTTGTAGTCAATGTGTATCCATACAGCAGAGATGGCCGATAGTTGATTGAAAAGCATTATAATCAAAGCATATGCAATTGTCATCTCTCTCTCTTCCTTGAATTAGAAGTACGGACTTGAATGTTGCTCGGACAAGTCCACGAAGAATTAGGCTAGCCCCACTCACTCCGACGGAGAAAAAGCTTCCAAAATTGACGCACCTCTTCCACCTCTTCTTTCCCACGCTTCCAATTCGAGCCAGTTCTCGATATCCTTCAGGTTATTGTTAATTGTATACTATCATGGGATTCTGGTCGTCCCTTTTCGAGAACAGGGCAAATGCCCTGAACCGCTTACACGCAGAGCGGCGCCCATGTACGTCATAGTTCCTAGAGCTCCCCGCACACCAAAACACCTACAACAAATAGCTAATCTCAAGGTACTCAGTGCTTCCTGCTTACACTGCCGATGAGATTACCCCTGCGCTACCTGCAAAGGAGGTTACGAAGATTGCTCTGCGTCTCAAATATCAGATTGAACAGGTCATTCCATATGAATTGGAACAGTCGGTCATCACCAATCCCAATAGCAACGTCATAACCAAAAGTGTCATTCACACCGCAAGGCAAGCTGGTGGAGAGGAATACCGTGCCTGTATCTTGTTCTGCCTGTTGGTCTGTCAGAAGTGGTTTCATACTGAAGGTTTGCACGCGTTATGGGACTCACCGCTGTGTGATTGCCGAGCCCTTGCATGCCAGGTTATCGCCAAAAAAATGTATGCTTCCGGATATGGCTTACTTTGAGGTATATCGTACTGTATCAAATTGACTAACTTTGATTGCTTTTCTCAGAATTGAAACCGAAGGAGACCAGGAATGGCTCCACAAAGAAGCGCTTCTGAAACGTTACTCTATCCTTCGCAAAGGCGAAGTTACACCCCCTGTAAACGTGGTTGAGCGTGCCGTAGATATGCACGCTTTATATGTCATTGGTTCGTCGGGATATCAGAAATGTCTCCAGGGCTTGTGGAGAGGCTGGCTAGTGCAAGATGAGCGAGAACCGTCCCAGTTCGTCGATTATAAAAACAAGATAAACACAAGTTACTGGGCGCATTTCGATCCGGACCGTATGCGAGTTCCGCTATATCAAAATGCACTTTTGATATTCTTCTCGTTACTCTACCTGGCACTCTATACGAATGTGATCAACACAGTCAATCCCGACGGTGATATCGACGTTGCTGAAGGTATCCTCTACACGATGACACTCTCGTATCTATGCGACGAGTTCGCGAAGATCATAAAGATCGGCAAATATTATATTGGATTCTGGAATGTTTTCAACTTTACACTTTTCAGCTTGTTGGCAGTTTCGTTTATTTTACGCATGGCCGCCCTGGCTCACTCAACAGATGTGGACGATGCTCAGCGCCGTCATCTCAATCAAATGAGCTATAACTTCCTAGCATTCACGGCACCGATGTTCTGGATGCGTCTCCTTCTGTTCCTCGACACGTTCCGTTTCTTTGGGGCTATGTTAGTCGTTCTCAAGGTCATGATGAAGGAGAGCTTGATATTTTTTGCTCTTCTTTTCGTGGTCCTAGTAGGATTCTTCCAGGGGTTCATTGGCTTGAATAATACCGACCTCGCTGTGCCTGTCACTAGCAAGATTTTGAAGGGAATGGCCAACAGCATCATGCAAAGCCCTGATTTTGACGCTTTTGAGGATTTTGCGCCCCCTTTTGGGATACTACTATACTACGTTTTCAATTTTATTGTAATGATTGGTTAGTATTCCTGTCCTCGAAACTTACTTTTATATTTGTGTTCTAAGCTTTTGTGTAGTTTTGTTGAATATCCTCATCGCTCTATACAACAGTTCTTACGAAGATATTTCCGGCAATGCAGACGATGAGTATATGGCGTTATTCTCTGCCAGAACACTTCAATACGTGCGAGCTCCAGACGAGAACGTCTTCATTCCTCGTAAGCCCATTCCCACCCTCAAAAAGTAATGTTCACTTTGAATCACTAATTAAACTCCCTCAGCCTTCAACCTCATCGAAATCCTCTTCCTAATTCTCCCATTCGAATGGTGGCTATCAACAAAATCATACGAACGTCTCAACGACATAGTCATGTCCATAATCTACTTCCCTCTACTCCTCGTCACTTCATACCTCGAAACCAGAGACGCGCGCTGGATCCGCTGGAACCGGCGGCACGGCGAAGCAGACGACACAATTCGTCAGGAATGGGAAGATCTCGCCCATGAAGTTGGATTTGATGGCCTCGATGAAAGTGATGAATGGGTCGTGACTGTGAAGCGGACGAAGCCGAATGTGGATGTTACTGCTGTGGAGCTGGGGATTAGAGAGCTTAAGGAGCAGGTTAGGCAGTTGACTGAGGCGGTTAAGGCTTTGATGGAGGAGAAGGAGAAATCGGTTCTTGAGGGGTCTCAGTAGTTTGGTTGTTTATTGGCGTTGGGTTCTGTGAACAGTGCTAATGATCATTTTGTCCATATATAAATTTCTCAATCACATACACAAATTTACTTAGTTACAGATCCGAATATATTGATGGATAAGCTCAGGATTCTGTATATATATATATATATATGAAGAATCATCGCATCATCGCACACTATTCAATAAAATCCAAGTATGCACGAGGAGGAACGCCTTAGAAATGCAAAAATGCAAAAATGCAATGCAAGCACAGTTCAAGAGAATCAAACATGTAATAATATAATGAAACTGCCCAGAGCGAATGATAACATGGCTCGCGCAGGAAAAAAAAGAGGCAAGCAACCGACGTAACCGAACTCCTCAGCAAAAAAGATAAGCAAGTAGAAATGCTAGAATATGTCAATGAAGGGTTATAAAGGAATAATCAATGCTGCAACATCCTCGCATCTACCAACTGAACTGCACCAGAGTTTATAATAGGGAGAATCATCCCTGCGCATTCCCCGTATACAAACTCTCAAAATCCAACTTATTCAAAATCCCATTAATCCGATCAATCTCCTTACTGAGATCCTCCATATTCAGAGCCAAAGTGCTCACTTCATCGAATTTGCGGCGTCGATTAGCATCGGCAATCATTTCCGAGACGAAGAATTTCTGTTCTTCGAGTACTATCAATCGATCTCTTAAGGCCTTTTCTTCGTCTTCTAGCGCGGATATGGCGCTGCTGTTGTCACTGGTGATACTTTGGCTGCTTCCGTTCGGTGTGTTGAGACCGTATTTGATTGAGGCTAGGGCTGGGGTGAAGGGTTTGGTGGTTGATGATTCGGTGGTAAGAGAATTTCGACTGTGGCCGCCGAGTGTTGGACGGCCTCCTGGTGTGGCATGTTTTAAAATCTTAGGTAGACTTTTAAGGGGTAACATGTGTAGGTGTAGAAAGTTGCTGGCCTGTTGATAGATGGCCTTTTGTAGCTTTTGTTGAGTGGGCGAGTCTGTTGGGAGATCGCGAATACGACGGGCGGCTGTGTCGTATTGCGCGAACGAATCTATAAGTCTTTTCCGAACTTTTGAAGCCTCTGTAAGCTGTTCTGGTATTGGGGGATTATGCGGGTCCCTGAATAAGTCAGTAGGTGTTTTGTTATGGTTTGTATATGAAACTAAGACTCACTGTAGGGCAGACAGCAGCTTCTGAAATCGCGGTTGTAATAACCTGATCCCTCGTTCGAATTGTATGAGATTGTCGTATGAGCGAACCACAGGTGGTTTCTGATTCCTTTCTTCATCAAAGTCGCGGCGACTAAAAAGAGTTGCTCTGCACTCCTTGCAAAGTCTGATATCGACGTTGATCTTGGAAGGTACAGCCTTCTCACTGGGACTCTGTCGTTCTACCACAATTGTTAGCAAGACTTTCGACACTCAAAGATTTGGGTTAATTACGGGATAATACTGCTAGGCCGACTTCAACAGAACAGGCAGTGGATTGATCCGCGCACACAACTCGCCCGCAAGTCCTACAATGGTGCCTACGGAACGTATAGCTCGTAAATTCTTGCTGACAAAAGGGGCACTGTGGAACGCTAGCATCGTCCTGCCAGCTTACGATTGATTGCTCAATTTCGCGACGCTGATCGCCTTGTCGTCCAAGAGGCCACCGCTTGCTTGCGCCAGACTGAATCTGATCCACTGGGAGGCTAGCGAGAGCCTGTGTTAATCGAGTCAACCTCTTCTCGAGCCTAGATACTTCCAGGGCAGCCTTGTCAATCGTCGGCCTCCTAAGTTGAGAGAACTGCTCTGTGTGGTCTCGTATCAAACCTAGTAAAGTCGTTAGTATCCATGAACAACTCCAACCAGATATTCCTATCGTTCTCACCATTATGGTCATTATAACCTTCTCTAGATTTATAACACGTTTCACAAACGCGACACCAAAGACCCCGGATCGGTTCATGTTGTGCTGACCGGGATAACTTCATTTGATACATAGTATGCTCCTCACAATAAAGCTCACCGCACTTCCTGCAGTTGACACACCCAGTCGTAGATGTAAGCCTTTTCCCGCAACTCGGCTCACAGCAAACATCATACAGACCCCGTGGTTGCCAATGCTCACGTGTAATGACTTCGTCCGGGTCTGGTAGATTGACTTCGACGGGACCGGTGACCTGACGGGTGATTGCGATAGAAGGTGGTTGCGCATTTTCGTTCGATTCGAACACGTCTAATCCTTTGAGTTTCTGGTTGAGTACTGCTAGGGGCTGGAAGCGTTTCGCTTTGTCCATTTGTGCTTTGAACCAGTCCTTCACTTCGTCCTGTCTGACTTCTTCCAAGTTCTGATGTGCATCATCAAGGTGTCTGTCGGTGTGGATTAGCGGGGCGTGGGAATGGATTGCATTGACGAATTTACCTATTCAATTGAAGCAGTGTTACCTGTACTTGTAGTTAGCATATATTGATTCAGTACCTGAGAATTAGCGCAGGACAAACTAACCATCTCCTCATTACATATTGGACATGCCAATTGCGCTCCAGTCGTGGCGGGAGCCGCTGAGATGGACGTCTCGCCATTATAATGAGAGATCCGGGATGTGAGGTCTTGAAGGTCGGGAGCGTATTGTGATGCAGATGCTTGCGAATTCAAGGATACGCTGCTGGGGGATGGCGATTGGCGTCCTTTGGGTTGCGGAGATGAAGTCGAGGAAGCTGTAGCTGGCGAGAGGTTCTTCCCACTTCCGAGGACGCGGCCTCCGCCCAGCACCCTCCGGGCCATGATCTAGTCGAGCATGAGCCGGTATCGTTCGTTCGCTCGTTTTTCAGTTTCTCAACGGTTGGAATCGCTATCTGAATAGTGTCAGGTATGAGGGTGCACTTCGTGGATGCTTAAGAGGGATAGTCCGGCTGCCTGGGATGCTGGCGGCTGATAGCTGTTTAGGCACGTGCGGGACTGCCCCCGCATAAGATTATAGTAACTACCATGGGAAGCATAAATGTGTCCACCATCGAAGCCTTTATTCTTCTCTATTGAGCTATTCTTCATTAAAGAATAAGCTTAATGTTTAAAAATTCCATTCGTGGGTATAAATAACTGATTTAACAATGGCTTCCGTAGCACGGTAAGTTAGTTATGGTCTCTTCCCTGTTCGGTCTCAGAGAACGTCCCAATACGTCGATTCAACTCGCGAAGTTCATCTTTTGAGGGTCCAGAAGCTCCAGATGTCAAGGGTTTGAGAAAGTTCCCGCTGCTAAACCCCTGCCAGGAGTCGGATGGTCTTCTACCCCTGCTTCGGCTGCGGCTGCGGCTACGGTTTGGTGTTTGGGGTTCACTGGGCGGCATGCTCTTGAGACGGGACTTGTACGTTGCATAGTCCATATTAACGCCCTTGTCGCCGTCGTAGTCATAATTTTCATCGACTAGCTTCTCATATTCGAAGTCCGGAAAGATCTCGGGGCCAAAGGTGTTGATGACGTTGATGACTTGAGCCACCACAGCTCGACGCTGGTTGCGCAGCTTGATCAGTGCAGACGAAGAGCTGGGATTCAGAGCGATGAACAAAGGAGGCAGGGACTTGAGAATGTCCATGCCGATTTCACCAATTCGGAGACCTGCAAAACTGACTGCTATCATGAGTCCAAAGAAGAAGACAGTGAAAACTCGTAGTGGAACACTGTCTGGAACGTACGACCGAGCATTTATCCACCAAGGTACAACGGAGGAGTAATACCCGTCGTTTCGACAATAGTACAACCAGACTGTAACGATTACGGTGTACCACGTATATAATGCAGGCGCAAACCCCATTGCAACAAGTATCTTCCAACTTCCGACAACATCACGACCGTCCATTTTGACAGACGAATTGGCAAGCGCTTTGCGTTGCTTTGAATGCGAAATGGCTCTTGCAGTGACGAACACGGGCCAAAAGAGAGCCAAGGATGGCAAAGTTCCCAAACCCAGCATTATAAGCTCACCGATGCGGTAGAGTAGTGTTAAGAGAACCATTGACCATGGGCGACGACGGACATTACCCCATTCAACCTGGTGGTCTTGAACGCCCAGAGCCTTGAGCTGACGATTATAAGCCCGCACATCTCTCGCCAACTGTATGACCTTTGGTTCGTGCCGAAATGTAGTGTATCCTTTCAAAAGCCGCCTATTCAGCTCAATGACGACGGGAAGAGGTAACTTCATTCGCAATGGCTGATATAATTTTCTGGTGGCCTGTATAAGCATAAGTGACTCCCTGTCGGGGGCTTGTTGGGTCACAGAATCTAACGCCTCCTGTATCGTCTCTAGAAGAGAACCGACTGCATTTCGTTTAGAATTACCCCCAAGTTTGAATGCGGCTACCTGGTCTGGGTGAACTTCAACAGGTGGGCCAAACTCTATGACGGCACGCGAACGAAACTTATTTGGATGAAAGTAGTTCATTCCGCAGGGTATAATGGTCAACCCACAGTCTGGAGACCGGGCCAGTGTCCCGAGAGCAATGATAGCGGCTCCAGCCTTCAGTGGCAGCAACCGCGGGCGATCATGACTTCCACCTTCAGGGAAGATTCCGATACAACCGCCTGACTCAAGTCCTCGGTATACGGCATCAAACATTTGACTCTGGTCGATATGAGGGGCAACTTTGAATGAAGTTCCCGTACGAAGACCTTCGTATAGTGGGTGGTCGCGAGCAAAGTTCTTGAAAGGCGCTTTCAGCCGCAGCTCTTCGGGACCAATAATCTCGGCAATCGCCTGCTGCTCAGGGGCTTCTTGGCCCACTTTAGGGAGTATCAGAGTGCCTCGCTCCATGAACATCGGATCCGTAAAATTTGTGCCCTTTCCGCTCACCAAAGTCGGATCGCTCTCGGGATGGGGTAGGAAAATAGTGCCCATTCCCGGTTTAATATTGTCCATCGCACGTGTGACCGGAAGAGCACCCATTTGCGCAGCCAATGTGCCAATATACGGTTCGCGCATTGATTTTTCCGCAATCAAGAATGATATTCTTCGTCCCGCATAACGCTTTAGAATGCGCATCAAGAGAATGGAATCGACGAATTGATTGGCGTGTGGAGCTGCCACTATGATGACTGGGCCTTTTTTCGGGATGCGCCATGCTCCAGGCGCATATACTTCTCGGAAGAAGATGCTTAAGCAAAAGCGGAATATAGCGAGTAGAGTATCGTAGATCCAGGGTACCAGCAGTTGTTCACTGGATTTCACCCTAGGCGCCATCGTGGATCGGGCAGGCTTAGCCCTTTCGCGAGGGGAAGTCAGAAAACGATTGTACAGCCAATGAGGGCCTCTTGATCTTCTGTTTGCTGTTTCTCAACATCAGCCTACGGTCAACTTAAAGAATCAAGAAGCTGACTGATGGATTGGTTATCCACTCAAAAACCTTTCAAGAACGGCGGAGTAGCGGTAGATGAGGACGAAATATCATATTGATAGCATGTAAAAATCGCTGGGGCGAGGGTCTTGGAGCTGTTAACAAGGTTGGGAAGTTCCAACACAAGCCTGGTGGTTTCGGAGAAATTTACTGGGCGACCCGAGCTGCGGATAGCCGGACTAGAAGGTCCGTTGCATGAATGGACTGTGTGCCCCTTGCTCTAGAAAGGAATGTGAAAGATAAGAAAAGTATTCATCCGGGTTGGTAGCCAGTGGTGTGTATGATAATGATGGCAAACATCTTGTTTTGTGTGGATGTTTGGATCAGGAATAGCAGTTACCCACAAGTCCCTTGGTGGGCCATAGCATTGATGCCTTATTCCCCAGGCATCTTCCGTGTACTTGAGAAAGCTCACCTTCGACCCCGCTATCGCCAGTCTAGTCGCTTATCGCACAATAATCATTGTATCAGAGATTCGTCTTGACAATGCAACTTCCTGTTGACATGCCGGAGCAGATATGATGAGGATATGTTGATATAGTCGGGTGTAGCCAAGCTGTGTACATAGTAAGTCTAAGAAAAAGAGAAAATAAGGGATTCCTCATTGGGAAGGAGCGCGCCTGCTATCTTGTCTGTCAGCCATTAGTAATCAAAATCTGTTCTTCTGCAACTCTCTCCTGTCAACTCTCATGCCGGTATCAATCATGGCATCAAAACAAGTTTGCTTACAGCCGTCATCGTGTTCTGACGCCTTCGTGGTCGTGCATGTTAGTGGGGATGACATCCCGTGTCTGTCCATTTCGCCCATCCATAACAGCGCGCGTTGCAGGTGGCGTGCTCATGATCGCTTGCTGATTCGGATTGATTAAGATTGTACATTGATCCTATTGGATTTCTCCGCGACGTGCAGCATGGACACGTCAACCCACTAGAGCGGTCAAGTCGTCGGGGTTCTCGTGGTTTCTCTAACAGAGCCTCAATTGATAGAGCCACTTCACCCTTGCGTAACACATTGCGCCCACAACTGCAATCAAATCTACTGCACCCGTTGCATTCACGGTCAGCAGCCCTATAGGAGTGGTCTAGCTGTACGGAGAGTCTACAGGACCCTCAATTGCCTGGGCTTTTTTAGTCTCGGCTTAGAAAGTCCTGCCCGGTACGCACACTAGCATCCGATTCTGTTTTTTGGAATTTGAGAACTCTGGTTTTCCTAAGTTCTTCAATTTTTCAATGTCTCCTCCGTCTCTCCACTACTTCGCGGATCGTGGGATGCGAGAACATTACCATTCATGACTATTGCCTAAGGAGCAATATACGCCCCAAACCCCGCATGCATTTGGGTGAAAGACGCCGCAAACGCAAGTATGGACTTGCAAGTACATCGGATCATCAGTTTTACGGAAGATGTTGCCGTCGGCCTCCGGCAGTTTCGTGAACATCTTCCTGAATACAGTGCAGAGATAACGAACGTTATTGCCGAACTATATGCTATCAGTGCAACCCTAACAAGTCTGGAAGGACTCACGCGTCAATTTCCTCGTAATTTTGGGCCTGTCAAAGCGGATTTCGACCGAGTGCTCGTTAGCTTACGATATACGCTCAACGAGATTATAAACTCTTTTGGAAAACTTGACAGGAGGCCGACAGCAGACAACTATCGCCAGATATGGCATGATCTGAACGCCTACTTGCTCGAAGAGAGTGGCTATTCATTGAAAAGACGCTTGAACAAATACAAATTATTCTTGCAAGAATTGCAAGATGTCGTACAAAAGTATACTTCTTCCTCTCTGATAAGCTCGTCTTTGTGCTAATGTTGCCTTTCCTCCATGTTTGTAGTAAGACCGTAGATTTTCGCTTCTTAGCCAATTTGCGGAAGAGTATCATGTCAGTCCTTGAGGAGCAGGATGGCCGCTTTGCTGCACGTTTGGCCGGTCTTTCACTCGACCCGCCAGGCTCGCCTACGAGCAGTAGCAGTTTTTCAGGCGGCTCTGTGGATGCTCATGCAGGAGGCGTTGGGAAGCGTCGGTCCTACGAGAGAACAAGACCTGGCTTTCGACCACAGCCCTCCCCATTGCATTCACCGACGTCAACCAACGACAGCGCACCTCCATGGGCCCCTGATGTTCCGGGCTCGCCAATATCAACATCCACAACAACTCAATCTAACTTGTCCTCAGCTATATTGAACGACCACTGGGCAAAGGATGTCTTCTCATACAGAGGTCCGATGATAAAGTTGCCCATGACTGGCGAAAGGTAAGCAATCAGCATTCATGAACTTTACCGTCACCAGAAGCTCATTTAGAGACTGGCCGATATAGCTCCAAGTGTCTCGGCGACGATGTGCAAGATGTAAAGGAGTGGCTTCATGAGCAGGGATTCGATGAAATTGCATACATGTATGTACAGTTCCTTGCTCAGAGAACTAAGCATGACCTGACCATGAACTGATTTATTGGGTTTTTCATAGATCATTTGACGATAAGGGGTCAGGTTTGTCAGTTTTCTTCTACGTCAGGGAGCAGGACAATCGAGCACGAATTCTGTGCAAATCTCGAAGAAATAGACGAGCACACAAATACTATTGCCTTCCACTCAATATGTTAGAAGTGAGACGTGTTGAATCGTGTCTACAGCTATGCCGTCGACGACGCGCGGGAACAGAGCTCGTTCCTTGGCTAAATCTGCAATTTGATAGCATTGAAAGTAAGCATACCTTCACGTATCCTTTCCCATATGAGCTAATAGCTGTCCAGAAATGGTGATATTCTTTTGCGCTTTTCTTGCACTACGATCCCAAGACGGACATAAGCGTGTACAAGATATTCGTGACTGTGAACTCGATTCTGAGAAAGAGCTGTTTGGCGGGTAAGCGCAGATCTACACAATCTTTCTTCCTTCTTTTATACTATTGAATCTTACCATTTGCAGCATCATTGATGACGACAATTTCATCCACGCACTACGCATCTATCGAGACCGTATCTCAGGCGCAATCCGTCTACAAGCATCTGTGCATGAAGGGGACATGAAAAGGTACTTGCCTGCCGATTATGCACATCTAACTCTTGTTAACGTTGTTCCCTAGGGCACCAGTGTGGACAGCCTTTATAACCCGCTCCATCGATTCTCCATACTGGATCCGACGTGTGAACAACAGGGTGCTTCTACGAGAAATACGACAGGTGATTTTCTTTCCAGAATATTCACCTCCAAGGACTTCTCGTGGAGAGCACATTCTGAAATTCACTTCCGAAGATGGTGGGTAATTCAGCTCAGTTCTATGACTGTCTTGCTGATGTAAAATTGTAATAGATGCGAGAGATTTTGTTGACGTGATTGAACGACTTTCAATAACCGACTAAACCCACAGAACTACCATTTTGATATGCTATCTAAATGCTCCTGAATGGACAATTGGGTAGGCTTGCTTCCTTGACATGGACCAGAAGAGGATGAAGCGGCGACGACGATCAATGACAAAATGATGAATATAATGGTCTTGATGAGTTGATGAATGACGAGAATCACGGCCGACAATACCTCTACCTACCTATTTCTGGTTGATGGTTTGCTGTACTTTACGACGATATGGTTGGGATGGGGGCTCAAAAGCATGTACTTACATTCTCTGCTTTATTCTTTTAATCTAATGACTCCCATCACGTTTGAAAACATGAGCTCAGTCAATAGTTGCTTATAGCATATGGACGTTTCATTTCCATGGGTATCTATGCAAGTATAGCCGCAATCATGATTGTAAACACATTAACACTCGCAGGTCTATACAGGGACCCCCAACCCATCCAAAAACTTCTCTGCCTGACGCTTCCCCCTCAACTCCCTTATCTTCGCTCTCCTCTCTTCCTTTACCCGATCCCGTTCAGCCTTCCGCCTTCGACGCTCTTCTCTCTCCTTTTCTGTCTCTCGACGAACACTAAGCAAATCATGCATCTCCTTCTCTCTCTCCTTCGCATCTTTCGAGAACTTATAAAACCCTGTTCCGCGCGTCCGCACTTCAGCTTCTGCGTCGTAGTGCAGACTTTCAGGCGGAGTGGCGGATCTATCTCTTTTAGAGGCTAAATAAGCCATTTGCGATGCTACCACCGCATCCGGATTGAAGGCATGTGCTTGTATAGTTTCGCCATAAATCAAGTTCGACGGTCGCGAAGGTCTGGAGCGATCTTCTTCATCGACTGTTGTAGTAGTTCCTCCTTGAGCCTGTCGTCTGAGACGCGCGGCATGTGCGGCTTCTGCTCTTGTTCCGCGCCGTGTACGACCAAACTCATCTTCGTAATCAACCAAGGTACCAATTCCGTCGTCATTTTCATCATCATCTTCCTCGTCGTCATCTCTCGCCTCCTCCTTCTTCTCCTCGTCTTCCACCCATTTCCGATCAAAATCGACAAGAGCATTCCTCTCCTTCCGTCTCAATCGAGACATATAATCATCTCCACCATCATCGTTCTCACTACTACTCCCATCAACGAGATGGTGCCCTTTTCTCAAATTCTCGTATAGATCCGCCTTCTCTTCCATACGTCTTTTAGATCTTTGTAGCGTAATCGCATCGACCGCGCCAATATTCTCGCTGTTTTGATGTATTTGCCCAGATCTCCGGTTACCGTGTATATCGTACTCTTCACCAGCTGCTTCGTCTTTCGCGGCACGTTTGAGAGCGCCTTTGTTATGGATGGAGAAGAGATCTGGTTTCGCGCTTTTTGAAGGACGTGCGCGGCCACGCGCAAATGTGTAGCTGCCGCCATCTGATTTGGTTTTTGATGAGGAGGAAGAGGAAGGTGTGGCAGAAGCGGCGTCCTTCGATATAAGTGATGAGAGATGCGATGTAAATGCTAGCGTGGAGGATGAAGTGGTGTCTTTTTTGCTGGCGCCCTGTTTGGGCCGCTGAATGCCGTATAGCGAGGAGTCTTTCGAGGTCATTTTTTCGTAAATTATGCCTTTATGCGACTCGAATCGGTGTATCTGTCTTTTTGTTGTTGGAAGACGAAGTCCCAGACGGCGAAATCATTTGGGTTATCGATAGAGAGAGAGCTTCATCCAATCAGAGACTGTCCCGCATTGGTGGGTCAGACCCGTCGGGGCTCCACTGCTTTGGCCAATCATTTCGCTGTAAACTTTTCTTAGAATTTGTTGTCTTCCCTTCATGCGATGACTCTTTGACAGTCAATCGTTCAATTGGATATCGAATATTGACTGTGAGTATAAAATCAAGTCCTTGGATTGACACTTTGGTACCATCATCATATACCCTCAATCCTTGAGAATTTGAGCTAATTCTCTTGTCTTTTTTCGCGAAACCAGTCTAAATATACCCCTCCATTGAGTCACAGAAGTCGGGTTCAAGATGGCATCAAAACCAATCTACTTAGGCGTTATCGGTAAGTCGGTGAAAAACAGAGAAAGTTGACATTGCTAATGCTTATATGACCAGGTGTTGGCGGCGTTGGAACCGCATTCCTCCAACAACTCTCCAAACTCCCCAACGCTCCCTCCCTTGTCCTCCTCGCCCGCTCTTCAAAAACCCTCCTTGCGCCCACTCCATCATATTCCCCCGCCATCCCAGCAGCAGACTGGGCAACAGCCTCATCAGCGCCTTCAATCACGACATCCGGTACCCTGACTCCATCCGAAGTCGTATCTTACCTCTCTTCTGCCCCCGGCCGCTCGGTCTTGGTTGATAACACCTCCGACCCAAATCTAGCCAGCGCATACCCCGAGTTTCTCAAAGCGGGAATCTCAATCGTCACACCGAACAAGAAGGGATTCTCGTCGGACTTGTCCCTGTGGAAAGACATCTTTGCATCAGCGGCAACTGGTAAAGCCCTAGTTTATCATGAAAGTACCGTCGGCGCCGGTCTACCCGTCATCTCAACCTTGCGTGATCTCGTCGCTACAGGTGACGAAGTAACACGCATCGAGGGCGTATTCTCCGGCACGCTTTCGTTTTTGTTCAACACGTTTGCGCCTGTCTCTTCTCCCGCTGGCACTTCATCCGCCAACTGGAGCGATGTAGTCAGTCAAGCCAAAGAACTCGGCTACACCGAACCAGATCCTCGTGACGATCTGAACGGTATGGACGTTGCACGCAAACTAACCATCCTGGCCCGAATTGCCGGTCTCGAGGTCCAAAGCCCAGATTCATTCCCCATTGAGTCCTTGATCCCCGCCGAATTGGCTTCTTTACCTGCTACTTCTGAAGGTGTGGCTGAGTTCATGAAACGTCTTCCCGAATTCGACGGTCAGATGGCTGCACTCAAGGAACAGGCTGAGAAAGCAGGTAAAGTTGTACGATATGTAGGCAGCGTGGACGTTGGTAAGAAGGAAGTCAAGGTTGGATTACAGCAGTTCGCTAAGGACAGCGCGATTGCGGGTTTGAAGGGAAGTGATAATATTATTAGCTTCTATACAAAGCGTTATGGTAGTAATCCCTTAATCATCCAGGGTGCGGGTGCCGGTGGTGATGTGACGGCCATGGGTGTTACGGCTGATCTTATCAAGGTGTTGGAAAGACTGTAAAGAAGGACTGATCGTATAGAGAAGTTTGTCTACATTGACTTGAGGAATCTATTCATAGGAATGTATCCAACAGACGACAACTCTAAGGAAATAGAGCTAACTCCGTAAATATGCTTTTACTGCGTCTCCCCAGACGGCTCCTCGTTTGTATCCGTAGATCTTTGGGACGCTCCCCTCTTTCAACCCGTCAATTGCAGTGGCCAAATCTTGGCCTGAACCTTCCTCTTTGATCTGTTTGATCGGGTATGTGTAGGTATGAAAACCGAAGACGATAGCGCGGGAAGTCGGTAGACGATGAAGCGTTTGACGCTCGCACCGTAAGAATGTCTACTCAAGTCAGTCCTTCCTCTAGAAACAATTTCGTAACAATAAGAACATACCGAATCGACATCCAATGTCCCCTCCTTAATCTTGTCCTCAACCTTAGTCTCGTTCGCAGAGCTATGCAACCCACCAAAAGCAGCAAACAGCTCCGTATTAGTAGACATACTCCAATTCGCCCGTTTCACATATTTCCCAACTTCAATGTTTGCAAAATGTCGGTCCATGCTCTTTTCGAGCTTTTCCTGGTATCCCGGAACGGGACCGTGGATGTCCGCGAGGAGTTTTCCGAGTTTCTCGCGCGGGTTGAAGCCCGCCGGGTAGCATGTTTCGTATGCTACGAGTCTGTATTTGACGTTTGCTGCGGATATATCATCATCATCGTTTGATTTCTCGGGTAAGAGGATAAGATAATCCTCGTCTATAGTCTTGTAGAGAATTTCAAGGGCGCGCATTGGTGAGGTGAGTTCAGTGACTTCGGACGGATACAACTCGTTCAAGACGAGGTTTTCGAGCATGTAGGCCTTTCCAGTCTCGAATGCGGTTTCGTGGAGACGAAACATTGTCGGATAGCGCACGGGTAGATAAGTTGACATGATGTAACGGTACAGTTCCTTGACAGCGGCGATGATACGCGGGTCAGATTCGTCAAACATGGCTATCACGGTCTCGCGATGTTCCTTGAGGATCTTTCGGCGGTACTGCATGCGTTCTTTGTATGTCTTGTCCATGAGAATGAGCTCAGATGGGTTCAGGCTTTCGAGAGCTGCAACCATATGTCAGTACAAATGTTCACACGAAGCTTGAAATTGTCATTCTCACCCATTGTGAGATGGTATTTTGGCTTAAAGGGTCTCAGCTGCAACGGCTCCTGCGTAGCCCAGTTGAAGTCATCCAGAATTTCTGGTAATGGGAAACCAGGCGATTCGAGGAATCGAGATCTCTTGTGAGTTCTGACTTGTCTCTGTTTGTTATATGTCAGTGGTGATATTCGCGCGATGATCAAGATAAGATACATACAAATTTCAAGAAGACCTGGAAAAGCAATGCAAATCCGATGAGGACAGAGATCAATATCTGCGATTTCTGGGGCGACGCGAGCGTCTTTTTGAGGAGATCGATGTTGCTTTGCGCATGTTCGGGGAAGTTCACGGCGAGTGAACGGAATGTCTCGATCAGCCTTTTGGCTATCTCGACGTGAGACTCCGACTGCTCCATGGCGTAGTCGAGATGCCTTTTCTACTCGAGAAGACTTTCTCAGTCGAAGGACTTCCTAGTCCATAAGAAAATCCTAGAGATGTGTTGCAACTTGCAAGCGAGCTCACAAGGAGCTGACAAAGGCTGCAGCCAGCCGCTTGGCTGTGACTTCAGGGTGCAGGGAGTATCCCAGCAAAAGCAATTGTGCATACACACACACACACATACACAACATACACACAAACATGCACTTAAGACCAGAGAATTATTTGAGATGTTCCTGTCAGGCTAAGCTAAGGTGTTTATAGTCGCCGCCTCCGCATTTCGGGGACCGCCTCTTACTGGATCAGGCAAGTTGATGCGGGATGCTTATCTTCAGGTCTATCTGGCTCCGTCGTGTCCCAATAGTTACGCACTGAAATACATTGAATAGATAGACGGAGGGGTTGTATTGTTAGTAAGCCAGATCTTCTCTGTGGTAAATTAAGTAGTCTCTTAGTGGAATAACTGGGTCAAATGCCTCAATTGATGACTATGCCCTGAGTCATCTTGTTGACCTGATCGAATAATAGGAAAAGCATGATATTCCAAGTGATGAAACCGGTATATTCCAACAAATAATCCAAATACCAAATAATCAACAGCTATACGACAGGACGACAATACCCGCCTAGGTCTTATCTTTCTCGGTATGTACAAGCCTCCTCATCATTTCTTTCTCTAATGTAGTCGATTGACTTCCTTCACCACCCACTGCCTCGCCTCGAAGACTAAAAGCTCGCCGTCGCCCACTCGGTCGTTCAGTCAATGTCGGGGCGCGTGGCTTGCGCTCACCGTTCGCTCGTCCGCCGATGAGAGGGAATTCGTATGCGATCACGCGAGCAATGTAAAACACAATGTCGAATATGACGAGTCCCGCCCATGGTCCGATTGTTAAAATGCCGAGAAGGATCTAAGCGTTATCAAAGGTCAGATCATCTTAACGCTCTCGAAGGGGGAAGAGACATACAAAGAATCTGATGAGCCATGTCTCCAATGTATTCATGGACTCCGGGAGAAGAGAGTACCACGCCATGCCCTTGGCTTTGAGACTGTACACAGCCAAAATAGCGAACAGCTAGGCTGGAGTACCTGAATAGGCATCAAACCATGATTATTCGCAGATATAAAAGGGGCGTCAGCAGATGAGCTAAGTTGTTTGGATTGAAGATTAAATAAGAAAGGGGGATGATGGATGTCCGGAGAATTAATTCTCGCAGTTGCGTCAGTCACTCCAGCCAATCACAGCTACACCTGGCTATAACGAATACTCCTGAGATCTATAATTCAGTGTATACTTGAAGATATTTTATAGTCTACAAATCATACAGGAGGATGATTATTGGAGTATCGACAGCAGACTGCCTAGTCGAATTGAGTGTTGGATGAATTATTAATCAATGGCTTTGCTCCTCCGTAGTCGCCGCAAAACTCACGATTTATCTATCCCAGTTTATCGACAGTACAACCTGCCCCGCTTCAGCTCTCTCACTCCATATCGATTGCATGACTTGGCCTGTTTTTCACCACGGTTGAGTTGAGGAGTAGGTATTATATTGATCAACGAATACTCTCAACTATCATATCTGCTTGCGACAGAGTCACCATGAAGCTCTTACTATCTACCTCGTGAGTCTTTCTCAACCCCGCGCCATCATAAGTTGAGCCCTACACATTCAGCCAAACAACCAGACCTATATATACCGTACTGACATTCTTTTTCGCTTTAGGAATATTATGACCACCGGTCCCTCGGTGGTCCGCTTTCATGCCGAAAAATCAAACGTCGAATTGATCAATTCTCTCAAATCCAATTTCCAAGCCGCGCAGCAAAGTTTGCCGCCGCAGGATGAGCAATCGAATAAGAAACCATGGACAAAACAAGAAGGCGATACACTTTACGTCCCTGCGACTGACTTTGCGCTCTCTGGACTATCAGAAGAACGGGATCAGTACGATATTACAGTCAAGTTATTCTACCTTCCCGGAATCCCCGCATCCCGAAGACAGGCACATACGCGAGATGCAATTGATCTAGTTCTCAAGGAATTACACGTTGAAACTATTGATCTATTGATTGTTTCATTTCCCGGGGTATCCTTTGACGCAGAGGATGAAGAAACCGAAGCAAACGACGAGGATGAAGAAAGGTCGAGGACGGGCAGTGAAAGTAAAGCCGGAAGTGAATGTACAGAACAAGCAGATGATTTTGAGAGTATGGTGAAAACATGGCATACGCTTGAGATGCTAGTTGAAGAAGGGAAGATTGCGCAACTTGGCGTCGCGGAGTTTGGTACCGAACGACTGGCCAGATTCCTTCAGCAGACGAGGATCAGGCCCTCGGTTGATCAGATCAATGTCAAGGATTGTTGTGTTGTTCCGAAATCACTCATTCTTTACGCCAAGCAGGAGAAGATTCGATTGCTCACACATAATGACTGCACCAATATCTTGCCCCCGGGTACGACGCGAGAACTATTGGGGTCTGGCAATGATGGCGCTGGAATTCTGGCATCCGCGCCCGATGCTGGAGATGGTCTGCAGGGAGACATTGAGCCTCAGTGGGTGGTTAAGTATACGACAGTAGTGAAAGACCGGGGCGTCATCGAGAATAAAGGGTACTTTGCCCTTGCCGAGCTTGGAAATTGTATTCAGACAAATGACCGATCATGAGTGCAGCTATCGATCATCTTCTTCTGCATTTAGTCCTAGCGAGGCGTTTGGGCGGTTCTCTTGATTCATTCGTTATCATAGTTCACAGCATATGAGCAATCAACGTTTTGATGTAGTCTCAAATTCTGTGGCTGGTGCCTAACCGAGCATACTTCGCTTCCGGCCGCGCATTCTCACATCCTCTAACTTTTTGAGGACCAATTTTGCGCCTTTAAAACTTTCAGAATAGCCGTCTAGAACCACGGAGAAGAAATTCTCTGTCATAGGATGCGTACTTCCAAATGCCCGCTCCAAGACATATAAATCAACCGCACGATCTTCCTCGTGGGAGCTCGTACTAGCAAGACCGAAATCAATAAGCACAATATCCCCCGCCATTGATGGCGACTCCGTGATATCCGAGGGCGTAGAAGAATCAACCGGTGGTCTGAGGATCAGATTACTCGTGGTAAGATCCCCATGAACGACGCCAACCTTATGCATACTCCCAACCGTACGGCCAATTCTCTTCATCAATTCTTTGACTTTTGCCTCTTCCTCTTCTTTATTGAAATATGAATCTTCCGAAGTGGCGGTATTGATCGATTTCTTCATCCACTTCTCCCACCTCTCCAATATATGCTTAACAGCCAACCCCTCAATCCATTCCATCATTAACCACGCCCCAACAGACCGCTGTCCATCTGCGGGTGTTGCTGGATCCCAATCCAGAGCCAGAATGGCGGGGACACTGACCCCTTCACGGACAAGTTTCATTAAACATCTTGCCTCGTGTAAGACGCGCTGACGTGTCAGGCGTCGATCTAGTAGTTCGTGTCGATAGGGTTTTGTAGGTCGTATTTTGAGCGCTGCTGGTGTGTCTGGTGTGAGGAATGTGGTTTTGTATAATCGAGCTTCGGCGCCTTGGGCCAGGAGGATTGGAGGCGGGGTTGTGTGTGAGAATGGAGGGGGGAGGGGTGGAGGTGTATATTCTGTATTCATGTTGAGTTGAACTATATTTTGTCGGATAGAAAGAGATGCGACGGTCTTGGATCGTGGTATCGTTGTTTTTATTGTTGTCTAGTGCATATAAAAAGAAGGAAAAAAGTGGAAGCTGGATGCGGGGAAAGATTTTATCTAGATAATTGAGGATCCGCGGACATCTCCGCTATCCCTCCCTTAGCTAATACATTCGTTTATCAATTGGTTGAGTACTCTCAAGTTTTCTGTTTATTCTGATATATTCGTTTCTTCTCGACTTTATCCTAGTCAATACAAAAGGTAAATAACAGGTACACAGAATTACCCAGTCCCAAATCAAAGCTTCTCTTCAATCGCCGCCAACTCAGACATCACATTCCTAACCAGCTGCTTCGTAGCCTCACTAGGCGGCTCATACGGCGTACGAGGCAAGAATTTCTCCTCTGCATTCTCAATCCCCGCCTTTGGAGCCGAATACAATGCCACCGCATACTTTGTCGTCGCAATTCCACTCTTACTCGGCGATTCTGCCAAAGCAGCTTTTTGATGTAACGCCAGCGCCTCCTCGTGTTTCCCTTCCTTGTAAAGATTGTAGATATGCGATATCGTCTTGGGGAATATATTTGCAAACGCAGCAATACATCCTGCAGATCCAACCGAAAGACCGCCGAGAAGGAAATCGGATTGTCCACCGTATACAGAGAATACATCCGGTCCAAATGTGCCGGCGAGTCTGGTAATCTTCCCGACTTGTGCGCAAGTAAGTTTCACTCCAACGACGTTACTGATACCATCCGGAGATGCGGCGGCTGATGCATTGACAATGTCGGTTATGAGCTCGGAGTCAAGGTCGACACCGTTCGTGACTCCAGGGAAGTTGTAAAGAACCACCGGCAGAGGAGCTTTGCGAGCTACGTCTGCAAAAAAGCGTTTGACGACGGCTGGTGTAGTCTGTTTGCCAAAATAGGCTGGTGGTAATACAAGAAGATAATTGGCACCAGCGTCGTATGCATCTTGACTGTATTCTAGGACCTATGCTCAGAATCAGCTAAGACCTCCTTCTCTGTTGAAAATGGGGGAGTTTCCACTCTACCTGTTTCGTGGAATGCCCACCCACACCAGCCATGATGGGATAATCAGGCCCTACAGCTTCACGAGCAGTCTTTATGAGTTGTGCTCGCTCTTCTCGGGTCAAGAGAAAGGTCTCTGCATTGGTCCCCAGAATCACCAAGCCTACAAGTCCACTGCGCGATAAATAAGTGTAGTACTTCTTTGCAGATTCATAATCAATTGTATCGTCTTCGCTGTTGAATGCTGTGACTGCTGGCGCCCATACTCCTGCAGGGGGCACGCCTAGATTAGAAGCCATGTTGAGTGTGCCCTGTCTGTTCTATTTTTATGAAACCGATATCAGTGACGGAAGTCGATGGTAGAGTTCTTCGTTTGAGTTTGAACTAGTATAATGAATGTGATCAGGTACAGATAGCTTAATATTTGTCAAAAGCTGTCTTTGAAGACATGGAAAAGAATCCGTAGATTGTCCGATTGAGGGGCATTTTTGCCTAATTCGGCAAATTATCAACCGGGCCGATCAACGACGCGCCGGCACGGTTGGGATGATTGCCGAGTAGATGGATAGCATCAGACGGGATGCCTTGCAGCTATACTGGAATAATTGGTTTGCATTCAAGTCCTCACTATGGTGACATGCAGATTGTCATTGAGAAAACGAGTGCGTGTTTGCGTGAGATGATCATAAACCGGCCATCAGCCAAAAAGAAAATGAAAGCTTTGCGAAGACAAAGGAAAGGAAAGAAAATAAATGTACATAAATATTTTTTTTCAAATATAACAATTCGCCAACCTGGAACACCAGAACCGAACGTGATCGCCATATATTCGAAGCCTCGAAGTCACTGAACACTTAACATCAACACTTTTATAGAAACCAGGGCCGCTTTACCATTCCCTCGTTTTCGATGCTGGTTCGTCTGACCGAGTCTCATAGTTGATGGTCACATTGTCGGTCCGGCGGATGGCGTTTTGGGCGTCAGTCGGTGGAAGAATACTCTCCTGGCTGCCGTCTCCTCGCTCAATGTTGGTGATGGAGATGCTATGCTGCTTGCTTCGGTTGCGGTGTGCACGTAATTCGATGGACTGGGAGTTGTGCATCCCGCTGCTGTCTTTCTCCAGTCGATTGAAGTATTTGTTGTTATAGCTTGTACCTTTGCTCTTGCGGACGAGGTATTCGAGCAGGGGTTGAAGGGTGGGAATGCATGAGGCGATGACGACGATGTCTGCTTCGATACTACAAGTATGTTTAGTACGACCCGTGGTATTGAAGGTAATGGGCGAACTTACTTTGTCCAGATAACCAGCTGCCATGTGCCGACTAGAAAAGACAGAACCGTTAACACCTGTGATTTCCACGCCCAGAGAAGCGCCATATTCATAGACACTATACTCACATGTATAATCGGCTGCATCAGCAAGACCCTTCAACTGAGTACACTTAATTACAGCCATTGCTGCAGCACTGTTGAATATCATTGTTAGCAATAATGCCTCTGTAATATCACTTAACGATTGTATCCTTTCGGCACTTACATAGAACCCAAACCCAAGGCACCCATCAGTGCAAGTCGTTTCTTAACGGACATGTTCAATTTCCATAGCACAACAGATGGATAGATGGCAAGATACAGGTCAACGAATGCCGACAGCGCTATCACCTTTTCGTCAGCTTGAATCATTTAGCCCCTTTCGGTGTGAATCACGCACCTCCTGTGAAAACGGCAAAGTCGATCAATATCCAAATGTCACGGCACGTAGCATTTTTAATTGACTTGTCCCATTGAGCTGCAGGCGGGTCGCATTCGGTCATCAAAAGCAGAATGCAGACAATCGCCACAGAAGCTGTAAATCCTACAAGCGAGAAGATAAAGTATTTGTGAAATTTGCTGGGATTGAGGATTCTGGTTAACATGATAGCCACAGCAATTTTTGGGATGGTAAATGAGAGGATGCCAAAAACGAAACCGATCGTGTTGAGTAAGATGGCCTTTTCAAGGTGAGGGAGATCCAGGGCGTCGGCATGTCTTCCATAGCCGACGACGACATTGGCGGTGGTAATGCCGAGATAAACAAGGCCAAAGATCTATGAAGTCAGTACTTTTCTCTCATACAAGGAAGACCAAAGAAACCGCATTGGTGATGGATAATAATAAATCTTACCAATCCCACCACAATTGCCCAGTCGTCAAATCCGACATTCTTCACTATCTTCACTCGAATGTAGATGCGAGCAATTACCGTGCTTGTCGTGATCATTGTCAGAGCCCACATGGGTGCCAATATGTTCGCACCTTTGTTTTCTGCGAGCCATTCTGGAGAGTGCTCGCTGCTTGCGCTTGCTGGGGACGACATCTTGACAACACTTTGAGTGTTACGAGAATGAGATGGGAGAGGGACCAGAGAAATGACGAGAGCCGTGCAATCTATATAGGAGCAGATTCAATATCGTCCTTCTTAAGAGATGCAGGGAAATGAATCCAACGAAAGGATGCTCATGCTTTTCCGGAGATAGTCATATAGAACCAGTCTAATATGAACCGGGAAGAAGAGGCAAAACAAGAAAGACGAGCTCACGATATAGTGCGCATATACGTAGATCTTGATGGAAGTACGGCCCTAAGTGATGGAGAGCCCTTGGTCTTAGCTCCCGGGCCCAACTGCGAGGTATAGGGAGCATCTGATGGGATCCGCGTAATTGGGACCCGAGGATTGAATTCACTATTGGGTTAGAAAATAATAACGGCTGTGATGGAGATATGCAGGTCCCGACATCTTTGTTGATCCCAGAAGCGAAGCGAAGAACTTACTATGTACGTACTAAACGTTCGACCGTTCTTCAGTTTCTACATCCTATGATCCTACAGAACAATTAGACGAATCCGAAAACGGTGCAAGACACGGAACAACCCGGTGTCGGACCAATGCTGATCGACAAAGACCAGACCGTGCAGGTTAGTCGAGAGTTTCGAGTTTGAAGACATGGGGCGACAGGCCTATGAGCCTCTAAGATGACTGAAATGGCCCAAAAGGGGCACATAAATTTCTTGGATCTTTAATTGACTTTGCTATTCTGGCCTTGTCAAGTCTGTGCTCCAGGCTGTGGCGAATCTCGATTACGCAGACCTCATAAAGACTGAAATCTGCCATTGCTCGGGACTCGGTAGCAAGTCGAAGCCCTCTCTTGGATTTAAACTCACAAATCCTGCTCCTGGACAGTTTCCGTGAATGTTCAGCGTCTAGGTGAATTATTGTCGGCACAACTGATGCGTTATAACATATCGGGTTTATAGTCGCCGTTCTGAGGGAAAGATACCATATACGTACACGGACCAGACCCAAGAACTTGATAATCCCTGTGGTGAATCCTTGCTAGTCGATAGTTCGTAACTTCGTATTCAACTTTCGAAGTAGTAGCGACAGCCCAACTAGGTTTGTGTTCACTACTCAATGCTCATAATGCAGAGTTGAAACCAATGACCAAGTCTGGCCATCTCCCATAAAACCCGCATTGCCCCAGAACCTGAATGGTTGAAATGGCGCCGTTAGCTCGTGCTGAGTCTGAAAGCTCCACAACTGCGGAGTTTGAACAACGGCTTCATATGAGGACAGCAAATCGGGATGACTTGCTTCTCTCCTAGGGGGCTCGCTAAACTCAGCCAACTTGCCAGTTGTGGAATTTTACCTTCGGAAAAGCCATCATCATCATCATCATCATCATACCTAAATCCTATTATTGTTCTGGCCCACATAGTGTAAGACACGAAGCTTACTTCGTCTGTACTAATCTCTGCCACTTTCCCGTTTAACTTCATCCTGGTATGATGATCATCATGCATCCGACCAGGGCCATGTTAGCCGTGAGACTGCTGACCCTAAAGATGGCGAGAAAAGGTACGCCGAGGAAGAATCAACATGAATTAATGTTGAAGAAGTCTGACTGAGGAAGGAAAAAGAAAGCACGAGACTAGTGGAAATAAATATTCCGTGTTCAAGGGGTTGATTGGTTTATTCACGAGGTTTATCCGTATCTGGTCTAGCTTTCAGTTTGGGGGCCTCGCGCCGTTCTATCTAGTATCGAGACTACTGATCATCCTCTGTCAAAACTGTCAAAAATCTATCCGACTGTCGATTATCTGCCACCTCGCCATCTGCTCCACTGTTAAGAAATTTTGCTGTCTAAAATCGGCGATCGATCGTGTCCACCACTTGACTGACATCTGGAAAAGACCCCATAGTGCATAGATAACAATGGGAGAGCTCAGAAAACTGAAAGTCAATCGTTTTGCACCAGGTCGTTGCCAAGTACCGTCCGAGATCACTGTGCTGCTGATAACACAACAATTATATTCTCTGGTGGAGTATCTTTGACTTCTAGCCAGCGTTAGACTAGCATACATCTTTAGTAACGTGTCTAACGGCGAACAGAAACGGCAAAGTGAAATGCAGATGTATGCCACTTATGTGGCTAGACTGCAAGCCAATTTATGCTAGTGTCTCAACCTCGGGCGGCGCGGACAGCATCGGTCTGCGTAGTAGCTTGGAGGCCCATCAAATACAGAAGCAGGCATACCTACGCTTCCAATTTTTGGGTCTATCGATAGCCCACGCGCCTCTCATGATTCGCCGTCACGATCAGATGTTGGCCAGTCTATGCGAGGACGGTGACAGGGGCTCCGCAAAGCTCGCACCAGTGTCCCAAATCTCGCTTCACTTGCGGATATCTTGCTGTTGTGAGGATGGATAAGAAACCGATTGAGCATGCCGATGCCCAGGCTCTAGGGGTTTGGGAAATGATTCGCGTACGACTACTGCGAAGAGATTAAACTGTATTTATTGAAATGAATTTCTTTTTTTCTGGTGCCGAGGATTTTATTTTTCTTTTGATATTATTCACTGTTCACCTGCATAACATAAATGATCACGACTTTCTAAATTTACCCCTGCCCAATATACTTGAAATCTCCGGAAGCATACTTCATCATGGCTATTGAAAACAATCACAATGTAGCACCTGTCGATGAGACCATTGCCGTCAAGGCTAATGACATTGATCAAGTCCCTCATTTGCTGGAGGAGATAGCCAAACAAGGAAAGGCCCTTACCCAGGATGGAGCCCAGAACCGTCGCCGACTCCTAGAGACGGTTCGCTCTTTGTCGTATGTGCTTGAGACTCCGCGCGAAGCTATCATTCGGTACTGCTGGTCTCAGGTATGGGCTCTCTCGCACCTTTCGCTGTCTTTATGCTTTTGCTGATCTCACCGGGTTTAAAAGCCCACCATCTTTGCCGCCATTGAGCTAGGCATCAACCTAGGCCTTTTCAAGGTGCTATCTAAAGATGACAAACCAAAGACGGCTGCTGAGCTAGCTGAAGCTACTGGTGCCGAACCAGTCTTCCTAAGTAGGTCGAGGCCCAGATAGTTGCTCTGGGACTTGAAAAGTGTAGAATCACATACTAACATGGGAGATAGGCCGAGTTTTGAAGCACCTCGGCGCCATGGGCGCCATTTACGAAATCGGACCTGATACCTACAAACCGTCCAATTTCGCTAAAACGCTGACGATCCAGAAATATGCAGACGGCTTCCCGTGCATGTGAGTGACCCGAATCACCCGATAATCTTGATATATATCCTTGTCCTGAATCCCTGTCTAATTCCGGCTAGGACTGATTGTATCAACGCCGCCGTCCTAGCCTTCCCTCAGTGGCTAAAGAAGAACGGCTACCAAGCACCAAGCGATGGCAAAAACACTGCCTTGAAGCTGGGTTTCAATACCGATCTACACTTCTTTGAATTCCTAGCCACTAACCCGGTATACCCTGTTCGCTTTATGAATCATATGTCAGCCTACCATCAGGGTCGACCCAGTTGGATGGACCCCGGCTTCTACCCTGTTCAAGAGCGCTTGTCTGCCGGTTTGGATACCAGTGCGCCCTTGTTGGTGGATGTTGGCGGAAGCACTGGCCATGACCTAAAGGAGTTCCATCGCAAACATCCCGAAGCTCAGGGTAAGCTGATTCTTCAGGATTTGCCTGAGGTCATTGAAAATGCCAAGCTTGTTGATAGCGATGGAATTGAGGCAATGGCACACGATTTCTTCAAGGAGCAGCCAATTAAGGGTATGTCAATTTCTCATTGAAATCTGTTTTATTAAAAAAAATGATCACTTATGGGATTGACAGGTGCTCGTGCATACTACATGCACTCCGTTCTTCACGATTGGCCTGACAACAAGTGCAAGGAAATCCTAACAAACCTTGCACAGGCCATGAAGCCAGGATATAGCAAAGTTCTGATCAATGAGAATGTTATTCCAGACATGGATGCCGACTGGCAGACAACTTCTCTGGACTTCATTATGATGTCCGTGTTTGCCTCCAAGGAACGTACGGAGCGTCAGTGGCACGCTCTGGTGGAGTCGGCAGGATTGAAGATTGTCAAAATCTTCACTGCCGAAAAAGGTGTCGAGAGCTTGATTGAATGTGAGCTCGCTTAGGCTTGGAGACTAATATATCCCGCTATTTAGAGGTATCGCTAGATGTAGACTCAATAGAAAAACAGTCGAACAAGTGACAAGATTCCAAATCCCATGTCCCTTCTAGAAGATCCCCTAACCAGTACTCCGTGCACAGAGACCTTGTTAATCACGGAGCATTCCCCTCATAAGATAAGCAAGCCGTTAGATGTAGTATTAATACTAGTCCGGGGTCCCTATAGCAGACCCGCCGAAATAGGCCCTCAGCCGGATTCTGTGTAGAACGTCCCGGCGAGCGCCACAAGTTCCACAAGGACCACAACCAACGAACTTCCGAAATGATATTAATGAAATGGAGACTCTTAACTACATTCAGTAGAAGATCAACAACCTCTTAGTGGTTTAAAATGTGTCAAAGTGGCACTTTGGCAATGCAATTCCGTGTGGATCACAGAGTTTCAGAAGGCGGGCGAGTCAACTCTCTAGAATCAGGATTAAACTCTGAGTTGTACGTACGAAGTAAATCGGACGATGCTCTGGATCTAGACGCTGTCTGCAATAATCCATGACATGAACACGGCTCAAATTCGAGATGAGACCTTTTTCTCTTTTTTTCGGCGGCTGGACTCTGGCAGAGAGAGGAGGATCCCGAGGCACACGATGATGTTCACGACACCTCGGCAGTCGGAATTCCAGAGCGCCCTTGTCATAGCAAGCCATTTAATATGCATAATTGATTGAGACTTTGACTAGTGCTTACTATCTCATTTACCGCCACCAATGGATGTTCTCTACCTAGGTAGATCCCGCTTAGGGCTTTGCGAGACATGTGACTGAGCGTAACGTTTATATTTACGTACATGAAATCCACTATTAGTTAGTTATCTAGTAGCCAGGAACAAATCTCATAATTTCTGAATGCTACTACAAGACTAGTACAAGTCTCTTCCACTTAGACTTCAACTGGGAATTGGCAAACCTAAGTCGTCGCTCTGCTCGTCGTGATTGTGATCGTGATCGAGCACACTGTTCAGGCCATAATACTTAGTGGTATAGGGTTACGACGTAGCCAATAGGGCTGGGTACGGACAATAAACTTGATTAATAATAATAATAATAATAGGGTTACGACGACTGTCACGTAGGGCAATAATAACCTCTGAATTAAGATCACACCGCGGATCTCCGTTGGTCCGCCACTGAGCTTCTTCCTGATTTAGAAAAAGGGTTCACCAAATTGATCACTACGTAGTCGTAATACGTACTAAGGACACTTAAGGAGTGTATAACTACGAGTTACTTTCTGGAACGTTTTGCAAGCCCAGTTTTTCTCTCTCACTGAGCACGTACTACGTATCCTCGGAAATCTAATCCAAAATTAAAAATCTGAGTTTGGAAGCTTTGAAGTCCAAACGCCGTACGTTGCCTGGAGTTTAGTGACCAAATCGCTTGAGTTGGAGGATGTTAAACAGTACCTGGTATGAAACACTGAATAAGTGGAGGTTACGCCGTACGTGAATCACTTTTTAGGTTGAGGTTATTATTTTCCATTTTCCTCATGGAGTTTGGCTCTTTATATTTCATAGTCAATGCAGCAGTTATACTCTCTTATATGTTAGGCGATTCCTAGCATTCCCGAGGTCATTCACACGGCCGCCTAGTACGTTGATATTTACGTGGCTAAGGACTTCGCTTGCTTTAAAGGTTGGAGGAATAAACATTTTGTATAATTTATTCTCACCAATATTCATTAAATCCCTTCCAACATCATACCTAGGTAAGTGCGAGGAAATGTTTCATGATACAATTCTTGTCCTTTTGGAGTTTATGTGTATGTACGCAGGCCCCGATTGGCTTCCCGTGACAAACCATCAAGGATATCCTTGTATTGACAGCGTAGATCAACGAGCTCACTACTACACAGTACTATGCATGTCACAATATTTGTCTCATATTCATGGCTTAAAGGCTTGGTGTACATGAACTTTCCTCTTATGGCAAACAGGCCCTTTCAACTACTCTTATCACCAATTAGGTAGCACAAACCAGTTTACTGTCAAAAATGTTAGTAAAATGCTTAAAGATACCTATGGGTTGAATAGTAGAGCTTCTATCCTGGTTTCGTTTTCAATACTCAGCATTACATGCCAGATCGAGCGACTGAGCCGAAAGATCTTTATTACCTAGGGAGTAGTACGACGACGGAGGGCGGTGTAGTCGTCGCTTTTAGGGCTTTTTCTCATGATCATACATCTCCTTGGAGACGGAGAGCATTGACACAGACTCCAGACCATCAGCAACGAGAACCTCAGAGCTTCAGAGGAGGTCCCTGAGGATCTTCATATGTATACCTTAAGTTAGTTTCTATAAAGCTGACTAAACCAACCCAGCGCCACTCGAGTCAGTGTCTAAGGTACTGTATCCAGTAAAGGGCCCGATATTGCAGGTCTCCTTTCAATTAGAAAGTGCAGCCATAATATCCTTCTTCCTCTTCGTCTTTTTTGCAAAATCCTGAAGAGTCTGACCGTTTCTGTGTCGGATGGAAAAGTCCACTTTTTGAATTTCAACAGACAACTGTACGGTTTCCAGATCTTCGCTGTGTGCGGCGTAAAGAATAGCAGTTCTGCCTGCATCATCTCACAAGTTGAAGTCAATGTCTCTATGCCTCGGTAGCTTTTCCACAATTGGCCTATGATTCATGGCAATTGCGTACATAAGCGGAGTTTCTACCATAGTGGTCCTGTGAATTGGCATCGATTTGAGGACTCAGTAGAAGAGCATCCAAGAGCGAAGCGTTACGGCGTATTATGGCCCAAGAAAGGGGGCACTTTGTATCTCGTGCCAATATCACCCTTTTCTTATTTTGGTGCTCCAACATCCTCAGTTGTAATTGGTAAAGATCACCGGAATCAGGACCCGTGGAGGTTTCGGGAGGGGATGTGATATTCATTCTTTGTCCTTCGCTGAAGAGATCGTTGAAGAATACATGATGGATTTCTACCTGTTCTGATCCCGCTCTGCAAAAGCCATGCGGATCTGGCCCATTTAGATCAACGCTGGAGCTAAAAAAGAGCGTTTTGAGAATGCATTTACGAAGACGTTAATCAAAGCCGTCATCGATACGGCGTCTCCGCTTATCAAAACAGCCCTAAAGATGTAGGACTGAAGTCCTCGATCCAGCTATTGCGAGCGGTACTCCCATCCTTGAATCGGCGCACCGCTACGGCGGCGAGTCTGTGAAAGGTGTGGTCCACGTCGGCTCATTCGCGTCCACTCTTGACCTGTCACTGAGTACCAGACCAGGGGAGACTTATACATCAGATGATTGGAACCATTTGACCTATGAAGAAGCTGGCGATGCGTGGGCATATATAGTTCGAAGGCACTGGCTGAGAAGGGTATGTGGAAATGGATACAAGACTATAATACTGTATATGACGCCCTATCGTTCGGTCCTGCGAGGTTTCTTGTCTTCTCTCATCAACGGCATTGGCTCATCTAAGCTCTAGATAAGAGTCGAGTTGGGAAGGTCGAGTTTCTTTTGCTGCCATTTGACTGATGAGTTAGAAATGTTAAAGACGAGAAATTGAATTTCCCACTTCTTCATTTCCTCCCAAATATACTGTAAATATCATCTTTTTTTCCCTGGCGTAGCTTCCATTGTCGGTATAAATTCTATCTTGCCAAATTCTTTGTATGAAAAATCCGTACAAGCGAAAAGCCGTATCGGCCATCACATCTATGAAACACCTCTCATCCCAACCAGAAAACAGGTCAAGCCTATGGCGCAGAGGTTCTCTTCAAAGCAGAGAATTTTCCAATCACCGGTTCTTTCAAATTGAGAGGCGCATTATCCAAGCTAACTACTCAACTGGCAGAAGAGCGACTGATCACAGCATCATCGGGCGATCATGGCATTGAGGCCGCCTTCGCGTCGCGTGCACTTTCCAAGAGTCTCATAGTCGTACTGCCAGCTAAATTAGAAAGAATCAAGTCTTATGGCGTGGACGTAATCCTGCATGGCACAGAGACAGGCCTGGCCGAACAACATGCGCAACAGCTTGTGGCTTCGCGGGATTATTCCTATATTTCGCCCTACAACGATATCGACATAATCGCTGGGCAAGGGACAATCGGGCTTGAAATAATCGAGCAGTGCAACAAAGTGGATAACGTCTTCATTTCCATGGGGGGTGGTGGGCTCATCAGCGGCGTTGGATCCGTCTTCAAGGCCTTTAGTCCGCGGACGAAGGTCTACGGTATTGCTGCTGTCAACTCGAAAGCCCTGGCTGCCTCCGTTGCTGCCGGTCGTGCTGTTGAGACAGAGCATTTACCCACTCTGGCCGAGGCGGTGGCTGGCGGTATCGACGGGGATACGATCACCCTTCCTCTGGCCACCTCGATGATAGGTCATATCATCGAATGTGAGGAGGAAGACGTTTTAGAAACATTAGAGGCTCTCTCTTTTGATGAGAACATGATTGTTAAGGATTCCGCTGCTCTTGCTCTTGCTGGGTTTAACAAAGTTGCTCAGGCTCGGGACCTGACTGGCCAAACCAATGTCGTTCTTTTGTGTGGTGCTAACGTAGGACCAGATATCATAAGGAAAGCAATTTACAGCTCTAAAGAAAGTTGATTTTTAGAAACTACGTATCCAACGATGTTGCTTCATTTTGATTCCACCTACGAAGAAGCTACACGGTGACAGGTATAGACTATAGACTAGCGTGGTCATGGAGCATACGTCTGTTGCTTCATTGTTCTAAAGGTATATACTTTGGTATATGCAGGATTTCAAAGCAGGTGTGTTTTACATATAATCTACCTACATTTCTCTAGTTTTCCCACCCATTATAGCAAAGTCTGAAGAGAGTGAAGTAGTTGATGGTAACAGTACGCTTTTGACCGGAAAATACCTAGATATCCTCATTATCATATACGATGCCCTGGAGTTGTAAAGATCCAATGAACAATGCATGTGATATCCAGATTTAACTGGTATTCCTGAGTGCTTCTCTATGGATCCCAGTCACTTAAAAAGTGTTATACAGTTTTTATTTCAAATAGAGTCATATTTTTCCGGCGGGTGGTCTCGAGCAATGCGAATCACAGTATTATCCATGGATCATGTGAAATAAGCCTCAAGGTATGAATTCCTCTTATTGAGCAACACCTGCACTGAATGACATATATACCCCGTACTCTATTGAAAGGAGTACACGGCTTGTTAAACTAAACTCAAGAGGAAACGGCTGAAGTTTATGAAATTACTGAAATAGGCAATTTCAGGGACAATTAGGGCTAGATCAGATACTCTAGAAGTCTAGTCGTAGAGAAATCTCAACAAGTCTATGAACTACGAAGAACGTGACTTTATTCATTTTGACTATTTCTTATTCTCTCTGATGCCTGTGTAATGCAATGCATTCGGAGGCTACACGGTGTAGAGGATTTACACTTGGGATACCCTTCTCAAACTGATGCATCGGACACGTAGGTCCTTTTCCGCGGCATCACTTGGGAATATGATCCTCTGCCTAGGACAAGTGAATCAATACTTCTCCTCGCTCCGATAGCAAGATCCGTTATTCAATGGATCCAATGCCTTAAGTGATAATAGATCGTGGGAGTGTACTCGATTACAGAAAACCGGACATACATTTGAGGACCGGAAAACAGGCAAGAAAATTTTATGCTTTTCACGTTACTTTCGACTGTCTATCTTAAACGTAGTCTGAATTTTCCCAACAGTCTGGTAACATGCAATTTTGAGATTGTGGGGAAGAAAAAGACAGTCGAATTCACCTCCTGAACGTTACACTTGACCATACCCTAGAACAGAGAGAAAAGGCGGATTGTGGTGCGGACCTCACCAAAATTCCGCATGCAGCGAAAGTAAACAGCTTCGTTTAATAGAGATTTTTGCTCGTGAATGTAGTGAAATAAGCATATTTAGAATACAAATTTGCAGTATGCACGATAGTGTAATGATAAATGGCAGACAGACAAATCAACATGAGTCACGACTATATTTTAAAACCAATCATCAGCCTACATAGATAGCTCTCTCAAGCAAAGAGAAACGAGCTGCACGACGTACCAATGCCGAGTAACACTGTCAGATTATATTTGTAAGTCATCTACTATTCGCATTTTTCATGGTACTAATACACAAAGTCCGCAAGCTAGGAATAAAAATCCCGCCTGACCAAATCCGATTGCCATCACGACCCTCTGACCCTTATGTTTGGCCATATCATTCTTCAAAAGAGCATCTCTTCAGTGCGTCTCTGAGCCGTGGAACAATAAGCATCTACGATGAAATTTGTAATGAGCTGGATCACTCTATTGAAGTTGTTCATAGAGCTTCACCATCCAAAAATGAAGAGGCTCATCAAACGGTTCAAAAAGCGGTTCGTCCTTAGATGCGTTGGATAGCAGAAAATTTCTAATCCCTTCATCAGGCGGACCTGACGTCGTCAGATGACAGTTTTGTGGCTCAGCCTCCGCGTCCTATCCAACTGTCACATATCTGGGCATCATGGGAGTCCCCGGAGGATAGGGAGAATGACCCCTATAAGACTGTGATGATCTCGCAAGGAGCCCTACAATGCTTGCCGTGCAGTCGCTCCCCAGGGAAAGTGGAAAGAGGGACGGAGTGGACTGAGGGATAACTTATGGAGGCACTCCGTGGGCATGCAAGCCGATTAGGCTTTGTGGTCCCTCTAAACGCTGGTGGGGTTCCCTGACATTGAAAGCACGGAGGGTTCACTCTAGGGCTCGTAAGACATAATGCCGGAGATATTGGTGAGTATGACCGTCGGAAGGCCCGTTAGGCGTACTACACAGCTCTTAAGAGGGAGCGTTGGGGGGCCGGTCTGTAGGGAATGGGTAAGGGCTCGTTGACTTAGCAAAACTGGTGTTGGGCAGCACTCCGTAATAAGAAAGAGGCACTCTTTAGGGACTAGGCTTCTCATAGACCCCAGAATCTAGCGTTGAGCCTCGCAGCTCCCGGGAACGCTCATGAATTGGTGAATGAGACAGCTGTTAGAGCGGCCCTATGTAGGTTCCAGGTACAGGTTTACTCTAACTCTGGGGATTTGATCAAACCCGTGTTATAGCACTCGCTTGACAGTGCCTTAGGCTTTAGGATAAACCCCGGAGCATCGACGCCGAGGGAATCCTGCTTAGGGTACCAGATAAGGGGATTTATACGATGGCAAAAGCTTACCGTATTATTTGCCTGTCAGTGCCCAGGCAAGGTGATTGAGAAGCTCGTTACAGAGCTCATTACGGATTTTGCGGGATCCCGGGAATTGTTCCATGAGGGTCAGTTCGGGTGCTATAGAGAAGGTGGATCGTGTCTATACATGGACATCAGGGGTGCCTTTGATTATCTGGTCCAAGCTCTCCAAGAAACAGGGAATTCGATGCGCTTGCAGCGAGAAGTTTGAGATAAACTTCACACAGTGGTTATAGAGCTTGAAGTCCTGACTTATTCCGCACACCTTCAGCGAATATAACTTAATCTGTCGTTTGTGATACAGTACATGAAAATGAAAATGATTCATTGTCAATGAGCAAATCCACAGTGTTCAAAGCTAGTAGGCATGCGATAGAGTATCGAAAGCAAAGTCTCTCATTGAACTTAGCGACTGGCTGCTGATATGCTACCCAATGTTGCATCTTACATATATTGGTGCGACTACACGACCTCAGATTATGACCACGTTGATCAAGAATAGAATAATGAGACCCCATGATGGACTCGATTGATATTTGGGCTGGTTCCAACAACTGCCTGCCGAACTATTATCTCAGGAGAGTCAGATTCTAGTATCTTGCGAAGTGACGCTAGAAGTGAAATCGGCTCTGAGCATCCGTCGAATTGATTCATGACCAATTGCGCCAGTTTAGATCATAGCTTCCCCAAGGAAAGTCTGCGTGGCCCTGTTGCGTGCTCTAAATATACATGGATCAAGAATTTCACCACAAATAATGATCACTGCGATAGTTCAGGGCTGTGAAAACCTTTCACCCGTGACGTCACCATGGATGATTCCTCTGCTGGTGATTGCACCCCACAATGAATTGACCGCATTGCCTCTAAGATGGAAAAAATGACCGGTGGTGAAGCGCGCAGCAGATATTTTCCACAAACTGCTACTTCTCTAATCCAACGAGATCCGTACATGCCCAATTCACCATGACCTTTATCAGCCGTACTGACAATCCTCCTCAACCGATCCATTCTTTCACCGGCATGATCGTGATTGTCTTCATCATGGCTGCATAGTGGTCCGCTTTACAGCTTGTTCTAAAGCAGACTTCACTGTGCGTCGAATATTAAGTGTTCAGCACCTAGCACTTTCTCTCTGCTAGCGAGTGCTCGTCGATGCACAGCCTCCGCCTCTTCATATTTTCCCTGTCTTCCGAGAACCAAGCCTAGATGACTGACACTAGCCAGTGTGCCAGGATGGTCAACGCCTAACGCTTTCTCAAAACCAACAATTGCTCGTCGATGCATGTCCTCTGCTTCTTCAAGTTTTCCCTGACTTTGAAGCACTGAGCCTAGACTATTGACACTAGTCAGTGTTTCAGGATGATCAGCGCCTAACACTTTCTCTTTACCAGCGAGTGCTTGTCGATGCATGGCCTCTGCCTCCTCGTATTTCCCTTGACTTTCAAGCACCGAGCCTAGATTGTTAACACTGGCCAGTGTGTCAGGATGTCCAGCGCTAACACTTTTTCTTTACCAGCAAGTGCCCGTCGTTCCATGAAATCTGCTTCCTCGTATCTTCCCGCAAGATAAAGATAGTGGCCACATCGATTGGCGGCACTCGACATTATTAAATAAGATTCCTCATCTAACCAGTTACTGAAGTAAATCGTCTCTTTTACATGTGGAAGGAGTATTTGGCAAGATGCTGATGTCGCATAATCCCCGCTTGGAAATACTGCTTCCAGCGCTCGCAGGCTTTGTCCGGCTAACCGATGAAACTGACTTTGTTTCTTCGGCCACTGTCGAACGGATACTTGGACCAAACGGTGCAGTTCGAACAACCTTCTGCCAACCTCGACTTGGATGAGAGAAAAGCTTATCAATGGGGCAATTGCATCCTCAAATTGTAATCGGTCGGTCCCTTCGCTTATCAACTCTTCTGGAATTCCCTGTCGATCAAACATGCTCATCAAAGCCAGCAAATCTGTAGCTTTAGGGCATGTGCGGCGGATCTGATCAAATGAGATCTGCCATGTAGTGATGACTGGATGTCGGATACTTCGATCTCGTCGAAGATCATGAGCATCGTTGTAATTAAGAAGAATCGATCCATGGGAAACATAAGGCAGGTAATCCACTAAAGGCATATTGTCACCAAGTGTGTTGAAAAACAGATCAACATCGTCTGCATTGTCCAGGATCATCAACCAGTTGCCATTCGTCTCGTCACTTAGCCATTTCTTAACCAGCTCTAGGACGTCGCATTTTGGATCATCGCGTCCAGGACTCTTTGCGACTGCTGCGACCTCCCGATACCCTTGCTCAAATCTCGTTGTATTACTCGCGTGAACCCAAAATATCCATGTATTCGGCGCAGAATCTCGAACGCGGTATGTATACTCGATCGCTATCTGAGACTTTCTGGGCCATAATTAGTGTGTTGCGCGTCAATTTCTTCCATCTTATTCACCCTACGCCTCCTAAGCCAACGAGTGCGACGCGCTTAGAAGTCTGCCAATTTCTTTCCTGAACAGCGTCTATAATACTCAAAATAATTTCTTCTCGGCCAACGAACATTGTGTCTCTCTCGAAGGGGACAGTTGAAGCTGGCTTAGGAAGACTTGAGGTTTCTGCTAAAAATGGCGCTCTTATCAGCATTGACATAAATAAAAATACAAATAATAACTAATCGTGAACCGGTCTCCAATGGGCAGAAATCAACTTACGTCGCCGTTGCTGAGAACCGCCCTGCCAGTATGCCAAGATACATTTCGCACAAGATGCTGCGGTTGCTGCAGCATAGTTCTGCCATGCCTTATTTTTATGACTGTCTGCGTGATCACATAAGGCAGACTGTCCAGCTAGGCCCCTCACCATAGTACGTACGTACTTAATTAAATTTAAGATTCAATTATCATCCGTTATCGTCATAATCTCGCAAGTAACAATAGGCTGTACTGTTGAACCAAGGTCTTTTTTTCGTTTCTGCCTGACCCACAAATTGATTAACAGATCTGTACAAAAGACGAAAAAAAACAACAACAAAAAAGTGACCAGAAGGAAGAGAGCAACTCAACAATAACAAACCCTTCATTGACAAGAAACGAAGTGTTTTGAACGAAAATGAGTCGCCAAATACTCAGACCGAAACGTTCATATCATGTATAACTATAGATGGAACCCCACAGAGTGAAAAGAAAGGAGAAAAAATTAGTAGGCATCGCTGAACTCCTAGAGAAATGTCGAACTCCCGAAACTCCTTTTCATGCCTGGCTTTACATCCCCACTATTGCGGTGGTGCACAATGTGTGGCTGACTCAAAGAACCAGTTCGGAAAGAGAGGCTGTTCATGTTTGCCATGTCATAATCTGGAGGGCGTGAAAATTCTGGTACTGAAATAGTTTGGGGAACGTCTTGTAGTGAAGAGTATGGTCTGTATGACGAATACACCATGTGCGGTGGCATCTGACGACCAGCTTTGTTACTGTAATCGACTGGTGAATATATGTTTTGCTGAGACGCGGAAGACCAAACCGGAAAAGACGCAGAAGGATTCGCTTGTGCATGAGCCGGACTAACAGCGAGTAGATGGTTTGTTGGACTGATCTCTGCGAATTGGGAGTGATCCATGAACTGGTTGTGAGTGGGAGTCGGCAGCGGACCTGTTATTAGTGTATTAGCAAAGTTAAGATGGCCGAACTCAGACTGCGTAGATACGAATTCTTGTGTTCGCTGTCCGGGTATCGTAAAGCCTAATTCGGCGGGCATCTGAAAGCTCGAGGTAGTCTCCAATGGCGATACGTACTGGGGCATACTGGCCACGTCTAAAGGACCCTGGGAGGCTTCGAGGTGCTGTATCTGTGGCGAGGAACCGGCACTTGCAGGAGGAGGAATTACTTTGGACGTCTCTCCTTCATCGTCAGATTCGGGCTCTCCCCTCCTATCTCTGTCGTAGTCGGTAACGTAAACCTGAGTGGTTCCGTCTGAACACAATCAGCGCTCTATCGGGGCTCAACGAAGTTCTCTGTACATACCAATTTTATTGCTCAGGTACCGCTCTTCGCTCTTTCTGACGCGGATTATTTCTTCTAGCATTGCAGCTTTCTCCTCGGCTTTCTCTTCAGGTACAAGATGTCTCCTGGTATCGCCGACAGCTTCTTCGAGTAAATCTACTGTTATTCCGATAGGAAAGAGGTTTTGGACAAGATGAACGAGAAGCTTCACACGATCTGTATTGTTCTTGGTCAGTGATCAATCAATTAAAGTCGGGTAATTGACGGTTCTTACAATTCTTCTTGAGATGGTCGGGTTCCTTGTGTATAATATTGCGAGGCCACCAGTCAGGCTTTGTGTCTTCGGGGTCTCCCTTCTCACCGGGTGCTCCGCCCGATTTTCTTCCGCCGTTGTATGGGTGTCTGACCTGCTTACGAGGCTCGATAATTTTGATAAAGTTCTTAGCCAGTAAACGGCAGTTGATTTGTTGCAATCGTGTGAAAGCCGTTGTATAAAATGCGGTGACTTTCTTCGTGTCACCAATTTCTAGGAGGACCTGATTTTCTGGGTTTTCAAAAGCTTCAACAACCTCAACACTCAGTGGCTCCTCGCTAAATTCAGCTCTCTGCCGCTTTGATTGCCTTGCACACGAAGACTGTCTCCTATGGCCGGGACGGTAGGCCGTATGCGGAGAAGGAAGGGAATCTTGCCTATTTGGCAAAAGACCTTGTGCGAATGCGAATGCGTCTCGCGCACGGGAATCGAAAACAGACGTATAAAGATTTGACATTTCTCTGACGTTTCCGGATCTGTCAACGTACATTATAGCCCAGCGAGTGGGAACGGTGCCGGTGAAGACAACGTCCTAGGTGCAGTCAGTATGGTGCAGGCGAGGACAGAAGAGAGTACGTACCGGTTCGAGAGTTTCGAACGGCCTGTAATCCTGATGTTGAAGAGATACCCTTGCGTTTGCTGACTTCTTGCCATTGCGGCTAGATGGTGAATCTCTGTTCGTCATTTTGGTTAAACCGTGGCTTTTCTCCTAGTTGTTTTCAAAGTACGCAAGCAAACAGATGCTATGGAGCTAGAGTTGTATGTACACCGTCCTGATCAGATATGGTAATTTTTGTTGGGGGAGGGGGCGGGGGGTCGTTAGGCTTAAAAAATTGGGTTCTCTGTATATCTCACCGAGATCAGATAAGAATAATCTCTCGAGAAGAAGAATGCAACATGCAAATTGACGTATAGATTTGGTACAGTACGATCAAATAGCGATAAGCACAACGGCCGCCCACGGTATTAGCAAGGCCTGAAAGCTCGACGAAACACTTGAAGACCTTTAAAGTGATAGGGAGGAGCCTGAAGTACGTGCAAGCAATAATAAAAAACTAAGCAGATGGAAGTAGAAGACTGCGGGATGATGTTGAACGAGAAAAGAAACAATGGAGCTGTTGAAAAGGTGAGGTGGCTTGGCATTCATATACCTTGCTCTGGACCACTTAAAAAGATGTCGGGCGGAACGACAGTGCCTCTGTCGATGGCACGGCCCTTTTCAACACGTCTAGATATCCATGGCATAAACTAATTTTTGGTGACATTAGTTCACTATACTATCCAGGACGCATGTATTTCCACGGGTCTTAATGATCACGCGTTGAAGAGATTGGTGAGGAAAAGCAAAAAACGAATACCCAGATTCAGGTATACTACAGAGTAGACAAAGTGATGCGGTGCCATGGTGTCCTAGGGTCTCTTTAGCCTCTCCGGAACAGATTGTGAAGCATTCCCGCGCCAATCCCTGGCCCCAAAGAGCCACTAAATCTCAAGGTAGAGTGCGGGAAATAGTGTTCCAACATTGGCTAGGCTCGGAGTGCTTGATCAACTCTTACGCAAGGGGTTATATTTTTGCTTTTAGTTGTACGCATCAGCAATCGTGACGGAGAAATTTTCGTATGCAACTAACTTCACAACGGCTTTTCTAGTCCTTTCCCTATCTCACTTCGGACCGATCAACGATCGTTATCGCTCTTATTTTCAAGACTCCTCATTACCAGATTCGCCACTGGTACTGTCGGCATCTCCTTGGTTGATCTTTTCGCTTGTAAGATACAGGAGTAGACGAGTCTTGGATATAGCCGCCAATGAATCTTGTAACAAAAGAAGTACATGTTCAAGATCCGGTTCGATCGTATATTCGTATCCACCGAAAGAAGTCCACTGCTACGCCGTCGTAATCTTTGTGATGAAAAACGAGCCATTGAATGACCTGATTCTCTGGAGTCCCGGTATTGTGAAGACTAGGGAAGATGGCAACCAAAGCTGGAGAACATCTGTGGTATCTATTGAGATCCCTTCATGATCGCTTTCTCGTCACGGACCTGAAATCACGTAGCCAACGTAATCCAGTTAGTTGTTCATGGTAACATTTAGAGTGTCTACATTTAGGCTGTATCCCTTGATTGGTCGATCTTAGGAATCACAATCTTCTGGTAGCTAAGTTAGTTAAGTTAGACTGTTGTGACATCATACACATTAAAATAAAGAGCGACTGAACGAGCTAGAGTAAATTCGATCCGCGATGCTTTTGAAAAACACTGCTCTTTGTGTTCAGGCATGCTATTTCGCAATTTCATGATGTTTTAAAATGATTCTGCTGCCTTGATATGTGGTATGGTCCAATATATGAAAATATGATCCTCAAAAGCAACTTCAATGTCAGCTAGGTCATTGAAGATTAAGTGAAATGGTCATTTCACATTGTGAACTTAGAGGGCATATGGCTGAGCGTGATATCATCCGTATGAATTGGGTTAGTGGTAATTTCGGTATTTTATCGTAATATTTCAAAATGCTATGCCAAGCTTTTTAAAATACGGATCTGTAATTTTAATTACTTATCATAACATATACAAAACATATGCCATACTGATAGGCCCTAACCCCCTAAGACCCACCCCTAACCCGCCCCCCCAACTCCCCCCAAACATCATTCTAAAACCCCTAATCCTCCCTAAACCTAACACTAACCCTCCTAACCATCCTTAACCCCTAAAGCACCTCCCTAAACCCACCACTAACCTCCTCTAACCCCGAACCCTAAATAAGTGGGGGGGATAGGTATTACATATGTTAACATATACCGTACATATACCGTACATATATGGTAATAGGTGGTAACTTTAGTATTTTATTAGTTGGTTCAAGCGTCGTGACATCTACTAATCCCGAAATGGCAGATTTAAATTACACTAGCGCCAACAAGATATCATCCACCCCCCGGAAAGATATCACGCTCAGCTATAACCCGGAACTGAGAGACATTCAAGTTTTGTCGACTCTTTTTGGATTGCTCCAACCAAAGTCCGGTTCCTCCCATGCCGGACCGACTAGATAAATACTTGACCCTTCCCATTCCATCCTTTCTTTTCTTCACCCGACTTCCCAACAACATGAATATTGTCAGCATTTATGCTATCACCGCGGGCGGTGTTTTTGTCACTCTTTTCCTGATCAGTGTTCTTCCATATTTGCATCACTTAGCCAAATCATTTCGGTGTATATCTCTCGCTACTTGATGTTTTCCATTCCTTCTTTGTCGCCGTCGTTTCGCTAGGCCATGGACACGTGGGGCTGTGTTAATTTATCTTCTCTATACTATTATCACCTTGTTCTGTCTCTGCTTTCATGTCTCTTCATCAGCAGATGTTGCAGGTAGACCACAGCTGTCGACATTGTCGCTCTAATTCGTGGCGGGAAACCTGGGCGCCTATATAGATGTATTGAGTATTTCTCGGCACATGCCTACAGATCCACCTAGCCACTGCTTGGATGGCCAGCGGTTTGTTAGCTTTACATATTATCTTGATATCCACTATCCAGAAAAGTTTCCCAGAAGATCATCCTGACTATGGAAAAGAACTTGAAATTGTGAACCGATTGAGAGTTCAAAGCCAATTGATAAGGATGTAGTTGAATGGCTTGATCTTATCCCAGGTTCTCAGACTAGCTAGCCCAAAAGGGAAAGGCGTCATGCTGACTTAGGCTTTTTGGTATCTAGTCTGAGCGTATTGTAGTATGGCGCGTACGCCTAACAAAACAATAAATTTGGGTATCAACAACCACGCATATTACTCAACCAACACATATCATTATATATTCTTATAGGTATTATTCAATTTGTTGTCCAATTCTCTACCATCTGATACGCGTTTTTAGTAAGTTTCGGCCTCTTATACATATTTAAATGCCATCCGAAGAAATTCACTTTTTTCGCTAACAAACTTCAGAAAATTCCTGCTTGATGGGCACAGGCTTAATTTCTATATAAAAAGGCCAACCAACTTGACTAGTAGCCACCTTTTAGCAATTCAAAATTACCCAGGGAACTACAATTGTGGATGATAAAATACAATCCTGAAAATGGCCCGTCGGCGATACGGACACCTTCAAGGAATATCACACCAATCCTGCCCACCAGGTCAATTAACACTGCACGAAGTGCTAAACTGACGCGGTCGACCACCTCAGCAAGCATACCCTGAAGTTTCGATATCCCCAGAGCTGGCAATCAGCTTGGATCGCGTGGCCCAAGTACAGAAAGCGCAGCAGTTGGTCCGGGACGCAGCTAGCAAGCCATCTAATGTACAGAAAACAGCACTCTCCGAGACCCTAGAAATGCTTTATCCATATGCTCCTCGACGCGGTCAGCTAGATGCACTCTTCCAGCTTATATTCAACCGTGGTGATCTAATACTGATTGCGATAACCTCCTTTGGCAAGAGCATGATTCCGCAGGCACTATCAATCCTAATGGATCGAAGCGTCACTATCGTTATCCTTCCACTGATTCAGATTGGCATTGAGCAATCCGAAGCTATAACACGTCTAGGTGGCCATCCTCTATTTATAGAGAAAAATACTGATAGGACTGGTCTATTAATGAACATCAAGAAAGAGGCATATACACATCTTTTACTGAGCCCTGAGTTGGCCGCGAATGAACAAATACGGTACATTTTTGAAGAATCTGAAAGCAATAAACGTGTTATTGCCGTTGTTATTGACGAGGCGCATCTTGTCCACCATTGGGGTGATGCTTTCTGGCCAGAATATGCACAGGTTGGCAGGCTGCGAATTATACTAGGCCCTCATATTCCTTGGTTTACCTGTTCGGCAACACTTGATCCTCATACACTGAGAGTTTTGAAAGAACGTGGGAGATTTAAAACAAATACCGTCATTCATCGCACGCCAATTGATCGGTCGGAGTTGCTTTATCGCGTCGGGGTAATACCCCGACTACAGCGCGCAACATTTACAGTATTACGATTCCTATTTGACCCTGATCCTCTTGAAAGAACCCGGGCACATATCGAACCACATGAGTTTAGCAAGACAATCGTCTTTTTTGATTCTAAAAGAGAAGTCTTCTCGGCCCTGGATTGCATGGTTGAGTATCTTCAGCTTCATAAGCAATTCGTCTATACTGAACAAATATGCCACACTATCCTAGCGACTTATACTCGGATACACACGACTTGGATAAGGCGTATATTACATCTGAAATGCGGAAACCGGGAACCGAATCATCTATCAGAGTGGTATTCGCTACAGAGGCTCTTGGTATTGGAGTCAATCTACCCGATATACAACGATCAGTATTATATGGCCTTCCGAAGAATCTTCTTCCAGCCACTCTACTACAACGCGGTGGACGCGCATGTAGAGATCAACATGACGACAAAATTATCCTCCTAGTTGATGTCTGGATCATTGGTGATCGAGAGGACGCGTCTAAGCATACAGAAGTTGCTATTGGATCGTCTCAACTTGATAACGACCTGGAAGAGGATATAGAAGATGAATCAGATGAAAACCAGCCACTTACACAATCTACTGCTGCAGAGCGAGAGCGTCAAGCTAAACTACCTCATCTCTGGTACGATATTTGCAGCCACCGGCAGTGTATACGGCGTGTTCCCATGAGGCACTTTGACGAGCCACCAGAGCATCGGTCTTCTGTTAATTCCCAGCGATGCTGTAGTTATTGCAATCCTATATTCCGCCTTGATGATTATATGGACAATGCCAAATATTATACCTACAAGGAGCGTGGTTTTCGTGCAAACAAGATACACAAAGCTATCATGGCTGACATTAAGAACTGGGCTACTACACAAGCGGCCAATCTCCCACGCAATTTTACGTTTATACCAACTGCCGATTTCTTTCTTGCAGAAACACTTTACGAATCAATTGCACGATTGACCGACCTCCTTTGTACACAGGAGCAACTGAAGTCTAGTATCGGATCTTGGCGTTACTGGGAAAGCCATTGAGAGCTGTTATATACGATACTTAAGCAGAGCTCTCAGAAACACCGACTGGCCGTGGAATCTACTTCATCCCAGGCAAGCATTCAAACTAGCATGCCCCGCCACCGAACTTAAGCCAGTACGACTCGGAATATACGACACAAAGCCAGACTGAGTCTGCTGTATTTACTATGTTACTACCCTCAACGCCAAGTCAAAGCAATTCTCAACTCACTATATATGATACACCATCACAAATAGGTTATACACCAGTGCCAGAGCTCTCAGTCTCGTCACAAACTACACAAATCGACTTCGATCCTCTTACACCAGCGACACCAATGCCATCCACTGTTGGTATTAAGCGCAGGCAGCTTCTCCGAGAAATCACTGGCAATACACGTACTTCACGTCCATGACTTTCAAAGACTCAGCACAGCTTTCTCAATTGACGGTACACCTAGTGTGTAGGCCAATACATGAAGCAGTAAAAAAGAAATGCATGGCAATCAATGAGAGTGAGAATAGCTTCATGTCTTCCAGAAAAGGAGAAAACACCTGCTCCCCGACAGTCCCGTTGAAGCACAGTCGAAGAACAGATGTGTCAATCAATGCTTCCAGGGGTTTATATACTATCCCTATCGCCAATATCATCAGCATCTGGATCGGTGGTGAATTGACCCAACATAGAAATTGGAGTGTGAGCCGGCTCCTCAAGCGCTGGATCTGCCACTTGATTTTGGTTAAATAAAGCAACCTTCTTCCTAATAAGAGTGCCGACGGCTGCAGCGAACAAATCCTTGGGGATAAAATCTGCATCACGGCCGCCCTGCATTTGCTGTAGCGATCGCAATTCGCACAATCTGATAGCTAGGCCGAATATGTCTAAAGTTGCCTCCTTAGAGGTGTGCTTGGAGCTCAAAAATCGTCTAGAGAGATGGTCGATTTGATTCTGCAGCTCAATACAGTAACTAGCCGTTAATGCCGTTCGCTGGAATAAATGTTCAAGGCTTTGCGTTGAGGTCCGTCGACTGACCATAATTCGCTTCATCTCCAAGTTAAGTCGATCAATTTCATACCAACTGTCATTAGCCCCTCGGATATTTACTAGGTTGTTGGCAAGAATCGCGTCCTGAAGTTCGATTGATGCCGCGTCGGTTCCAGTAAGCCAGGTCATATATAATGATAAGATGCCCGCACAAATCTGTTACCTATACGCTACCTAGGTAAAGCCGTTTTTCCGCTTGTCAACATTCCATGTTTGATATCTCCATGACCATTCTTGCATATATTCCCTGCAACACAGGATAAGTGTATGACTGCAGTGTGCAAAATGCAGCAATAGCCAACGCTATTATCCGATGTCTACCCGTAAAAATTCACCAGTCTAAAGAATTGGTGTGTGTGCTATAGTATACGCTAAGCTATATACTTGGAGATCTACAACGTTTAACTTTTAGTTCGATATTCTAGCTTCAATTTTGGTTAGTCTTCCTGACTATGTGGTCAACTATTCAACAATTCTTTTAGAGAAAGCTCTCCCGTGACTGACTTGACTCATGTCAAGACCGACATTATGCTCTCAGTACGTATTATGAGAATTGAACATGTAGATATTTGACCAAAGATCAAGAAATTGCGGCAATAAAGGCAAAACGGACCTCATCTAAAACTTCCGCAGAGGGTTACAGTCAACCAGGGCCCCCGGTCTAGTGAGAACCTAGAGGAACTGGTCTGTTTTAGCGCTCAACAACGCATCCAACGGGGAGAAGTGGCTTGGTGGCTTGCACATACGCGCTCCTGAATCTGCAACTGCCGAGAGAATTTATAGATCTGGTGAGATGAATTACAGTCTTGATCAGGACGTGACTCAGCTACTCACTAAAAACCGCAGAACGTAGGGACCATCCCAGAGCCTCATCTTATGGCCTTTGTAGCAACAACATATGTAAAGAAGGAAGTTACTTCCGACATATTACCGAAGAAGCTACTTGTTCAAATGCCTAAGGGCCACTAACGAGGTTACATTTGATACTAATTACAGTTTTCCGGTCTATCTTTGAATTAGACCACCAATAGCCTCCAAAGCTAAGTACTTGATTGATATGAAGGCCCGCGAACTCGTTGAAGGTTCGGCACGTAGCTTGATTTAGTCACTCAACACTTAGGAGTCCTGTTTAGCTTATCTCAGTTCACGATGCAAAGTGGGTATCTATTAGGAGGATAGAGTAGAACTATAATTAACCGAAGATGCTTGGGACGTATAAATATGAATGGCTCCCTTTGACTTGATAGAGGTAGAGTCGTTGCCATCGTGGACTAGAAGTCAAAGGCTCCCAGAACCATCTTTCCCTTCCCATAAACTAAAATGATCATCTCAATCATAACAATCCTCCCCCTCCTCCTCTCAGGAATCACAATCGCCAGGCCAGCAACCATCCCCGCAGCACGACGATTCCGCAGCGGCGGCCCATCATCCACCTACAAAAACTTCACGGCATCAGACGCCTCGGCCTCAACAAAAGGTACATACACCTTCACCAACTGGGCCGGCGCATTTCTAGATACAACCGACGTCACGGGAATCACCGGCACATTCACTGTTCCCACACCTTCAGCGCCCGCAGGCAGCGATCCGGACACGAGTTACTGCGGTTGTGCCTGGGTTGGATTGGATGGAATCTCCAACTTCTGTCCCAAGGGTGGACTGATGCAGGCCGGTGTGAATTGGTGTGTTGAGAATGGTGTGTCAAGTTTTGTGGCATGGTATGAATGGTGGCCTGCGGAGGCGCAGCAATATTGGGATGATATTGATGTTTCGGCTGGTGATTCGATTACGGTTACTATTGCTGCGACTAGCAAGACTGGTGGAACTGCCAATTTGGTTAACAACTCTAGCGGTCAAAGGGCTACGTTTACCTGGACGGATGAGTCGCCGGCCCTGTGTGAGGTGAGTGCCGAGTGGATCGTGGAGGATTACTCTGTTGGTAATGAGCTTGTGGCATTTGCGGATTATGGTTCTGTTACTTTTACGGGGAATAGTGCTCTTGTAGGGGGTGCGACGGCAGATGATCTTACTAGTGCTTACCTTGCTGATATGGTTTCTCAGTCGGATAGTTCTGATGTTATCAGTGCAAGCTCTTTGAAGGGTAACGATATCACTGTTGTTTACCAATGATTCGATCAGCTGGTTTGATATCGATGTCATTTTGGCCTTGTACATATTGTAGATACCACGTTTATAATGACTGCCTGATTTATAGTTATTAGCCGAAGAGGTAGATTTGATGCCACGTGGATTGGCGATAGGTGGATTGAGAATTGGGCGGACAGGGCTATGTAGAACTACCAACCTAAGAAGCCTGATTCATCCACATGTGAATCGCTATTTTGACTGAAAGACAGAGATATCCGAGTATTAGTCAATTGATTGCTTCCTGCAGCCACCGCTAAATGCATCAAATAAATAGTGTATAATGTTGACAGCAACCAAAATTCGAGATAAACCAAGACGCCGGCCGATGAAGCAGCTTCATCATAACACAAACAAGAATTAGAAGGTCTATTGAAGCAAATCACTCATTATAATGGTACACCTAGATCTCCGTTAGAAGAGTAGATCATTTATAGCACAAGAGGGAGAAGACTCACGAAATAATGAGGTAATCCCCAACACGTATATCCCAATCTTTTCGCCATCTTCGCAAACCCTTCTGTTTCAAGCAAATGATAGAATGGGAACGGAGGGAACATTGCACCATCGCGATGCACATCAGCCTTCACCATCAACGCCGTACCACCAACACCATCTAATTCAACTTCTGCGCGAGGATCAAGATCTTCCGAGTTCTCGGGTAGCATCCAAACCATCAAGCTTCGATACGTGGGGATATCAGCATAACCTTCAAAGAGGACGTCGTCAGGACCCATTTCCGCCGCCAGGTTCAATGCTATATCACTCTCTACCCATGAATTGTAATCATATGCACGCACATCCATCTTTTGCGCCTCCGAGTTGAAGTATCGCTGATAACAATTCGGGACAATAACCGGTTTATTATGACTCGTCAGATCTTCGATTAGCGTCGTAGGTGTTTCGACGATATCCGAATCTAGCCAGAGAACCCAGGACGTCGAAGGGCCCAAGGTAGTGAATAGCAAACTATTCCGTGCACGACTCATTGCTTCACGGCGTATCTTTTGATTTTCCTTTTTGTGCCGTTCCTTCTCGTCCTGGGATTGTAATGGGGGGTCAAAGTCCTGTCGTAGGATCGTCACGCTCGCAAATCGGTCATCGATGGGTCCTGATTGGGTTTTTGAGACTGCTTCTTGTAATGCGAGAGTTGCGGCGTTTCCTTTGTTTGTTTTGGGGAGTATGAATCCCAATGAAATGAGTTCGTGCGGGTAGGTTAGCTTCACCAGATTATCCCAATACTGCTGATAGAAACTCATCATCGGCGTCAAGATGAGAACTCGTTCACCCCTTTCGGCCGCTGAATCCGATGCCGTGAGCTCATTCATGCGGTAATGCACCACCGGAGGAGGCGCATCTTGACCTTTCCGTCCTTGAGTGTGTTTCTTGGGAAACGGTTTCGTGGGGGGTGAAAGCGGATGTGAGGCTGCGTCTTCCTGTCGTTGTTGTGCGGTTATGGGTGTCGATGATGATGTCGGATCGAAGAGGAAGAATATGAAGCCGATGGCGAGGACGAGTGCGAGGACTAAGGTTATAGAATTTGTTCGTCGGAGGGACCGCGAAAGGGCCATGTTGGCCTGTCGTGAGCTCTTGACAGGTCGTGTTCAGTAGCAGCAGATTCAGATGTTTTCAGATTTCTGCTGTAAGTAGGTAGGAGCGAAGTTCCTCGCCTCCGTCAAAGTGTATTGTCCGGAACTGTGATGGTTGATTGACTGGTGGAGCTTGAGCTTAAGGGTTGCCGAGTACCTATACAACGTTGAGCAGGAAATTCCGTCGTCTTACTAGAGCCATGATATAACACAGTATAAGCCCGAATAATTGGTCGCAAGTAGCTTCAATTGAAGATTGAATATATCGAGAGGATAGCTGTCTTTTGCAACGTTGCGTGTTTGATGTCGGTGGAGGTTGGCAGATCAGATCGACGGCTCGCAGATTGAGCTGTGATTGGTTGAGGAGTCTATATTGCACGTGAAGTTTGTTTCATTTTTTTATTGTTGTGGGAAAAGAAATCCGAGACTCTAGGAATTGGATTCTATGCAGTCTATATACAAATCTATTGAAAATATGTAACCAGAGTACGGTCATATAATCGGGTATCTCGAAGCCCATGATATCTAACGTCAAAATCGAACATACTATGGCAACCATCTCATAACACCTTCAAACGCCACCAAGGCCATAGCATTAGCCGGAAAAGCACGCAAAAAGCAAGGCAAAAATCCACGCCAGTAACCCCTCCAACCACGTTCCCGACCTACAGCAATAGCAGCATCTTTCCATCGATGAAAGCGTCTCTCGCCGTCGCCGTGCGAGCCTCCCAAGGGGTCCGTCATTAGTCGATTCTTCACTACGTCTGAAGGGTAAGATGTAATCCAGAAGATTTGAGCGGATATACCGCCTGCCCAGAAATTGATTGCTGGCGCAGAGAGGTTGGTGTTCTTTTTCATTATGCGAGTGAGGATGTCGTAGGATCCCCACCAGAAAAAGAAGAATGAGCGGAAGATGAGTGTTGCACAGAGACCGCGAAAAAGGCCTGGTATACCGTGGCTTCGAAGCTTTACAAACAAGTTAGTCGTCATGATTCTGTAGGGTATTTGCTTGAGTAGGAGAACGAACAATCTTCCTTGAACAATCAATCGGCCCAGTGTACATTCGCTGCTTCTTGTCGGCGGCATATTGAACCTGCAATCGAGCTTTGATATGCTCGACCGGCGCAGCAATGAAACTGACCGTACAACCAGCCATGATCCCCGCAATTCCATGTCCAAAACTCGGCAAAGTGTTCAAATCTCGTTGCGATGACGTGAATGGAATCGCTTTGCGCAATTGCGGATTCGAAAAGACGTTTTCAAGCAGAAGACGTCTATATAGGGTAAGAGAACCAAGCATGCTGAGCCTTATCGTCAGCTTCTTTTCTTCCGATCCACCTTCTTGGTCTGACTTACACAGAGTCCATTATCATCCATCCGACCAGCGGAGGTGTTGCGCCTTTATACATCCCACTAAACCCTTCCTTGCGGACAGTCTGCATGACACAATCTAGCGGTCCCTTGAAGCGGCCGTGTTCACTGGTCTGCATTCTGATTTTGATGGTATCGAAACTGGTCGGATATCAATTAGCTATAGGCATTTGACGATGCCGTATACAACGAGAGAACATACGGATGCCCAACTAATAGACTCACGTCGCATTAGCTCAACTCTTCCAAAATGCGATCTGAAGCAGGATATAACTAACCACTCAATTTCGCAATCCCAGAAAACACCCCCGCCACAAACCCCTTGTAATCTCGCTTTGATTTTGTGGCATTTTTCACGCTGACATTCTCTGCCGGTAATAACGTATTGGATTTCGTCTCGATGGGGGATGAGTGGCTGGTATTATTCTCTGGAAGGACCGATGTAGCGGTCTGTCGGATACTGGTGGTCGACATGTCTCATAATAAGAGAGAGAGAACGCGACGGTGAAGGGAGGTAAGGTGAGAAAATTATCGGATATGATGTAGATATCTCTCCATTGATATTTTAATCAGTTGAGGCCGATTAGAGAAAATTATCGTCCTGGAAGGTCTGCGAATTGCGTTCCTTATTGCCGATTGTGATTCCAGGTCGGAGATAGCACCGTCGACCGACTCGTATACAAGTCCTCAATCGATGTCAATTCAAGGCATGCGAAACTGATATCCGTCGCAATCCACCGATCATAGAATTATCGGTTGACAGAATATGAAGAGCAAAGCACGAAGATATCTTCAATGATCAAGCTCAGTCCGATTACGGCCGGGGAGCAACAACTCAGGTCCGGACAGCCTATTCTTGGCGCGAGGGGCGCTAAGTCAATGAACGCGGGGTTGACCATTTATGCTTACATTCGGGGTTTGGTCTGAGATAATTGATAGTTATTCGTGATTTTTGCTGACTGATCAGATATACTGACTGTCTAAGCACTAGTTATGTAAACATCGTTGTTACAAACATTCCTAATTCTAAACTCCAAAGGACTGTGTGTATGAACGCAGTGTTTCCTCCATGCTTCGTGTGATGCATGTCGATAATCGTATGCTAGTGATACTCCATGAGAAATCAAAAAAACAAAAATCTTGCACAAAAATCCGTGAGTGGATTCCTAGCAATAACAAATAGGGGGGTATACAGATAGTAATCAACAAACACCAATTGACTTTGACGCTCAGTCGAGTCATGAAATAGGCCAGCATGAAAAATAGCAGATTTGTGTAGCGCCTAACATGCGAAAAGTCATTTGAAACAATTCGAAAGACATTGACTGGCCAAGATTATCGACCTTTGGTGTCCTTCGTGCGCGTAGTTCCATGTCGCTCCCGCTCGTCTGCCTGACGCGGCGAGGAGTAGTCGTTTCTAGCAGACAAATAGCTCTCTGCCTCCTCGAGAGCAAGCGGCGTCACAGGACCCGGACTACCGAGAGGATCCAGTCGTGGAGCTGAGATTTCAGCATCACTGCTGTCCGAATTATTGCGCGATAACGAAACGCTGGCAGCGACTAGTTCACGATACTGTCTCAAAGCTTCCCTAGAACTTCCACTTCCTCCCGACGCAACACGGTACCCGAATGATCTGGGGTGGTGGTTCGACGTGTTGGGCGAGAGTGAAGCGTTTGGAGTGCTGTTTGGCGATTGATAGACAGCGGGGTGGAAGCGTGGTAAGTTGTTCAGGTACAGTGGAGCGTCCTTGGGTGATGGCTTTGGCGAGACTTGCCCGGACTGGTGCGACATGGCTAGAGACGGGCCTGACATTGGCATTCTTTTGGTAGGTCGACTGCGATTGCTAGTAGAGGTTGAGACGGACAATGAGGACGGTCGTGGCTTTTTCTTGCGGGATGACTTGTCTTGTCCGGATAACGACTGCTGGTGTTTGGGACGCTCTGCCAAGTATTGATGATCGAAGCGTCCCGTCAAGGGTGTGAGCGGTAAGTCTTCGAAGGAACGACTCAAGTTGGCATGAGGGATAGGAATGGGTCGAGAGCCTGCCGTAGATTCGTAAGGTTCTTCAACAGGAGCAGGAGAGGCAGGCGGTGTCTCGACCGAGTCTAAGGTAAATACGAAGTGTTGATGGGAGAAGTCGAGGTTAATTTCCGCAGAGAGGAAGACGAAGAAACTGGGGTCGGGGGACCGTGTTTCCTTATAAGATTTGCCAGATGCTCTCGGGCGCTAGTATTGTGTTGGCGACGTGGAGGTGGAGAAGCGGTATTTAAGTGGTGATGGTCTGCGAATGAAGTCGATCAGCAATGTAGCGATTCAGCAAATCAAAGAGCGGTGCCTTCATTAATAAACTCCACCGGGGGATTTATCCTGACGGATCATTCGACATGGCACGGCCGAACATGCAATCTACCACCGACGAGCGGGGAAACAGCAGACAAGACATTCCCTCAGCAACAAGACAGCACAGTGCCTGATTGAATCAATGTGGGGGTGGGGAAGAGCCAGGGTAAAGTTAAAGCAAAGATATAAAACTCAAAGACTTACAAGAGTTCCGTGGAGGAGAGATAGAGCTGCAGGATGAAGGATAGTATGAAGCTGAAGAATGCGAGGAGGAATAAGAGGTATAAGAAGTTGCTGTGGTGAGGGTTGTTCTTGTTGGGTCTGCCATGTTTGTTGCTTGGTAATACGCTTACAGAATGGTGGGTGTTATGGCGTAATGGCGGTAATTTATTACCGGGATGGCGTTTTCCCAGGAGTGTCATCCAATGAAAGACCGTCTGCGGAGGCAGCGTCAGTAATTTTCTCACTAATGGCGTCATGTCCTGAGGCATCAGTCTTCGGGTGCCTCGGTAGGCATAGCTTGATCGTCTCTCCACCTGACCCAGAAGAAAGGAAGAAAAAGAATCAAAGAATCAGCCAGACTTACTCCATATCAATATGACTTCTCGGTCAATACGAAACTTGACAGTCAATGATAATAAATGCCTGCAACAGGCAGGCACATAATCAGCCGAACCGGTAGCGGTCGATCCAGTGGCGACCCGCACGAGCTGCCTACAATACAAGGCAGAGCAGCGAATGATCTAGGATCTTGATGGGTCAGCGATAAGACAACTCGATAAAAAAGTGACGATTCTATAAATGATCACTGTCTTCACACCCCGGTAAACGCATATGCATCCACCCGTGGAACTCCAGTGTCCACCCCGCCATGTATCAGTATCACGCTCTGACCTCGACACTGACGATATGTAGGCCTTTCCGGAATAGGAAAGTCTTGCTTCTCACGACTCGCTTTTTCTGGTGGCTGCTCTTCAGAAGTACGGGCCAACATGCTTGCAGTAACGACAGCGGAGCAGATCGAATTAAAGGAAAGCAACTAACCAGATTTCAATATCAAAGTCCGTTGAACGGACTATGTGTCGTTTTGCAGTATGTACGCTGACGCAGGACGTTTCGACTCCGACCGACGAGTCAGAGAATCAAACTAGATAGTTGCCTAAATAGTTGCAAGTGAGCTTTGTCGGAACGGGCAGGAAGATGCTTATATGTTCATTCGAATCTCAAGAGACACCAAAAAAGGTCATGCAGCACGGAAAATAATCCAAAAACAAGATCGAACGAACCCAACCAGGGACAGATTCAACATACCGATGTCTGCTAGTGCACTAACTAGCAGTGCCTGTACGCGTAGTACGATGACAAAAGATGGTGTGTGGCACTCAGACTCAGAACACCCTCTTCTCGGTAAGTTGGCTTAGCAGTCAAATGAGACTAGTTTCCGCTGCCTGTTCGGGATGTGTGCAGCAAATGGTTGTTTTTTGTAGGTTTGAGATTGCTATTGGTTTGATCAGCTGTCTTAGACCCTAGATATGTGATGTGATGTTTGGTTTCTAATTTTGCACGGGAAAGAAGATATAGTAGTATAAGAACCGTAGACCGAATAGAGAAGTGATCAAATTTTGAGGGCATAAGCAGGTCTTAATATAGTTGTCTATTTCGTCCTGCGTGTCTATAAAGATGTGGCTTGTTGGATATCCATCACAGTCATGTACCTGTTCAGCCCCTATCGTCAAGAACGGACCCAGAACTCTCAACACAAGGCTGACTGTGGAGTCAAACTGGTTCATTCCTCTTTAACCGAGCTTTTTTCTTTTTTTATTTCCCAAAAGCAGAAAATTCACATGTTTCCGAAACAATCTTCGGGAATTGGAACATCAAAATGTATCATGAAAAGAATGGGGCTGAGCGATTAAACTTCATGGAAACATGGTCGAAGGAATCGATGATACGAGATGGTATGTGTAAGGTATGTTACTGCACAGTTTTATACAGGGTGGGACGGACGGGCCGGTCCTGTTCAACCTTACTTTGTATCGTATCGTATCGTATCAACTCGTACGGTACGAGAGTGTCTCCTTGCATGATACATCTGTCAGGTACATGGTACAAAAGCAGTCACTTGCGTACTAGCGAACGGCATGCATAATCAGTCTCGAGGTTTAGCTGTACTCTCGTGGGTGTCTCATCATGTGGAGTTTCTTTTGCATCGCAACCCTCACATTCCAAGTTCTTCTACATCCCTCTATCTTGCTAAAACAGAGTATCGTACCCTGTGGTCAGCTCTCTAGAAGATCTGAGCCATCCCAACCTTATCACCCTATCACCCTATCACCCTATCACAGTTTCATTTCATGAATTCGATTCAACCCCCATCACCCGCTGGTAGCCTTGGAGTGGTCAACCACTTTCTATAAAACCGATGAGAACGGCTATCGGCGGGGTTTGCGAGACAAAATAATTGGTCATATTTCTCTTGTGACTCACGCCAGTTCCCATTTTTGGCCATACCCTTCCTTGTGACGATCCATGACTTGGATTGAATCCTTATAAGATAGTATATAGCTCTTATCACTTATGACTCAGGTTTGATTAAAACTCGAGCTGTAAAGCTGTCGGTTCTCTTACTGAATTACCAGGCTGCAACTATGTCAACTCAGCCCCTAGCCCCGGGTAGCGATTCTTTATAACAAAACTTATATAACGGCTACTTGTATAATAAGATATTCGCATTAACATGAGCTCTACAATAGTGTAAAGTTCTTAAATATAGTGGCTACGGGCCGCGCCCGAGACCCTATTCAGTAGCTTTCAGCTTCCTGTATGGTGTACTTCACAGTCCAGAAAAGACTTTTACTTAACAGTAGAACCAGCATACCCTCCGCAGTAAAACTTAGCCCTAACCGAATGAGCTCCACATGTGCCGGCAAATAGTGGGATAGATGCCTGACTGTTCCTCACGATGATGAAGACTATTGTAACTAACTATGCCAGCTTCGCCTCAGAGAGAGAGAGAGAGTATAAACATTACCTGACATGATAAAACCGAGATCAAAAGCTCCTTCGTGAAATGCACCAAGAGCCATTGACATCAACGTCCTCTCATTTCAATTTACAATTCCCTAATAGTTTCTGGTATTTCACGAGCTAATCCGGGCTACAAGTTTCATGCCACCGTCTGTAGAGGAAAGCTGCACCTTAATCTCCTTGGAGAGATCTTCCATATGTCTCATCTTTGATCATCCGTGCCGGAGACGTCGCCTTCATACCCCAAAAACAGCAACGGCAGCGCAGAGGACTTCCAGAGATACTGCCCCCGAGTCATCACAATCGTGGTCAAGAAGACCCGACAACGACCGCAGGGAGGATCATCCATGGCCACTGCACATGGATATATGGCTCATAAATCCATGTAGTGCCTTTGCCAGGGAATCGAAGACGTTCTCGATATTTGGAACGCCCATGTTCTCAAGAACGTGTATAGTATCAGACGTCCATGATGCCCTGCTAGCTACCCTGCTGCCCCCCGGATCCGGTGAGGGGCGCCACCAGCGAGTTTGCCATTGCCATCCCGCTAGTCCCATGTATTGGATACGTGCATCCATCTCCGTCGTGGTATGAAGGTCGTTTCTCTGTCCGGTTCACGATGCAAGTTGCCGGACTCGCAGAGTATATTGCGTACGGATCCCAGTCAATGCCCAAAGACTTGTTGGTAATTGTCGCAGTTGAAGTGGTCTTTTCTGTAAATCTGCTTGCATCGATTTTCGAGCGGTACGTGGCGACGCAGAAGTAGAGTGTGCATTCGGTCGCTCTTGCATTGGCGCGTATTTTCGTTCTGTTTGCGGGCGAAGTTAAGGCAGTGAAATTCACTATTACTGACAAACCTTTCACGTCTAACTCGAGAAGTTCCCAATCCGTTGTCGCGTTGATTGTCGTGTCCATTGTGCTATCGATTTCAAGTTCATAACGATTGGAGAGTCGGAGGATGCATTCTGAATCGAAATCATTTTCATTATCACAGTCGCCTTGCGGAATCATTTTGCAGCTTATATCCGCGCATTTACTGCAAAATCCTAGGGATTGGTGTTTTCCAAACGTGCAGTTTCCTCTTGAACAGGATGGATTGACCGAAACGTTGTTGCGGTTCGGGGCCTGCAAAAGGCCCTCGTAGATAGCCCCGATCGTATCTAGTGGGACGAGGTTCATCCCAGGCCCAGCACCCTCATCCCAGTCGTCATAGGATCGGTTATAGTCACATATAGGTATGGAGCCAAGACTGTCGGAGTCGGCTAGTCGGCCCTTGATTGATATTACCTGTTGCGCAAATGGAGCGATAGCGGCACCTGCGAGGAGGACAAAGGAGCCCAAAGAGACTAAATGGCTATGGGACATGGATCAGGCTAGCCCGTAGGTCCTAGGCGAGCTTCAGGGTAATAGTTCAGACTCACCATGGAAGGAATCGAAGTAAAATCATAGCTGCAGCCTTCATGCTAGTGCCTGCTGCATTCAAGGCCTCGAAATCGCTCAACGGATGCTCATGTCGGAATCATGACCATTTCAACTGTGCAAGCCCTTCTGCTAGCGGAATGGCCATGGCTGCTCTCAAAATAGCGACAAGTATAGATGTTCTTCACTCGCATGCTCCGTCTGCGGCACTGTTCGGTTCTGAGTGATTTCAGCCATGGCAGACGGAGGGAGAAGAGAGTACTAGTTAAGACGAGCTGCGGTTCTTAAAACGGGGTCCTGGCAGTATATAAGGAGACGTTGTAAATTAAAAAGACCAGCTGGTGAGACTATGTATGTGCGTGATGTACGAGTGGGTGAGCTTTTCGTCGCCCAGATGAACAAGGGCCAGCTAGCGACCCAACATTTCCATAACAGCATAGATGGGGAGTCCGAGTTAATAATCAACAACCTAGCAAGGGATGCGAAGATAGTAAAGGCAGTTCAGCCAGCCTTGCGGCAGGTTATAGTCTATCTTGTTAGCCTCATACGTGCGCTGTCATTTGAGTGATATGTAGAGGGGTTGGTTGAACATAGAAGTCCATCGATAGTCCCATTTAGCTGCGGCAATGGGCCGAATAAATATTCTGATTTCCAGGCTCTCCTTTTCTTCGGCTCGTGGCTCAAATCCGCTGCTCTTATCATTTATGTGGCATTCTTGGTAGAGTTAACTGGAAGTATTTTTGGGTGTTGACTGCTAGATTGATCAGCATTATTTTTTGCCGAAGCCCCAGGGGACAATTCCTACGGACGTCCAACAGTAAAATCAGCCCCTGTTCTGTACAGAGCTTTCGACACAACTACCCTGAACTTTGTCATCGTTGAAGGACGCTCTATCCCGGGCAGTGATACTTGCCTATTCAAGCTTCTGCTCATCCATTGTTTTGTGCTGGTTTTAACTGGATATGCGTGCAACCAGAGAAGCCCGAGGTGATTGGATATAGGAAGTTGGCGGTGCGACTAACCCCGTAGCTCATCAACAAGGGTCGTTCGTCTCATCTGTCGCAGACCGAAGACTAGTACAATCGTGTCTCCGGCATCGATCTACTCACTAGTCGCCGTCGATGGGAGGGACACTATAGTAAAGGAAAGGAAGCAAAGAGGCGTGTTTCGCTCACACAAAAGGATCTCTAACATGTGACAAGTATGTATTCGATCGTCGAGAAGACGAAGGGCACGGCCAGCGAGTGCGGATGATGACACTTCTCCTACAGGTCTGTTTGGGCTCAACACTTGAACAGCCAGAAAATTCATCCTTGTAAGGTTCGGTTCGAGATACTTACGGGGCTTCTGGGAGTTGTTGACTAGTGACAGCCTGACAGACAGCGGCATCCATGACGCCACATCAGCTAGCCTTCCTTGTAGACGTCGGCTGCGATAGAAATGGGGCAAGTAGAAGTCTATCTCCCCAGTCGACCGGCAGCATGGGTCGTTTTAGCGTCTTGCGCACACAGACTTTCTCTTTAGTCGCTTTTCATTGAACCGCTGTGCAGAGTCCATGTATGGAGAGTTAATTAACAATCCATTTCCAAATGGGCCTAGACATTTGGTAACCTGCTGTGAATGGAAGTAATGTATAGGTCTTCACTTCCCTGTGCGGGATTGATGAATTCTTGACACCCATTGGACGCCATCACGCAACTGATGTGGCATGCAGAGAACAGTCCAGTGATGCAATAATAATTGGCGATTAAGCTGTTCTGATTCGCTGCAGTCTCCTCTCTGTCAAGATAGCTGTATTTAGAATTAGTTGACAGTGGAAAAATATGCCTACTATGTATATAACCACATAAATTACCACCCCAATAACAGGCTCCCTCCATTTTCGCCTGAATAGAATATTTCCAGATTTTCATTATCACTTTACTTCTATATTCCTATTGATATTTCTGTTCCCTCCTGTTCTGAGCCCGCTAAAACTTTCGGGTTGCTACGGGCTGCACCTGAGACTCTTCAGTATGGTAGCTTTCAGCCTCCCGTGTGGTATAATACTTCATAGTCTAGAAAAGACTGTGTGTGTACGGGAATCCCCAGGTGTTGAGTATCAACACCGGAATATTAGTTATTCCGTTCCGACTACCTGGGATATCCCCTTTACTCATGTAATTATCCTTCTCCTCCCTTTTTGGGAACCAGTCGTAATATTAGGAACAACTTCAATATTACCAGACTCACCACGTAGGGCAGTTGGACTGCCCTTGCCGCAATCCTGTGCTTCGTGATCCAGGACCCGGCTAAACCAACAGACTGTTTGCTTGACATTAGGATCAGTACACCCTCCATAGTAAAACTTAGCCCTAAATGAATGGGCTCTAGAAGTGCCAGCAAATAGTGGGATAGATACAGGGCATAAACACCAATCGATTTAGTAGTAGGCCTTGGATTGAGTGCTAATACGTGTAACCCAATCTTACTTCTCTATCATACTTCCAAAGAAGTGTGAGCACTGGTTTTAGAAATTTTGTACCCTCGCATCAATTCTAGGCATAGAGGAGAGGTCAGCTGAATTTTAGCTGGATTGAATGTGCTTTAGCTCTGCATGAGGCTAGAAATCTACTAGTTAGACGGTCATTACTAGTTGCATATAATATTTTCTAATCATTTAGGCCGAAGCACCTCAAGACTCGAGCTCCAGCCAGCCACAAGTACTACTTACTAATCTGTGTATGGAGGAATAAGCGATAGGGGCAGGTGTACTCTTACTGCAGCCTTTTGCAGTAAGCACAACCTAAACTCTTTTCATTCCTAAGGAAGTGGAAACCAGAAATACAATTCCCTTGTTGTAGCAAATGCCTATGGAATTTGTCTTGAGCCCCTCGCGCTGATAACATCCTTACTCTTGCTAAAATCTTGGGTGGTTATGAGCGAAAAAGTTGAAATTGCAAAGCCACCGCCAGTGGTGGCAGAAGTCGTCAATCAAGACGCAATTTCGTCCAAGGAAAACTCTCCACATCCAGTGCGGCCGAAGAAAGCGCTTCAATCCACGCCTCTCCTCTTCCTGCACACGGTTGGGAGCATCGCCTTGGCGTTAGTGCTCGTTTATGCGGTCGACGGATACAACGCTGGAGATGATTCAACTCCGCGATATGTCGACGGAAAACTTCTTCTTCGATCGTCAGATGTCACAACCTTGGTTTCAGCCGCATTGGTTTTGATCAAGTTCTTCACCACGTCCTGGGCAGCTATTGCGACCTGGAGAGGTGCGTGGGAACTGACGCACTCGAATACAGGGCTCACGTCCAAGCAGGTGTCGTTCATGACGAGATATAAGCTTCTTCCTTGGATGCGGCTTCCCTTCGGGCGACCAAGGGGTCGTCGCAGTTGGGCAGTTGCCCTTTCCCTTCTCTGTTCCTTTCCCCAGCCATTTATAGCTCCTCTTCTTTCCGGTGCGGTGAACTGGAATCCATCTTTCGCCGCCGGTCCGCAAACAGCGGCTGTATCCGTGAACTGGACAAACCCAACTGCAAGTGGTTCTTACTGGGACCAATATACGAAATTTGATTACCCTATCAAGAGGACCGATGTCCTTAGAGAGGCTCTAGGGTATGCGAACATAGCTTGGTCAGATACCACAACGGTCTCCGCCAATGGAACTTCTTTGAGAGGCAATGGGTGCCGCCACGTTGTGAATTTTGACGGTCTTCCAGAGAATTCAACTCTCACAAATTTTGTTGTGCCTTGCATAAAAGTTCAGAATATAGCTTGGGCAATGTCAGCAGCGGAGGTCCCAAATGCGGTCTTTGCTCAAGCCACTACAAACGGCTGGCAATTGAGTGTCTTGAACGACTCACTTGTCCGCTACACGAATCCAGGGCACGCCGTCCTATTTGATGTCAATAATTTGTGGTACAATAAGGATATTTGGACGACTTCGCTTCCGACGGCAAACAAAGTCACTGGAGCCAACTCTCTAACTCTCATCATCGCCAACCAGTACTCGGATTGTCAGAACCTCACAGCAAACCAGTTTGGCAATGTGAACAGCTTTCCGCAGTTTAAGACCTCTTGGGCGCTCGGTAGCTGTTATCTGTTCGCTAATGTGACTATAGAGGCGGGCGTAACAACTAGTAAGCTAAGCAAATATGTATCGCCTCGAGTTATTGAAGACCAGACACCTCTTGACGACACTACTATAGATCCTAACACATGGTCGCAAGAGGCTGTTTGGCTTCTTCCAGATATGATGACTTCACTTTCTCAGATGAACTCTACTCTGCTCCCGACCTGGAACAACCTAGATCTCTATGTGGAGAGTCTCATCCGCCAAAGTTATTTGGGTGCGTGGGACAGTTTCCACAACAATTGGGATACAGACGGCACAATATCTCTCGCGATCCCCCAGCAAGCCCGAGTCCGAGCTGAGGTCTCCCATGCGCGAGTGTATTCATGGCTGGCTATATCTCTACTGGAGACTGTTAGTGGGATCTTCTTAGTCTACCTGCTCCTGAATCCAGGTTTGCTGCAAGAGCCAGATCTACCGGGGGAAATAATATCTGAGCAGATTAGAGATGCCAAGGCCTCTGGGAAGAAGATCATGGACAGCCTGTCTGATTTAAGCTTTTTTTGAGTTTTTGATCATTTTGACGATTACAAATTGGGTGAAATTGGAGGAGTCCGGGGAACTTACGCTTGATTTCTTCAAAAATATACAGTTTAATTGCCATTGGTTTACACTGATCGGTTCTGTGCAAAATCAGAAAATTGATCGATAAGGAATGGTACAGCTGCATGAATGAATGAGTGATATCTCCAATGCTCGGAGCGGCCGATATTAAGCCTAACCCAGCGAATACCTACCAGCATTGTAACCTATAAACCATTCGTATCACTTGACTTCGTACTCCACACCCCCATCCTCCAACAGGAATAAGCACAAGGTCCGCAGACCCAGAAGATGCATTCAGATTGAGTTCACATACAGTTGATTTGAGGTTAAAACCGGGGTCCGATTTCCAGGCTTCTGGATTGTAAAGAAATCGGTGACTGGATCGTATAGACTCAGAAGATTGATATCGTCCAGTAATAGTGATCAATAACTAGCTGCTTGTAAGTATTGATAAGGAGATGATTCGATGCGTTGAATCTCTGTGTATTACTTGTCTTGTTCTCTCTAGTCACATACGACTCAGGGGGGTGAGACTATAATTAGCCTCGGAATCACTGTTAGAGCTCGGTTAGGCTAGGATGAATACAGAATATAGGCAAATAACAAGAACTAGGAGCTAGGAATTTTCATTATTGTTGCACACTCTCTAATACAAAACTTATCGGAAATGTTGACCTCTTTTATGTGTGAAATCCTGTACAAACTAGATCATGAGATGATGTCCAGTAGAGCTGATTGGATATGCCTATATCTCGTCAGTATGTGAATTCAGTTCTCGAAATTTCTTCATGTTGGTACAAGCTGTCTCCTCTCGCTTCGCTCGAGAGAAAGAGGGGGGATTCAAGATCAAGTACTCCGTATAAATATAAATGTGTACAGACTTGGGAGAACTCCAGCTGATTAGATATTGCCTAGCCTGTATGCACGTGATACGACTGCTTAATCAGATGTTCGCAAATCATTGTATTTTTTTATATGAAGGAGGGATTCTGTATCATATCCTTCATATCCGTAGCTCTGATGGCAGTCATATCACTCATCGTTAGGGCTCTGTTGGCTATGTTTCCTGCTTAGTCCTAGTTCCCGTCGGATAATCTTTTGTTCCTTGATGCATTAGTCTATCCGTGATAGGCTAATCTATTGGCTGTGACTACTATGTGACATCTAGAGGCTAGACGTAGCCCTAATTCCAAATCTTCTAGTTTGTACAACCACCCAATATGCCTGGGAGAACTCCTGTTTGCATACGTAGTACAGGCTGCTAGACAAAACATAACATACTCAGTCCAGTTTCGCATGCCAGCCACGTGCAAGTCAACCATGTGTATGAATTGGGAGGTATGTGTCATCTTGAACGCTTGTATAATGTATTAGTATTGTGCATTGAATACGTACTCATAAAACAGGAAATAACGCAAGCACAACATACGGTGGATATTAGACTTCGCCTATGAACGTTGAACGAAGCGAAAGCAAGGATTCCACACGTTGTTTCACTTCCAGCCTCCAGGTTTCTTTCATCCATACTGTTAAGCAGAAAATACCCCTTGCATCTTGCATACGTAAATACGTGCTTCGGTTCGGTCAATATCTTGGTTTCACATATATGGACATGGCGTGGCATTTGACCAGAATTGCATGCGTGGGAATGTGTCAGTGTGATGCACATCTAGACTTGGTTTGCATTGTAGGCGATATTTGCCGAGATTGACGTTTTGGTTGCTGAGATAATATGTGCAGTGGAAGCAGAGGGTATTGTATTGTTGACATCTTTTCGATGTACAATCTATTTGATTGTAGAAGTATTCGTCCTTTGCTTGGTGCAAGACACGGTGGATGCGAGTATTGATATTTTCATTGTACGTCTATCCTAGTTCCTATCCCTCTAGTAATACAGACCTGAGAATGATTAGTATGGCTCGTCATGTAGTGGCTGCAGCTTTGTGTCAATCAAGACCACGAGATCCTGTCAAACTCACGTTAGCAATGCACTTAATCAAACAGGAAAGATACATACCAAAGCATAATACCAGCACCAGCCGCGATTGCCGCAAATTGTGATAGCGTCTTCTTGATCTCCACTCCTTTATCTTTGCCCGTCTCGAGCAATTCCGGAATCACAGCTACAGTGCCAACATAGAGAAACGTCCCCGCAGTGAATGGAAGTAACATATCTCCCCAGCTCAACCCGGTCCCCAGCAATCCTCTCGAAACCTCAGACGAAGCGCTCGATGTAAAAGTATTGCCACCAAATTCTTGAACGGCAATACCAATAAAGGTCCCCAAAAAGGCACCAATGGCAGTAACGAACTGGGCACCCATGGCCTTATTCTTTGAGAAACCGGACTGAATCAAGAGCGCAAAATCGCCGACTTCATGAGGAATTTCATGGAAAAAGACCGCCACCGTGGTTGTCGCGCCAATGGTGGGAGAAGCATAAAATGATGAGGAAAGCGCTAATCCGTCAGTGATGTTATGAGTGAAATCGGCAATCAGGTTGAGGTATCCTCCAAGCTTTGTGCTCGGGTTGATTTCTTCTTTCTTTTCGTCGCCATCCTTGTGCTTAACGCCTTTGCCTTTGCGTTTCTTTACTTCGCCGTTCTTGTCGCCCTTGCCGGGACTGGAGCCAGTGGTGACGGCTGTATCGTGGCTATCGTGCGAATGGGTGTGATCGTGTCCGCCTTCTCCTCCGGTCGCGATACGCAGTGTTTTGTCCATGGCTACAAAGGTGAGGAAGCCAACCATGATGCCTAGTCCAAGCAACAAGTTCTTGTTGTTCTCCACCAGCACGAATCGAGCGTGCTCAGGCGAGTCTTCCCCTAGGAATATTTCCGGTAGCAGATGAAATAGCGTGTCACCTAGCAATCCGCCCACAGCGAACGCTACCATAATAGAGAGGGAGGAGGGGTCGATATTTGGCGGACATAGCGCGAGAAGGAAATCTGCAATGGAATTGATCAGTCGAGTCTTGCCACTAGCAAATTGTAAAATTGTAGTTCGGTCGACCCACTGGGTGGTCCAGAAATATACAAAGTCGCCAACAGCGCGTTGACGGCAGGGCTTCCGGGAAATAACACAGCAAAGATTTTCGACGTCCAGCTCGCCGTTTCTGGGAGGGAAGCTAATTTATGCTCGTTCAGAGCTTGAACCAATGGACAGTGCTAGACACATTCTGTTAGATAGAAAGAGATATATAGACGGGTCATTTACCTGTAACTCTTCTTCAATTTGAGCCGCATCATAGCTTGCAATTGATTTTTTATCGGAGACGTGTGATTTGGCAGATACAGCGGAAGATAGGAAAAAGACCACGAGCACGCAGATGACACATGTTCTCCATGCGAATTGCGACATTTTCTGAGCCATTGTATATACGATTGGATTGATATCTAGGAATCCACGAGATCAGAGGAAGACAGATGATACACGGCAGAATGCAAACATGCCAAGCTTCAAGCGCAACAATGCAAACAACCCGCAAATCGCCCGATAAGATAAAGCAGATTTTGGAGTAAAAAATTCAATTCGCCCTCAACACAATATATACATCGACACATTCTCCCTCGGCTTTAAGTCACAGGCTATCGCAAAATGGGTCGCGAATTACAAAAGCGAAAGAACCGGGCAAAGGTACCGAAGCTCAAAAAGAAGCGCAAGTTGTTGCGTAACGGCGATAAGAAAATAAATGTTCTTGGGAATGCTTTGATTGCAGAGAACTGGTATGCCAGACCATAACAAGCATACCATTCATGGCTTCCTACTAATGCAACGACTTTTATGATACAGGAACAAAAATGAGACCTTAATCCAAAACTACCGCCGTCTCGGCCTCACAACCCGCTTAAACGCTCCAACCGGCGGTGTCGAAAGACCCAAAGGTGTCGACGCCCTCACGGCAGACAAACTCACATCCGACTCTCTGCATATCACCGGCACTAAAAACCCTAATGCCACTACATTATTCGATCCCGAGGAAGTCCAAGTTGAAAGAGATCCCGAAACCGGCAAGATCCTACGGGTCATCACAAATAACGAAGAAGACGATGAAATCGAAGTCGCCGGACGAAAAGTCAAACGCTCAAATCCATTATCCGATCCTATTAACGATATTGAAAATGGAGTTAAATCTTTACACAAAAAGGCTGGACTGGATACGGGAAGCTCATCATCAGCCTCCGAGTTTGTGCGTCAATTGGAAATGCGTGCTTTACAGGAAGAGGAAGCCGTTAAGAAACGTCGACCACGACAACAGAGTAAAAGAGAGGAGGAATGGGTGGAGAGATTGGTGGCTCGTCATGGAGATGATATTAAGGCCATGGTCAGGGATAAGAAGCTTAATCCTATGCAGCAGAGTGAGGGTGATATAAGGAGACGAGTTCGCATCTGGAAGGAAAGACGGTCTGCTTAGCTGCTTAGCTGAGTTTATTGTTGTTTTCGTGGCGTTTATACCAGGCGTTGGCGTTTTAATATTATGAGTGGTCAGTGAAGATTATTCTATTGGCAATCTACATGACAATGCAACGATGACAATAATTGAATTTGTGTAATCATAGCCGCGTAATAATAGCCTAACATTATAATTGGTTACAAGTCATTAACTTTCCGAACCGGACACACCAACGCGGTGAACAACACGCACCCATCGTCGTCGTCGCCATGCACCAGCCTGGGCCTGCATGGTCCCGTCCCAGTCACGACTTTGATCTCCCTGCCCATCGGCTTTGCCTTTACTCGAAACTGAGGATGCCTTGGTTGATGTAGTATCTGGCAGATCCCCATATGCCATCATGCTAACTTCGTCATTGCTCATAGATCCCTCAGTCTCTACTTGGGGTAGATCCCATACCCAGCCCCCTATTTGCTCCTCACCACCGTTGCCTGATGCACCATTACCTGGAACTTCAAATCCAACCCCAGTGATCATGCGCTCCACGACCCATTCACGACACTCAAGATCCAGCTCCCATTTCTTTCCTTTCCAGGTCCATCCCGATGGCGCTTGCACATCTTCAAAGAAGCGACAACCACGTGGCCGGTCTCCAGCGATACGAGATGGCGATAAAGGATCATAAGGAACAGGTGAGAATAAAAGCGTCTCCCACTCGGAGGATGTTGAAAAGGGCGACACAGAACGGTGCTGTAGCTCAAAGATCTCTACCTCACGTTCTTCGGGAGCAGAATCGAGTGAAATACTTGCCAGAGGACTGATAACCTGAGTTATTGGTGATTCCTGTTTTGTTGCGTTTTCTTTCTTCGCAGTCGGTTTCTGATTCTTTTGCTCCGGAGCGTGCCCACCTTTATATCCTTGAACTTGATTTAAAAAGCCATGTACAGTCGGATGTGAGGATATAACCGCCACATTGCCACCAACGAAGAATATGAGACGCCATGGTAGAATATGCGCGACGAGGAATAGAGAAGCGGTAACAACGGTCAATAGTAAAAACACAGTTGTTGATAGTGTTTCGTCAGAAAAGTTTGTTAGTGGCGATATCGATGCAACTAGAGTATCATGCAGATTTGAAAAGTCGGCCATTGAATTCTGCAAGTCGCCCATGTTGCGGAAAAAATCCTTTGATGTTTCGCTCGCTGGTTTGATAGTCTTGGCTGGTGCTAGTGCCGGGCCGCCGTAGGAGTAATATGGATGCGTTCCTAGAGTAGAATTCGAAGGAGGAGGTGGATGGCGCGCAAGGAAGGCTGGGACCATAATGTATAGCAGGACACTGGCTGGTAGCAGTACGATCAAGAGATACGGATTGAGACAGATGAACGAGTATACGGCTAGAAAGGACCAAGTCTGAGTCGGATATCTCCAGCTGAACAGGCGTATCATTCGAGCCTGGAAAACAAACGCGATGCCAATCCTATATGCAATAAGTAACGTAAAAAGCAAGAGATCGATATAGCTGGACTCGTACCTAGCATTGAACCGGCGAAAGTTATTCGTCATGAGAGGAAGACTGAAGGGCGGTCGCGAGAGGACCTTTGATGGGTGCCTGTAGGTGTCATCTGCATTCTCACCCTCTCGTTCCTCAGATGGGACGACCTGTTCGAGGAGCCTACCACAATCAATATCTCTGTAATGAGAAACCACGGCAGTATGTAACATACTTGGAAAAGAGCCTGTCCTGTATTGACCACCCCGAGGGGGCGTCACCTTCTGATCCATGGTTTGAATGTCGAAATCCTGGAATACGAGATTTCGCCTTGTCCAGTCTGGACTGAGTTGAGGTCTGGCTGTTGAATGAAACTACCGGGATAGGCTCGTCGCGGTTGGCAACGGCGTCCGCATCCGCGGTGTAGTCAGTCATTTTGAGGCCGTCTCACATCTGAGCAATGGTCGGTCGAAAGCATAGGCAAAGCAGCTGCATATCACAGTTGAGTAAAATAGATGAAGCTGTTGATCGGATACAGCTACATAAAGGTGAAGTGTGGTCTGGTGGGAGAAGGAATTCCGGGGGAAGTCACATGCGAAGAGGCTCACAGGTGGAGGCCCAAAGAGGATTAGTGCGGATCATTTATTTTGATTTCTTCTGCAGTTCAGACAGTCTTGTACTCAACAACCTACACTCGCTTTCATCAGTATGAATAAAAGCCCTTATCGATATCGAGTGATAATGCGTCCACGGCATACATACGGTGACGGCCATACCCGGCCTATATCAGCTGTCCTAATATGATCAATCATAAACAACCATCCATGGAAGGACTTTACAACAACCGGTCACTCCGGTATTTCCTCGACGTACTCTTTCTATGCGTTACTGTGCCACTCGCGTAACCGGGCCTACCTGAGAATAGACTGCTTATTGAGATTTTGAGTTCGGATGGAGTTTATGTTACTTTTTGTGTTCCCCGCCCCCTTTTCCGTAGACGATACAAATGACTTCCAAGCAGCGTTTTGGTGATCTGTTGATGTGCGAAGCTTTCTAGTTACGATCATCAGGTGGTCGAGGGCTGATGTAGGCAAGATTGAATACATAGATAATAACAGTATGGCATGGTGAGATGTAGCGCATTCTGAATGGTAATGTACCTTGGCAATACGTAGTATGCTCGAGGTGGCCAAGGTGAAGATGACGACGAGTCCATGTTGACACACACCCAGGGAGAAATAGAGCAACACAAATCAACTAGGAGAACAAAAGGCAACTGTTTATCGTTTTGGACGGGATTATCATCGTTATTATTGACCTCTGTATCTCCCAGGGGCAAGAGAGCTAAGGGCTAAGCAGCCTAGCTCCACACTAAAGGGATTTCCCCATCAACGTCGACTTCCCTCTTCGAGCCAATTCGTTCTGCATTCCCCTGCAGCAACTTGCTACCATAACACAGAGCTTATTCCATTGTTGTTCTCGTTTCTTTTTCTTCATCTGCCATCTTTTTACGTTCTTGATGTGATGTGTTTTGTTCGAGTTTTGTCTCCTGTGCATCTCTGAAAGGGTCTCTTGTCTCACCTTGTTTGTTTCCCTTCAAGCCTGGTAGGTCCTTGTCTCCCATGAGATTTTTGTGATTAGTCCTCCACCATTTACACAAGGGGCGACGAAGGATATCAAATTTTCATCTGGACAGGTCCTTCATTACTGTATATTATCAACTTGGATTCTCCAACCTGCTTCTAACTTACCATTGTCCCGCACTACAGAAACCAAAATTTGTCGCTTTCGACATCGATTCGAATAACGGCCTGGACGCCTTGGAAAAACTCGCTCTTTCCGCGCGATGGACAGATAGCCACCGAAGTAGGTCTCCAGATAGTTGACCAACGCCGACCTTGGAATCGATATCATCTTACGTGGATGTTGTCGCTGTCACGTTGCGTTTCGGGGTCTTGTTAATATCGAGGGACTACGGGGCTCACGCCTCGGGATTATCAATTTTGTATTTGGGAACCAATAATTCTCTCGCGAACTGAATCGGGTCGGTGCCAGCGCGTCCGCAATGATGGCTCAAATATCAAGTGGGAATGCACGCGCGGGGACAAATCCTTCGAGAGCGTCGGACTCTTCCCGCAATGAGGACTCGGGGCCTGCAGGTGAGGCAACATGTCCCTGCCACAAAAGATTCATTGCTTACCGCGTGGCAATTGAACCAGATACATTTAGCCGTCGAAGATTACAGAAAGCTACTCCGAGCACTACCTCCGCGTCCACTCAAGGCGAAAGGGCTCCATCTATACCAAGAAGCGCGACAGACCCGCGTATTCAGGCCATAGGGAGGAGAAGGCAATCAATACGTGAACAGAATGCGATCGCTCCAAGAAGGTAATATAATGGCATCCCGTACTGTTGGTTTGTTGACTGCCACTGACCTTGTCAAATATAGTGCGCGTTCGGGAACTGGATCTATACATTCAGGTAACTCTTCAATTGATCTTACATCGGAATCTCCGAGAAATGCATCCATTAGCAGTACCAATTCACGCACAAGCCCTGGCACTCTCAATATGAACAGCAAGCATCATAGCAACAAGTCATCCTCGGAAAACATTGAGTTTCTCGCACCCATCAATTTCGATGATTTTCACAACAGTATCCTGGACGAACCAAGCCTAAATAACTTTCCTCTACCAGGTCATGGTGGTGCTGGATATGACACCAAAAAGACACAACCACGATCACACAATCAGTGGTCTACAGCCGATACAACGACGACCAGAGCTGCACGATCCAACTCGTTGCGGCGCCAGAGCGATGTCACGCGATTCCATAACCAGGCATCTTCAATCAATACATCGATGCCCCCTCCTCCAGCACCATCTGCCAGGTCTCGCCGCCAAAGCCACGTTCCACCTCCATCAGCTGCCTCTGTTCCTGCTCGCGCTCCGAGAAAGTCAGTGGGCCCTGGGATTTTCACTATCGATTCCTCCGGAGATCGTATGTCGAAGCGCCGACCTAGCTTATCAGCACGCAAAGCTAGCGTTGATAGCAATAGATACGAAACTCATTACCGGTTGCGATCGACAAATAACAATGAACCCGACAACCTTGGTACCACTCCTAGTGCTAGATCACTCAAAGCAAAGTCTTTACAGGCCCCATCACGGGAACGGTTAGCGCAAGATAGCTTATTGGCACCTAAAGCTGGTGACAGATCTTCTACAACGAATGGCCTCTTGACCCCTGTGAAACCCGCTGCTGGCAGCACTAATACACCTTCCTCGTCGTCATCGAGTAAACGGATGTCTACCATGCCCCATGCTACAGGCTTAGGGGCACGTACCATTAGTCCTACCGATGCGCGGCGAATGAAGAGAATGTCAATGCTGCCACAGGCCCCTCCTGTGCCTATCACACCTCCTACCACTCAACCTGTTCCGACCGAGGTGCTCACTCTGCGACCGAGATCATCGCAATCACCGTCCATGATCCCAAGGAAAAGCGTGACTCCCTCGTCGTCTCGAACCACACCAGATCCCAGCCGCAAGTCATATAGCTCTGGTATGTCGCTTTCCTCAAACACCAGTTACAATTCTGCTCGTAACTCCAGCGGCTCTTTGCAACCTCGACTATCTCAGACCTTCTCTTCCTCCCGGCTTCCTACACCGAAACCACGCATGGAGACTGTGAGTAACGGAAACGAGGAGGTGCCTCCGGTTCCTGCTATTCCCAAGGCATACGAATCGCCAAAAACGGAATCCGAGCTCGTGTTTCCAACAACTGCTCGTAAATCTAGTTTACCACTGGACATCGAATCGGCACGCGGCTCTGACTCTAGTCGCCTATCTACAACAGTCAATAGTACCACCGAACCTTATGCACCTACTGCGCCTTGGGTGGCAGGAACTAAAACTCCCGAAGGCAAAGGAAAGCAAGCAGCCGTCATGTCACGGAAAAGCTTACAACCCTTGAAGCTCCCTCCGTTGAATTTGTTACCACTCAGTACTCCTATGGCTGCGAAGATTGACGCCTTGAATAATAATCATCAGCGAAATCCATCTACACCTCCTCCCCGTACCAACATTCCGAAAACTCCCAGTACCCCAATGACAGCCTCCAAGGCATCCTTCTTCAAGAATGATGAAGATGAGGTGGAACGCAACCACCTGCCACGCAGCAGTACTTCACACTTCTTGGTCAGCACATCCAATACGGCTGGCTATAGAGCACCTAGCAGTTCCAGTGCTGTCGTTCCCTTGGAGATGCCTTCGCTGAGTCGGAATATGTCTCCGTACATATCTTCCTCGTTACCTAAATCCAGCAGTGACTTCAACTTTATGCGTCAACATTTGAGTGGAGAGTACACAAATGCTCAGTCAAGCACGAAGTTGATGGGTCCCAGACCTCAGACGCAATCTTCAGCATTTTCGGTTAATACGGAGACTGGAACCCGGTTATCAAATACCCCGGATGCTGATGCAAATGGTTCCACATTGAAGAGCAAGCTTCCTTCAACTCTCAGACACAGTGTATCTAAACCTATTCTGGCATCGGATACTAAAGTCAACTCAGCAAAATATGACAGTATGCCACCACCTCGACTTCCAGCATCCGCTACATGGAATGGTTTATCTGCAGCTGCTACACGAACGACCAGTCCGACGTCGAAATCTTCACTCTTGTCAAATAATCGCAAGTCTTCTCTAGCGAGCTTGAACACGAAGCAATCAAGTTTCAACAATGAGTCGAATACATACACTATGCCTAGTCCTGCAGTTACTGACCCTGGTGATGCAGAGACTGCTGATAATCACCGCCCTGCATCTTCGATTCTGTCGCCAGTGCAAAAGATGATCAACTCTGCTAAATCTAATGTTGGGACAAAATCCCGAAGCGCAGACCCTAACCTTGACCTTGTCGAGCTCGCTGCCGATGAGGAGATGCGCAGACTTGGGAGTAAGAGAAAAGACTTCGAGCTTGCCGCAAAAGAGTTGGATGAGCTGCGTCGCAGGGCCAGTCCAAAGGAACGCGTTAGCCCGGCCCAAGCGCTTAAAATGGCTTCTCTTAACATATTCGAGCGAGGCGAAATCATCGACTTTAAAGATATCTATTTCTGTGGCACTCAGAAAGCCAAAAAGCACGTGGGCGATCTGAAGTCGCAAGCCGCCAATTTTGGGTACGACGACGAGCGGGGTGACTATCAAATTGTCATTGGTGATCACTTGGCCTACCGATACGAAGTGGTGGATGTTCTAGGCAAAGGTAGCTTTGGGCAGGTTGTTCGATGTGTTGATCATAAAACGGGCCAGTTAGTAGCTGTGAAGATCATTCGAAACAAGAAGAGATTTCATCAACAAGCATTGGTCGAAGTGAACATTCTACAAAAGTTGAAGGAATGGGTGAGTAGATTATCTTGCAATTTGTCGGGCCAATCATACTAACGATCACTTCCAGGATCCTCATCGAAAACATAGTGTCATAAATTTCACTCAAAGCTTTTACTTCCGTGGCCATCTTTGCATATCTACTGAGCTCCTTGGTATGAACTTGTATGAGTTCATCAAAGCACACAATTTCAAGGGCTTCTCTTTGAAACTTATACGCCAGTTTACCAGACAAATGCTGAGCACCCTGGTACTTCTGCATTCGAAGAGGGTTATACATTGCGATCTGAAGCCGGAGAATATCCTCCTTGCTCATCCAATGCGATCAGAGATCAAAGTTATTGACTTTGGTTCCAGCTGCTTTGATCACGAGAAAGTGTACACCTATATTCAAAGTCGTTTCTACCGCTCTCCGGAGGTCATTCTGGGCATGTCGTACGGCATGGCAATTGATATGTGGAGTTTGGGATGTATTCTCGCCGAGTTGTATACTGGATACCCCATTTTTCCTGGAGAGAATGAGCAGGAGCAACTTGCCTGTATCATGGAGATATTTGGGCCACCGGAGAAGCATCTGATCGACAAGAGCACCCGCCGAAAGCTATTCTTTGACTCTTTGGGTAAACCGCGTTTGACTATTTCCTCCAAAGGTCGACGACGTCGTCCAAGCTCCAAAGACCTGCGACAGTCATTGAAATGTGACGACGAGCCATTCTTGGATTTTGTTGCTCGTTGTCTTCGTTGGGATCCTGCGCGACGGATGAATCCAAATGATGCAATGAATCACGAATTCATCACGGGGATCAAACCTAGTGGTCGACCACGTGCATACTTGTCTAGCAGCAACCTGGTCTCTAAGCGACTCATGGCCGGCGGAGTTACATCAGCCAGACCTCTACCCGAGCCTCCCAGTATGGGTGGTAAACCTGGGATGGGATCTCACAAAGCCACGAGCAGCTCCCCTGTCAAACCTGCCGCAAAGCGTCTGTCGAGTGTCAATAATATGCAGCAGCCTACCGCAAGTAAGCGCATATCCAACAGTAGTACTGTGAACAACGGCGTTGGTTCAGCACTGCCGCGCAGAAATCCCAGCGGAAGTTTGGCCGCAGCGGCCGCAGCTACGAGCCTATCTAACAAATGAACTTATGAGAAGTTGATTTTATATTGAGACTAAGGGGATTGACTTTTGCACCCTCTGAGTCTCATGCTACTAATATATTATATTTTAATAATCGTCTGTTTTTCTTTCACCAGCAACATAGACAAGGTCGGGAACTTTTTTTTTTTTTCTTTCCTTCACTTGATGGATATATGTACTATGCGCAGAAAGAAAAGAAAAGAACCCTTTTTTTTGTACCATCATATACCCCCGCTTCCATCAACTATACATTTTGTGAGCCACTTTGTTTCTTTTTCTGTTCTGTTCTTCTCTCATTCATGGATGATTCGATTTGATCACGACATGTTGGTTTTCCTCCGATGCTTGCGAGGTGTATTTTATGCATCGGTATTCATGTGGCATGTTATTGTCAGGAGACGCCGGGGTGGTTTTCATGTACTATCGAATATGATTAGTTTTCTTGCTCTGTCTCTTTTGTTAAGCATCGTTCGAAGCGGCTGCCCTCTTTTGCTATGACTATTAACTGGAATGTACATACATGCATACATACTAATTCACTACATATCAACTTTATCTAGATGAAAAATAGACTTCTTTAGACTCAGATATGAACTGATGATATTCAGATATAATATACTCCCAGCCGAACAGACAATTCGATGCAAGCAAGGGACAAAACAGTCGAGATATAAGGCGTATGCAATAAACTCATATAGAGTGAGGGGAAAAAAGCATAAACAAGCTAATAAATATCACTCCTCATCCTCAGCCGAATGAGTCCTTCCATTCAAAACACCTTGCGAATATCCTCCCCGTCTTCTCCGTCTCAGTACTTCCATAGCCCATCCACTCAACTGATACAACCAACCACCCGTCACAATCACGCCAGAAACGACATTCACCAACCGCACCAACAGCGCCAAAAAACTACCACGTTCTTCACTCACAAACAACAGAATCGGCTCAATGTTGTACTTGAAAAAGATGCCTGGTGTGTTGTACGGATTCTCGGGCAGAGCGTGTGATTGACTAGTCGCTGAATACTGGTTTGTGAAGATTGTGTTGCGGGATTTTTTGAAGGCGAGTGCTGGGTTTGCGGTATATTTTTCGACGGCGTTGTTGCCCTTTGCGTAGATTGTGGGGACGACGTTGAGGAAGTATTGGAATTTGTAGTAGTGGTCTTCGGTGTATGCTACTGTTTTGTCCAGGGGGTTGAGGAGGGATGGGTAGTGAGGGCCAAAGGAGAGTTCGGTTATCATGTGGGTGAAGTTGAAAGTTTTGTGCTGTATTTGGTCAGTAATCATTGAATAACTGGCGAGAGGGTAACGTACATCAAGATGTTCGCCGAGTTCGTTATACCCATGTCCCCGAGCCTGGATATAAATTAGCGTTCCATATTGGCAAAAAGATCTGTATATCTACGCACCGTTATATGAAAGTCACCATGGACTTTATTCGATTCCAAACTCCCATAAATCCGGCAAGAATCTGTGGGATACTTCGCCGACAACCTAGGAGTCTTCGGGAACTTCCTCCTCGGATTCCTGCGTGTATGCGACAGGACATGGTGGGCATGCATATCCTCCTCCTGCTCTAGTAAACGTTTCGTATCCTCCGCATTGAGTGTCTGATACTCCGTCACACCAGACGACTGTTGATTCAGCTTCTCATTCCACATTTCCCAATTCGTGCTATCCTTCATCAGCAGCATGCCGGCCATGATGTGATCCCCCGAGGCATCTTGCACGTTGACTCGGATATCGTTGCAGGGCATTTTGACGACCATATCAATATTCATTTGGAGTTGGCGGGATACGCCCTTTTCGACGCTGAAATGTTGGTTTTCGGTGCCTCGGTACCAGGTTATGAGTTCGCCGATGGAGAGGAATGTGCAAATTGCGATGATGATTACGGTCCATTGTCCTCCGCGACGTGATGGGGTTGTGTAATTGGGTTTTGTTTTAGCTGGAAGTAAGACTAAGTATTAGCATATACATCCAATCTAGCATTTTGTGAACTGAATCCAATTGACTCGAGAGTCCTCGGCGCAATAACCTTGACAAGGAGGGGAACGCACGAAAAGCATCGAATGTCTTCAAACCAGCTTCAGCATTCCTCTTCTCCCCAAACGCATCCTCGTCGAGCTCGTGTTTCGAAAAACCGTTCATTGCGAGAAGTGATTGGCTACTATTTTTTTGTAGATTCCGGACCGTTTGTTGTGACTCGAATCGCGACAGCTTCCACGCAGGCTCATACAACCAGGGAAAGGGGTGTATATTCAATTAAGAAGACATAATTTTGTCAGATGCAATCGAGCATGTATCTGCCCTGACAATATCTATTGTGTACGCGGCAAAAAGATTTGACAGAAAGTGAAGTATGGCTTGTGATACTTGAATAAATAAAATGCGGAGAGGCCAACTATGCCGATCTAAACACGACGCTCCACCGGAGATAAGTAGCAGCCCTGACCCTATCAACGAATTAAATCTAGCCCTAACCTGACGACTGGCTACAGTACCAATTCTACGACCCCCTTCGTTCAGTTTACAGGGACTCCTATGAATGTATTTTTCCAGAATCTTATTTACCAGCAATGAAGTCATTACAAACCACGGAAACACTACCCCGATGCCCAGAAGGTAGCAACAATACCTTTCGGTCATGGTAGACCCTGACCATCATCACGTATAGACGTCTTTTTTTTTTCTAGGGGACTTAGAAATACAGCTCGTCAAAAGTTCCAAGGGTTTGTCTACTTAGGTATGAATACTAGCAATTGGCTATCCGGGTAAGAAGGCTTCATGTATGATGCAAGACGATTTATCGTGATCTAGCAAAGAGTTGGTAAACGGGATATTCCAGAATTTGGCTGCTCCGATTGACTTGCTCCGAGGCGTTTAGTTTCGAACCGATTAGTATAGGGCTCAACCCTCGCTCGTTCTACGACTACAACTTGGATATGTCAATAATTGTCTGGCTCGAAATGTCGACTAGTACCCCTGATCACTAGACATGGAATCTCATCCATGATACCCACAGCTTCTGTTTCATAGCAAAGCGAATCTTTATACCCACGACGGAGTCGTTCTCGGTCGACTGTATTTGAGATAATACCGCCACCAGAAAGTATAAGACCTCGATGTACCATTGGATGGTATCGTGCTTGTGGGGATAGCCTCCCTTCCACATATTTCTTCATATTTGCGGCAATCATTCTCCTGATTGATATGGGAACAGTTCCGGTCAAACAAGGTATCTTCGATACCTGGGCGACTGAACCCAGGTTTCTCAGTAATTTGGCATAGAATCGTCTATAGTGCGCTTCTCTCCGTAATCTCGCCTTCACTCAATAATCCATCTACACTCAGTAGAATGGACGGAGGCTTGTTGAGACATCCCTTGAGATCAAACCCATCCTCTTCATACTTGCCAAATTCATACTGAACAACACCGAGGTGGTTATCTGAGGAACGCTGACGACAACGTCCCCAAGGCGAACGTGTTTTGAAATTGGGATCCCTGGGGCGCCCCTGACCACCATGGCAAACCTGAGATTTGGAAACTGAATAGTGATCGCTGTAGCACAGTGGGCAGTCTTCGCAGTTTCAGCTTGAAATTGAGCTATGACAATTCTGATACATCCAATTTGTCCGAAAGAATACAAGTAATTCCTTGTACCTACTGTCTTCGAACAGCATAAAAACTCTTCCTCGAGACAGTACCTCACAGCAGCGGCTTCGTATGGCAAAGTGCAGAATATAGCGACTGTTATGGTCTCGAGAGATATCTCTTGCAGTAGCGATGAACCGTCAGCACTTTGCGGCTGTGTCGGCAACGTCCTTCTTAGAATCCTTATTCTTATGGAAGTCTTTGGGACGAACAAAATCTGTTCCGTTTCAATGAGAATTGCGAAGATAGTACGAGCGGACAGAGCATAAGTGCTTAATGCGCGAAATCCAACCTCTCTATACTGTCTTCCTGCTGAGATGGTCTGGGAGATTTGTGAATACGTCTCCATTGTGGAGACTTTCTGTTTGATGATATACTGTGCGAGCTACTGGAATGCCAGAACCTGTATTCCACCTTCCGCTGAGGTCCGGCAGTTGCTGGCTCAATTAAAATAACCTTATAGGCATGACCTTGAAGAGATCAGGTTTAATATTCTGCGGCTGATGGAATTTGATAAAACTTTTGGAAAGAGCATCGGGTATTTGTGTTGCTAGGCGTGTATGAGGATTCACAAGAAGAGAGCGTTTAGGAACTCCCAGAAACCCGCTAATTTAAAGCTCTCAGTTGAAAAGCAGAGGATAAACTGTTCGGATGCTATTAGTCTATTACCCACAGCTGTAAATCTAAGTTCAGGAGAGTCTGGGTTGGTATGTGCTATGAAATGTCATTGTTGAGCTTCAGATCCTACAATTTGGAATGATACACCGCGAAGGAAGAAGCGAATCAACTGTTACGATATCTGCTGGTCACGGCTTTAGAGAGCATATTGAGCTTAATCTAAAGACCAAGCGTTTCTCATCCCGGTTTTGCCTGGGGAGATTCTCGGATTTTGGTTTAGGTGACTTCGATAATTTACGCCAAAACGCATGCATTCCAATATGTCCACACATCATGGTCGGTTGGTAAGAAAGAGGTTCCTCCGAATTGTGAAACCAGGTACCTACTGGTATTGCATTTTCTGTTCGACAAAATTCTGCGTGAAAATTACATATGATAGATTGATTGAGATCGATGTGTCTTGCTATATCGGCGTGCTTGACTCAAGGGTTCCTCAAGAATTTCATGATGCATCATATGCAAGTATCAACGGCGACTTACTTAGTCATTGCCAAAAATTAGCAAACTGGCTGAACAGAATATATGATCCAGAAACCGGCGATACGTATAACGGAGGCCAGTTCGAGATGTTTTCGCCCACTCGAAGACCAGAGTACCGTTTTACCTAACTCACTACCACCCCTACTTTCCATTATGGCTACAAAGGAAAAGAAGCAACGATGGTAGATTGACGTGAACTGACTTGGGCCACTCAACTTACCTAGAGAAGAACGAAGATTTGAGATACTCTTTGCTCCTTCACATGATTGCTATTTTCTCACTTCAGCTTACAAGATTACAATAACCTCTGTTTTTTAGCACAACCCTTGACCTACTAGTTCTAAAACTGCTACAATGATCACTTCGTATGGCTTTCTTCCTATAATTAGCCTAAGCTATTTGCTTGCTTGATCTACTTAGCCTTCTCAACATCTGAGCTGAGCAACTACTCCCGAAAAGCGAGTTGTCCGATACGTATTGCTTACGACTAGCAAGTAGCATGTCTAGGATACGCAAATTTCGTTATCCACGTTGGATCAGGGACGAATCTGAATCTAGTTGGATGATCGAAATTCCATGGTCACTAGTGCGGAGAGCTGAACCCTATTTCCGAGTGTTGCCGCGCATTCTCTTACATCCCCGTCTGATTGGCCAGTTTTCCGATATAGGGAGAATGGATGCCTCGAAAGCATGTCTTCGTCAACTATATATTAGAGTCAATCCATTGCCATTTTGACGGAGCAGAAGAATTCTTGCTTTAAATATTTTTCCTACAGCATATTGCAAGTTTTGTCACTACCAGTTTGCAACCAAGTAAAATGCATCTTCTCGTACTGGGAGCAACCGGTAAGACGGGCGCTCTAGCATATCAGTATGCCCTCGAGCTAGGTCGGTCTATCTTCTCATGCTTCAGAGCAGTCCACAAATTATAAACCAGCCGCTAAATTGGTGATAGGCAACCATGTCACGATCCTTGTCCGTGATGCCTCCAAAATTAACCCTCACGCAAACCTTACAGTTGTGGAGGGCTCAGCAATGTTAGAAGCGGACATGGATCGCGCCTTCGCTGCTGCTGCTGGTGTTCCGGTCGACACCGTCCTACAGTGTCTTAACCCTCATCGAGCTGCGAACCATCCCTGGGCCAAATTTCTTGGTCCGCCACGTCTTATGGCAGACTCCACTGCTCTCGCGGCACACGCATTGCGACGACAAGGGCATCAACTGGGGGGTCACAAACCGCGTCTAATCGCTATGAATGCACTCGGGGCTGGACAGAGCCGTAAGGCGGCTCCAATAATCACGAAGTTCTTGATTGATTATAGCAACATTGGGTGGACCTATGTGGATCACGATGCAGTTGATGCCGAGATTGAGCAAAATTGTGGTCAGGAGGTTGACTGGACAATAGTCTTCGCTGTTGCTCTGAGCGGCGGTGGCGGGGGCCTCATCGGCGGACCCAGCGGCCTCAAGCCAGTGAGAACTTTTGCCCATACAGACCCTGGATCTAACTGGGCCATTACGCGTGAAAGCTGTGCACGGTGGATGGTGGATGTGGCAACTGGGAGGTTGGGTGACGAGTTCAGCAATAAGAGAGTTATCGTGTCGAACTGATATCTGCCGTTCCTCACCAAAGATAGCGAATTCTGTAAATAGTTACCAGTGAGATGCATTGTTAGATGACAATGTCAATTGTGCCCGACTCGAGCAATTAATGGACGAGTAAATTAAGGATAAACAGCCCAAAGCTCTGGCAAGTCAGGCTCTAGTTAGGGCTTCAACCTAGACCTAGCCCCATTAGGCAATTTCAGCGCGCAATCATAACATTCCTCTTCGGGAAGGGAAAAGACCATCAGCCAACCAGGAGGTAGGGCAGTTTGTAGCACGTGACGTTACGTCTCGGATTTAATGAATTAATACGAGCACCTTCGCAGTCTCTTTTTTCGAATCATCCGCAACGAACCAATTCCGTCCAACCCTTGCGGATCCCGGTGCCTAGCGTAACTTGAGATGCCTCCTGATGCCACACGGCGGATTACGCGGACAGGTCATAAGAAGTCCCGGCATGGATGCTTGCGTTGCAAATTGCGCCACGTCAAGGTACAAGTTTATTCCCAAAAGAAGAGAAAAGAAAAGAATCGGAAAGGGGAACAAGGGGCTAGGAAAGAATATAGACTGACTCGCTACCTAGTGTGACGAACAGCAGCCTTGTCAAAATTGTACGAGGCACAATGTTGAATGCAGCTTGCTGCAGAATCCACGGGCCAAATATCCACCGGTGATTTCAGCTGGTTTGCGTTTGCCCTCAGGAGCAGAACGCATAAAGTCAAGTGATATATCGACACGTCCGCCTTCAATAAACAACTGCCAGGAACGACCTAGTCTGTTATCAAAGGTTTCTCAGCTTAAGAATATCGCGTCTGAACTCGAGAACGAGATTAAAAGCCAGGCACGCGAGCATCGGGCTGACAGTGCACACCCGATCTCGTTGGATAGCAAAACTGTTTCTCCAGATTGGATGAAGAGTCTCCAGCTCCTCCATCATTATTACATGTCAACATGCTTGACACTTAATCATGATGATGCCACCTTACATATGTGGAGGACAGTGGTACCGGAGCTCGCTGTGTCACATGTTAGTAGACCCTTCCCGGATTGCCCTGTCTGTTCGATTGACGGCTATTCAGGAACTACTGATGCACGGCTTACTCGCCATTTCAGCATTGCATTATGCTCATACGCATCCTGATGAGCGCAAGTCGTATATATTGGTATCAAATTACCATCAGGATCGGGCTTTGGATTTCTTCTCGACCATGCTAACGGATATAAATGACCATACCTGTGAGGCTTTTTTCATATTGGCCATTTTTGTATTCTTACTTGCGGCTTGGTCTGTCGCGAACCCTCAGGATCAGGTAGAACCCCATGGCCTAGGGGCTATCACGCAATCATTTGCCCTGATACAAGGTACGTTTCAGGTTGTTCAATGTTATTCATGCATTTTCCATATTGACGCTTCTGTATCTAGGAATTAAAGACATCATTGAGTATCCGACAGGGAAGAAATGGAGCGAAGGTCCCTTGTCACCATTGTTTGAACAGTGGGAAACGCCACACATCGATCCCTCTCTGCCATTCGCAAAGCGACTCGACAAGCTTTCCACTCTTGTCCAAACAATCAGTGACGAAAGCCACCACTTGTGTCGGGCGGGACTCGAGTCACTAAGAAAAGCATATGCTTTGCACCTCAGTACACATAGCGGGCGGCATCGCATGTGGATGTGGCCGGTCGAACTAGGAAAACAGCGATTCGACTTCACTAACTGTCAACATCCGATAGCATTAGTGATCTTGGCTCACTGTGCTGCTTTGGTGAATTGCTCCGAGGGTCCTTCCTGGTTATGGGATGGATGGGGCAAGAGCGTTGTGCATATAGCTAAGCGAGAACTAAGTCAAGAGTGGCAAGAATGGCTCCAGTGGCCGTTACGATGCATCCATGATAACTTGGACGTGGACGCATGTTAGCTTGTTGCAAATTACGCGTCGTGAGAAGGCATACAAATTGGATGTGCGCGTCTCCATTGCTTGCGTACCATCAATGACAATATGGGGGATATACACGTAATCATCAGTTTCATGCGCCAACTCTAATAGAACCACGGGACTATCTTCGCTTTACACTTCAAATATCTCACCCATAGCCACACCCACTCCCTCCGCGCCAGCTCGGCTGTCGACCAAATCAAGTCGCCAACCTTTCCAATCACGGAGTTTACGTTTGACTTCACGCACCCATTCCACGCGCTTGCGTGCCTCTTCTTCTGCCTGTGCTCGTGCAAACGCATCTTCATCGAACTCATCATTGTCCTCCTCCGCAAGTAATTCCAGACTACCTCTAGTAGCCGGTGGATGATGTTGAGTGGATGCGCGCCGGTCCCAGCCGTTATTACCTCCTGTAAAAGCAGCTAAGCCACTAGATAGGACTGTAGTAAAAGAAGAATGTTGTTGGTGCTGTTGTCGGCCTTGCGCCATTTGACTCCGTCGTCTTGAGTGGCCTGGAGCGCCGCCAACGAGATCCACCTCGTCAAAGGCATTGCTTGGACTCACGGTTGTCTCAACTCTGTCGTTCTCATCATCCGCTCCGACTCCTAATTCTTTCTTTCGGTCCTTCCAGACACCGCGACGTAGGTCAAAATTTTCACCTTCGAGTTCGCGGATCCTTCGTTCAAGTCTTGAACGTTCTTCATCTTCTAGCTCATCGAGGCCTTCATTGCCTTCCACATCAGCACTCTTTTTCCTTTCGCGATCTTTTTCTTCTCGTAACCGCAGATTCTCATTCTCAACTGATGCTAATCTCTTCTTCAAGAGAGCGACTTCCTTTTCAACGTTCTCGTGTTCTCTCAATCGTAGCTGATGTCGACTTTCGGATTCTTTGTGTAAGTTGGAGAGTGCTTGTAACTTCTTATCGAGCGCTTCTGCTTTCTTTTCTGAGCTTGCCTTGGCCTCCCGTAGTTCTTCGACTTCTCGTTGTAAGGACTTGATTAGGGTCTCCGTACTTGTCTTATCCACGCCTTCCTTTAGCGCCTTTTCCGAGGCGCGTGAAATTGACTGCTTGGCATCTGAAAGCTCTTCCTGGGTTTTTTGAAGTGAGCTTTCGCTTTGCGACAGTTTCTCTTCCAGCGCGCTGATTTGACTCTTGAAGTTATCAATTGAAGTAGTTGATGCCGACAACTGTGCGCGCAAATTGGAGATCTCAATTTCCATGGCTTCTATTGTCGAGGATTTGAACTCTAGTTGTTGCACAAGCTCGGATGGTGGAGAATCCGAGTGGCCAGCACTGGCCTTGTGGGTTTTGGACTGTAGCAAAGAGTTTTGCCGTTTCAAAGACGCGATTTCAGTTTTCTATAATGCGATCAGTAAGAGATTCCCTATACAGATGAAAGAGAACATACCAGTGATTCAAGTTCGGCGACTTGCTTTTCAGCTTTTGCTAAGCGGTCTTTCAGCTCAATCACCTCAACGCTAGACTCACGAAGATCTTCAAGTTCTTCTTCCGCCTTCTCTCTGCGCACATTCGCGTTGTTAAACTCTTTTTCCAGCCTTTTATTCTCCTTCTCCAACTCTTCTAGCCTAGCAGCTTGTTTCCGAAACACCTCATGGATTTGTTCATCACCGGGCGTCAATGGTGGCAAGGGGGGGGACTTGATGCTAGACCCTGGTGATGCTGCGGTTGATATCGAGTTTCGAAATGAAGAAGATCGCAATTTCGACTGCACGGATAGAGAAGGTTGTCGTTTATGCGCTCCTCTGACTGGGAGTTCCTTCGTCTCGTCGGGGCTAGTTTCAGGTTCGGGGGAAAGCGGCGCATCAGGCATAGGTTCGGTGGGAGCCTCTTGGTGTTCTTCTTCCTTCTCCTTCTCCTCTTGCTCAACTATCGGTTCAGGTGCCTGTTGTGCTACTTCTGTTTCTGGTGTCTCGACCGTAGGCTTGTCATCGCCGGCAGGCTTCTCCGTCGTCGTTTCGTCCTTGCTTGAGTCTCCAGCGGTGGATTTCTTCGCTCCTTTCTTGCCTTTTTGTTTCTGCATTTGCGCTACCTGGTTTTGACAAATATTGTCAGCCGCAATCAAATAAAGCATCGTTGTTGTTGTTGTTGTTGTTGTTGTACCACTTACTCGCTTTCGGGCAGCGGCAAGCTTCTCAGCCTTGGCCTTCTCCTCGTCGTCCGCCATTTTGTCGAATATATGATGTTTCAGACCAATATAGTTGATTGTGCGGCTTGGAATTGACTAATTCATGGACGTTGTACTTCTTGTGGGCACTAAGCTAGAGCTGTTGTATGGATGTAGTTCGGTGGGGACAGCGTAGAAGGGACAGCTTGCTACACGCACGGGCCACACATGAACACTTAAGTTCAAAGTATGCATTCTTCCGAATCTTAATTTTCAATCTTTGGTCAAAACAAAATGTCTGCAGAATCGTGTCATTCTACCTAGATGATCTCAGATGAAGATATGAAACTAACTCGGCTCTACTAAGTTCTACCAGGGCTACGTCTCATTTGTAAATATCTACAAAGATGCAAGAACAGTTTCGGCACCGGATTTCTAGAAAAAAGGGAGTTAGTAGCTGAAGTAGTTATTGCTTCGAATTGGACTGGACGTACCTTGAGGGAACCTCGCTCGGTTTCAATATCAGCGTAAGTGACCTTACCATGGTCAATGACCAGGGCATAACGGCCAGTGCGTCCAGAGGCAGGGTCCGCCCAGCCTATGCTCTTGGAAAACTTCGCGTCGGGGTCTGACAAGAAGAGCTGCATACGATTAGCTCGATGAAAATGCCGTTTCCGGGGAAATTATCGTACAATTGAGTCGTCGGTAATCTTGTTAGCCTTTCCCCAAGCGCTCATCACGAAGGGATCATTGAAGGCCAGGACAGCAACAACGTCGACTCCCTTTGCTTTGAGTTGAGGCAGGTTCTTGATGTATCCGGGCAAGTGGCTCACGGAGCAAGTGGGAGTGAAGGCGCCTAGAAGATTTGGAAAGAATAATGAGACAGACGTGTTGACCAATAAACAGAGCATCATTGCACTCACCAGGCACAGAGAAGAGAACGACCTTCTTGTCTGCCCACTCCTTGGAGGCATTGTAGTTGACGGGAATACCACAGGAAGTGATGTCGCCAGACTCCTCAGTATAGGGGATGTAGCTGAAGATGTTAGTAACCCCTGTTAGACAGTGCAGAAATAACTCACGAGAAGACGACATCGCTGGGGAAGCTGTCACCGGGCTTGAGGGTAGTCATATCGCTTAATGAAATGAGACGTTTAAATTATCGGAAGTAGTGTTTGTTGATAGAGAATGTCGAGATGAGGCATTGATAAGATCTGCAGCGGGGAAGTACTGCGGGGACTAACTTACACATAGTATTCGGATTAGTCATTGCACCGCCAAAGCACGTCTTAAACCCCCGATTTCTCAGGCACTAATTGATCTCGGAACGGATCCTCCAATTCCGAGCTTGCTGCCTACGTACAGAGTACTACGTAGTATATTGAGCTCAGCACTCAACCTCAAACTCAGGCGAGTTTGGCATTCAGCCGGAAATGTTCCGGCAACCCTATATTTCCCAAACAGTGAGACATGTGTGGCGCAGTCACGCCAGACTAGGCTGAGAGACGTTAGCCGCAGTCGGTGTCCCAAAAGGTTAATGGAAACTCCCCGGGCTCTGGCCAGTTCTTTTTCCTCATTAATTTTCGGATAACTGGGCTCTTATAGAGACTCTTATAGCCTTATCGGCCCGTACTTTATTTTGACAACTACACTGTGCTGTCCAGCATGCCATGATCTGACTCAACCATGCTTTCCTTGTCCAGGCTGATGTGATCTGTCTCTTTGCCGAAGTCATCAAACTACGGCCTTGGCAGCCTGCGAGTTACTCAAGCTCCATTATTGAATTGCCTCATTTATGGAGGACCCGAAATCTCAGGCGTCTTCGCAGGAGAAGCCGGAAGTCAGTCCAACTCTTGCGCCTGAATCCGCCCCAAAACCTCTAAGACGGAGACGTCGTGTTCCCATCGCATGCGCGAGCTGTCGTCTCCGGAAAACGAAATGTGAGCACATTGTGCCAAGGAACAACACCTTGCGCAGACTCTCGGGACAAGATGCCGGCGCATACGAGTGAGTGGATTGATCCAGTCTGGCTATCAGAACTAAGCTAAATCTCGATTCAGTTACATTCGTTCTCTTGAAGACAAGGTCGAACAGTACGAGGCACAGCTAAGAACACTACATAGTAATCACCGCCATGGAACAAACTATCAACCAATCAATCACAAGCCCTCAGGCCAGTTGCCGACACCCACGCTTCATAACAGACAAGCATCTATTTCATTGCCGCCGATTGTTGCACGTTCGCCTCTTGTTCTCGATCAGGGCCCAGCCGCTATTACAGCAGCGTCGCCTTCACTATTTTTGGGCGGAGATGGCGCCGTCTCATTCACTCAGATGATCCTCAATGCGATGAATCCGGATGCTCCGAGCAGAGTCCAGTCATCCACCCAATTCTTCGCGTCGCCTCGTGATCCATCTCGAGAAATGCCTGATGCCAAACTTCACGATCTCCCTCCAGATGTGCGTGAGCTGGTCCAGCGGTACTTTGACTTCCATCATGTGTTGACTCCAATCTTTCATGTTCCTTCGATTCGACCCCGGATTGAGCAGGCTCTGGCAATGGATCGTACACGCCGATATGAAGATCCCTATACGCTGGCCATGATAAATATGATCTGCGCTATTGCCGCGGCACACAGGCGAAATGGATATGAGACATCAACCGTTCAGACTCGAAAGTACTACGACCGCGCTATGGCACTTGTTGGCCCAACCATATTATTCGATTGGTCAGTTGAAAAAGTACAGATATTATTACTAGGGGCCCGCTATCTTCAAAGTTCGAATTTTCCTGACGAGAGCTGGACTCTTCTCGGCTTGGCTATCCGGATTGCTCAAGGCTTAGAACTTCATCGGCCGCCGCCAGCTCATCTAGACTGTATTCAGAAGGAAGTCCGGAAGCGTTTGTGGTATGCTTGTTATTCAACCGATCAGCTGGCCAGTGCCATATACGGACGGCCCGTTTCCACTGCATCAAATACGTTTACTACTCCGCTTCCAGAGGATCTGGATGATGACCGTATTCAACCATCTCAACTTCTCTACCCCTCAACACCCACCTTGTCTCTCATGACTCATTCAATCCAGGCAGTGAAACTATGCCGAATTATGGAAGCAGCCGCGGCACTTGTGAATCCACCGCCAGAAAAGATTATGGAACTGGACGAGCAGTTCGAAGCCTGGGACGCACAACTCCCTTCTTCCTTCAGGATCTATGAGCACGGGCCGGTTCCAGATGACACGAAATTGATAATGGCGATGAGAGCCAACATGACGAGAATCCTGATACATCGGCACTCAGTGGTCACCTCTTTGGGCTTGTTGGCTCGAGGCGAGCGACTCGTTCCTCCATCGGGCGGTCTGCGGGCCAATATGATGCAAAACAGTCGACAGATATGTGTCCGGAGTGCACAGGAAACGATACGTTTGGTTGGCCGGCGCCACGATACGACAAAGGCGGTTACGGGACCGAGCTGGTTTAATTTGTATTACTGTAAGCTTCCATTCTTCCCGCCCCGACTTTGAGAAGATACATGTACTTACATTTCTATTAACCAGTATTCAACGCTATTCTCATTATTGCTTCTCATGTTGTCGTTCCCGAGTTTCGCGATGATAAAGAAACACTGGCACATCTCGAAGATGGCATGCGAATGATAGCGCAAATGAGTGCAAACCATACGACTGCGAGACGAGCACACATTTTCTTGCGGCAGTTACTGGACCTGGTAGAAAAGGTGTTACCTCAGCAGGCCCTGAACTCAGTACGCAAGCCATCATTATCAACGACTTCTAGTTCTTCGTCAATGGTGCCGCCAACCCAATCTTCAGTCCCGATAACGGCCGAGGGTCCATCTAATAACTATACCAATTTTGCACAGACTCCCAGGGAATTTATGCAATTATGGGACAGCACGGTGGATTTGACGACTGCCTTGGGTTCGCAACTTGAATACTTTTCATCAATGGGCTCCGGGATGTGGTCCTGGGGAAATCAGGCTCAAGATACCAGACCGTATACGATGATGCCGTCTGGTATTGTTCCGTAGTTCACGCCCATGATGAATTATGAACTGTTCATTCTCGCCTTTCAATGAAGCATGAGTTACGACAGGAGCGACAAACGGGGCGTTTGTGGGTTCGATTGGAGTTATATATGTATACGATGGGCGGCGCTTTGGGATTATCTGTAGTCGACCTTGATCTACAGCTCCTCGTTGATCATCAAAAATATCCTTGACAAAGTCACGTGTACTGCAGTTGTACGTAATTGTATGCGTATTGTCACGTATTTAATTCTGCAGCCGGATCCACGCCGGGGCCGAGAGACCGCATCTTCCTATTGGCCAACAGATCGTAATACCAGACACGCAACGAACATAGCCACAGATGCCGTAAGACGGATAACGGAAGCCGCGATCATACGACTTCAGTCAGTATTCTTCACCCCGGCAGTTCGCCCATCAACACCCAATCTGAATCCAACACTCTGTAACAATTAGAGCTTGACCAATCATCCGGAGATCTGCTAGGCAGTCACGTTTCTTTGTGCTCAACATCTGTCACGTGTTCGGAGGGCCAATAGAAGCTTGCATCAATTCTATTGATACTCGACAGTCTTATCAACCTTCAAACTCCTGTCCCCTGTCCATCAGTCTGATTCAATCAACAGGTATCTCTTGCTGCAAACGCATGACACAACCATCCCAGTTCAATGGCAACCGCTATTTACAGCCCACTCCCATGGAAGAATCGGTAGGGCACGGCGTCCTTGCCGGACATTCCAACGACACACAAGACCAGGACTGGTCGCAATGGATGCAATGGGATTGGGATGATACCAGCCCCGGTGCTATATCGAAAAGTGACATTGATTATTCAGATCTAAGTCCGAATTCTGGCACAACAACACTACGGACAATTGACAACACCGAATTGATATCGGACCCGCTATTTCCAGCCTCTAATGCAAGACAGATCATGGCCAATCCTTCCAGACTTCAACCTGGAAGTCAAGGTCTAGCATCTTTGGCTCGGCGTCGCAATAACGGAGGTGCCAAAGCAGACCAGAATTCAAGTCGAAAGCGAAAGACTTCTAGCGAGGATGATGATGGCTCTATAAAAGCAGATGATTCTCCTCCAGAATCAAAACCACAACCATCAAAGAAACGCTCACATAACGTCGTAGAGAAACGATATCGAGCTAATTTAAATGAAAAGATTGGCGAGCTCAGGGATAGTATTCCGAGTCTTCGCGGTTTAACCAGAGATATCAATGGAGGGGCTTCGACACATGACGATGACTTCTCAAGCGGAAATAAGCTCAACAAAGCGTCGATCCTGTCCAAGGCAACTGAATACATCCGCCATCTGGAATTGCGAAATAGGCGACTTGAAGAAGAGAATCAAGCTCTAAAAGCAAGACTACGCCAACTCGACAAGGCCGTCATTATCGAGCAATCAGCATCGATATCTGTTGGGTCAGCCTCGTCACCGGACAGTTATTCGGGAACCATTGATAGCATTGAATCACCACCGAGCGTCTTCTCGCACACAGAAGATTCTCCCCATTCCCGAAAGACGTCAACGTCTAATAATCCTCCTGAAGGCATGATCAAAGTCCCGGATTACATTAAGAAAATGCGAGCCATGGCACCTCCGCAAGGTATCTTTGCCGAATCTTATATCAAGGATGGCCCCAAACCTCAACAGCAAAATGGACAGGTTCGCAGAGGCATGACTCCAGGGGGTAAACTTTTCTTGGGCACCATTGCGGGTTTGATGGTTTTGCAAAATCTCCCTGCCGAAAAGGAATCCGATTCTACCGAAAAGGGACTGCTGGCGGTTCCACTAAACGTTCTTAATGATTTTATTGCTACTACTTTGACATCAGCGCAGACAAATTTCCTGGTCTGGACTCAGGATTTGGCTCCGTGGAGTGCATGGCAGTTCAAAGCTGGGTTAAGTTTGCTGCTTACGGTCGTTCTCGTTGTTGGCAGTGCCTTTTTCGTTTTCCTCTATTTGTTTTACGCACGTCCACGGTCTGAGAACGACTCGGCAAAGATTGCTTCCGCGTCAGGAATTAGGATGACACCGGCGGAAATCAAACGGCAGGCTTGGTTAACTAGCATGCAAAGACTCGGGGTACCTCAACATCGATTCTTCCTAGAGTGGTTTGCCGTCACCTCCAGATGGGTTGAATACAGCGTTTGTTGCCTAGTTGGTCGAAGCGTGTATTCCTGGATCACTGGAATCACAGAAGAGGACGAAAAGGGTAGAATTAAGACCTGGGATATCGCAATCGATGCTCAACTGGCTGGCGGAGATACCGAAGTCAGTAAATCACGCCTCGTCCTTACCATATTTGCATCCGGCACTTTACCACGCAGTCCTGCAAGGATAATGCTAAAGGCATTCCACTGTCGTATCTTGCTTTGGCGAGTCGGTCAGCCAGGGTCGTTTGTTTCCACAGTTGCAAATCACGTCGGACGTGTGTTGGCAACTTATCAGTGGAATCTGGCACGAGAATTGAATCGATCCTTACCAAAAGATCATCCAGATGCTCTTCCAAGTCATTTGTCCGCCTTGGTTGAGACTGAGTGCAACGATGTTTTGATTGACCCCATCGTTCAGCGAGCTGTGAATTTAACCTGGAGTCGACCAACCCAGGAGGGTCTGGATGAGGATGAAGCGTTGTTGGATGTTGTAGCGGAGGACCCAGCTGTTCAAACATTTGCCGATAGCATTGCAGCCTGGTGGTCAAGCCACGTACTGCAGACTGCTCTGTTGAATTCATTCAATATCGATTCTGACGGAGGATATGGAAAAAAGAAGCTTGAACAACAAATTAATCTTGCTCTACAAGTCGCGCCACGTCTATCTGCCGCCCACACTAGAGCAGCAGCTATGCGAGCAGTGTTGTATGAACAGAATAGACTCTACGACATCAAAACAGTGCTCAACGCATTACCATCAAAGAAAGCCCATCAAAGAACCCAGGAAGTTTCGAATTTCCTCGATTCGTCCATACCCATGTCAGTACGAAACGAACTCGCCATCTCCGTCCGATGCGCAATGATAGCGGCGATTATCCGAGCGCGAACAACCAACGATACTACCTTCCCATCACATTTGACCATCCGAAAAGCAATCAACTGGCTCAACCAACTTCCTCTCGATCCTCTCGAATTAACCCTAATCAGCTTCACAGCAGTCTATCATCTGCTTCATAGCGTCGTAGCCTACGGCGACCTTCTATCCACATCCGCCTCCTCCTCATCACCGTCCGCAACATCATCCGACTTTTCAATTTCCACCACCAAATCCGCCCCTCCACCCTCATCATCATCTTTACAACCCGATTTCCCATCCCCACAAACCCACAAACGCGTCCGCTCCAACAGCGCCTCCGAACCAACCCCTCAATACAGCCGGATCGCAAATGATCTCGTCTACTGGGCCCGAAACGCATACAATCCCGCCTTCTACGGGTTGACGGGACACATGGTCGACACAGTCGAAGCAGAATGCGTGTCGATTTGTAAGAATGTGGGTATTGATTTGATGGCTCAAGATTCTTCGAAGGTGTTATTGCAGACGAGTATTCGAAGATTGATTAATAACGAAGAGAGGGGGAAATATCAGAAACATGGCCGAGCGAAAACGGGTAGCGGTGGTGGTAAGGAGGAAAAGGGGGATTATACGAGACGTAAAAGTCTTGAGAGTAACGATACGGGATATGCGAGTGATTCTCGATGATGAGCGGGCGAGCTTTCCAACTTTATGTGGGCTTTTGCCTTGGGTGCATGTGTTACTTATACTTTCAGGCGGTGTTAGGGCTTGGGGCATTGTGATAGGTAATGGGAACCTGGAAACCTCAAATTAACTCATAAATGAAATAATATCATGATCCAAATCTCTACAATCAGGTTATTAATGTATATTCAAATTGAGCATGCATTCTCAAGACAGAAACATCACTTGAAAAACATATATCGATCTGGATACGGAATCTGCAAACAAACCGAAACCACACGCCCAAGAAAGAAGGAATTACTTCACCACGAAAAACTCTCCTCAAAAAACTCCACTGTTTTCCTCCCCTGTACTTCCCTGACAGCCTTGCGAACCTCATCGCCCATTCCACCTGGTCCACAAACACTAACCGCCATAGCGCCAATCTGTTGCGCAATTTCTCGGTCCAGGATTTGTCGAAAGAGTGGCTTGCCTAGATTTATTGTTACGGGTGCTGTTGGAGAGCTGAGTTGGGTCCAGTCTTGAAAGGAGGAGGATTGCGCGGTTGTGTTTATGTCTATTTTGTTTATGCCGGGCGTTATGATTCGTGCTTTTTCGTCATCGTGTTCGTAGTAATATTGGTCTATGGTTTTGTTCAATTGGGATGAAGAGGAGGATTCTTTGGATTTGGATAGTTCAGTGGAAGGGCGAGGGTAAGGATATGGACGAGAGAAAGAGGTTGATCCGTATGGAAAGGCTTTGGTGTGTGCTGGAGACACAGGGGTGATATCGTAGAAAGGGACGTTGTTGGTTTTCTCTGGGTTGCAGATGATGGATGAATACCTGGCTGGTATTGGGTCGGTATTGAACACATTTGTGTTGCTGCTGCTGTAGTATGTGGTCAGGTGTGCGTTGATAGAGAGGGAGAGTGTGCGTTCAGAGTATGTGCAATTGTCGAGGGAGTAAGGATTTCGAGAGTTCATTGTCGATGCATTTGAAAATGCAACCGAGCTTTGTACAACAGGATGGTTCAGGATGTAGGTCATCCAGGGTTGAACCCATTGGAGATGTTCTGTTCTGTCAACATACTCATACATTGATATGCCGATTCGGAGGTAAACTTACCAATACTGCGCACCACCCATACCAATGTAATTCGACGAGTTGCTACAGAGCCTCTCGCGAACACGTCAGCCAGCTCTCGGAGGTATGAGATTGAATGGGTGATTCCAATGCCTCCCGCGATCAACACAGTAGAGCCATATGAATCGAACGAGCGAATAGCTCCTTCACTTTGTTAGTTTAGTGCTTGAAAGAGCTATGGAGAAGTAAATGTTGAGATTGTACACACCAAAAGGTCCCTCAGCCAGAGCCAAAACCTGACGTTGAAGACTATATTCTAATCCAACCGATTTCAGCATCTTCTTCGTAAAGCCATTCCGTTTCCGAATGAGAAAGGACACCGTGTATCTTGTGTCCCGATCAGTCCCACTCAGAATACTTCTGATCGAGCTATTGCTGCCATTTTCCGACCCTATCACTGGATAGAATGAGTTATATGTTTTGTCGACCGATTCCCAGGCGACAGAAAATGGATGAGATGTTCATAATTCTAAGGCAGGTATATATAAGTACATGTATTGACCGGCTTTGAACTTCCATGGGCGAATAACCGTCACGTCGACTCGCGCAACATCCCCTGGGAGAAGATGGATAGTGGCTGATGTTAGACTCTTGCCGCAGTTTCGCCATATAACAATAACCAGTCGAAGAAATCTCTATTAACTTGTAAGCGTGGCTCATAATAATATTTGCAAATAGACCACTTACATCCATAGCCCAAGCTACCAAAGCTGCAAGAAATACCCATTTATGCACGAACTTATATAGATGATACCACAGCGCAACAAATGAAGCCGTCACCAGAACAAGGTGAAAATGGAGGAAGAACTCGTGAAATGCGTGGCGGAATGGGGATAGTGATTGAAAGAAGATGGTGACAAAAGCTATAGTGGCCTTAATTCGACGTCAATATCAAGAAACAACCATTTTGTCATAAGCAGGAGCTCCTTACCATAAACCCATAAGTGAATATCGGAATATGGAACAAATGTTCCGGAATCGTGTTCCAACCCTCTAAGGTCGCTGAATTAGCCAATAACTTTGCATACTTCCAATAAGGGGTTTGCTTGTTTACTCACTCCATATACCAACACGAACAAGCACCGCAACAGTATGAGCAATAGCTTCCGTCACAATAATCCTACCCAACCACCGATGAATGAGATTGAACGTATGAAATGATACTCTCAGTAGCAGAATCAAAGGATTATTTCTGCCAGCAGTAATGACCAACGGAACGAGGTTGACAATTGCCAGCATCCCTGTTGTGCCTATCAAACCGTGCAGCGATTGACTGAGGTTCTGAGACCAATCGATTACGACGACACAAAACAACATGTTCAACGCGATATAAGATGCTATCAGCAATGTCTCAAGCCGTGTTGGGATTGTGCCCATATTTATATGACCTCGATATATGCGGAATTCACGATTGTGTCTCCGTTCGAATAACGGTGCATAGAGTAGATGTCGATTGAGCAATGTTTTAAAGCGGCTCGGACGAGTAAAGGAGACTTCGCAATCACGGCGGACTGCAAATTTCAAACGCTGACTGCTTACAAAATCCGACCAAACTCGATGAATGAAGATAATGACGGCGCAGCTAACTAGTCCCATTATAGGTACGTAGATAAGAGCCCCCACGGGAGAGACCTCGTGGGATTTCTCATGGCTGGTTCTTGCATCTCCTTGGTGACTTGCTGCCATATTTGCGGTGCTGGGGCCTTTTCCATCCATTGTTGCTTCGGTATGTCTTATCTGTTGTCAAACCTGGGAGAGTTTCCTCCACGGATACTGAAGAACATGGAACATTGCACTCGAAACGGTGCGTACAATGAACTTTTTGCTCTGTATGCTAAAGGAGGTGTGGTTTCCTTTTTCAGTCTCTATTATGTCATGAAGTTGGCAAAGGGTATACCTGACAGGACTTTGAAGGAGGTAATGGCATCTTGTGCACCAGTAGTTCCCATCGAGCGAGGGATTGATGTCCCATGCACCAGTCATGCTTGATAAGGCGGGAACTGCCAATCTCACACTTTCAGGATACCGAGGAATGAGTGACGTTTACACAAGGCTCCCAATAGCCAGAGAATTTTTGCAGATATCCCTCATTATGGAAGGTGTGGAATGTCGAATCGAGAGGAAGGGGTCAGAGGATTTCCTGAATGTGGCCGGTGCTGATAAGCTGGGCGTAATTGTCTGGAATGTTTGTGGATGACCATTCGCCAAGACGATATTCGATTGACTTTCATATCCAACTGCTGGTCTCGTGAAGACTTTGAAAAGAGGAAGAGACGTCGCCAGTGTGTGATCTGATAGAAATGGAAGGTACAAGCAGTTGCCTCAGGCAGTAAGCCATAGCCCTAAAGCGGTCCGAAATGGGAAGGCTTGTTTTGCAATGGCAACCCAACATTTCCAGCATTACTCAGAATGACTCTCAATCTCTGGAATGTATGATCTTGCTAGTGGACGCATATATTGCAAGTGTTAAAACAAGAACGTGGCGAAGGACACATCAATCTTATTGTGTGTCAGTGTCGGGGTTAGGGTTAGGACTTGACCGTTCCTCTTCCATGGGGAGAAGCCGTCGGGATAATTCTTTCAGGCAGGAAGGAATATTAAGATAGTCCCATATTCATCTTAATCGATGATTAAACATGAACAAAAAGTCCAAGCGATCTGCAACTCAGATCGATTCGATCAAGGTTTGACCTTCAACATCCCTGGGACTGTAAGTGCGGACAATTTTTCAACAAGGATTCGAGTAGAAACGATACATCGGAGCGGGCGTCGTGAGCTGACATTTCGAAAAACACCACTCGGATACCGTTCACCGTTCTCGGCGTTGTGTTACCGCCCCCATTTGCTTGAACGGTCCGAGTACTAATTGGCCCTGCGAGATATGGAGGGGTCAAGGCATGATGGGAGCAGGGGTGTGAAATACGAATTTTTCTGATAAGCCTTGTGCCCAGATGGATGTGATTACTACTTTCACATTACTTCCTATAGTCAGTCACTGATCGTAATTTCAACTCTGCAATCAAGTCTACTTGACGAGCTCCGGAGATAAACGACAACATGGGGAGAAAAATCCGTATCCTCGGTCTTCATGGATACGGCACGAGTGGAGCTATCTTTTCATCGCAAACCAGTAAACATTTCTTTGATCATCTCTTAATAGACCTACTTACTGACAAGTTCAAGCATCCTTCCGCCGCTTCCTCCAACAACAACAACAACAACACGACCAAACCGGAGATGGCGACGAATTCGACTTCGACTTCGCCAACGGACCCCTCGACTCGGGTCCAGCAGCGGGCATAGAACTCTTCTACAACCCTCCATATTACCAATGGTGGCCCGCCGACCCAACGCTGGAAGACATGACAAAAGCGCGCGAAAGACTAAAAATCTATCTTAAACAAAACGGGCCCTACGACGGGGTCATCATGTTCTCGCAGGGCTGCACGTTGGGTGCTAGTCTGCTATTAGAGCATTATAAAGAAACGCCTCAAGACCCGCCGCCGTTCAAATTCGCAATCTTTATCTGCGGTGGACCGTCACTTAAACAGTTAGAAGCCGAGTTTGGATTCACGATTGATGCGGAATTATGGGAAGTTGATCGTGCGTCGCGCAAGGCGCTCGCGCGCCGAGCTGATACAGCCGCTATCCTGGCACAGGGCTCGAATCGATGGCAGAATGATGTTAACGATATAACCGATTACTCAATCAAGGAATTAGTACAGATGGTTCGCGGACCGTATCAGATCAGAATTCCTACTGTGCATGTTGTTGGTGCCAAGGATCCGAGGAATTTGGCTGGTCATCAGTTACATGCTCTCAGTCATCCGGATATTACTAAGATTTATGAGCATGAGGGCGGTCATGATATTCCTAGAAATGAGACCACAAGTACCACTATTGCTAGACTGGTGAGATGGGTGTCTTCGTCTATGATTTGGGATAAGGCGAAGCAGATCAATGGTATATGATCGGCTCTTATTATCATTTTGATCGCGTGTTTATAGCAATATGCATAAGTCAATAGAAAAATTCTATAGATATCAATACATTACCCTTACTAAGACCCACGAACGCAAGCAGAAGCTATTTTTTTTTTTTTTAAAACCCCCCAAAGACGTCACGGTGTTCTAGCAAATCCATCAAGCCCAATGCACCATACATGCAAATTAGCATAAGGTATCAGGTGTACGTATAGCCAAAAAGAAAAAAAAATTCATCCCCAAAGGCGCCTCTAAACGGTGAGGTAAGATAATTCAACATTCTGATTAGACAGCAGTCTCTTCACTGTCTATCACCCCAGTCGGCTGAGTCTTCGCCTTGACTTCCCGTACCGCGTCTCGCTTCTCCCGGCCATATCGAGAGAAGACGCCATGCTTGTCGTTGTGGTTTTGTGAGGCGATCAATAAATAACAGCTACCGATAGTGGCAATCATGCCAGGCCAGAGAAGGACGACGGAAGCAATGCATTTAGGATTGTGGCGGTAGTCTGGAAGCAAGTTAGTATTTTACAGAAGATATGTGAAAAAGCCAACGTACAAAGATTCGGATTCTTAATGGACGCTTCCAAAAGCCGGGATGCTTCAGCTGCATCAACGCCGGAGATGTATGCGTGTCTGGTAGCGACGATCACCTACCAATCATCGGATTAACATAAAACCTCTGTTATTAGCATAGGAAGGTTGACATACCGTCATCGCAATAGCATCGGCAAAACACATGACGGTAACAGCTACCGCGGAAATCTTCCAAGAAAGACGAACCGAGCGACTCTCATGACGTTCCGGCCAAAACAAATCGAAGAAGAACGCCGCTCCAAAAATGGTAGCAACCGCAATTCCCACAAAGATATTATACGAAGCGATTCCGACAAAATCATCGTTGTATTCTGCGGCTAAATTGTTCATTTTCTCGATGAATGATTGCTGGTCGACGTAATCTGTATATCCGAGTATTAGAGATGCTCATTCGGAATGTAAAGTATGGATAGAAATCGCACCGGACAAGGCTGCCGTGCCTACTGATTCGGAACAGACGCAAAGGATCATGGCGATCTGGTATATAACCATTTTGACCCTCCGTAAATGATATATCCTGTTGAACATGTACGACGACTTGAATTTGGACCACTGCATTTCGTGCAGGTCCAAGCCCCATATCACAGCCATGAAGGATAAATATAACGCACGATATTTGCGATATCAAATTCCGAGATAGATAGTTGTCGGTATTCAGGTGGCTTTTATGATAAGAGATTTTCCTTCCTGACTGCCTTAGAAACGGATTTTTTTTCCTTCGAACGGCTTCCACTTCCGGTTGTGACGGACGTAAATAAATTGCTGGATGGAAGAGACTCAAGTGACGGGAGCGACTCGTCTAATAGGAAAAAGAGACGCCAGGTTAGGAAGAAGAGTCCGGAAGAGTTGTCAAGGAGCCTCTTATGATCTGAATAATACCCTGAGACGGAAATAGAGAGAGTTGTTGATGTTGCAGAACGGAGAATGTGAGGCAATGACGTCATGGGGTCATTTGGCCTGTTAAATCCGTCCTCTCCGTCTATCTGTATAGTGCGCTATTCGAGAAGAGACAATCTACAGAATGACGCCTAGCGAAGCGAAGATCTCTTGTCTGTTTCTTGTTTCTCCGTCTCGACACCTGCCAAGCAATCAAGATGTTTCGCTGGCCCAATCCGCTTGTCGGCTACCTGACGTCGTCTCGAACGCTACCGGCAGACGCTGCGGTCAGGCCAGGTCAAAGCCATTGCCGATCAATAAGATTAAGATCTGATAATCTGATATGAGGTAGACTTGAGATCCATTTCAAGGTCAACTGCCCAATCGAAGAAAAGCGAAGGACTTCACAGTCAGGCTGCAGCCATGGTATGTTCCAGGATGCTTAGGATCCAACATGCGACAGAGCGAAGATCATGACAGAATATCGAACTCCAAAGAAAAGAGTTTTGGTCAAACAATTAGACAGAAAAAGATAGAACTCTCGTGAGCGTCACTTGAGTGAGTGGAATTGTTTCTACTCGAAGACCACGGGCCGTCGTTTTTCCGGCTTTACCTAAGCAGCTAAGCTTTGTTTCTTGCGGAAACGGAAATTTTGACGGAGCAAGAACTGAGCTACTCGACTGCACACGTTATTGGACTCCTTCATAACGTACATAATGATCGAGCCTACTGCGACCATATCACCCCTCGGTCGCTCAGATGGCTCCGCCATCTACACTTGTCCGTCCACTGGTTTTCAGATTCTGGGGTCTGTCAACGGGCCAATCGAACTGCCTGCTCGTCGAGACGCCCAAAAACCCGAAGAGGCCACGATCGAGGTCCTGGTGAAGCCTGCAACCGCCCAAAGTGCAATCGGAGAGAGATACGTGGAGAATATATTGAAGTCTCTCCTGGGTAAAGTCATTCTTGGAAGAGAAAAGGGTTTTGCAAGGCGGGGTATTGTGGTTACTCTGCTGATCCAAGGGAGCTCGAGTGATGGAAAAATAAATAGAGGGGACTCTGTACGTCTGATGTGTTGCATTTGAGGTTTACTGTAGTTTTGGCGCTAATGAAACTTCTCCGACAGTACTTGCCTGCTCTACCTGCTCTTCTTCACGCGGCACTTCTTGCTCTGCTATCTGCCGCCATACCATTGTCAATGACCTATACATCCGCAATCGTTGCCGTCAGCTCCTCGAATCAAATCATCCGCGAGCCTTCTCTAGACGATTGCGCAAAAGCCAAGTCGCTCCATGTCCTCGCATTTTCATCAAAGGGCCACTTGCTCCTGACTGAAAGTCAGGGATCCTTCGATTTTGATACTTGGGACCGGGTCTATGAGCAGGCACTTTCAATTTGTCGAGACTCGAAAGTCACAAGCCAGGATGGTGATATTTCAATGGATGCGAAACACAATCTAGAGAACTTCGTTAGAGAAACAGTTGAACACAAGCTTGCCTTGGATTATGCATGGTCAGACACAGCGGCATGATAGTTTCAACATCTTGTTGGAATGGATAGTTGCCGGATTTGAAGGATCAGCCTTCTGCCAGGGATCACGGAGGCACTCCTGCTACGACGATTCGATTCGCGAGAAAACCAATTGAGCATCCTGCTTGTGGTGGCGCATGTGGCATTCGCTACCTGTCTTGAGACTACTGCTGAGGCTTGCGTGTGACACCGGCCTTCAGGGGCGTCGGCCCGAATCTTGTAAACGGGTCCGGACTAGGTTTCGCGGCGACCCTTTCCAGTCTTATCCAGAGCTTGGTGGGGAGCATCCGGCTGCACAATTTATGGGATACTACTAGCATGTTTGACAGGTGGCACATTGTTAAACACGTGTGATGTTCAGGCAAGGTCTTTGCCAAGAAAGTTCAACTCGTTAGCTTGATATGTGTTGCTATCTATATCCATAAAGGGTAGTCAGCTAGGGGTCTAGGATTTTTTTAAAGGAAAAAAAGAATAAAAAATAAAAAATCAAGCACTTGAATGAAGCAACCTGAAACCCCAAAGCGTGTCACCCAGTGACAGCTAGTTCTTCAGCAAGTAGTTCTGGTCAATACGAAACGCCGACTCCGTTGTTTGAGATCAAAAAGCATCTAGAAGCTCCACCTGATATCGTAATTTATGACTGTAATGGCATTACGCGCGTATCAAACACCGTCATCATACTAATGATTCAGCAACGAGTATGAAGGACTGTCTGACTCTTAAGACCGCGCTATATAATATCAATGCTGCTTTATGCTCTTCACTTGGCTGCGAGTATTTTGTTGACTTAGTCGTCTCAGCGCTGTGGGATTTACACCGATAAGACCGTATTTACCAGTCGGATATTGCTCCATCTGCCCCACGTCCCACCATTCTCGACTTATCTATCTCCGGCTTCACGACTCGCTTCATGTCGAACTGTCTCGTCGCTATATCTAGCTTCTAATGCTCCGTGTTCATTTCAGGGTTATAAGAATGACATTGGTCACGTCCTATATACATCGGCACTCTACGTCCTTTTTCTAAATCACATCAGTATTCGCAATCGCAAGCCAACCAGCTTGCTTACTGTACGCTGAAGCGGTCCGTGAGCGGGCCCCGTCAACAGTCTTATTGGTGTGCGACTGTGTGCAGCATCGGTTAAACTACTAATCGACTAGACCGCTGGACGGCCGACGACTACTAATCATTATTCAGCCGAATTAGTGATCACTCTGGTGACTGGGCAGTGGGTACAAGCCCAAAAATAACAACGAGTCGAAACCTCTTTCACCTAAATCCGAAATGCCACCTCCAGCCCCGGACGAGTCGCCCGTCAATACCGGTATCAGGGCCATTATGCCCGTACCAACAGAGATGCCTGCAGCCTTCACTAATCCCATATTATCCCCGCCAAATGCCGGCCGCGACGTTTCTTCTTCATCTCCAGAATTCACTCTTGCCCGGCCTTCGCTCGCCGCCTTGCAATCACACGGCTCTTCAACATCTTCTATGAGCGCTGTTGGTGGATTATTACTTCGAGATTATGCTCGCACCGCGGACCCGTCTACCACAGATCAAGACATTCATGTGAGCGAAGCACCAGTTGAGCGCCAGTCGGACGGAATTGCTCCTGCCCATCAACAAGTGGAAGAAGCGCAACGTTCAACAGCAGCAACAGCAGACAAATCAGTTACTTCGGCACCTTCAACACCGTTTCTTCCCTTACGGTCATTCCGCAAACACCGACAGAGCAGTTTATCCATAGATACGATACCACGGCAAACCATCATGAAGGCGCTAGCATCCAGACCACCTCTAAGCCGCAATACGCCATCATTCACTTTGGCCTCGTCGTTGAACGGCGTCTTGAATGGAGCAGCTGCACCCAATGGCGTTTCTCCGGATGAGACGGAACAAAATACAGCTAATTCTCAAACGTTGTCAGCGGCTCTGTGCAACCTACAATCACAGGCGAGTGCTTACTCAGACGGTCCCTTGGCGACAGCCCGACTACCGTTACAATCGCCGTGCTTTTTCCATCAACGCTTTGATGATGCAGTCAATATCCAGAAAGTATTGGAAGAAATAGCAGATGATGAATGGCTATCACATTCACGTCTGGTACAGACGGCCACCGGAGTCAGAGAAGTGTCAAAACAGTTGCAACGACGACCTATCAAGCGCGCCGTCAAGACTGTGATGATAGTCACCAAGGCGCGGGATAATCGTCTTGTCTATTTGACCCGTGAACTAGCCGAATGGCTTCTAAGTACCCCGCGGTACGGAAAGGATGTAGGGGTTACTGTATATGTGGATTCGAAACTGCGCAATTCCAAAAGATTCGATGCTGCAGGCCTGCAGGCCAAGGATCCTCGCTTCGAGTCGATGTTGAAGTACTGGACTCCAGATCTATGCTGGACGTCACCAGAGAAATTTGACTTGGTCCTCACGTTAGGCGGTGATGGAACAGTCTTGTTCACATCGTGGTTGTTCCAGCGCATTGTTCCGCCCATTTTATCCTTTTCCTTGGGAAGCCTGGGCTTCCTTACCAACTTTGAATTTGAAAAGTATAAAGAACATTTAAATTCGATCATGGGCGACGGAGGAATGCGCGTCAACTTGCGTATGAGGTTTACCTGCACCGTCTATCGGGCAGACCGAAGCAAAGGCGCCGCACCGGGTGACGTTGAGGAAGGAGAGCAATTTGAAGTATTGAACGAATTGGTCATTGACCGGGGTCCTTCACCTTATGTATCGAATCTCGAGCTTTACGGAGACAATGAGCTTCTGACGGTTGTTCAAGCGGATGGTTGTATCTTTTCTACACCGACAGGTAAGCTGCCATCGACATAACCTCACAACTAATTCTAACATGTAATAGGTTCTACTGCCTATTCGCTTTCCGCCGGTGGCTCATTGATTCATCCTTCTATTCCTGGCATCTTGTTGACACCCATTTGCCCTCATACACTCTCTTTCAGACCCATGGTCCTCTCCGACACGATGCTCCTACGTATTGCTGTGCCCAACCTTTCGCGTTCTACGGCCTATTGCTCATTTGACGGCAAAGGCCGCATCGAACTTCGACAAGGCGACTACGTTACCGTCGAGGCCAGCCAATACCCCTTCCCGACCGTCGTCTCTGGCGGCGGCGAATGGTTCGAAAGTGTCCGTCGCGCTCTCCGATGGAATGTCCGTGGCGCTGTCCAGAAAGGCTGGAACGGAGATGTTTGCGAAAACGCCGAGGATGGGGTCGAAGAGGGCAATGTCGATTTTGACATTGACTTTGATAATGCTACGACCGGCACTGATAGTGGTGTTGGTCCCAGTGAAGATGGGGATACATACGGTACTGGACCCGGTAGTCCCATGAGAAGACAGATGAGTCTGTTGAGCGTGTAGTCTCGTCTTGTCTCACTCGTTTTACACACAAATACCCTATAACTTATATATATACATGTATGCAGCAAACGCACATACTGGGAACTTCCCACTTGCATCCTTCATGTGACAGCGCTTTGTTTTCTTTTGACGAGTTTTGGTGTTAGGTGTTTTGCTTTCCTTTTCCTTATTTATACATGAAGAATTAGGTCTGTTTAGTGTGAAAACAGATCGAACCAATATAACCTCAGCCAACGCAGTTGAATACGGTTGGCATGAAAATCTCTTCATCATTCAGTACATCGTTCCGCTTGCAGTATGTAGCGAGTCTTTAAGACAAGATCACCGAGATATAGCGACGGCGATATCTCACACATCCGTACCCTAGCCTTGGAAAGATGATCTCCATCTCGAACGATCTATGCACTATTCCGGATCATACCATCCGGACAATCATATCGGGGTAATCGGAGACTGATCAGAGAACAAATCACCTGGACATTGACAAAGGCATATTCGGGTGCCCAGCCTGCTTCAATCTTGGTTCTTGAATCTTCTCGCCGGAATAGGATGTGCTACCGGGGTGCCCCTAGTATGTGGTTTGGGTAAGAGCAGCCTCATCTTTCAGCCCTGCCCTTAGTCTAGCACTGTTGTACCTATTTTAGTATATGGCACTGGATAACAACAAGTCTGGCTCATCATCTCGGAGAGAGCTCGCGTCACAATCGCTCCGTCAACGTATTGCGCAATTCTGGTCCTTGGAAAAGTATTTCGGTGATTTCCGATATCTATTTGTTCTCTATAAGCTATTATGCTATGGGTAGAGAAAAGGGGCAAATCGCTGTATAGCATTGAGCCACATTCATGCGTTTCCGAAAGGCTACTTAAGGTTGATCGATGTTTTGAAATGATCGTGGGTTTTGTTTTTTTTTTTTTTTTTTTTTTTTTAAGCATCAAGCCCGGGAACCAAAAAAAACTTCTTTTTCTCTTCAACTCTTCTTTCATTCTTTCATTCCTTTTCGCCTTCGGGGGAATTCGACTATAAAATAAATATTTGATCTGAACGGGTCGGTGAGGCTTTGATGCCTTGCGTCGATATATTTGCACGAATACTTTTCTTTACGACCTAAGACGATTTGTGAATAGGTATCTTCGGCGGAAGATACATATCCTATATAATATGGTAAGTCGGTTGAACGTCAGATAATTATCTTCTGTGTCCATAAAAATCGTCGTTAATTAACGTCGCACAATGCTCACGTGCATCTAGCCCCACGCCGATTCTTCGTACTTTGCGGCCGGTGCGTCCAAGGAGCAGGTCTATGATCAGGTATTGGAACAGGCGACTGGGTTAGTGACTGGTCAACGGAATTGGGTATGTTGATCCTTCAATTGCAAATTGACAGAATACAGTGTTAATGTCGCTTTATAGGTTAGGTGAGAACACCTCGGCATAGAACCTCCATCAAACTCGACGAGGGAAAAGAGACTAATACGGATAGCAACCTCGCCAATGTATCCTCACTCCTATGGCACGCCTACGCATCTCTCCCCAAACCATCCTCAGCCGTGAATTGGGCCGGCTTCTACGTTCGCGATGACCTCTTCCCTCTCCTCGCCTCCCCCAAGAGATCAAACAGTATCTCCGGCTTAACAACAACCACCATCTCCACCAGCTACGCCTCGCATCACGACAAGAAGTTACTCCTTGGTCCCTTCCAGGGTAAACCGGCCTGTCAGGAGATCCGGTTCGGACGCGGAGTATGCGGAACAGCTGCACAGAAGAAGGAGACTGTGGTGGTGCCGGATGTGTTGGAGTTTCCCGGTCATATTGCTTGTGATGCGGATAGTAGGAGTGAGATTGTGGTTCCTATATTATTTGAAGGCGAGGTATATACCGTGTCTTTAGTGGATTGTGTATGAGACGACTTCTGACGGTATTTAGACTGTTGCCATTATCGATATCGATTGCACCGAGCCCGCGGGATTCGACGAGGTGGACAAGAAGTATCTGGAGCAACTGGCTCAACTGTTAGCAGATAGTTGCGATTGGTGACAAGATTTATGATTTATGTTGTTTTATTGTGGTAGTCTGGATAGATGTACGGACTGTTGTCTGCCATTGATTGTATGTTTTCTTATGATACCCTGAGAATGTAACATGCACCCATTGGCCAATCAGAGAAGGCGACCCAACATCCTGGGGAGTACTCGCTTGGTCAAAATGTGATTGGTTGTTCAGCCCCGCTTTACAGCCTTGTCACAGATCCGTCACAGTACCAGATTTACAAGGTCAATACAGCCCCGTTACACAGCCCCGTTACAGCCCAACTTAAAAAAGGCCAATCCGCCTCTTCCCTTCCCTCTTCTTCTCTCCTCCAAACCATCAAAGGACCCCCAAAAAACAACCACATTGACAGCGCTCAGCGCAGGACGATAAGTCCTGCCTCCCATTGCCTCTAGGCAGTTCTCTCTCTACCTCCACAATCTCATCTTTATGGTCAGCGGATCCACCGGAATCCCCTGTCCCACCATGGAGTGCACATTCTACTACCAGCCTCAGCAAGGAGATCTACTCTTCAGACCATCAAGACCACAGTGTACTCCTGCAGCAGCAGCATAGCGGGCGCCATCAACAGGAACCACAACAGCAGCAGCAGCAGCAGCAGGCGGCGTTATTTGATTTCTCTTTGTTTGAGCATGATTCCCTGAACAGTTTTTCTTCGTCTTCGTCTTCTACTTCTCCGCATTCTATTCCCTTATCAGATCACAATACGACATTATGGTCAGGTTCTTTGCAAGGAGCCTGTGCTGCACCGGATTCAACGCTAGATCAATTTACTGGCGCTTTGGATTTGGACCTTCTCATAGACCCGACCTCTGCTGAGTCTCAATTGTCTTTTGATTTCCTGCTCGACTTTGGCAGTGACCAGGGTCATCCCTTTGATATTACGACTACTAGTTTGGCTATACCTAGTAAACCTGCCACTAGTATCCAGGCTACCCCTAGTATCACTATTGTGGAAGATTTATCATCTGCCTGTTCCCCCGCCAACATGCCTGATGGAGGAAGTATTCTCGCTCCTTCAGTTGACCTTGTCAATATGAATATGGAGCACTTCTACCCTTCCAATACGACTTCTGTCTCTCCTAACATGGCATCGATACCTTCAAGAGGCTGTCCACCTCTTGTAACCCAATTTCAAAAACAACAACAGCCTCTTCTTGCTCCCAAACAACACACTCCTCCATCTTCATCAGTCTCCCCTGCTCTCAGCCACATCCACTCAATCGATCTAGATATTAGCAACAGCAACACGATGCAAGCACCAAAAAGCAAGAAGCGTTCTCGCGCCGAATCAACCGGTCTTGATCTATCAAGCAACAACAGCGCCCAAGACTCAGAGGAAGAGCGCATTGTCGAAAAGCGTCGTCGCAATACGATGGCTGCTCGACGATTCCGTCAACGGAAGCAAAACCATGTCTCTGAGTTGGAGTCGCAGTTGAGTAAAGTTACTAAGGAAAGGGATGATTTGAGATTACAGGTTGCAAAGTGGGAAGGTGAAGTTATGGCTTTGAGGAAGTTGTTGGAGATGAAGAAGTAATTTGTTAGTTCGTTGAGACCAATAAATACTTTTCCTTCGGGATTTGACTGCACAAGTAGTTCGTATGAGAAGTATTATCATTGATTCTGGTAGTCCCCAGGCATACTCATAATTGCTCATAATTATCAATCGAGACGATTCATTATGATAAATAATGACTGATCACAAATCCCTCTTCTTGCTAAGCAGCTTTCTCCCGATACTCCTAAGCCAGTCTTCTCTCTCTTCACTCGTTGCAAGCGTGTACCAAACAGCATCCTTCTCACACCATTGTATAACCCTACTCCTCGACCCATCAAACAACATCACATCCTTCGTCTCCGTAAACGGCCCCCAACCCGGTGACTCACCACACATAAACGATGCCCAGGCCTCCGTAATTCTGTCTGATGTCTGCCGGTAATCACTATCCGCCTCCGGACCAGCCACGGATGGTGTACAAAGCACAAACGCCACATCAAGTGAATGATACGAGTAACCCCTGTACGCACTTTGAGGGAAATCATCAGTCTGATCAAATCGGAATACCCATACTTTCGGCGTCGGGTGGGAGCCTATCAATGGAGGAACACAGCCGTATATCAACTCGGTGGACATTTTGAGTAAAGCCGCAAAGTTGGACTGTTGAGATTGGTGCTCGGAAATGTGATATACTTGCATTAACTCTTCGGCGAAGGGTGGGTTGGGTGAGATGTCTTTTATCCAGGTGATGATGTCTGTAGGGGTCATGGTTGTCCATTGTGTACAGCCCCAGAGAGCCATTTCATCTTTCGTCCAGCCTACCATGACGCCTTGAACCCAACTAGGGAATTTATCCAAGCGTTCCATAGGCGTACTTGAATCTTTCTGATATACGAACCAGTTCGGATCCCATATAGGTCGAGAATAGACCCCGTTCAGCAGTCTTCCCATCTCATCGTCAGACAGAGCTCGCAGAGCTTGAAGCTTTTCAGGCCCGGTGGCAGAGTCAGGGAGTCCCGTGCTTGCGACCATGCGATCGAATGTCCTTTGAGCGTCCTCGAGAGGTGGGAATGTCCAAATTGGGGTTGATTCGATAATCCCTCTTTTACAGATTGGGACGTTTGAGAGAAGATGAGCCAGAACGCACCATCCACCCGCTGATTCTCCGGCAATAGTCACATTGTCTGGATCTCCGCCGAAGTGATGGATGTATTTTTGAATCTGACCATCAACTATTAGCTCAATACACAGGATGTAGACGTGTACGAGAGGAAGTACTGACCCAAAGCAAAGCAACACGCTGGTCATGCAGACCCTTATTCGCAAAGTATGTTTCCCCGGACTCTTTTGCTTCATCCTCCAGCTCTTTTGATGATAGGAAGCCGTGATATCCTAAGCGGTAGTTTATGCCTATCGAATCGAAAAGTTGGCCCAAGTCCATGGCTTTGCGGACGAGGTAGTTTCCATCTATCCAATAAAGACAAAGACAAGGTTAGTATAGTTCATATCAGACTACTAGGTAGTACATACCCGCTCCAGTGTTACCATCTCCAATCGTCCATCCACCGCCATGAATCCAGGCATAAACAGGTAGTTTCTTTGCACCTGATACTAACGTTTCAGGGGAAACATGGATATTCACTCGCAGACAATCCTCGGAGCTCTTGATTACTTTTCCATTGACTTTTAGTAGAGGACGCAACCCTTCCAACATGAATGCCCTGTCGGATTCCCATATTTCGCCTGGCTGTGAGCATACAGGTCCATATTCCGTGGCTTTGAGTACGCCCCCATCGCTCGGTGTTGCACTTTCAAGGTCTAGCAATCGACATTGTCGAAAGCGAGCGGGCACTGTGGCGTAGGGTATTCCCAGGAAATTGGCTACTCCGGTCGAGGATAAAAGGCTCTCAACTTTGACTGTATCGGATATGGTGATGGAAGGTCCAGGCTTGAAGGTTAACTCGTTAGCCATTGTAGGGAGGTATTTCCAAGGGTATCAACAGTCTCAGACTAAAGCGCAATGTAGAATGGGCCAAGAGAGAACGAAAGTAGATGACAGTTGATCTAGTAGCTCTGGCATACTAGGGCAAGTAACTGAGCAGTAGAAAAGGCTTCATGTAACTCTTGCTTTACGTTTTCCTTTTTGTCAATTCGTGTCACTTATGCGGTGGCATCCCATATCTGATACCCATCCACGTGGTTAGCACAAGGGTTAGCCGAAGATTAGCCGGGATATAGATTATTGTATAGAAAGTTCAATACAACTTAACGACGACCCAAGCTTTGTTCTCCACAAGGCCAATACTGGTTAAGTTGCGGGGAAGCAGTGCTTGTATCCCTAGGGTTAGCGGAATTTGACTCCATCCGTAAGGTTTTACCCCAGAAACCAGGAAAATGGTAAAGAGTATTTGCCTGAAGATTAGCCGGTGTGCACGGTATACCTTCCTCAAGGGAAAAGAACCCGTGATGGTATCCCCCTATTATTTAAGAATCATGATGTTTCTCCCTTGATTCCATTCAGCAGGCCTGTCGTAGCACCTTCTTACTATCTTTGCCCCTATCAAGACTATCAAAAGAACCATTATGGCCAGCGAAAGCCTGTTGCATCGCATTCGTCGCGATTTACCGGTCATCGGTTACTGTCTCATCGTCGGACTGGCAGCAACATCCTTTGGCTTCGATCAAGGTCTGACTGGCGGCTTCTTCTCCATGAAACAGTACAACAAAGACCTTGGCTACTATGACAAAGCAAAAGGTGTATACGCCATGACAGCTGAATCCCAGACAATGATGATGGGAATCGAGATCGGATCCGTTCTTGTTGCAGCCGTCATTTCAGGTTATATCGGTTCCAAATGGGGCCGGAAAGTTGGATTGGTTATCGGCAATTTGATCGGCATCTTGGGAGTAGGGATCCAAATGATTTCTCATTTTGCAGCTGCAGTTGTTGGACGGGCGTTGATGGGTGTTTCTATTGCTTTCGCTGCCCAGTTCTGTATCCCCTACTGGAGTGAAGCAGCGCCCGTTTACTTGCGCGGATTCATCGTTGTGTTTTATCAATTCTTTATCAATCTGCCAACCTTTATCGGTAGCTGTGTTGATCAAGGGACTTATAAACTTGATAATCCGCTGGCTTATCGCATTCCTCTTGTTGTGGCCATGGCAGCTCCAGCAGCTTTGCTGTGTTTGATATGGATCGTCCCTGAATCTCCACGTATGCCCTTCACCCAATCCTCATGAATGACCAAAGTAAACTGACGGTGATTAGGCTGGCTTATCACTCATGGACGCATCGAAGAAGCTAAAGTATCCATGTCAAAGATCCGAGGCCGTCACGCATCGGTAGATGATGTGGATCAAGAAGTCCGAGAAATCATCGCCTATGTCGAGCTTGAAAAGGCCCTCGAAAGTTCCACGTCGTACGCCGAGTGCTTCAAGGGTACCGAACTTTGTCGAACGCTAATTGCCTCGGTCATTGCAGCAGGAGGGCAATTGATGGGCGTCGGATTCATTGGAGCGTAAGCTTACGCCCCTGAAGTCTGATACCCTTGCTAATGCTCATTGCCAGATATTCAACCTATTTCTTCGACGTGATCGGATTCTCAAACGCCTTCCTCGTAACAGTCATCGTCAGTCTTTGCTCCGTGGCTGGTGTCCTCGTCGCATTCATGATCGTAAACTATGTCGGCCGACGACCCATCATGATAACCGGCTCTGGCGTTCTGACATTCTGCATGCTCGCCTTTGCAGTCGTCGCTCAAGCAACCCCAGCACGAAACAAAGCAGCAGCCAAATTCATCATATTCTGTATTTGCTGCTATTCTTTCACTTACTCTGCATCCTGGGGCTCCGTGGGGAGCGTCATGATGGGTGAAGTACCTTCAAACCGACTGCGGTCAAAGACGTTGGCAATCGCCATGTCTGCCAGTTGGGTATCTGCTCTGACTGTCATTACAGCTATTCCATACCTGCTTAGTGCCCAATACGCGAACCTGGGGACCAAAGTTGGATTCATTTTTGGATCTATTGGTGTTTGTATATTTATTGTGTCGTGGATCATTATTCCCGAGACTAAAGGTCGGTCTTTGGAGCAGCTTGATGAGATGTTTATGAATGTGAGTGTCCTTCAACCTGTTGATTTTAAGCTGAGGGATTATCTAACAAGCTGAATTGCAGCGCATCCCCACACGAGAGTTCAAATCGTATGTTTGTACGGGTCTTGTTGCTGGGTATGATGTCAACACATTTGGAGATGAGAAGCGAGCTGTCATGGGGGAGTCCACGCACGTTGAGAAGGTGTAATGCAGGAGTGAGAGATTATTGGAATGGTCGTGAAAGAAGACACAAGTAGGGACCGTATAATCATAGTTACAGTTACAACTTATAGCAATACTAGTAAGTGAAAGGAACGATCAAAATTCATATTCGTAAAATTAACCTGCAGATCCAATTCTGTACATATAGCCCAGCCTGCCAGGAACGATCCATTCGACAAACACTTACTGACACTGGCTGTAGTAAGGGTTGATAACTTTGCAAGTATAAGGAGACTGGCAGGTAGTAGGGCCAGTCCAGCCGGTACCACCGCACTGTCCCCATTGAGCAGCACCAGTGGTTGAACCACCAGAACCACCAGAACCACCGGAGCCACCGGAGCCACCGCCGTTGCCTATTACAACGTTATAAGTCAATCAACCAGAGCTAATCCAGTTAGCTCAATGGGATTTATTGCAGCTTACCTCCGCTGCCACTGCTAGTGCCTTTGCTGAGCGAGATTTGTCCAGAGCCACTACCACTCCAGCTCTCGACGGCCATGACCTGGTAATTCAAGGTGCCGAGGTTCATGCCAGCATTGGCCCAGGCATCGAAGTGGTTCTGAATGGTGACCGTGCCGCTGGTGCGGGGGCTTTGACGGATGGAAATGTATTGGTTGAATGTTGATGTGCCCTGGATAGAGGGTTGGTTGACCTGCTGGTGCTCCCAGATATCGTAGGTGCCGCCGTCGCTGGTCAAGGTGCCCTTGTGTGTGCCTGCGGTTTGGTAGCCGTCGTGGACTTCCATAACGTAGTATTCGACGAGCGGGTTGGTGCTCCATCCGTAGATGGCAAGGATACCGACACCTTGGGCAGAGAAAGTGCCGCTATAGTTGATGGGGCTATTGATCGCGTTAGTCAATCAAACTACGTATTAAAATTAAGAAGTTGTTACTTGGCATCACCCGGCTGCCAACCAAGTCCAACAACAAAGTCTCCCTGGGTGTTGTAATTCACAGAGAAAGACCCAGCACCCTGATTCGGAGAGTATTGAACATTCGCACCGCCAGCGACATAGTCTTGATTGTAGTTCACAGGCTCAGCTCGACGGGCCAAATTCGACAAGGAAGTATTTCCACTCCTCAACTCGAAGAATGGACCTGCCGGTGCGACAGGCTCTGGAGCTGGGAGAGCAAAAGCTCCCCCGGCAACCAGGGCAGAAAGAGCGACGAAGACAGAAGAGATGCCCATATTGTATATATCAGATCAGTCCAATTGAATGTTTCTGAATGATGGACAAGAAGGAATGTTTCGAGACGTGATCTTCACCAGCCTATTTATACTGTTGAAACTTCTTCACGAAACAGGACCTACGTATTTAGCCTTTATGACACCGGTCCCTCATCGTCAATCCTTGAATTTAGGCTCTTCGGCAGAGTGGCATGATCTAGAATGTGGATACGATCTGCATTCAGATGTTTAAAGCAATTAGACTTGTTTCGCAAAAAGTGTGCGGGGAAGTATCCTTACCCCCTATTAAATTTCCCTCGTCGTCTAGATGTCGGCAGTTGAGGACAGTAATATCGGCATGCATGACAGGGGGGACATTAGCCAGCATCCGACAGAGTTGAAAAATTGGTCAGGCTATTCACTATTCAGGCAGATTGAAGAAGCGCGTTGTGATGCCACTTGACAATCCATAGACGGGATGTCGGGAGGGCTTCATGGCATTACGGGGAGTGTCGGTGAAACAGAGAGAGTAAAGCGGCAGGTACGGCCTTGTTTCAGACAGACGCAAGAATGCAAATATATGTAGATATTCCGGATTTCTTATGCTCTTTCGTTTCGTCTAGGTCCTTAATTAGCCAGGCAGAGAGGATGTTGCAAGTTCTGCAAACACGGGCACATACATTCAACGCAGTCAGCACGTCTGCACTTTTGTCAATTTTGCCAGGCCCGGATAATTCAATTCTCTCTATACTCGATCGGTCACATATTCTGTGACCTCTCAAAAGAATAACCTCGAGCCGGGAGACGGGCCGCAACAGGTGCTATGTGGAATCCATCCAATCTCGCTGAAACAGACCGTGTTTCCAAATCTCCGTGAATAATGCTCTTCCCAGATCCACCAGTAACGTCCGAGGATTAATCCAATTCAAGACAAGTACAGAATGATCAAAATCCCATCACGGCGCCGGAAAATCCCATGTTAATAGCCAAGAATAAGTCTAAACACGTGACAAGATGATTGCAAAGATCTATGGACCGTCTAGTTAATCTGATAGAGACACACGTAATCAAAAATACAAGATACCAGAATTACATACGAGACGAGGTATTACAAAAGATACAAAATCGCATTTCTTACACATGATAAATCTCCACCAATCAGAGGTCAAGGAAGTGAGTCATAATTTCTCATTGTTAGTGAGCATCTGCACTGTGGGGGCTGTGTTAATCGCTGCTTAGTCATTTGCATAGATAACTAACTTAGCTAACTAACGTAACTTAACCTAACTATCGAGTGCGAGATATCAGCGGCATGGAGAGAGAACATTGTATAGGTTTTATCAGGTCGAGAATGTCTGTTACCTCGTACGCAGTCGATTAGACGGGAGTACATTATGGATTCCACCATGTGCATCTTCATTGAGTTTTTAAACGGGCGTAGAAAGTATATCGGACATATCTGCATTGAACTAGGGTATAACTATCAGATACATCTATCAAATGTAGGGTATAGATCATTTGATACTGCCTCAGTCAGTCAATAGCATTAACCACTCAACGAATGAGACCATCCTTTCAGCTTTCTAACGCTTGATCGAATTGCATGGGCAAGCACAGTAGATTAAACAGCAGCAGCAGTAGACTCAACAGCCTTCTCCTCAGTCACCGGCGCGGTATGAGCCTCCTCAACGTGGAGGTTAGTACCTGCCAAAGTGCTCTTGACGTCCAGGGCGCCGCTCTCAATAGCGGCCATGCGCTTGAAGGAAACGCCAGTCTTCCATGGCGCGGTTCCAATATACGGAATGCCGTTGGGATCCTCGAACATGGCCTCAGTCTCTTCAAGAGTCTTACCGGCAGTTTCAGGGAAACCAAAGAAGACGTGGATGGTCATGGCGAGGTTGAAAACTCCAAAAATGATATAAGTCCTGTAGCGGATGTTGGCGAATGCAACGGGCGTAAAGAGACCCAATGCAGTGTTAAAGGCCCAGTTACCCGATGTGGACAAGGCGACACCTTTACCACGGAGACGAAGGGGGAATAGTTCGGGTGGATAGATCCATGAAGCGGGACCCCAAGTAGGAGCATAGGAAGCCACGAAGAGATAAGTGCAGGCAATCAGGCCCTTGGCTGCTGCGCCGGAGACCCTCATGGACTCGGCCTTAACACCGTTAATACCACCAGGAATGATGACACCGTGGGCACCCATGATACCAGCGTTGGCAAACATGAAAGTCATCATGAGAGTCGAACCAAGCAGCATCAGGTTGCGACGACCCACGCGATCAATAAAGACCAAGGCCGGCAGAGTCATGATAACGTTGATGATGTACTGGATGGAAGACGCCAACAGGGCAGCGTTGCCGTTGTAACCCGCCATAGTAAAGATATAGCCATGTAGTACATCATACAGTTCATACCAGTAAGCTGAGACCAGATCTGAGTGAAAAGACCTACCAGCGTCCGGTTGAGCATGTGGGGTTTGAAGAGGTCAAGGTAGGTGACATTAGCGTGGCGGCGCTCAAACTCGCACATTTCCTTGATGTCTTGCAATTCAACCTGGACGAAAGGATGATTGGGGTCACCCTTGCCGTGGACGAGAGTAAGCACTCCATGGCACTCTTCCCAGCGATCCTGGCGGGCCAACCAACGAGGAGATTCGGGCAAGAAGGTCATGGCGAAACCGAGGAAAACGGCGGGGAGCATCTGCAGACCCCAGGGGATACGCCATGAGGCGGTGCTGTAGTTGTCGGGGTCCTGGCCTCCGATGTACGAGCAGCCAAAGGAGATGTAGTACATGATCATGATACCCCAGGTAATGGCCCACTGCTGGAGACCGACGAAACGGCCACGCTGAGTCGGGGGTGAGATCTCGGAGATGTAGACGGGGACTTGAGCAGACTCAAACCCGACAGCCAAACCGTTGATGATACGACCGACCACAAGCATACCAATGTTTTGGGCAGCACAGGTCAGGGTCGATCCAATCATCCTAAAACAGTCAGTATCTTTGCCAGGGCGGAGAAAAGAAGACAGGTCGGAAAAATTAAAACCTTACCAAACAATACAACCGATAATGATAGACCATTTACGGCCAATACGGTCAGAAACAGGACCAGAAACAAGAGCACCGAGCCACGAGCCAGCAGGCATGGCTGCGGTAATACCTCCCTGATGGAGAGAAGTCGGACCACTGCAGATCTTCTTGTCATTGAATGGAGGGCCGTCAGGACCCTGGTTGAAATAACACAAGTAAGCTGGTTCGGTCAACTGGGCCGACACGGAGGCGATATCGAAACCGAACAGACCACCACCGACGACAGCGGTGGCCGCAATCACGTAGATGTTTCCAATAGGCATGGTGGTTGGTATCTTTACACCTGGCCGGCACAAAAGTAGAAGACTCCCCCTCTGCTTCGTAGGCGGGAAGGGATATATGGATATATCTATGGAAAGGAAACGACCGAGAAAAGAAAAAGAAAGCGCAAGGAAGGACAACTTAAATAAAAGCTTCCAGCTTCATGCCGATCCTTTCTATATTCTATGCGTCATCTCAAGATTCGCTACTTTCCCCGCCTGCATGGTCTGTGAGAATACGACGTTGTATTTGGTTTTTTTTTTTTTTTTTTTTTTTTTTACCTTTTTTTTTTCTCTTCCTCTCTCCTTCTGCGGTGGTCCCATGGCACGCATGATGTGGAGTCTCCGGACATAGGCCTTCTCTAATTCCTGGAGCAAGGACATCCCCGCAAACAGGCGGTTGGTCGGCGCGTCCAAGAATTCACGCTGAGAGTTGTCGTGCTTCCATGTGGAAGGGGACTAACCATGTGGTCCCTTGACGCACCATTGACCAACCGCGAACCAGCACTCAGGGCAGGGATGGGAATTCTTTCAGCTATGATTCACCGAGTTGGATCACGGGCCGGGTCTGCCTTCAAGAATGCCCACATGGTTCGAGCTGGGGGGAGCGTTGCAACCAGACAGGACGACAGGACGACAGAACGTATGGTGGGGAGCTTTGCACGGCATAAGAATTAATCACCGAGCCAACTTGATGCTCTCTGATTTCTGCCCGGATCGGTATAGCGTCGATGAAACAGACATCACATACTATGGTAGTAGTCTCAACTCACCTGCCAAGCGCGACTACTCAATGGCTAAGCAATAGAAGACGCGATACTAAACAGTTTGGCTTTTCTTGGGACGTCATTGGCGAAAGTTTCGCCTGACTGCCTTCTTCCTTCGAGCGTGAATGGACAGGCCATGTTGGTCAACTGATGCCGGGGTAGACGCTGACGCTGAATAGTGGAAATTCGTGGTGAAACCGACATCATGCAGGCCGATACATGATTGCCATTGGAAGCGAGTGCATGTTTCCGGCAGGGAGAAGTAGAGAGAAAGTTCAGGCGTGGTGATCACCCTAAAAGCAGCCGGATGTGGCACAAGCCCTAGCTGCCTCTGATTGGCTGATAACTGCAAGTCACGGGGCTAAGTGCGCCAGCCAATCATCCCGCTACAAAAGTGGATACTGGGGCCCCGCCTGCCTTGGAAGTTGGAGCTTCCTGGCTCTTTCTTTGTCCGGGGAATCATGGTCGCTCCTTCTTCCTGCCAGACAACCAGACAACACGATGGCCAGTCGCACCTGCCAATCTCGGCAGCGGCATCCCGACTGCTTCTTACCCTTTGTCCCGCTGTCTGCATCCTGATTAGTGCTAGCGTACCTAATCGCGATCCCTGTCGGAGAGATCCGCCGTGACACTCCCATTCTCTCTCTCTCCTCTCTCCTCTCTCCTCTCTCCTCTTTACTCTCTCTCTCTCTCTCTCTCTCTCTCTCTCTCTCTCTACTCTGTGCTCCGTCTTCTTTTTGTCTTCCTCTCCAGTCTCAAAGTCTTCATTGTCTAAGTGTCTCTACAACTGGGCCACTGCTACATAAGACACCCTGCATCCAAGGTAATCCCTCCGACAGTAGCGCCTGATTGTGGGGATACCTACGCAAGGCCTCTGGAGTCTGAGGACTATGAAGAAGAGGCTTTCCCTTTTAGTGCTACACTAATGAAAAATGGCGCTCGATATACTAAACCAACGGCTGAACTTCTGACCTCAGTGGCGTTCAGCCTCCCTGGGCCGAGAACCTGCGTCAACCACAAGGATTTCCACCCTTATTGCCTAGTAGAGCAACTAAGTCTTTTCGGTATTACGAGATAGTGTGCTGTCGGTGTACCGACGTGGCTTGACCAGGTTGCACTGGCTATTCACGGAAATACTGACTCTGGGAATAGCACATCGTAGGACGTGACATTGAATATGGCCATAGCGGCGGCACCGATAGAAAGAAAGGGACGATGAAGCCGACCCTGAACCTGCGAGCGCAGACACAGACATGCATAGATGGTGATCTTGTACGCTGAATGGTAGCGTAGTACTGAAACACATCAAACTGTCCGATCACGAGACATTTTCCTAGTCCATAGTATTAGGATTAGCAACGTTGCATCGGTGCTGCAGCCTTGAAGAGACGACATGACTCGTGCTGCCTGAGTAACCTGGCAACCTCCCCCTTTGTTTTCCCCGCATCTCCAGGTTTCAACAGTTGACAGTACTTTTTCTACTCAGAAGCCTGAGAAAGATCGGATACAAATCCATAACTACGTACTTCGATCTATGATCTCGGAATCTCGTGTAATCAATGCAGGGACCTATCTCCTCGATTGATGAACCCTGCCTTGGTGCCTAGATAGGTACTAAGTACTAAGTACTACATCAGAGACGGGGTTTCTGCCTTCAGGTCTCAGCTATGGCTTGCTATTCAAACCCTTCGCTGTAAGCTAAATACACAGCAAATGAGCTGAGACATCCTGCTGCTTCTGCTTCTGCTTCGTCTCAACTTGGACACGATAAGCCTCCTGGCTCTACCTGTCAAGTGATCACGGCTATTCAGCTGAAGAGACAGCAGACTGAGTATCGAACCCTAGATTGGCAGGACCTCAGCTTTTTGTCCCACGCCACAGCTAGTACTGGGTATTAAGATCATGCCAGTAACTATATAGGAGCCAGTTCATTCTCCCCCGTAGTCCATTCGGCTGCCTTAATGCATATGCGCTATGCGTTGCATTTGAGCCTCAAACTGCAGGATGCTTGAAGTCGAACGGTAATGAGCCTCGCTCATAAGACAAGATTATCCGCCAGCTCATAGCACCGCCGCCACATTCTACTGCTAAGCAGTGGCATTAGTTGCAGTAAGCTCGGTCGAGAGGCCAGGTGCGGCCGTAGTACATTGACAGCCCGGTGCACACCTTCCGGAATCCATCGATACGGCTGCAAAACCGCTTTGTACTATCTTCAATCCTGTGGATAGTAGCTTGAATGACAGCCTATCCTCAAGCGGCCCATCAATCGATATATGGACCTTCGCTAAGCTTAGGTAGCGTCACTCGTCACTCGCAGCTGTGATTACCATAGCCCTTCGTCAAAGACCATAGCTTGGAAGGTCGTATGAGTCACTCGAATGGAGGTCGGCATGAGTGTCGTGTAAAAGTCTATTCGTACAACAGCTTGGCCTCATGGAACAAGCCTCGACCTGTGTCATTCCACCGCATGATACTTATTCCAAACAGTAAACAAGCAAGAAAATCACACAGCCGAATCCTTATTGAATGTAGTCTAAATTGTCAGTCAAGTCTGGTCGGGCGGGAGCTCCCTCTTGTGGAGTCCGCGTTAAACCACTTTGAGCTCCGAGCGCTCCCGCCTTTTTTTGCCCGCTGCCACCTTGCCCACAACGAAGCCCCTCGAAGCTCAGAAGATTTTTTTTCCCCCCCCCTCGGCCATTCCAAGAGCACAATGCCTATTCAGTGAGTGGAAGATGCATGTTCCTTCCTTCCATAATTCCATGCTCTGACAATGACCCAGCTATCTGATTCTCCTATCGCGCCAAGGCAAAGTGGTATGTTGATGTTGATACCCATGTCGTGGCCCACCACATTCTTCTGCTTTCGAGGTTCAGTCAACACTTGTCGACACAAAATTCTTGCTGACATTTATCTCTCTCGAAGCGTCTGGCAAAATGGTTCACTACCCTTTCACCTAAAGAAAAAGCCAAGATTGTCAAGGATGTCTCTCAACTTGTACTGTCGAGACGGACTCGCATGTGCAACTTTTTGGAATACAAAGGTTGGCATACCTCTACTCTCCAGCATACTATTCGGCAGTTAGGCTAACTCTAGAATATTTCCAACAGACCAAAAGGTAGTCTACCGTCGTTATGCCTCCCTCTTCTTTATTGCCGGCTGCTCGGCCACCGACAACGAGCTGATCAGCCTTGAAATCGTACACCGCTACGTCGAGCAAATGGATAAATATTACGGCAACGTTTGCGAATTGGACATTATATTCAACTTTCAAAAGGCATACTTTATCTTGGATGAGCTGTTACTCGCTGGAGAGATGCAAGAAAGTAGCAAGAAGAATGTCCTGAGGTGTATTAGCCAGCAAGACAGTCTGGAAGACATAGAGGTGAGTGGGTGATTTCAGCTCTGTTTGGTCTGGCATTTCTTGTTTTTTTTCAACATCCATACGTTATTATATTATTTATACCATGGCACATGCCCCAGCACCGGCGCAATCACGCTAACGCCGCCATCCAGGTCGAGGAGGATACTGTGACGAAAATTATGTAACTATATTCACAGCGCATTTCTCTGTCCATACGCTTTTTCATTCGGGTCAGGAGTCTTTATCGCGCGAATGGCGTTATCTGGGTTCTTCAGTTTTATACTTGCTTACGGGATACTAATTCAAACTTCTTCTATTTTCTTGTTTCTGTCCAGGTTGAAGATGTCGATAACAATCTCAAGCGAATGGGACTTTAGTGACAACGAGTATTGCGGGCGTTGTGGTCCATGTGAAGTCAGCGCGTGATCTCACTGGCCCGAGATACGCTCTGTCACGTGACGGGAGTCGCTCGCCGACAATCGCGACCTCCGCATTGCCTCATCACCTGTCTCTCTCTGTCTGCTCTTCTTTGTGCCATACTCTCCATTCACCCTGCCAGATTCTACCTAGATCACATATATCTCAGTTTTCTCAGTATCTAGAATCGCTATGGCGTCCTGCTAGACGATCTTCGTCTGGCTCCTGTCAATCGTCCTAGCCTGTTACTAGCATAGCAGCCAAGGCCTCTTCTATTACCGTCATCGCGCGTCTCGAACAGCTCAGTTACCTCTCAGAAGTTACTGTAGCTGAAAAATCGAGCTGTTCAAGATAGCTTTTCAAGGAATCTTTTGAACGCCATAGCCCAGTCCAATACGCTCACTTATCAATCCATACCGGCGGTAGTCAGCCCTTGACCGCTCAAGATGAAGGTATGCAGCTGAAGAGGAAATTATCCATTCCAGAGTTATTTGCTCATGCCTATGAAAACAGTATCTACCTTTACCTCAGATCGAAGAAGTGTCGAATGCTCTGAATTTTGACACTCCCGATTTACATGTTGTCGGGGGATGTGATCTTTACATTACAAAGGCAGCGTCGGACGATCGCAAACTCTACCACAAAATCGAACAATCCCTGGAATCGCAGTACGAATCGCTCCTCAAACTCTCCGCCTCACTTTCGCCTCCGACAAAGGCCTCTGCTCCGAATAACGTCGCGCTATCCCTGAACTTGTCGCGATCAAGTCCCTTTGGTCCGCTCACCGAACACTCCAGTCGCAGGACCTTTGCCTACCTGATCGCAACGCTGAATGCGAGTCATCCAGACTACGACTATAGTCATGTTCTGCGACCTACCGATTTCCGTCGTGAGCGGAGTCTGAAGAAAGTTATGAATACGCTTGATATGACTCTGCACAATCTGCGACCTCATCTACGCGATGACGGGTCGCCGTCACCCCCGACTGACTCATTTTCGGGTTCTTACAGCACCAGTTCCACGACAGCCTGGGGTCCGCGAATGTGGAAACTCATTGATGAGGAGATGTCGCTTAACGACTGCGCCATCTTTTCGTACTCGCCCGAAGACGATATGAATGATGATGATGACGGCGCAATCTGGAGTCACAATTATTTCTTCTTCAATAAACAGCGCAAACGTGTTTGCTACGTTTATCTACGCGGAATTCCGATAATGAGCCATGACGATGATGAAATTATGGCCATGTGGGAAGATGATGGTGTCGCGACACCTGTCGGCAAGCGGATTCCTGACGATTCGTACTATACGCCCGATATCACTGCGAAAAAACGCCAGCGATACTGGCTTGGTGATTTGGCCTCCGACGATGAACCTATCAGCTCCTCGACTCGTCGTATAGGTGCTGTGCGCGCAATGAGTGAGGAGATGGTTGATTCCATGGAAGTGTAACACTTCCTCATTCTCTGAATGACCTCTTTATCCTCCTTCTGCTTCTACTTCTCTGTCCACTACGTTTTTGCTTTTTCATATTATGCATGGCAAAGGCGTTGGGCCGCTGGTGAGAGCAGTGGCCTCGAAGGCCTATGAAGTAACTTCAAACTGCTTAGTTTTTGTTTGTAATGACTCTTTCTCGTTTCGTGGCTTTACGGTCTTGATGATACTCCAATATCTGTTTATATGCTAATATCAATTGTGACGGAGGGTGGTCCAGTCCACTTGTGGACGAGGCGTTGTTTTGTTCTCATTTCGAGATGTTATTATTCGATGATTACCAGAATTACTATTATTGCCTTTATGAAATATGATTTATTTCTAACGCCCATGATTAGCTAAATATCTTCATATCTACCTAAGAGTAAATACCTATACATGCGCCCATCCATTACTAACAAGAACCTGCATCTCATCAATTAAACAAAACTCCCCCGGCTCATGCCTATTCCCTTCTTCATTCTCCCAATTTTTAACCCTCCGCCGAATAACCCTCCTCTCAAAAACCGGCATCGTGAACCAGCGACGCAACCGATTCTCCCAAAAGGAAACCACAATCCGAGCTAACGACGAAGATGGAGAAAAAGAAGAAGAAATCCAATTTTGGGGTTTGAGCGGATGAACAGCTGTATATGCGGCACGGTTATATCCAACTCGTACTTTTGGGTTGAGATATACCCCGTGTGTTGATGAAAGTGGGTTGTCGGCGTGGATTAGACAGCATTCTGAGCCTTCGAGGTGGTGGAGGGCGAGAGAATCGGGGATTCCTCTGAAACGTAGGGGGGTGTTGGTTTGGGATAGGAAGGGGGATGTTGGCATGGCCACTGTGAAGATTAGCATAATCCAATCCGGTATCTTGTATCAGATTCACGAGCGACCGACTTACCCATGCCGTTCCAGCAACTGGTTACTGGGATTGGAGACATTGAGAGAAGTGAGTCAAGAGATTCCCAAGAGCGAAAGTACGGCCATGTTTGCATCAAGGGTTCATGGCCTTGAGAGTCACGTAAAGCAAAAGTATCGTAGTATTGCGGTGGCTTGGAGAAGTCTAGAGAACAGGCTGCTGCATATGAGCCGCCGTTCGTATCTAGTAATGTCAAAACGTCCTCCGTCTGAATATTCAATCAGTAGATGTTCATAGAATGAAGGGAATGAACCTACTGTAAACACGACATCATTCAAAAACAAAATCGTATCAAACACAATTCCCTGCCTCGCCAGATCCTCCAAAATCAACAACCCCCAATTCCTCAATCGCGCAAGATACGGAATCCGTCTAAGCTCCCTACGACCACGCGGCGTATCAATCCAGCCTTCTTGCTCATGAGCTGCCGTCGGCGTGGCAGATATCTCATCCTGATGCGTAACATCTGACAAAGTAATATTCCGCGGCACGTCAAGCACATCAAGTCTGGCATCTAATTCCCTCAACGCGCCCTTGGAATCATCCCAACTACCGCTTTCGTAGACACTTACGAATACATTCGTGGGACCTAGATGGGAGACTAATTGAACAAGAGCATCGTTCCAGTCGTCGCGCAGGATTGCTTCGTTGTTCCAATGCAGACTTGCGATAAAGATGCGGCCCGGGTAGTGATGGCCTGGTTTGATTGGTTTGTCGAATAGACTGGCATTGAGAAGGAGTTGGTGGATATAGTATGTCTCTAACATGAACCAGATGATCGTTAGGATTAGGCCCATGCGGAGAAGTCGACGGGTTGGGCCATAGCGACGCAACTTTAGGCGGTCATTTAGTTGCATGGAGACAGCGGTTAGTCGTCTCTATAAGATACGAAAATTATCGAAATTTCATCTAATGAGCGACAAAGTTGAGGTGATGATTGCATTTGTTTGATTGTTTACGAGTGAAGACAGTTGCATCTAACTTTTAATTGGGGCTAGTTAGCTTGTTCGGGTCTCAGGCCAAGAATATTGGTAATGTCTCTGCCAATGCTTACAGTAATAGAACCTGAATAAAGATGTCTTGGATATGATGGATATTGATGCTTTCGTATATAGAATTTTGTTTGAATAGATCACACAGCGTCGAACAGATTTGTCATTGCGACATACATGGATACTATTTGAGGGTTGTGCCCTAATTTTCTTACGAACCACTTAATCCAGAATATGTACGTTCGACATGTTTAATGCTAGAATGATCATGATTAGTAACCTTTCTCTCTGAGAATATTTAGGCACTCACCGTAACATCCTCCCATTTCTCCCATCCACGCCCCTTGACCTGTGCCAACTCTTCCATTGTAAACTTTTTGCCCGTTGTGAAATAGCCGGCATTGATTTTAGCGTCGATCTCGACTCGGGAGTCTTGGGGAATCATTTCTGTGAAGAAAGTCAGTCAATCTGTTCTATCTCTCTGTTCAGGTTGACTACCTTCTGGAATTGGAACCCGTTCGAGAATCTTGATTCCTTGAGCGACAATAGCGTCGTGTTTCATGTTGGACATGGACAGCATTCGGTCAATCTTCTTTATACCAAGCCAGTGAAGGATATCTGGCATGAGAGCTTGGAAGCGCATCTATCATATTATGAGCGACTCTCCACACACGTCTCAATGTGATGTGAAAACTTACATCGCGGACACCGGCAATATTCTCAGTCCTCAAGAAATACTTGTCTGCAGTATCACCACCACGCTTTCGAGCATTATACACGAGATACTTCACGACCTCGCCGAGAGCTCGCCCCTCCTTTCGGAAATATATCACCACCCCACTGCCTCCATTTTGAGCCTCTTTGATAGCTTCCTGGATTCCAAAGGCGAGATACGGTCGACAGGTACAAATATCAGACTGAAAGACATCACTACCGTTGCATTCATCATGAATCCGCAGAGCCAACCGCACATTCTCATCCGACACTCGCTCTGGTGGGCCAAAAATGTAGACCGTCAATCCACCAATTGGAGGAAGAAAGACTTTCAAATCCGGCCGTGTAATCAATTCCGGATAACTACCCCCGGTATGTTCAAACAGCGTCCGACGTAAGGTGCCTTCATCGACACCGAACCGCTCAGCAACGCCCGGTAAATACCAAACCGGCTCAACAGCTACTTTGGTCACCCGTACATCTCCATTCTTATCGACGACGATTGAGCCGTCGACTTCGATCTGGCCTTCACTGACGGCCTTTTCAATCTCAGCCAATCGCATATTCGCGCGAGTAATAGCCATTGACGGTCGTAGATCCCAACCAACGTCTAGATAACTCTTGAACTGCTTCACAATATCATGACCGAAAGGGTCGAGGGAAACGATCTTCTTGGGATCACTCCATGCAGGTTGCTGAGGGAAATCAAATGTTGGTTCTGTGTTATTGAAATCCGGCTTGAAGTCTGTTGGTAGATCGCCAGCGGCAATAGCCAAGGCATTGTAAATACTATAACTACCTCCATGAGCACCCATAGCATTGCGGCGTTTCAACTGAGATGGATGGCGCGAAGCTACAATTGGACCGCGGGACTTTGCGTCTGCAGCTCCCCATTGGAGCGGTACGGGGTCGACACCGTTTTGGCCGGGGTAAGTAGTTAACTATCCTCTTCCTTAGAGCATGGACACCCACAGTGAGAGGCCGAACTAACCAGAATATGTTTACTGAACTGAGACTTGGGCGACTTGGGAGGTGAGCCCACATCCTCACTTGGATGGACACCAGGTTCTTGGGTCGTCGCGATGGGAATAGATTCAGGCATTGGGATGAACAGATACAAGAGTATGTATTTTGCAAAAGAGATTATCGGAGGAAAAGAGAAGATTAAAAAGGTCCAGCTGGCCAGATACATCATCAGCCATGTGATCCGTCTTATCTTGCTTTGTTATCTCCGTTTTCTGCCGGCGTAATCTCTCTCTCTGTTTAGTTTTGGCATGTAATCTATTTGATCCACTTCATTCTGCCTTTCTCTTATTCCCCCAATTTCGCTTCTTCTCTTTTATTTCTCTCTTTGCTCTTCCTTTCTGTCTCTCTCTCTCTCTCTTTCTTTCAATCGTGGTCGTCTAGCTATCTCGGTCTGCGGGGCTTATCGTGATAAGCTCAGACCCTGGTTCCTCTCGGAGCTCCCCGCATTGCTTATCCTGCCCGAGTTACGTACGTTGTTTAATACTCTGAGCATTTCAATCCAGGGGATATTCGAATTGACAGTCAATTCTGTCATTGACTCAATCAAGTGCAATATACCGGTTCAAGCTAACCAGGGCTAGCGAATCCGTACAGATCCAACTGTCCATCCCGGAGCCCGCACTCTCCAACACACAAAATATAGCCAAACCTGTTTAACAAGCACAAACAAGACCCAAAATGTCCTCAACTCTACCCGCCAACGCGCGGATCTCCACTAACCCGTTCGTCGAGTCCAAACTGAACCATCTGCGTGACCGATCACTGGGCAGCAGCGCAGTTCGGGCCACCACCGCCGAAATTGCTCGCATCCTAGCTGTTGAAGCAACGCAAAACCACAAGCCCGACCACGGCAAAATCGGATTGATAGTGGTACTACGTTCTGGTTTGGGGATGAGTGATGCATTCTTGTCGCAGTTTGCGCCTGATACAGATGTGGTTGTTTATCATATTGGCATGTTTCGGGAGAAGTATTCGTTGCAGCCCGTGGAGTACTACAATAAGTTGCCCAACAACAATACGGATGTCAAACGGGTGTATGTTATAGATCCATTGATTGCCACGGGTGGGACAGCTACAGCTGTTATCGAGGCTTTGCGGTATGTTTTGCTTTTTTTTTTTTTTTTTTTTTTTCTTTTTAATCACTCGAGCTCAAATTGCGGTGTACCTCCATACATACTAATACAAATTTCGCAGAGACTGGGGCGTTGAACACATCACTTTTGTATCAATGTTGACCAGCCAGCAAGGTCTGGAGCATGCAGCAAAGGCCTGGCCTGAAGGAACCGAATTCGTGATTGGGGCTATTGATCCCCGCTTGGATTCAAACGGGTATATTGAGCCTGGAATAGGTGATATTGGTGATCGTCTGTTTGGAACTGGGCTGTCACATTGATTGGGTAGATCTACTAGTAAATAAATTGGATTTAACATTTGGGTTCTGGCTTGTTTCCGAATAGAGTATACGTATCCTTGATTAAGTAGGTTGACACTCACGTGAGTGTTTTCTAAGTGTAATGACAGGGCTTGTAAAGTCATTGAAATGGTTCAATTACATGTTATGATCTAACTGGATCAATCAGTATTGGTAGGTATCGTAAATCATGATTTATTCTTTTTCTTCGAGAGTGATCTGCATCTAATTAAGCTGTCGTGGGAAAGTCACCTCGCGCACGCGGATTTTTGATAATCTTCTTCATGAGATTCTCCACCTCGTCCCAATCACGAGTGTGGACTCCCTCAATATTGGTGTGCAAATATTTCGAAATGTCCATCAACATCTGCCATTCCTCCCTGCTCGAAACGAAGGAAATGGCTACCCCTACACGGCCGAATCGGCCGGTACGACCGATACGGTGGAGGTATGTCTGGGGATCCGCCGTGCGTGATCTACCAGGGGCGTAATGTTCGGGAATGTCCTAAACAAATATTAGTAATTCAATGGTTATGGCATGAGAATCATATCACGTACATAATTGATGACCATCGAAACCGTCGAAACATCGATACCCCGTGCCAGAACGTTGGTGGTAATGAGGACTTTCGCCCGACCTTCACGGAACTCATCGATGATTTTATCACGGACAGAGCCTTCGACACCACCAGTCAATGACGCTACCGTATGACCCTCTTTGGTCATGCGCTTCTCAATTTCGGCAGCAGTTTGACGGGTCTGTTGAAACATTAGCACGGTCACAATCGTAGTAGATGAAAGACAAACAAACCTGAACGAAGATGATAGATGAGGCGACAGTGAGAAGTCCATAGAACTTGACGAGAACATTATATTTGTCATTGTCATCAACACAATCAAGATAGAATTGTCTGATTCCCTCCACGGTGAGTTCTTCTTGTTTGAGTGAGATTTTGTTTGCATTGGGAGCGAATTTCGCTGCGTAGAGACGGATTTGGTCGTCGAATGTAGCAGAGAATAGCACAACTTGTACGGTCTTTGGGAGAAAACTGTTCGTAATGTCAGCTCTGCCGCAAGATGCCAAAGCAGAGTTGAGTTAAGTCTCACTTACCCCTTGACACGAATACACTGATCCCCCAGACCTTGCTGATCAAGCATATTATCAGCTTCATCAAGAACAAGAACCTTCAATTTGTTCACAATCAAGATTCGCTTCTTGATAAGATCCATCACCGTACCCGGCGTTCCGCAAACAACCGGATGTTCTAATCGTCCAGGTCGCTTGCCTTCTGTAGGAACCGCCATTGCAACGGACAGGCCCTCCATGAATCGTCCCATCTCACTGACGACGGCTCCAATCTGACGAGCCAGCTCGCGACTGGGTGCAAGGATCAATGCCTGCGGCGATTTTCGCATTTCGTCCGTGCTAAGGTCCAGACGACTCAAAATATTGAGCGTGAAGGCTGCTGTCTTTCCAGTTCCGGACTGAGACTGTCCGATCATGTTTGTGGGAGGGTTGTGCAGAAGCAGAGGTAGGGCGCGCTCCTGAATTTTGGATGGCTTCAAAAACTTCATCGCGTATAGACCTTGAAGAATACTTGGCGACCTAGAAGATACAGTAATGTTAGATCATCGTCTATGTGAGGTTAGATTGAGACGCGTACAGGCCTAGATCTTCAAAGGATTTGACAGAGAATAGAGGGTTGTTAGGATCGGCTTGCAGATCACTCAGTTTAACCTCGACATCGTATTCTGGTTCTTGGAGGTTGCTGCCTCCTTGGACCTCACTTGCGCCATCTGTGTCAGCACCACCTGAGGTTTGTGTTTCTGTAGCGGAGGCGTGGCAATGTTAGGTCGAAGCTGTGAAATAAGGAGCAATGGAAGCGTACCGGTAGATTCTGCATCTGGTTTGGTGATACGGTCTGCAAGCGATTTGCCCTCGTTGGGGTTCTCGGAAGCCATGTTTGCGACGCTTTAACACGGAAGACTCAGGAGAAGAGGGGTAGAGAAGCCCGCCGCACAGCAACGGAATTGAGCAGCAAGAGGAATGAGAGGAGAAGCGATATCAAATCTTGTTAACTAGAATTAAAGAGCCTGCTGACAGTAGCAAGAGCTCAAATCACCAAGATTGGGAGATGTAAGTAGCACTTTTAAAGGGATGCGGCGAGGAAACCCGACAACAGCAAAAAGGTCGCAGCAGCTTTTCCCCGCTAAATCAGACGCTAAGCCTTTTCTGGATCAAGCAAACACAGAGCCTCAGATTTTCAGGGCAAACCCTTACATTAATGAGGCATTTTATCTGTAAAAGCAGGAATAAGATGATATTGACTCAAATCCAAAATGACACACAAGGAAGATGAGATTATCTGCTGTACAGCACCGTCTGGTAGAGATGTCTCATAGCATATGATGTAACTGTATCTAGAATACGGATAATGTACCACATTGAAACAGGACTAACCAATGAGCATGCGTCCCTGATGCTTAATGCCCCTCGCGCCCACACATCAGGCTAGTAGCAAATACGGTAATTTACACGGCGCTGTGTGCACCTGCCCGGTTGGTGGACATTCCAGCAGCTCCGATCAGGCACTCTTCAACCTCTCTGGCTGTCCTCTTCTCGATACTGATATATCAAGGATCTCCTCAAGATCCGTCTTTGAACAAAAGGCATAGAGCAAGTATATTGCGTGCATACTGTGCTCCCGATTTACGACTTCGTTATCTCGACTGCACAGCCACCCGCTACACCACGTCATATACTGGACTCTCACCTGTATCGATCGAGCGATTCGGGGAGAGCATGCCTCTATCTATTCACGGCGCATATGAATTGAAGGCAACGAGGGTTTAATCTAGCGCTATCATGACCGAGGTCAGCCTCAATGCTCAATTCGGGGCGGAATTGAAGGTATGGACATGCTACGTGGCCTGCTGAAGCTCGTTAATAACATGCGTTTCCCTACAGGATGCGTTCAAGCCGGTAAACTTGTGGGTACGTCGCTATATTTGGGAATTATTCCTATACGACAGGTTGGACGATAATGCTAAACCTGGTAGGTTTCGAACGGGATTGCCTGGCTAGACGACATACAACAATTCTACCGTGAAAGAAGCGGAATTGAACGAGAATATGCGTCCAAACTGTCGGCATTATGCAAGAAATACTCGGATCGCAAAGCGAAGAAAATCAGCAGTCTCAGTGTGGGAGACACGCCGACCATGACACCCGGATCGCTCGAATCAGCATCATTGACGACCTGGTCTACACAATTGACCACGGTGGAATCACACGCAGCTGTGCGCGATAAATTTGGTCTTGATTTAATTACCCAGGTGGCCGACCCGCTCAAAAATATATCCATTCGATACGAGGAACTGCGCAAAAGTCATGTCGAATTCTATGGCAAGTTGGAAAAGGAACGGGAAGCATCACTTGGCGAGTTGAAGAAGGTCAAGGGAAAATATGACGGAGTATGTCAGGAGGTGGAAAACCGCCGCAAGAAGACTGAGTCCTCGTTTGACTACAACAAAACAAAGGCACAGGCTGCTTATCAGCAGCAGCTATTGGAAATGAGCAATTCCAAAGTATGTTCTTGTGGAGTTCTAAAGTCTGTGGTGATTACTGACGGCGCCACAGAACACATATATAATCAACATCCACGTCGCGAACAAGTTGAAAAACCAGTTCTATCATGAATACGTTCCCGAAGTACTCGATGTAAGTGTCCTATGGATACCCAATAGAGAAACCGCTAAAATATTTCCAGAGCTTGGGAGACTTGAATGAAACCCGGGTTGAAAAGTTGAACGCTTTCTGGTCCCTTGCAGTTCAGCTGGAAAAGAACGCTTTGACGCAGAGCACCGAACTCTTGACACATCTTGGGAATGAAATCCCGCGCAACAATCCAAAACTCGACTCAATGATGTTTCTCCAACACAACGCCTCTCAAAGTCAGGAGCCACCAAATCTAGTGTTTGAACCGAGCCCCGTATGGCATGATGATGATCAGATGATCACGGACGAATCTGCAAAAGTGTTTTTGCGCAACATGCTTATGAAAAGCAAGGTCCAGGCTAAAGAACTAAAACTAGAGGCAGAAAAACAAACAAAAGAGGTTGAAGCTGCTAAGCGTATTCGAGATAACGTAAGACAGGGCAAAGACAAACGAGATGAAGTCGATGTGGTAAGGGCAATTTTCAACTTGCAAGAAAAGCTCCACGAGACCGAGCGCAAGAGATTGACGGCGGAGGTTGAAACTCTGACCATCTTGGCTGTGGTAGGCGACTTGTCCCTAGGAGCGAGAAATCATAACTTTAAATCTCAGACGTTCAAGATTCCTACCAACTGCGACCTCTGCGGTGAAAGAATATGGGGCTTGTCAGCGAAGGGATTCGACTGTGTCGATTGCGGATATACTTGTCACAGCAAGTGTCAAATGAAGGTACCGGCAGAGTGTCCTGGCGAGCAGACCAAGGAGGAGAAGAAAAAGTTGAAGGCGGAACGTCAGGAGCAAGCACAATCTGCTCCTACTGTTTCAGAGCCTACCCCCTCTCCGTCAAACGGAGCGGGAGCAGAGATGCCGGCTTTGACTCGTAGAGATACGATGAACTCTTTGAGTTCGGGATATGCACACAGCGCGCAGCGATCTGTTTCCGGCTCGGTTTCGTCTTCAAAGCCATCGGGCGAAGAGCCCGCTGAACCGAGTGCTGCACCATCTAGACCTTCTACATCGACAACCACCAAACGACATAGGGTTCTCGCGCCACCTCCGACGCAGTATGTCAGCCCGACTCCGGCTGAGGCTCTGACCTTAAATAAGAGCGAGCAGAGAGGAAAGATGATTTATGCATATCAAGCTGGTGGTGATGGGGAGGTGACTGTAAACGAAGGGCAGGAAATTGTTGTCTTGGAACCTGATGGTGAGTACCTCTTTCCTATCTGTGACATGAGTGCCTGTCTAATAATATCCCATAGATGGTTCTGGTTGGATGCGTGTAAGGGCAGGTTCCCGGGAAGGATTGGTACCGTCAGCATACGCCGAACTTGCACCGGCACCATCACCAGCATTGACCGAGCGACCACCTTCGACTTACTCGAATTCATCGGCATCATTAGCCGGAAGTACCACAACGAAAAAGGTCGGACCGGCAGTCGCGCCTCGACGTGGAGCAAAGAAGCTACAATACGTCGAAGCTCTATACGATTACGAAGCACGCTCAGACGCTGAACACAGCATGTCGGAGGGGGATCGTTTCGTGTTGGTTAGTAAAGATAGTGGTGATGGGTGGGCAGAAGTTGAAAAGGGAGGGCAGGTGAAGAGTGTGCCGGCGAATTACATTCAGGAGGTTTAGGTCTTTTATTCGTAGGCCATTTGTACATATTTATTCGCTACTGTTATTTTGCATCATACGTTATGGCTTAACTAGTATATAGGCTTAACTGGTATATAGAAGCATATCTACCACTACATCCATCGATCCTGGAGCTGCCCGTACAATACAATATGCTATTAAACAACTAAGGTATCTACAATCAAGTAGGTATACACGCAATACAAAGAGAACAATCAAACCCTCTCCCACACCCCAACCCACTGCCCCCAAGCAATAACCTTCCCCTCAAGCTTCTTGACAAGTTCCTCCCTCGTAGCCCCCGTCACACTCAATTTCTCCGTATCAATCGGCTCACTCAACGCCACAATCTCAAAAAAGTACCGATGAGGTCCATGACCCAATAATCCTCGCGGGGGGATGTAGACTGTCTTCCGCCTGTTTAGGCCGTATTTGAACCCCCCTTTGAGCGTGAAGTAATCGGTACTATCAGAAGATGATAATTTCTTGAAATCTTCATGCGACACGGAGCGTCGTTCCGCGGGGATAGAGTAATATAACCCATGAGCCACGGGCTCTGACATTGGCGCATCAGGGTCTTCGACTGCTAGGAACCATTCCTTCACTTCTTTCCTACCCTCTCCATCCTCTTGTCCTTCTGCTCCAGTTTCCGTTGGAGGAAACGTCCATTTCAATGTAGGAAACTCCCCAGCCTCAAAGAATCCATATTTTGGCGGAATTTTTGATCCCGTTGGTCCGATATCTGGACATTCGAGGGTGATTGTTGGTTCGCGGACGTGCGCGAATGGTGGTGTTCGTGGGATTAGGCCATCGTCGTGGCCGCGGCGGTTTTGGAGGATGAAAGCTAGGAGGCGTTCTATGTAGTCCATTCTTTTTCTTTTTTTTCTTTTATATTATGGGTTATTTGATTGCGATTGTGAACCTTGAGAGTTGGTCTGAGGATGTCCCCTTTGTGGCCAGGATTGGTCACCTTTTTAAATAATCACGCCCGCTTTTCATAGTAAAGAAGAGTATCCAATGATCACACTTCCAAGGAATGATAGAAATAAATACTTATTATGCAGCGAAACTCATCGAATATTAATATACTTAAGCTATACATAGAACCGGGCCGGTAACGGCTTATACGGCCAATAGCCTTAGCCCTAACTTAATATTGAGCTGCAACTGAACGCATGGTCTACTAGTATACATGCAATCCCGTAACTACTGATCATGATATACTTCGGGTATTAGAATATGGGAAAGAAGAATATGAGTTCCTATTTGAGTCCTAAGTACAGCTATCGTCCAAGCTTGAGATATCTCGCACAGGTCGAGACTGCTCAAACGACCAACATAAACAGTATTAACGGGACTCATTGGACATGAGTCTTGGTAAGAAGGGTATCAAATAAACAATAGTCATAACAACACCACTTCATCGTATGCGCTGTGAAGATCAAGCATGGATCATTTGCTGAACACGCGGATATCGTCGTACAATTTCGTGATAAACGTCTGGATGATCGCGCATCAAAATCTCTGGGTTCCACGCCATGGCCACAAAGATTGTATCGACACCGCTGCCAATTGGAGTCAAGAAAATTTGACAGATCTGAAGCCCGATAACGAAGGCATACGCCATGATGACTGCGGTGAACGTGCCGGTAGAGTTGTAACTGGGATGGGTGAATTCAAGATACAAATACGCCAGTAAGGCACAGACATATGAGACGAAAACAGAGCCCATACTCAAAACTGGTCCGATCAGACAATCATTAATAAGCGCATCGATGCCGCGATCTTTGATCATCGTCCATGTATCCTTCGCTGCTGGAACGTATGCCTTTCCGTAAAGTGCAATATGGCAGAATGCATAGCGATTGAAGAATTGCACGAGCCAGTCGAGGAAAGCAATAAAGCATCCGAGAATCCAGAAAGCGATGCTACCAAGCATACTACCCTGTGCTGCTTCCTGTTGCTGCGCAATAGAACAGGCTTGTCGCATCATGTTGACGAGCGCAATCAGCAGACTTCCAAGGCTGATGCTACCGAATGAGTAAGTGGTGGCACGCTTGAAAGCGCCCCGTGTCGCTCCTTTGGGAGGGGAACCCGCTCCAAAATACCATGAGCCATAGACCCCGGCAATTGTGGTATGAATTGTATTCTTCAGCCATTCACTGACCCAGTACATGGCGAAAGTGACAAAAACAACGAGACCAATAACTTTGGCAGTACTACAGCCGCCTGGGCCACACGAAGGATTCGTTCCGTTACCATTGGGTTCATACGCAACGTAGATCGAAACCAAGGTGACCGAAAACCATGCCGAAAGTGCGATCGCCACAAACCCACCGACTGCACTGACGATAAACACATGTCCGTAGTTACGCGACACGTCAATGGCAGTTTGCAGCATTACCACACTAAATGGGATGCGCGGGATCCAGCTAATGAAACAGATCACAGCAAAGATGCCAAAAATGAGGAACACAATGCCTGCGCCCCATTGTTTTCTATAAAGATAGTAGATGGCTGTGCCAATAGCGAAAACACAGTTGAGTATACCAGTGATCCAGATGAATTGCTTTGTAAAGTAACGCGCGCCGAGAAAGTATGCCCATGATAAGGCGAGTGCGACGCAAAGCACAAAAATGAATAGAATCAGCGTGTTTGTATCAAGTGAAAAAGTGTTGCTGCTGCCATAGATGCCTCCACCGTTGAAGCCTGTAGTCTTCGCATACTCGTGGATAGCAATACCCGAGACGGCAACGTAGCCTAGGAAAACGGCGATGAACTATTTATCGTACCATTAGTGCGAGCCCTCCCGTACGGTAGGCACCGACACTCACCAATAGACCCGCCCAGATGTCATGGAACTTGGGTTTCTCAATCTTGAACAGCTCGTCGTAGGACGGTGGATTGTCTGGATATGGTTGTGGAGGTTGCTGCGGCGGAAAACCTCGCTGGTAGTCGGGATTTTTGTACTCTTCCCTGCCATTGTAATTATTGTATGATTGATTGTGGCTATATTGTCCTTTAGGAGCAGGTTGCACCTGGTCTTGCTGGTAATAGCTGGCCGCCTGTCCGCTCATGTCGAGAGATCAGCTGGTATATACTAGATATGATCCATCTGAGGAATAAGAAGTAAAGAGAAGGAGAAGTAAAGAATTAGAGGAAAATAAAGCAAGGAAGGAAAAATGGAATGCGCGAGTTGTACAAGCGCTTGGCTGTTTAGGATAGCAACGAGATCAGCCAATCATCTTTGCCGATGCATGGATACTAGAAAAGCTATGGCCAATAAGAGCCTTTGCCTAGAGACCCACATCTTGGCCGCTTCGAGACGGCGGTGATGTCATCGAATGCTCCTTTGCTTACGTAAGGATATGGAGAGAACAAGGAGGAAAGAGACGAGAGAAAAGACACTTCACTTTCATGTACGAAGTGTCATATTCGACTGTTCTGATGAAAGACTGACTGACTGAGAAGTCAAAAATCGACTGATTCCACTAGCATGCCATGTGGATGTGACTGATCTGAAGATGGCCTGCCTAAAACCGGATGCGTCTCAAGCTCAGCTAGGCCAATGCTGCTGCCCCGTGTACGTGGTATAACTCTGTGGTGGAGCTTCCATGTATTCTGCACCAGAGAGTTGTATATTTCCCAGGTTAAACATATCCCAGGGCATGTGTGACCCGCTGTTCGCTTCATGCCAGAACCACCCAAGAAGACCAGGAGGGGACAGCGTATTTTCAGTCGGGGCAGGAACCATTGGCGAATTATTCATCTCAGGCATCGACCACGGCACTTGACCGTACGGAACACTTGTATAGGGGCTACTCAGCGTAGACGGCTGTGGTGGTTCCTGGAAAACCTGCTGCTGTGTGCCGACTTCTTCGGCGGGGGAGGGTTTCCGAATCCCCAGTCCTACCGTCCTGGCAAACCCGAGGGTCACCTTGGTGAAAATTTTGTATGTCGGCGCCAGTCGGACCTGAGTAACAATGTCATTCACAGCGGCGATCTTAGACGTGCTCAATTCATATTCTGGATCTGACGCAGTCTCACTGGGCTGGCCGAGCTCGAAAAGTCCTAGAGCCATAACGCTATGGCAGATGTAGTAGAAATCTATCCACGCAACGCCTTCTAACAACCCATATTTCGAAAGGTGGAGGAAACAATCCAAGAGTGCGAGAGATGAAGTCCGACATTCACGACTGAAGTATTCCGTCACAGCAGTCACGGGGCCAAGGTCTTGATTAGGCTCCTGAGACAGCCGATCAATACTGCGGCTGCTCCTGCAAGCGAGAAAAGCCCGTGTGAGTACGGATCTATGGTGATAGTATAATGCTTGCAGAAGAATTACTGCACGGCGATGTCGTATGGTTACCATTGGCGATTCTGGCGCGAAATGGTGAGGTAACTGAGCTTTCCAAGCCTCCAGCTGCTGTAGAAGCAATCTGATCTGTTCCTGGTGGGAGAGCAAAGCCGACTCATCGGTATATTTGGGTGTCACTATCGTAATCAATCTTCTGACTCGGTATCCAATATTGGTCATTTTTAAATAATGGTCTTCGAATCCTAGCGGGTATCCTATGCCATCCAGCGCACCGTCTTCGGGTAGCGAGACGTTCACTTCTTTCGCATTGATGGTAGGGGGGCGGCCTAGAATCATGGACATATTGAATTCCACCTGGTACAGTGTCCACCACACAACGCGTCGTGTATGTGCTTCGGCCTTATCGAAGCTGGCGTATGTTCCCTCGCGATGCATGCCAAGAGTGATTGCCATGCGAACTGCCAGCCCCAAGATGAGCCAGGAGGTATTGCGCTCGCCGGAATTCTGCTCATACAACTGAAGCAACAGCAAGGCTTGGACGTTTTCCAGGGTCGCAGTGAAAACAAGCGCCTGGAAACTATCCCGTACAAGCCTCATATATTTGGTTTGAATGAGAATCGAATCAGGACAATGCTCGGGCCCTAGAATGTCGGCACCCAGGATGATGACCATAAACAGACAGCAGGTCCAGCCTACGTCTGTATTTCCCGTCTGCGCAATTTCATTATCCCAGATGAGGTTATACCGGAGCTGAAAGATCGGTTTATAAAAAACCTGAAATGGGCCATGGAGATTATCAAGGTATGCTTGCACCAAGGCGTCACAGAGCCTTCTCTGGGGCAAAAGATCTCGTAAGAGGCTCCGTAAGTTACTGCTTTTGTCAACGCCTGAGCTCAAGTCCTGTGAAGGCCTCTTGCTTGAAGGCAAGCTAGCTTGACCTTGCTGCAGAGGCGTCATTTTTCTCGCACCCCAGCTCTTCATCTCTGTCTGCTGTCCCTCTCCAATTGCCGAGTCTATAGAGTGACCATTTGCAAAGCTCGGAGCTGCTTTGCTCCGAGAATGTAGAAGGTTTGATGTTGCCTTCTTATCGTGCGCTTGTGCTTGACTGCACGATGTTGGATTTGTGATCTTCTTGTATCTTGTCACCAAGTGTCGGATAATCGAAGCAAACTCCGAACTGCTAGACGGGCCGACGTAGTGTAAAATCCGACGAGGGCCGGGCACCATGCGCTCATACACCACTTCGAATGCGGGACAATCATCCTTGATCATCTGGACATCGGTATTGCCAACGGGCGATTTGCTTGTAGCGGCAATTGTATCTTGATTGAAAGCTTCCGGTGCATGCGACTCGTCGTCTGGCGACGGCATAGGTATGTTGTGATTCCTGCCTAGTTGAAACAGAACCTCTATGTCGTCGGTATCTTCGTTCGGAAACAGGCCCCGAACGAGCGCGTCTAGAGCGCGATACCGTAAGCTGAACCTCTCCACACTCCCGTATACGCGTTGCTTCCTCGGCAGAGTCGACTCGCATTTGACGCCTCCGTTGAGGCAACTGGTGCAGCTTTCGTTCTCATTGTTGCGACAGCAGCGAATGCGACGGGTTTTGCATCGATCGCAGCTCACCAAGGTCCGGCGGCGCTGCGAATCAGGAACACGTCGTCTAGCGGGTTTCTTCTCGCTTCCAGAAGAGAGCATAATGGGAGTGGAGCGGCGTGTCGAGTCGATCGCTGGACATTTTATCGTGCAATAATAATCGTCATCTTCCCTCGAAAGGAGGGTTGGCCTCCCTCTTTGCCAACTGACGATGCTTTGGGAAGAGGATCGACGCCGGGTAGTTGCTGATTGGCTGATTCGCACCGATCCACTAATGCGGAAACGGTATAGCCAAGATTCTTGCTTAAGTAATTTTCCTGACTGGGCCTGTCTATTTTCCTCCCGACAGCAACTTAAGACAGCCACGCTCACGGCACTTTTGAGGACGCTATCTAGTATCTAAGTATCTATACGTCTACGCCACATATTGGAGTGTTTCTGGTCGGTAATATGATTCTAGGTTGCCTGCCTTGGTAGATATCGCAGCACTCAATGGTACCGTCTCCAGTTTCGTTCTCCGGCCCAGCAGTTATCCGCTCGAAGTAATTCAGACTTGCTGCTGGTAGACATTTGGTAGCCGACTGACTCTGTATCACCTTGATTTGTATTTGCGTAGCTGTGAGAGTAGAAGTAAACATAGTAGAGTGTGAGTATGCCTCTAGGCTGTTACCTAGGTAGGCTCGAATGATACTGGGAAGGTTTAACTTAGTAGCCTTGCGAATGATTGGCATTGCCATGATCAAGGCTACTTCCAGCAAACGCTCACTACTGAGTAGCCTCTATCATTTCGACGACCTGGTGCAAATAATGATTATCTGATGTCAGGGATCAGACGGATCTGCACGTCCCCTGAGGCCCAGCGAGTCGCTGTAAACCGCGAATCAAAGCCCAGCCAAGGTGCTTGTCAATTTTGATTTTCTCTTGGACTGCACGCATCGCCAAACAGAAGGACAATCCAGAAACACGGTGGAACCAGCACGCCTCAGCCATTTTCTTGGAGCCTCTTTATTTGCAGACGCTAAATAAAATCTGGGGACCTGGACCTGTCCTGGGAGAGGATTGACCGATCGACCCGGTTCGACGCCGTCGATGAAAATGTCGCTCAGGGATGGCTTATGAAGCGCATGGATCGGTGGGTAGATGAATGAAGCAGGTTGAGTGCTGAGAGTTTTAAAGAAGCCCTTGCCTGCCTTGAGTCGGTCGCTCCTTCCCTACTCCCATTCTTCCCTCCTGCCTCCTTCATACCACACTACCCCCTTCGTTCTTTCTTGGCTTCCTTCTTTTTCTTGCATCGTGAGAATTGGCGTTTCACCTCTTCTCTTCCTCTCGCTTATTCAATCATTCACTCATTTGGCATTTCTGCTACCATCAACCCACTTATATCGCGCTCTTTTTCTCAATATATTCCGTAAAGCCTCTGGTATACATCGACACTTCTACTCATATCATATCTAAGCCACTATTAATTCCGTACTTCTTTCTTCGAGCATCATCATGAAAGCGGCCCTCGCATCGTTGGCCGCCACCGTCTCTCTGGTGGCAGCTGTCCCCCAGAAACTGCATGGCCGTGACAGTGGGATTACTCCCATCACCGTGAAGGGCAATGCCTTCTTCCAAGGTGACAACCGATTCTACATCCGCGGTGTTGACTACCAGCCCGGCGGCTCTTCCAAGCTCGTCGATCCTCTCGCAGACGCCGATACATGCAAGCGAGATATCGCCCACTTCAAGGACTTGGGACTGAACACCGTTCGTGTATACTCTGTCGATAACTCCGCTGATCACGACGACTGCATGAGCGCCTTGGCAGATGCTGGCATCTACGTGGTCCTGGACGTCAACACCCCTAAATATTCGATCAACCGAGCAGACCCTGAAATCTCATACAACGATGTGTATCTGCAGAACGTCTTTGCAACAGTCGAAATGTTTGCCAAGTACGACAACACCTTGGCTTTCTTCTCGGGTAATGAAGTCATCAACGATGGTCCTTCATCCAAGGCCGCTCCTTATGTGAAAGCCGTCACCCGTGACATCCGCCAATTCATCCGCTCTCGAAATCTGCGTAATGTTCCTGTTGGATATTCTGCAGTAAGTGATGGCCGTAGCTAAGCAGCGGGACCAGCATACTGACGATAACAGGCTGATATCGATACCAACCGTCTGCAAATGGCTCAATTCATGAACTGCGGCACTGATGACGAGCGTAGCGACTTCTTCGCCTTCAACGACTACTCATGGTGCGACCCCTCGTCCTTCACAACCTCTGGTTGGGACCAGAAGGTGAAGAACTTCACCGGCTATGGTCTCCCATTGTTCCTCTCCGAGTATGGCTGCAACACCAACAAGCGTCAATTCCAGGAAGTAGCCTCGCTCTACAGCACTGATATGACCGGCGTCTACTCTGGAGGTTTGGTCTACGAGTACAGCGAAGAAGGAAGCAACTATGGCCTTGTCAAGATTGACGGCAGTGATGTGACTGAAAAGGATGACTACACCGAATTGAAGAATGCTCTCAAGAAGACACCAAACCCGCAAGGCGATGGCAACTACAACTCTACCGGTGGAGCAAACGGTTGTCCTGCATCAGATCCCCCTAACTGGGACGTCAGCAACGACACTCTTCCAGCCATCCCATCTCCCGCCAAGAAATACATGACCGACGGACCTGGCAAGGGACCTGGCTTTTCTGGTTCTGGAAGCCAAGACAAGGGCACTAAATCTACTGGAACCGCCACGGCAGGCTCTGGAGCTTCTGCTGCTACGGAATCAGTCTCGACGACATCCAAGGGAGCTGCTACCGGCCTTCGTGCTCCAGGACTCACATTTACTCCTGTGGTCTGTAGTGCCGCCGTGGCACTGTTTACCCTCTTTGGTGCTTCTCTTGTTATCCTGTAAAACTTTTTGCCATCTCTATCCAAGCGGAAAAGCCGAGCTTATAGCCAGAATTTTCTGGATGGCCTCAACAATATTTCAGCACAGTTTGTACAGTCATCTGGGAAAAGTTGGCTGGTCAACCTCGGTTTCGTTATTACTTATCAGTTCGTATGATTAATTCTGTTACTCGCACATGTATATTGGATTGTAGGGTATCCCATTATTAGATTCAATCAAATCATTTTCTGGATCATGCAAGCATTACTGAGTATCGGGCGTATCATGATTAGGGTTTCGGTCGTTCAGGAGTTAGGGCTACCCGCCTGACCGCCGTGGTACCCCCAGGTAATAGAAGCTCGGAACTCTTGCATGTAAATTATTATGAGTTCATATGAGTTCAGCATGCATGTAACCCTAAAACATGTGTGGAGGTTCACCACGACTTTCCGTTTGCGGATGTCTTCCCCTCCCACCAAGTACCAAGCGCTAGGGCACTTGCAGGTTAACCTGGTGACTGGTCTGGTTGTACTTGTACCTAGATACCAGTTTAAATTTGTTATTAAACATATTTTAACAGAAGATCTCTCTTGTCGATGTACGTATATGTTCATACACAATGTGTGGGATAAGTGGGATACTCTACAACTTACGTGGACCGAGCCTCCCTGCTTGAGCACATACTTAGCCATTAACAGACACACCCACTCAATGTAACGCTGGGAACTTAAGCATAAAGCAAATGCTTATCACTCTATCTATCATTCCCCCACATTGCATGGGGAATCGACAGCTACAAGCCCTGCAACTATTCCCAGTCTCTAAACCTATTCGAGGCACGCTCCAGTATGACCACCACTGAACCCGTTGGTTGTCTCGAAGCCAAGAACGCCGATCTGTTGGCTTATCTCGATAGATTGCTGGAATACTGGGGTTGACTAAGTTAGTGCACAGTAACGAGTTGCGACATTGACCAAGTGTCGACCTTATCGCCCGTGCGACAACAGCTGAAGGCCGTTTTGCATTTCCGATAGTGCCGTTGCAGTTTCTTTAAATACTGGCTGGGGAAGCATGCTTGACATGCTTGTTTTGCTACTGGGTGTGGAAGATTGCAGACAGATCCCTTGGTAACCCTAGTTCGCTCCTTGCTCGTGCTCTTGCAAGCAGACATTTTTACTGTGTGGATTTCCTACATTTCCACCTCCTCGAACTACATATACAAAATGTCCACCCACGAGACCGCAGCGGACGTCGAGAACGAAGCACTCGACAAGAAAAATGTGCGTGTAGTCTCAACGACAAACGAGTCCGTGGGCATTGGACTCAAGGACTCCTTTCCGGAAACTGCACGTGTAATTGACCATGAAGCTGAGCGAGCTCTGTGTCGCAAATTTGATTTTCGATTGTTGCCGATTTTGGCTTTTATGTGTATGTTCTTTTCTTATTCTCTCTCCTATTTGCGGATTTGAGCCTAATATAACGGTCGAGATAGATCTCTGCAATGCCCTTGATAAAGGGAATCTGGGTAATGCAAAGACAGATGGTATGGATAAAGGTTTGCTCTCTTCCCATCGCTTTAGTCATGAATACCTACTGAGGACAACAGATCTGGGCATGACTGGAAGCCAGTACAATCTCTTACTATCCATCTTCTTCGTCCCCTTTGTCGTATTCGCTCCACCAATCGCCATGCTCGCCAAACGCTTCAGTCCAGCCAAAGTCATCTCGGTAATGATGTTCAGTTTCGGCTCGTTCACTCTACTCTCTGCTTCCGTATCCAGTTATTCCGGTTTGTTCGCCCTTCGATGGTTCCTGGGTATGTCCGAAGCCGCGTTTTTCCCTTTGGTGATTTATTATCAAACCACTTTCTACCGTCGAGGAGAACTTGCGCGACGCCTGGCGATCTTTTATGCCGCCTCAAACATTGCGAATGCCTTTTCCGGTTTGCTTGCCTTTGGCGTCTTTCAAATCAAGGATCCGGCTCTGCAAGGATGGAAATATCTGTTTCTGATTGAAGGCGCATTCACCGTTTGCTTCTCCGCATTTGCGTTTTTCTATCTCCCGGCAAGCCCCCAGCAGGCACGGTTTTTGAACGAGGAGGAGAAACAACTCGCCTTTTATCGGATTCAGGTCGACTCTTCGGCTGTGGTCAATGAAGAATTTAACCTCCGTCGCGCGCTCCGTATCCTCCAGAGGCCGACCAGCTATGCATTCCTAGCTATTGAAATCTGCCTCGGTGTCCCCTTGCAAGGTGTCGCACTGTTTCTACCGCAAATCGTCGCTCGCCTTGGCTATTCCACCGTCAAGACAAACCTGTACACCGTCGCGCCCAACGTGACCGGTGCCGTGATGTTGCTCGTACTCGCATTCTCATCTGATGCCACCCGTCTCCGATCGCCGTTCATCGTGTTAGGGTTCATTTTCACTCTAGTCGGATTTGTCATCTACGCTGCCATCAACGACGTCGTGGCTCAGATCCATCTTGCCTACTATGCATGCTTCATGATGACATGGGGCACTTCAGCGCCTTCCGTGCTATTGAGTACATGGTACAACAACAACATCGCTGATGAAGGACAACGTGTCTTGTTGACCAGTATCGGTGTCCCGCTTGCGAACCTCATGGGTCTTGTATCGAGTAATGTGTTTCGATCCCAGGATGCGCCTAAATATATGCCTGCACTGGTCACGGTGGCTTCTTTTGGGGGTGCCGGTGCCCTGATTACTGCTTGTTTGGGGGTTTATATGTGGTTTGATAATGTGCGTCGTAATCGCAGGGCTGGGAGGAAGATTGATGCTCGTGATGTGCCGACGGAGCGTTTATGGGATGGGCCTAAGACGGAGGAATTTAGGTGGTTCCTGTAAACTGTTTGCTACTTGCATGTTTGATGCTTTCTCGGGTATTTCTACCTGTATATGACTAGAGTATGGACTATGCACAAGGCATAGCTAAACGAATCACTCTTGCCAATCAAGCAGTTTGGTCAACTTTGATAATAACCTTTCCAAAATGAGACCCAGCATCGACATATTTGAACGCCTCCTTTGCATCCTTCCATTCAAACACCTTATCAACCACAAAGGTAATCTTATTCTTCTCAGCAAACGCCAACAACTCCTCCAACTGATCTCTGGGCCCATTCAAGATCCCCTTCAAAGTAACATTCTTCCGAAGCGCAAGGACATTGATATTCAATAAATCCTGCACTTGATCATCCTGCTTACCGCTCAGATACCCGATAGAAGCAATCAAGCCACCCCATGCAATACAATCAAAGCTCCTACGGAGGGTCTTGCTGCCTCCTATTTCGAGAATAATGTCCGCGCCGTGGTCGCTGGTGTATTTCAAGACTTCTTTTTCCCAGTCGGGTGTTTTGCGGTAGTTGATTGTGTAGTCTGCGCCGATTTGTTTGGCGCGGGCTAGTTTTTGGTCGTCTGAGGATGTGATTATGACTATACCCTCGTCAGTATGATTGGATTTGACAGTTGCACTGGAACGGAGAGGATACCTTTGCATCCGCTAGCCTTTGCAATCTTCAACCCAGCAATAGACACACCACCAGTCCCCTGCAACAAGACACAATCCCATTCCTTGACCGGTCTCAAACCATACAACGACATCCAAGCCGTCAACCCTGCAATAGGGAACAAAGCCGCCTGCTCATCGGAAAGGTAATCAGGTACCTTTACAAGTCCATAAGCAGGAAATACTCTATACTCTGCAAGAACACCAGGTAACGGCAGACCGAGACCCGTAGCGAGTTCCTTGCCAGTTACTTGGCCCGTCAAATGGGCTTGATTGAAAGTTGAGATCACGCGGTCTCCCCTTGTGAGACCGACTTGTTCGTTGGTTCGTTGGGTGCTGACTCCCTCACCGACTTCAATTATGGTGCCGCACATGTCTGAGCAAGGGACGAGGTCGGAGGGGATATCGCCGCCTTGCTTATGGTGTGTATATTCACCTTTGGTCACTGTACACAATCATCAGCATTGTTATCCTCATTCGAAGTTTTTCAAAGGCGTACCCTCAACATCTCGGTAATTAAGCGCTACTGTGTGAATTTTCACCAGAACTTCATTCGGACCTGGTTTTGGGAGGTTTGCTTTGATGAGTCTGAGTTTGTCAATTCCGTCCTGGGACGTGGCCCATTGCTCGAATTCAGCCATTGCCGGTTATTTAGCTCAGTAGTTTAAACGAGTCAATGTTGTGGAAATGTGTGAAGAAACACGATCTACAGATTTGTGGAAGTTATGGAGAAAGATTCGCCCCACTTCCAACATTCTGGCGATATCGAGATTGATGTTTCGCAAAACCGTTCGAGAAAAATCCACTTATTGTCTAACGAATCTATTGAGTGATGTGTTTGACTTCTAACCGTCCACTATGCACTAAGTTAGCCCGTCCAACGGTATCTCCCATATGGCTTGCCTCTCGAGATATATCTGACGACATTCACTCACCCCCTCCTAATCGCAGCAGCAATAATCAGGGCCGAAAAATACAGGAAGAGCATTTGCGTCATGTAATCAGGCTGCCAGAAAGCAACGCAAAAGAACACAAAGTTCAACGCCCTAATAACCCCCCTGAGTGACGCTATAGTTGCGGTTTGCCGAATGATCATCAAATCTTCAAGCGCGTACACAAATATCCCCGATCCAGTTGCCCAAATGATGAATGAAAGAACACATACGAAGGTAATAAACCCCCTTCGCAGGGTAGGTTGATTATGCAGTATTCTGGATGCGAGACCCCGAAGGACAAGGCACACTGCCAGCTGGCTCATATATAAGCCGATTATGGTAAGGGCAAGTTGTTTTAGACAAGTTTGTATGTCTTTAAGATAGGGTGCTGTCTCTAGGCTTGCCAGGGTTTCGAACATGGTGGTTTCTTCTTTCCTTTCGTCAAGGTTCTTGTTCTGACGCAGAGATGAGGATAGACTGTTGAAGTGTTTGTAATTTCAGACTGGATTGTGAGATTGTTGGCATCTAGACAGCAATCTCTGAGATATTTGACCTCTTTATACCTTAAATGATTGGCAGAACATGTAGAGCTTTTGCTCACGTCTTTCGTCAAAATCCTTCAATCCCTGTCGGGCATTTCCATGGTGGACCTGTCTATACGGCGAATACCGGCAGGCCATTGTAAATTGCATAATCCAGTAGAAAGCACTGAACAAAAAATTCACCCTATTGAAACCTCTTAACAAAGAGTCAGGAGAAGCTGATATCGTTTCAATGTCGTGAATGTGGATTTCCCAGATAGGAAAACTACTATTAGTAACTATATTGACCCACATGCCGAGGTCCAAGATCTGATAAGGGTTAGGGTCTGAAAGACCAGCTTCATGGTTTTATGAACATTTAACGACGGAATAAACAGAATCAATAGAGAGAACCTAAATGTATCTAATACAGAAAGCAATACTTCTTGTTCACGCAAGCCAAGTTTTCCCTGGCACTTCCGACTATTCTAATCACTCCGATAACAGACTGCACAATATCCGAGATTAGATAAAGGCACAGCCTGCCAGTGATCAGACAGAATTGTCCAAACCGACAACCAACAACCGAACCTGGGCATCAAATACTTAGAATAGATTCTGAGTCCATACAATAATATCATTTTCCATACCTTTGTTCCTGGCCTTGTAGTACCATTGTTAAATCCGCCCATAAAGCCGAATCATGGTATGAACCCACTGTCCGATTGGCCAGTCCACATAAACCTACAGACGCCTGATGACTTGTATCTAACCCTCTCCATGCAGCGTTATTAATATTTTAGCGAGAATGCCTATTCATTGAGTTATATATATATGATCCAGCTCGGGTCAATGAATGAATGCGAGCTATCACTTTCAATAAACGGATAATTAGCTCGGCGTTCAATCACATCCGAACCACTACTATCAACATGTCGAGCAGTACCGAGTCAACAAAAACAACCTTCGCGCAAAAAGCATTCTTTAGACAACCCTTTTATGCCAAAGATGGCAAAACCAGATTACCCCATTACGTCGCCCATCGCGGCTTCAATCGTGTTTATCCAGAGAATACTCTGAGCGCATTCCAGGCTGCGATCGATGTTGGTTGTCAGGGTATTGAGACGGATGTGCAGATTTCCAAAGATGGGGTTGTTGTTATTTCACATGTATTCCATCCCCTTCTCAATGTCAGAATGAATGTAAATGCTAACGAAAGATAGGATGCAACGCTTAATCGCTGTTTTGGAATTGATAAAAAGATTAATGAATGTGATTGGGAGTACCTCAGTACGCTCCGGACGATACGTGAGCCTCGAGAAAAGATGCTTCGGTTAAGTGACCTTCTGGAATTTATCAGCGCCGAGGGCAGGGATCATATTTGGGTTTTGCTTGATATCAAGGTTCGTATGTGACTTTAATTCTAGTACGAGCCATGGTCTGATGCGAAGATCCAGAGAAATAATCCTGCCAATGTAATCCTTCCGAAAATCGCAGAGACTCTCAAGTCTGGTCCGTACTCATCACAGCCATGGAATTTGAGAATCGTATTAGGATGCTGGACTGTACGTATATCCTAACACCTTTGCGCAGTACTGCCAAGGATCAGAACTGACATAAGATATAGCCCACCTACTTCCCCATCTGCAAAGAATACCTCCCAGCCTTCCAACCCGCGGTAATCGGCTTCAACATCGTGGCTGCCAGAAAAGTCCTCCGCACCTTACCAGAAGTCTTATTCAACATCCACTTCAAATCCGTCAAAGGCCCACTAGGCTATGATTTTATTGACGCCGTACACAAACACAGAGACCCCGACAGTGACAACAACGAACCCCGGCTCATCTTCGGCTGGACCATAAATGCTCCCCGGGACATCCGCTGGGCGATTCGCCACGGCTTTGATGCCGTTTTAACCGATGATCCGGCTACATGTAAACAAATTAGCGATGTATGGGATGACGCGTACTCTCAAAAGTACGAGCGAGAAGACAATAAAGTCACGGTTGGAGAGAGGGTGTATTTAACGCTTTGGGGGTTGTGGTTTGTGTTTTTCGGCTGGGTTTTCCCGCTGTTGTATCCTTATTTACAGCGGTTTTTGGTGGAGAGGCCGGCTGTGAAGAGTAACATTAGAGGCAGCTCGGAAAGGACTTGACATTGGCCTAAGAATGAAGGTTTTGTTGTGTATATATTTTTTATTGATGCTTACGGTGTACATAGTGTGAGCAAACGCTAGCGATCGAGGATGATGGCATATTACTTAATTATAAGTACATAAGACGAAGAATAAACAGACCATCCCAATGATGTAACATATTTCATTACATGCATGGGCATCGTCAACAAGAAGAAGATCGATACTATATAAAGTCGATGTAGAAGTCGTGAGAAATGTGTAATTAATGACCCGGCCAGTGCCAGACAGGATGTAAACAAAGCGAGAGTCGCAAAATCAACACCAATATCATGATGGTATTAATGCTGATAGTCAAGGGGTATATGTATGCAATATGTACGACAAAACTGGGTTATATAGGAAATAGATTCAGGCATGCTGATCTCGAACGAAAAAAGCGAACGTGCTTTGCTCAGCAGGGGTATAGGAGCAAAAGGGGGAATCAAAGCAAAGATATTAACAAGAAATAAAGGTCTCATCAAGAAACAAAAAGAAGAAAGAAACAAAAACGATAGAAGGATGAATGTTGTACACGTGACTTTCTGATCCTTTGATGAATGAACATCTCATACCATCATCAGCTTGGTCGTTCTCCTCTCGGGGAAGCGTCGAGCACCGCCTGGGGGAGCTAAGCTACCGCCTTGTCTAGAAGATGGTGGCGGCCTGTCCATTCCACGACCACCAGATGGAGGTGGACCACGTGGCATCATAGGACCACCTGGTCCCATGCGACTTGGACCTGGACCTGGTGGGCCACCTCGGCGTGGAGGACCGCGATATCCCGTAGGCGGCGGTGGTCCTGGTGGGAAACCCGGAGGACCAGCAAGAGGGGATGATGGCATCCGTCTACCAGGAGGTGGCGCTGTCATAGCTGCAGCTCGTCGAGCATCGCGCTCGCAGTAGACTTGACCATTCCATTCAAAATAATCCCCTCGGAGGACAACACGACAGGTGCGACAGGTCAAACAATCAGGATGAAACTTTTGCGGATTCCCAGTACCATATGTGCTGTTTTCAATGGTCTCGAGATATTGTCCTTCAATTCCCTGTTTGCAAGTGGCGCAAGTCGAGCCGTTGAGTTCATGATAGTGTTGAGAACAATAAGGATGGTCGTCTAGAACATAGAAGTCTGCCGTTTCAAACGGTGACCGACAGGTAAAACAAACAAAGCAGGCCTTATGATACCGTCCAGTAAGGCGGCCATCCGCTGAGGAAACCGATTTACCAACTATGCCCTGTCCACAACCGCGACAACGACGCTTTTGACCACCGGCAGTGGATGGTCTTGAGACCTGCTGGCCGTATTCCGCAGGACTCTTTTCGCGCAATGGGCTCTTCGGCATGGGCTCTGGTGGAGGAGCGTTGCGCGTTGAATAGGAGCCACCAACAAGAGTTGGGTCGGTAGGCGAATCAGGTCCACGGTCAAAATTACCAACACCGCGTGGTGGTTCGAGACTTGTGCTGTCTAGACTAGGTGGCGGTGGCCGTCTTTCAACTGGAGACTGCTTCTGATCCAACTCCAGTTCTTGCAGCATTGAATCAATTTGAGTCAGATCTGATGGTTTCCGATCAAAGTCCGATGCCGGGCTGGAGATTGAGCTGCCGCTGCCTGTCTCGGAACGAGAGGAATTGCTGGATGATGTTGACCCTACAGGTGCATGATATGCCGTCTTATCTAATCCGAGACCAGGGTTAAAATTTGAAGCCGGCTGACTGTTTTGCAGAGGGTTCAATCCAGTCGTTGAGCTTAGGGTGTTGGATTGTCTAGGTAGAGAGGGTCGACCAGGAACGGTTGGCGATGGCTGCGACGGCCATCTAGTTAAGAGATTATCATTAGGATCGAGGCTATCATTCACTGCGTTCGACATCGTCTGAGACCTTGTCAATGTATCCTCCTTTGGAGGAGAGGTTCCGTGAGCACTTTCGTAACTCTGGGGTTCGTCTGTTATCCCCAAATCAAAGGCGCCATAACCAACGGGCTTTGTCTTTGGCGGGCTAGTAGAAAGATTCGTGCCGGTATTACTTATCTGCGAGCTAGGTCGGAATGATGTCAAAGGCCCAGTAGGTATAGGCGGCACTTCATCCATAAAATTTCGAGGGCTGCGTGGGATGCTGATCGAAACGCCTCGTGAGGAGTAAGTCGATGTGGATTCCCGGTAGCGTCTGCTCGATACTGACGTGCGATATGTACTTTTACTTTCAATAGAAGGCGATCGAGTATGCGAGCCTTCCGATCCATCGGTAATGGCAGTGTCGCTGTTGATTGTTGGAGTCTCGGACCGAGTTGTCGCGCGATGTGGCGATTTGGTGGTCAGAGTTGGGCTCAATGCCGATCGAATAGTAGCTGCAGGGTTGCTGTTGAAAGCGCTTCCCTCGTCGGCGAACTCAAGTGACGAAGGCGTTAGCGGAAACGGGGAAGTTTGACTTCGTGAAGGCGACATTCGCGGAGTGAGTGGATGGCTTCCGAGACTGCTCGATGGACTCCCGTGGCTAAGCGACAAGAAAGGTTGATCTATACCAAGAAGTCATTGTTAGAGTCCATTGTTGTATACTCTTCTATTCCACCACTTACTAGCAACGGCAGGATCGATACGCGGAGGAGGTCCGGGCCTAAGTGCTTTCATTCCCGCGGACGGTGGTGGTGACGAAGCTGCGAACCCTTTGTCAGTTGCTTTCATGCGAGTCATGGAGACAACCCATACATTGTTGTGTTGGGGCGCAAACATGTTCTCCCATCGCCGAGATCTCGACGTTCATGTTGCAATTCGAACATTTTATTGTCGGCAGCAAGGCCGCAAAATCCATGTCGTTGGTCATGGCGACACCATCAACGCCGAAGCTCTCGGATCACAAAGAGGAAATCATCAATTCGTTCCGGATCCAGACGGAAGTTGGCGAGTGAGTGATTGTATATGATTCGATGCTGGTATCGATATTGGTCGGAGTGGAAATTTCGATAGTCCACTATCGTGCTCCGGCGAGTGTTGGACGAAGAAAGATCTTACGTGCGCTGACAAGTCAAGACTGAAGGCCCTAAATAATAATAAAACAGACCGGCTGGCTCGCGCCCTTGTAGATTGCGACGATCGCTGCGCTTGCTGTGGCAATGGCAGTCACAGAAGAACTTGTTGAAGCACTAGCTCCGCAACGTGATCGCTGCACGATGTATGAGATCTGGGAACAACGCCTGGTCGAAGTTCAAACTTTCGAGAAAAAAAGGGAAACAATGGGAGGGTGAGTGTCGTAGGTGCTCCAGATGATACCATTCATGCTGTCCATTTGATTGAACGAGTTTGATTGATCGAGATCAGCCGGGTCCTGTTGATCAGCCAGACAGCCCCTGGAGAGATTTGGCTTACCCCTGAGTGCTCTCCGCGACGAACTGGGAAGGATCCAGCCAACCGAATGTCGTGCATGGATGGGGCGAGCTCTTAGTTCTTTTAGTGTTGGAATAGCCCGCGCTCGGCCTCCACCCTGTGACTGTGCACTTGGGAGAGTCCTTCTCGCACTTCGGACGGCAACGTGGCTAGTCCTAGTACGTAGTAGTATGTTCGTCTAGTGCTCGTGCTATGTTACCTCATATTTGCTGCTTACTTGGCTGATGAGTCGGAACACGTCTGACACGGTTGACGTTGCAGATTGAGTCAAGAGTTGGAAACTGGAATGAAGCAATTGACAGGGAAGATGCGACATACCAGCAGCATCACGTGTTCATGTGTCTGCCATGAGCTCATGTAGGGCAGCGCCGCAGGGGCAGCCGCGATTCACGCCCACGTGATATCCCTCTGGAGGTTGATTTCCGTCTGTGCTCGTTTAGTCCTAAACAAGGACCTTACTGCGATGAGCAATACTCCATATAATTGCTATCACTCTTGAACTCAAGAACGATTACCAGACAAGTAGTGGTGGAAGCATGCGTTGTCCTATCCAAGGCACGTACATGCATTGGTGAAATTACTAACCATACGGAGCACATAACACCGGGAACATGCCGAGCAGCAGCAGTATACAACAACTACGCATCCGTCTTATCGTCATGATGATAGATCCTGTCACCATCGGGTCCTTATCAGTTCTTCTGCTATACGTATTTATTTGATCGTGCAATATCGTCAATATCGTCAATTGATCCGTTAACGGATGTTTCTTCGGGATTCATCATTCTGTACAAGCGGCGTAATGGAATAGAAGGTGCTTAATTCTGACCAGCATGTTTAGCGGCATTAGTGAGGGGAGAGCGAGCGGTGACTGGTTGACAAGCGCAGCACTAAACCCTAAGGCCAGCATAGAACATCGCGATAATCGTCCTGATTCCAAGATTCTTCCCACTTAACTAGCCAACGGACTCTCGTGAGTTGTATGTCAACTCAATAAGTGGATATTCCATCCTCACCGACTTTCGCATCCTAGGAGCAAGACTGCGGGGACGAATGCGGAAGAACGCGGGCATACAGGGCCGATACAATTATACAGGAATTGCACAAAGATAACCTTCGCCCGATAACGTAAGATACGGTACTGCTGGCGTAAATTGTCCGCGGGGCATCGAATGTTGTCTGCCTGGGAAAGAAGGTTCCTTCCTCTCCTCCACAAACAAATTGACTGGGCGCCTTCACAATTGGCAGTACTTAAGCAACCAAACCCCCCTTGGTTCACTTTCTCCTCCTTTCTTCTCCCTCTCACCCATCACCATCATCATTCTTGGTCCCCCAATCGCTCACCTCTCTCTCAGGTCGAAGACTTCATCTTCCTGATCAAATCAATCTTCTTAGCCGAACAGATCACTCTTCCGAGGGTGGTCATCAACACCGGCAAAATTTTCTCCAACTCTCTTAACTCGTAAGTTTGCTTCATGCTTGGGCGTCCATGACAATGCAATTGTGTTGGTCTCCGTAGCGAACCCTGGCGCAACCATGGTTCTTCGTGCTAACAGAAGGTCTTCTAGCTGTCACCACCCGTTCAACGGTTCCCGACGCTCATCCGCTCGTGGAGGGGCATCGGGCTCAATCTATTCTCATTAAGAAGCTAGAACCTCACTTTCAAGACAATCTCATTCCTCCCGTCAAGTTCGTAGCTTTCTCCCGTGACTCGCCTCCGATCAACAAACATTCATCATGGCTCCTCACGCAAATGAGAATGGTGCTGTCAATAGTACCGTGAACGGGTTGGCTGGCAACCGCAACGAAAAGACCCCTCTTTTCACCGTCGATTCGCCCAACGTGGTCTATACTGAAGATGCAATTGAGACCAAGTATGCTTACCATACCACCTCGGTCACTCGTGCCGGCGACAAGTTAGTTGCTACTCCCAAGGCACAGAACTACAACTTCAAGGTGGACCGCAAGGTGGGCAAGGTGGGTATGATGCTGGTTGGCTGGGGTGGTAACAACGGTACTACTGTTACCGCTGGTATCATTGCTAACCGCCGCGGTCTGGTGTGGGATACTCGCGAGGGCAAGCGCGCTGCCAATTACTATGGTTCCGTAGTGATGGGCTCTACTATCAAGCTTGGCACCGACGAGAAGGGCCAGGAAATCAACATTCCCTTCCACGACATGCTTCCAATGGTCCACCCTAATGACCTCGTCATTGGCGGTTGGGACATTAGCGGATTGGGATTGGCTGACGCCATGGACCGTGCCTGCGTCCTGGAGCCTTCCCTCAAGGAGCTTGTCCGCAAGGAAATGGCTGAGATGAAGCCTTTGCCCAGTATCTACTACCCGGACTTTATTGCTGCAAACCAGGAAGACCGTGCAGACAATGTTATTCCCGGCTCCAAGGCGTCATGGGATCACGTTGAGCACATCCGTAAGGACATTCGGTAAGCCGATCTCTTCAACGCCTCACTAGACTATGATACTAATTACCCGCGAATACAGCGACTTTAAGGCAAAGAATGAACTCGACAAGGTTATTGTTCTGTGGACTGCCAACACCGAGCGCTATGCCGAAATCATTACTGGCGTAAACGACTCTGCTGACAACTTGGTCAACGCCATCAAGTCTGGTCACGAAGAGGTTTCTCCTTCGACTGTTTTCGCTGTGGCCTGTGTCCTCGAGAATGCTCCTTTCATCAACGGTTCTCCACAGAACACCTTTGTCCCAGGCGCCATCCAGTTCGCTGAGAAGCATAACGCTTTCATCGGTGGTGATGACTTCAAGTCTGGTCAAACCAAGATGAAGTCAGCTTTGGTTGACTTCTTGATCAATGCCGGTATCAAGCTTACCTCAATTGCGAGCTACAACCATCTTGGTAACAACGATGGCAAGAATCTCAGCTCTCAGAAGCAGTTCCGCTCCAAGGAGATCTCCAAGTCTAATGTTGTTGACGACATGGTCGCTGCCAACTCTGTTCTATACAAGGAGGGTGAGCATCCTGACCACACTGTTGTCATTAAGTACATGCCTGCTGTTGGCGACAATAAGCGTGCTCTCGACGAGTACTATGCTGAGATCTTCTTGGGTGGCCACCAGACCATCAGCATCTTCAACGTGTGCGAGGACTCTCTATTGGCTTCTCCTTTGATCATCGATTTGGTTGTCGTTGCCGAGATGATGACTCGTATCAGCTGGAAGAAGGCCGATGGGTCGGATGACTACAAGGGATTCCACAGTGTTCTCAGCGTTCTCAGCTACATGCTCAAGGCTCCATTGACTCCTCCTGGAACACCTGTGGTCAATGCTTTGGCTAAGCAGCGTGCTGCTCTGACCAACATTTTCCGCGCCTGTGTCGGTCTCCAGCCTGAGTCTGACATGACCTTGGAGCACAAGCTCTTTTAATAGCTGACCGGTGGTCTTGAGGCAACACGCTTCGCCACCAGCGATCATGAATTGTTCATTTGGTTTTTACTTGCAGCCTGACCCTAGTCACTCCTTAGATAGCAACAATCAATACAGCCGTCCTCGTCCATGAGATGAGGCTTATCGAGATTTTTCTTCAATAACATAGCACATTAGAATAATAAGCCATGAATGAAGCCCTTGGTTTCTATGACCCGAGGCGCTCCATCGCATCTATACTACTTTTTTTTTGGAACAAAATCTCTCCTCTCCAAGCTGGCTAGTGTTCTCGGGGTTCATCCACGAGTACCTTCCAAGACAGAGAACACATGACTTGTTGACTTCCAAGGTTCTCGTTCCAAAGATAGAATATGGTGATACGATTACTATTCAAACATACAAAGAAAATGTATAAATAAAGCTGAATTTCACGTTAGGTCTGCATTGACATTATCAATTCAGAATCATTCTTTTATTATTTGACCTATCAATCTGAAAAATAGGCCTACGTACTAAAACAGATGAGGTTATACCCTAAGCACGAACATCGACAACGCAACGAATACAATCACCAGCCTTCATTTGTTCAAAGGCCGTGTTAATATTGGCGAGTGTTTCGCGATGTGTGATGAATTCGTCAACCTTGAGTTTACCGTTTAGGTAATCGTCGACCAAACTGGGGAGTTGGGAGCGGCCCTTGATGCCGCCGAAAGCGCATCCTTTCCATACACGACCTGTGACGAGTTGGAATGCTATATATATCAAAATCAATTGGTTAGTAAGGAGTGCTATTGTGATACGGGAAAAGGATGGATATGAACATACGTCTTGTGGAGATTTCTTGACCGGCAGCAGCGACACCAATGACAATACTCTGACCCCAACCCTTGTGACAAGCTTCGAGAGCAGCACGCATAACGCCCACGTTGCCGGTGCAATCAAAGGTATAATCGCAACCACCATCCGTCATCTCAATCAACTTCTCCTGCACACTCTGATTACCCAATTTGGTCGGGTTCACAAAATCTGTAGCACCGAATTTGCGTGCCCATGCCTCCTTGGAATCATTGACGTCGACAGCAATGATCTTACCGGCTTTGTTTTTGAGTGCGCCCTGAATAACGGACAGACCGACACAGCCGGCTCCAAAGACAGCGACATTGGAGCCTTCCTCAACCTTGGCGGTGACGACGGCAGCGCCGTATCCAGTGGTGATACCGCAACCCAAGAGGCAGGTCTTGTCAGTTCCAGCCTTGTCGGTGACGGCTACGACGGAGATATCGGCGACAACGGTGTACTGTGAGAAAGTCGATGTGCCCATAAAGTGAAGGATGTCCTTGCCACGGGCCCTGAAGCGCGATGTGCCATCGGGCATGACACCCCTACCCTGGGTAGCGCGGATTTTTCCACAGAGGTTGGTCTTGCCGGATTTGCAGAATTTGCATTCTCCGCATTCGGGGGTGCTGCGTATCGTCAGCAAGTTAGTGACTATGACGGGCTTTTCGAGAGATGCTGGGGAATACTGACTAGAGAGCAATAACGGTGTCGCCAGGCTTGACGTTGGTTACACCCTCACCAACAGACTCGACAATCCCGGCACCTTCGTGACCCAGAATGACGGGGAAAGCTCCTTCGGGATCCTTTCCCGAGAGTGTGTATGCGTCTAGGTCAGGCCATATCAGTCCTGTTTCCCTTGCAGTAAGATCCAGAAATACGCACCCGTGTGGCAGACACCAGTGTGGAAGATCTGAATACGGACCTCGTGGGCCTTTGGAGGAGCAACCTCGACATCTTCCACGGAGAGTGGTTGGCCAGCTTCCCAGGCGATAGCGGCCTATACGCGTTTAGTCGTCCTATGTCGTCATGTCTGAAAATATAGTCAATGCGCTCACCTTGCAAGTGATGGTCTAAAGGAAGTCCAAATTAGTCAGAAAACGCAGACAGTCTGTGTTTCAATGGCAAAGACTGACCTTTCCCACAGTATCGGCCATTATGAGTATTCTCTCGTGGTGTGTTTGTTGATCCGCGCGGGGGTGATCAGACAACGAGGGAAGAAAGAGAATGAAGGTACGGGAAGAGAAGGAGAGAAAAGGTATTATTAAATGGAAGAAAAGTTCTCCGAATCACTTCTTATATGGAACTCCGATACAGGTGGGGTGAGAATTGGGGATATGAAGAATGGATGATGTCTCTGGTAGACACCATGAGGGGAAATCCTATTTCGGCCGTGGTGGGGTTCTTCCTTTCTCTTCCTCGTCGCTTTTAGGAGGCAACTCTGTGAGGGGCAACAGTGTGAGATTCTCCAATTGTGTAGGTTTATATCGATTCATTATTCTGTATCCTATATCCGTGTCTATGTTCATGTCTCTTTATATCTCTGCTCATCCGTTATTGGTTGCTACGACAGCGTACATGGAGTAATCTCCTCATTGAATTAACCGCATCGAAGAGCAAACAAACACAGGCAGGTCCTTTCTTGAATAGAACTGAAGTATGAAGTATATCTGATATTGAAGGTCAAGATCATATCAATAAATTTACCAAAAAGGTTAAGCAGTGCATTTCTAGTGCCAATACAGTCAAGCAGAAGCTGCTGGCGTGGAACCCGGAACTCGATTAGGCAAAAACTTCCCGTTATTCACTTTGAACGATAAGTGATAAGGATGGCATATGCCCAACGCTGTCAATATTCATAGAGCTTGCATTGATATCGATAAGCAAGATACGAGAGTCGAATAGAGAGATGGTCATAAATATTCTGAGAGTATCCGCTTGTCCCAAATAAACACTATCAGTGGTCCTGACCCTGTCCATGCAAGTAGAGAGAAAATGAATGGTTGATGCGAAAAGCTATAGTACACTGAGAGTCCAAGAAAGGACAAGATGAGAAATGAAAAACAAGAGGTGCAAATAAACATATCAGCCTGGATAAGTATGTCAACCGTCCAGGCGTTGCATCACGAAGAATCCCAGTCCAGTCGAAAATGACCAAAGGGATTTATCTCCACCGACACCAGGTCCGGTTTATATTCAACTCTCGACAAGCCCCCTTCTTCTTCCCAATTGATAAAAGAAACCGTTATATGAGTGCGCCAAACGTTTATCGTCCAGGAAGTTGACCACTCTGCATCATTGCAGCATTCTGTTCTTGGAAGCGCTCTCCAAGTCGGGCAGAGCTCTTCAAGTATTTGTCGACACAGCGAAGGACACAGCCTTCTTCCCGGGAATGCAGGGACTTGGTAGTAAAATCATTGACGCAGTCATCGAAGCAGCGTTGTACGAGGCGGGAGTACATCTAAAAAATACATAAGTCTCTAAGTCTCGGAGGCAGCGTTGAGAAAATAGGAGGTGTAGTCCATTGAAAAGATATTCGTTCTTCGATGGAGGTAGGGTGTGACATACCTGCATAAATTCCTTCATTTGTTTCCTCTCCATACGAGCAGCCAGCTCACGCTGTTCCGAAGCATTGAGTCTTAAATAAAATATCGAATTAGCACGCGACGTCATATTGTTTCTTGCCAGGAGAGCATTGCTCAAGACTCACCCGTCCATTTTCAATTATTGTATAATAAAACAGAGCACAGGGTTTGGTTTTGATAAGAAGGATTTATCGGACTGAATGGCAAACTCGTTATTTTTGATTGCTTTGATAAATTGTTTTTTGCTACCTCCGAAGCTCTTTCGGGAGCTCAACTTCTTTCTAGCGGATAATCATGGCTCCGAGGTCACGTGCCAGGTAATTATGTCACGTGATACTACTTGGTTAGTTAGTTACCGGTCCCCCACCGGAGACCTAGCGAGTGACCAATCAAGCTCATCATCTTTCCACGAGAGTGCGCCCGTTAAATCCGATGAAACTCATGTGACATGAAATGTTATGCCTGAGGCCGCACCAGGCACGTGATGTCTGTGCGGACTGTCTTCTACTGTGGCGCCCTTAGAATTTTGTCTTTGGACGCAATGAGATCCAAGCCTTTTAGGTTCCGACCAGTGGTTTTGCTTGTACTTGACAGTTTGTGTGTACTGGATAAGCTTATTGGGGCACCTTTTGAGGATCAGCACCTACGGATCAACACGAGAAAAAGTGATCAAAGTGATCAAACATCGATACCATATTTACCTCGGGTGTGTATAGAAATATTTGGAGCAAACTAAAATCAGAGGCCGATAAGGTCTAGACAGACTCATAATCTGGTATCAGCGAGACGCAAGCGGAGCATTCCTCCACACCAGTTCCAGCCGCTCCCAAGGGTCGCAGACTCGTGAGGTAACTTTGTGGTTGTTGGATGAGAATTAACTGTTGGGGGTTGTCTGCTTTGGGCGCTTTCTAATTATAAAACTGTTCCACTATGGAGTACTGAAGCCAGGAACAGCCGGGTGGACATGCCTGCGTACCAGCCCATTGGTAACTGCTGAATCGAAGGCTCCAATTTTCAAATTACATTCTCCGGCGGCATAACTGTACTCAGTAGTATGTATAATAACTATTGTATGGACAGCGCTGAAGATATGGCATACTTACAATGCCTTGTAATGTCATATACGGTACAGCATCCACTCTCCCTGCACTGAGTCATTTGTGTGTATTGCGCTGTATCAGTACCCCACTCCCGTGACCCTTTGACTTCTGCCACCGCCCAAGCCACTGACTGACTGCATACAAACTGAAGAAAGAACCTCCAAGTCATCACTTGTTCTCTCTGTCTCACAGCGACAGATTCTGTCAGTTACACATATTGCCCCTTTTTACTGCCCTGTCAGTTCACTTCAAAATTCTCGGCACCTGCATTTCTGTTATATTCTGCTCTCCCAGACAACGGTCATTTCAACCAACCCTACTGCCGTCATCACCACCACTACGACTATTACCACCTTCCAACCTCCCTTTCTTCTCCCCTCAGCGCCAACCATCTCCAACATAGGACCCGATCGCATTCAGCGTCATCGAAATACTCTTTCTATTGCTCCTGATTATTCGAAATTTTAGCAACCGCCTGTCGCATACTGATCCCTCGGCCTATGCAACTGAAATTCGCCTCTGGGTCGCATCCAGACAGCTCGTCGGCGCCTTCAGCTGAAGCGCTGAAACAGCCACAGCGAACATTGCCATACTGTATATCGGAAAAGATTGGTCTTCTTTCTTTGACCTTACATAATTGTATGTATGATTAGGTATGGTGTTTTATAACAGGTGCACTATTTAACACAATGAGAAATAGTTTCACATGACAAGGCCAACTATGACGACAAGAACTTCTCAGCCGCTTGCGGCACAGCCATCTTCCCAGAACTTCACGACACAAGCCAATAGCCAAGAGCCTACTCCTCCTGCTGCGCCGACAAAACGAGATCTTGCATCATGGTGGAAGAATTTTAAGCGCAATACAAAGAAGGATGATGACAATAAAGGTATGTGATATTCGGTGGCCATGATGAAGGCAGCGCCTCTTTCTATGGCTTGAATTTGGGCTCAGCTGCTTCTCAAACGTGGAATAACGATATTCGCCAAATCTTTGACTTGAGTTGACAAAATTGAGTTCATTGCACTTATTTGCTCCCTCATCTCTATTAATATCAGATCAAAAAGATATAGTCCCTAACTCTGTCGCGTCATGTAGGACCACAACCCGGCGGGATCTTTGGCGTTCCGCTCAACGTCAGCATAAAATATGCCAATGTCGCCATCTCCCTCACTAACGACAAGGGTGAGAGCTTTATATACGGCTATGTGCCAATCGTTGTCGCGAAGTGCGGTGTTTTCCTCAAAGATCAAGGTATTTATCTCTCCATCTCTGTATGGCAAAGTTGAATCTCATCAGCGTCACAGCAACCGAGGTTGAGGGTATCTTCCGTCTGAGCGGCTCCGCGCGACGTATCAAAGAATTACAAGAAATATTCGACTCGCCCGAACGATACGGCAAAGGACTGGATTGGACAGGGTATACTGTGCACGATGCTGCAAATATTCTAAGGCGGTATTTGAACCAGCTACCGGAACCTATAGTCCCTCTCGACTTTTATGAAGCCTTCCGTGAACCCATTCGAAACCATCAACGACAGGCCGTCGGCAGCACAGAGGCGGTTGATATTGGTGATTTTGACTATGAGAAAGCCGTCGCTACATACCAGCAGCTTATTCGTGAACTTCCTCCACTCAACAAGCAACTGCTTCTTTACATCCTCGACCTTTTGGCCGTTTTCGCATCAAAGTCCGACAAGAATCGCATGACTTCGAATAACTTGTCTGCTATCTTTCAACCTGGGTTGTTATCACACCCTGTCCATGACATGGCACCTTTGGAGTATAGGCTTAGCCAAGATGTGTTGATCTTTTTGATCGAAAACCAAGACCACTTTTTGTTTGGCATGAACGGCACAGCAGCTGACCCCCAGACTGTCAAGGAGTTCTCGAATACAACAGCAGCCACCCCAGGTACGCCTTCACGATCCTCGGGAATCCGTCGCTCTGCTTCAAACGCCAGTGGAGGTGCGGATAGTCTTAGGAAGTACGAGACTCTCCGTCGCAATGTGTCTGTATCGTCTCGCAATTCCGGCAACACTCAAAGCCCTGGCACCCCAACATCGACTGTCAGCACTGTGAAACGCAGCAACACTGTACCCTCGAAGAGGTCACCTGGCCTGGTAACCCCGAGATTAGGTCGACCAGGAGAGTCAGGTTCTTCCTCTTCGGCAGGTTTGACATCTGCGGCTGAAGTAAATCACAACCTCCCATCTGAAAGTCGTTCGCCTGCGGTTGAGAAGGCCAATGAAGCACCCAAGCCAGCAACGCAGCCACCCTTTGAAAAAGGCTCGGCTGAAGCTTCGCAATTCTTAGAAGCCCAATCCACTATAGCGTCGCCACCTGCTCCCCTTCTCACACCCACCAAAGAGCGCAAGATATCAAGCTTCTTTGCCAAGTCTCCTCCTACATCTGAGAACAAGGAGCCTCGCCAGCCCAACCGTTTGAAAAAGAAGCGGATACCCGGGAGTGCCAATGTTAGTGCTCAAAGCTCCAGTAACTCATTGAGTGCTGCTACTTCCAATGAATCAGCGCACTTTACGTCGATATCACAAGCGGCGACTCCGGTAGCAGCGGTTCCAAATGAGGGTATTTCTACTATTCCTGAAATCCAAAGCAATTCAGTTGGCCTCCCAGAGGGTGTGAATAGTTACCATCAACACCAGCCATCTGAAAGCACACTCAAGCCCAACCGTTCTCGGACCCCATCTATGCATTCCAAATCGTCATACACTGATCAGTCAGATTATGATCAATACGAAGATGTATCAAGGTCAGAGAAGAGGGACAATCGGCGCAGTTGGCGTTTCCCGCTTGGGAGATACAATTATGGACAACAAACTTCATCGCCGCCAATGGTTGGATCAAATTCGGGAGCTGAGTTTAGTACTAGCTCGATCGGTAGTTTGAGTGCGCAAGGGCAAAGCTTCACCAACGAGTCCTATAATCCTAGTACCGACGTCACCTCGGTACCAGATAACGAAGTCGGGCGGTCCGGCACTACTACTCGTGAAGGTGCCCCCGGGGTGTCTTCAGATAACGAGAAGCTCAGTCTGTTTGACAAGATCAAGGCAAAGGTTGCGCCCAAAAAGGACGGCAGTGAACGAGCCAAGAGCCCACCCGACTCGCAATCTAATGCAGTCGCCTCAAGTCGAACGCAAATCGAGCAGCCAAAGGAGACCGAACCACGTAGTGAGCAAGCACAGCAACCAGATCTACAAGCACAGCGGCAATCGCCCCTTCAACCGACAGTGGTAATCCAGCCAGAAGGCGCCCCACCCTCGCAGCCCACAACTGACCCGAAGTAAATAAATCGCAATCATTCATTTTGCAGGAATGAATAGATGAAACCGTCGGATTTGCAGGATTAGGAATGGAAAAGTTTTTGCCTTATACCCCCCTTGTCATTCACCCATTAGCCTCATGTCGTCTTTGCTCCCATCATGTTCGTTATGCCCTTCTGTCCATTTTCATACCCGTGTCGGCCTTCCAACTGTCACGTTGAAACGATACCTTTTGCTATCATATTGATTTTTCTAGCGATTATGTCGGAGTCGATTTTTCTTAACTTCTTTTCATCTCTTCTCTCTTGGCGGTTCTTCTAGCTTGAAGCGGCTTACCTGATTATCTTCTTTTTCTTTTCTTATCTATTATTATTACTATTTTTTTCATTATTCCCTTGGTATCGAACGGGTCTATGGTTTAGGAGGACTTGAATCAATGAATGAATGAATGAATGAATCTTGGTATTGACCTTCATGACTTCCAAGGTTGTATTTATCTTCCCCATTTTTCATTTCTTTGTGAATGTGTCCTCAGCTATGATGAGTAGACTGGTGTATTATGTCACGGGGTTAAGATGTAAGTTAGATTTTGAGCGGAACTGATCCTACATTGTGTCTATTTGCTACATAAAAATTAACATCTTACATATACTTCAATCAAAGAGTGAGTATTTCCCAGCGTGAAAATTAGAGAAATCTTCTAATCAAATTCTATCCTCTTCCCATACAGCAAAGGACTCCGACCAAGCAACTGACCAATCGCAAACCCGAGATATGCTCCTGTCAGTATAGTGATGGGATATGCCTGCCACGGACGGTCCCTACACAACAGTAAGTCAGCAAGCCCAAAACATGGACAGAAGTACATAAAAAGAGGGGAAAACGCACCAATCCAACGGAATCGGAACAGCACCCAACCAAGCACCAACACAAGCGCCCAAAGCACCGCCCCAAAGGGCATCGGCAGGTCGCGCAAATGCCCAGACTTGTTTCCAGACGAGACTGTCGACGCCGTGGACGTATACCAGTGGCATAACTGTTAGGAGTGCCATGTGCGCGGCACATAGAACTGTGTGTGCGGTATGAGTTGTAAAAGGGGCGCCGAAGAGGATGAGTAGGATAGATAGGACTGGGGTTCCAAGGAGGAAGGTTAATGTTAGGGAGATGAATGATGCCTGTTTAATGCAGATTAGAATAAATCGGAAAATAAAAAGAGAGGAAGAGGCAGGACGAACAGTAAATTTCTGAGACAGCGTATCTGACTTATGACTTGATGCGTGTCTTTTCCTTTTTCCTGATGGCGTCTTCTTCACATCTCCTGCATCACCCGACCCCGTTTCACCATGTCCATAGCCATGTTGGTGTTGCTGCAAAGACCCAGCTTGCGGTAAACAAGTAACTACATATACAGCCTGCATGATAGTGTAAAGAGGTAAATCGCTCCATAGCGTTGAGACCGGATCGGATACCAGCGAAGAGAATCGGAGAGAGTATAACCCTAGGAGGATTGTTGGATGAATATGAGAATACGCCTGCGCGACCGGAGTAGGAAGGATATCAATTGCATGTGCTTTTTCGGTTGGAGATGAGGTTTGTTGTAAAGGGGGTGCTTTGCTGCTTGTGCTTGGTGAGGACACAGTTGGTGATAATGTAGTCATTGTGGCCGGAGTTTGGAGTCAGTGATCTGCTAGTTGTCACCGGAAGACTATTCCCTTATTTTTTTTAATATATCGATACACCGTGAGTGGCAAGATGAATATGGAAGAGCGAGTTATTGAAGCTGTCGCGAGTTTGAGGAGAGGAAACATTTAAATATCCAGGAAGTCGCGGAGCTATGGTCAATGTCCCCCCCACCTGCGCACCGATTGGCCCAAGCTTCCGAGGTCATTTTCTACGATAGACTGTACTTACATTGACTACGAGATAAATTATCTCCAAGAATAGAAGGCACAGGGATCAAGTACACTGACTGTTCAATTTGAGCTGCTCATTAACATGCTAGTCTGAAAGCAAAGTAACTCGTGAAATCATATACCATACATACATAAATCCAGAACCCATCCAGCTGGAAGAGAGAAAACACCTATAGAAACAGAGAACAAAAACTGAGAACAAAGTAAACAACTATTCACTATCGCTCAAACTGTCTCGTCGGCGACGTCCACCACCGTCTCTGTCTCGACGGTAACCTTTACTCAACCCCGGGATGGGATGATGATAGCTCCTAGTGCCGAGGTCATCCTCAGTATCGACGGTCGAGTACTGATACTCAGAATTGGTTCCACGAGACGAGAAATCCAATGGCTCCGTGTATCCTCCAGGCATGGATGTACGATTCGTTTGATGTTGTTTGCGGGGACTGTTCTGACGAGATCGACGCTCCTCGCGTTCACGACGTTGACGACGAGCTTCTCGCCGGGTATGTGCCGGGTCGCGAATGAGATGTTCCTCTGTCGCTTGACTGATGACATCCTCGCTACCGGCCGTAAATGAGAATCCAGATACGTTGCGTGTGTCTCTGCGTCGACGATCTTCCTCCGGCTGTGGCGGCGAACGGTATACCTCGCTCTCTGTATATGCCGTTGGTGGAGAACTTGGCGTATACTCTGTTCCGTAGTATGTGCCTTCAGCTTCCCGATTTATACCACCAACACGAGCAGGTTTCTCTTGGCGGTAAGCGCGCATATCATCGTCCGCCTCGCCTTCCCATTTTTCCGCTTTGGTCCTGCGCAGTAATTTCTCTTTTGCGGTCTCTTTGAGATTTCTCTTGTTCTTTCGTCCACCTCGTGCTGATTCCTTCTCATTGGTAATCTCGGTCGCTGTTTCCGTCATATCCGTATACGTAAGGTTATCATCGTCATAGCCACGAATAGTACCACCTCCCAGATCCGTGCTAGCGGTAGCATTGGACAAGGTACGACCGTCGGGACCCTTTCGACGCAGAACTGTAGACTTGTAATCTTCCCAATCACCTTTCCGAAACACACAACCACCATTCTTAGCCCAGAAGAAGAACCAAATGGTTGCAAGAACGAAGGCTGCTCCTAAGATCGCGAAGAGGGCAAGCATTCCTTGCATGTTTATTTTGTCCGGGCTTATGGTTCCTTGTCCTCCTACGACGGCTGTTTTGGTGGATGCTCGCGACACAAGAGTCCTCGTGCCATCGGAGGCGTTGTCGACGACATCTGCGCCAGGGACAATATATGGAGGCATCTTGATTGACTCGGAGCCTTGAGGCTCACGATGTTATGATCTGGATGTTGCACGCATTAGTACATCATATCATCTTATTTTTCACGATGAGAGGACTCACTGTCAATCCAAAACCGTCCAGTTCACCCCTCCTATCCCCGCTCGATATAATATGTACTTCTCCACCGAAAAAAAAAGTGAGATATGCGTGGAATAGTGGGCGAGGGAATGTGGATAACAACTTCAACGGTCTGAACTCGGAATGCGGGCGCGATAGAAGAGTCGATAGTAATATAAACGTGTCAACGTGATGGTTAAAGAATTTAGTAAAGAGGAAATACTCAACTGTAAAATCAGCAAAAAATAGTTATTCCAGATGTCGTTCGAAGTCACCAGCACAGAAAATCCGGTGGTTGATCGAATGACATGGCAGAACGAAGAGGAGGCTGGGGACATCCCAGAACGTTAAGTTGTTTTGGGTCGGAAGGGTTGTCCTGGGCAACAGTGAATTATGTCAGCATTAAATGGCCCACATCCTGATCACGTGAACTTGTTTTAGGTTAAGGTGTGTGGATCCCGAATCGAGCCGGTTCCGTGGGTAAACGCGGGAGCTTAAATTAGATCTATCTTAGGGTGGAGAAATTGATTTGATTTCCATAGTGTTTTCTCTCACAATATTGCAAGTACATACATGTGTTGAAAAGCATGACAGAAAGGAAGATATATCTGATATACAGGGAGGTAAAAAAGGGCGCTGTTGAAAAATTCTTGTAAAGATCTTGTAGGAAAACAGGTCATTTTACAAGGTTGCGCATGGTGACGATTGAAAAGTAAATTATATCGACATGGCAGACGACGGTAAAAGTACAGCCATGTTAAAAGGCAGGAATCGAATCAGACTGCAGGGGGGTATAACGTTGAGTGAGACGCAAATGCAGACTATAAGATCAATAACGGGATGAAGGGAAAAACCAATACGAAAAGTGGTAGAAGTGTCGGTTAGAGAAAAAGGTAGTAAAGGACAATGCAATGCAATATTGTAGTGGAAATCATGAGATCAGAAAATCATCAACATCATCATAAGGGTCATACAGGCATCAAACACGAAAATAACATGATATATGCGACGAAGGTCAAACATAAAACATCAACATCAACTGCAGAGGCATGTTTGTTTTGAGGGTCGTTACATCGTACAGGTCGTACCACCATGACAAGATAAAAGCCATTGCTGGACACAAAACAAAACTCTCTTGAGCGAAATTGAAAATGAACCAAGAAAAAAAAGGCCAAGAAAATCCCTCCCAGTGTGAGGATCTCAGAGACTTTTGTCTTTTGCGCTCCTTCAAAAAGCCAGAAAATATGAAGGAAGATCCAAACTTTTCAAATCCGTTGCTTTTGATATAGGGTGCGAGACCAAACAAAATCCAAAATACCTCCCAATCCGTTTTTAATCCCTCTTTTCCACGCCATAACCATCCCATGTCCTTTTCCTGTCCGTTGAACCTAAACAACAACCACGTTGCGAGCATAATTAATCAAAGCGACCGCTGTAGGTCGAGCGGCTGGATCGCCGAGAAGCACGATCAGATCGTCGGTCTTCTCTGGCGCGCCGGCCATCCTCAATTTCCTTTCTGCTGCTAGTGCTCGTATATTCAGAGCCTCCGGGCATGATGTACCGCTTCGGGCGGCGACCTTCGATGTTGAGGCCAATGGAACCATGATCGTTTGTTCTCAGGTGAATCCTCTTTCCAGTAACTGACTCATGAGTGAAACCAATGGTCATCCCATTCATGGTCATAGTGAAACCGCCATCATCGTCGACCCTCGAACCGACTCCGCTACCATCCCGTGTACGGGCGTCGCTTCCTCGGCTGCTGTTGGATCGAGTCTTTTGGCTACCACTGTCACTATCGACACGTTGGGCAATTTTAGCCTTCATTCGTAAGGCATCCTCTGTCAGAGGGACACGAGAAACCCCAGACCTGCCAGATTTAGATGCTTGGTATTCTTCGGCGTTGCGCTGTTTCTGCTCCATTTCTGAGATAGCCATCGGCCGTTCGCGAACTTCAGGAACGTCGCGAATGCTAGGCTCTTCATCATGATACTGCGTACGTCGACGACGAGAATCTTCAACAGCGATCTGACGACCAGATTCGGATTCATGGTATGATGTCCTTCTGGTTCTCATGCTTCGGCTACGTTCAGGAGCAGCAGAGATCTTGCGAATTTGCTGGTGAGGTAGAGCCTGCTTCAGCTCTGACATATCCCAAGAGTCTCGTGATTGAGACATACGACGATTTGTCGGAGGTGGCATACTTCCAGTGGTTGCCGCCTTGTGGGTAAGGTCAGGACGCTTCTGGTGGATGATCTTGGGTTGAACCTTGGGCTGGACGACCTTGGGCTTCGGTGGTGGTGGAGGTGGCATACGATAGAAGCTCTCGTCTTCATCGTAAGTTTCCGGCCGTCGCTGGGATTGCGACATCCGGCGAGGACGGTGTTCCCTGGAAATTTGACGTTCTAGGAACGACCCTTCTTCATACGAGGCCTTTGGTGTGCTCTGGTCCACTGCTGCGCGTCCGTAAATGGAGCCTCTCCGGGCTTGGTCCCTTGGCCTGGATATGGAAGACCGTTCATATATGGCTTGGTAAGGAGAATCTGGTTCAGCATAATATTGCTGACGCGGGGTGGGCGGTTGGGTAAAATACCCAGAGTAAACAGATGGAGTACGTTCGTATTGGCCCATTGGTAGAGCGCCTGGGTTGTATACAGGTTCTTGCATTCCACCGTGGAAACTCATAGGCCTATTGTCGGAGTGGTAAGTAGAAGAGCGACTGGGTCGTCGTTGACGAGACTGTGCAATCATGACATCAGCAGCGCCATATGGGTATCCAAATTGTGTAGACTGAGGAGACGCAGGTGGAATATTTTGCACCGGAGGAGCACCCTGTTGGTAGTAATATGAGGAGGCATAAGCCGCCCGGGGATCCATAGGAGGTGGGGGGTGCATTCCATGGACATTGTGGTAGCCATTCAGACACCCCCAATATATATCCTGTTGGTGTTGCATAGAGGCGCTTTCCCGACGATTGGATTTGGAAGGAGACCTCACAGGAGCTGCCATATCATTGGCGTGTCGTTGACGTTCCATATGGATCATATCCGCGGATGCTCTCTTCTCTTCACGTTGCTTTCCTTTTTCCTTTCGGCTTTCCTTGACACGGGTTTGTTGTAATGGCGGCGGCGGTGGCCCAGTCACCCTAGAATGTGCTGAAGTGTTTATCGTCAAAGATCCAGGTTCAGGTCTGCCACTCGCACGGGATTGTCCACTGCCACCAGTTGTCGTAGTACGGCTGGAATAGCCAGAGTCACTGGCACTGGCAAAGTCAAGATGTCCGAATTCACCAGGTCTTATGTCGGACTTGGATCGCTTGGCAGCAATGTTTGCGCTTTGGCGTGTTCCGTCAACCACGTCGCCTGTCTGGTCATCATAGTCTTCAATGTAAGCTGCAGATGGTACCTGTTGAACCTTTTTGGCCATGATGATAACGGCGGTGGCGGACCCGGAGGGCTTTTATTCACACAGTGTGTGGGTAGCAGCCGTCGAAGGAATGCAGGCAGCAATGGGCCAATTCTTCGGCCTCGAGGCCTACCCAATCGAATCCTTTTGCCCAGCAGCAACACCTGTCTTGTACCCAATGTGGTCAGTGAGTCAACCTTGGGCGGAACCCTGGCAGTGTCTAGGCCCCGTTGATCAATGATCCGAGTAGAGAAGTCGTTAACGACCGGCAGTGGCTCTGTATTGGTAATCTATATCCACAATAGTCGAATCTAGCTCCATCGAAAAACTGGCGGCACAGTAGTCTATGAGACGGGTAATATGTTGAGGAGGCAGCTATTCACTCGAAACGGCGAAGTGCTGCAGCGAAGGTGAGTCAACGGTGGACAGCTGGTTGTTCTGGCAAGCTGTGAATGGGCAGCGCCGGATGTCAGCTGTGTATGAAAGGTTATAGGCCGTTGACGACTGGGTGATCTGGCAGACCGACTCAGTTGACAGTGGGGTTCGAGTGGAGAGAATAAAGAAGAAGAAATAAGAATTTGCTGTAGCAGACGTGGTAAGACAGGAGGTCGAGAGAACGCACTTTGCTCCAACCGGGTGCAGGTGCGTTACGCTGCAGTCAGAAAATTGTTAACGGAGGGGCAAGCCAGCGCACGTCTGTCAAAAAAGTAGGAGCAGCAGTAGTAGCGGCGGCGGCGACAGTGACAGCGACAGATCGGACAATTAAGTTAATAGGTTGGTGGATGGAGGACGGATAGAGTAGGAAGTAAGTTGAGGCTGAGAAACCAAGGTTGATGTCGACGAGACGCAGCAGAAGTATGAGAATCACAGTTTCCTGTCGGGTCAAGAGGGGGGGGGTGGTGCGTGTTGGAAGGAAAAAGTCGATCAGAGTACTGTAATAAAAATAAATTGGCAGACAACAGAGCCTGCAAGGGTGGGTCAAAGCAGGCAAGAGGACGAAACCAGCGCGGTGGGAAAAGAGACGAAGGCGTGACAAAACAAGACGAAACACGACGAGCAGAACCGGGTCAGGTAACGATGATAACAGGGATACCCGTTTAGTGTTGGGCAAAGGTAAAATAAAATGGGCAAACGCCAGAATGACCAGCGAAGGACCAGCCCTTGACGAGGAGCGAGTGAGGGAGAGGATGAAGTAAAAAGGGTGGGAGTTTGTTGTCGGTGGAGGTGGGATAAGTTGCCGTCCTCAGGCTGCCCCGTCCCGTGATAGGCCACGCCGTGCAGTAGTTTCACCTTGGTTTGCTGCGAGATGGATTCCTTGAAGTGGAAAAGTGGAAAAGTGAAAAAAAAAGTCTAAGGACAGCGCGGGTCGTAAAGGATTCAAAGAGCAACTATTTGTACCACCTTACGGCGCCACTGTACTATGTACTTTTTCAAAGTTTTCTCTCTTTCTTGTCTGAGCCCCAAAGGTATATCACGGAATGGACACAACCCTATAAGTCCTATTAGTCGACGAGATGATCTCTAATTCATCTAGGCAAGAATACTTGTTTCAGCTTCCGTCTTCTCTTTGCTCTCTCAGAAAAGGGGTGACATAGCAATTGGGTTGAGTGAGTCAGTTGTTATGCGTTGGGCTGCGCTATACTTGTAATATACCTTACGAAGGCATAAAGCATTCAGTCCGGAGTACGGAGTAGGTCAACAAGACAATGAGTGGTTCGTGGAGAGGGTATTTTCGGAACGGCGTTTCGAGAGTGTCAGAATGGGGCCAGCCGATAGTCATCATGATCACGCTAGAGAGTCTACATGGAAGCTATTCAGAGACATCGAGTTGTTGTTTATCTGCTTATACCGGGAGTCCCTGTTTGCAAATATTGATACTGTTACACAGACAGCCATCATCTTGACTTGGAAAATTATGAATTATGAATGTTCAATTCTCTTGTCTGATCAAGTCCGCTCATCTCGGTGTACTACCACATCCGATAGGCTCTTATCGGTAAGATCGTACGGTAACACGGTAAGATCGTACGTTAGGATATAGTTGCTCCAATCAAATCTATTGCTTCAAACTCATCCATTGAAAATATAATCAAGATTAAATACAATGACTGGACCCTTTCTTAGACAAGAGATTCAAGAGAAGAGAGTCCGACAAAATAAATCTCTCAAGCGAAAATTGTAAAATTACAATAGGGTTTGAAACCGGGAAACACAGACACTTTAAAGCTGGTTGGCTGCCCAATTCATTGCCATACAAGACGTGTTGGACTGCTATTTGCAGCCCAATGATGCCATTACAGCGGTCATCCCTGCAGGCGAGAGCGGCTTTTCTCGAGACTGTGGCGAAGCCTACAGGAAATTTGTGATCAGCTTGGCCAGATTGTTATGATATCAATAGCGGATTTGTGCCTGGAATCTGGATGTATGCAAGTGTACTCTCTAGATGTTGACTTGTTTATCTTTTTCCTGTATCGTCCACTGCGTATTAAACGATCTATGGGACGGGATATCCACTCGGGCAGCCATGGTTTGCATTACGGCTCCTCCCGTTTCGTTCCCAGTACACTTACGACGTCACTAACTCGGCCTTTCTTTTTTTCGTTAAAGTCTTCTTCTGTTTTGTTTTGTTGACGCCTGTTCCTGACAGTCAAAATGCAACATAGCTCCGATCTCGAACCAAGCTGATGTCACGCCAATACATTACAAGTATAACTACCAAAAGCAAAAGAAACTTCCCCCCACTGATCTCGAAATGAGTCATTGGGCCGAAATCTAAGCAAAGTATGTGGGATAGATCATAGAGTTATCCGCCAGGCGGACCGCCGGCTTCTGGAAGCAAAGAGAAGAAAAAAATTTTTTCTTAGTTGCTTGTGCGCTTCGAACACTTTCTTTCACACTGCATTAGGCGATAATGTACGAACCTAGTATTGTAGGCTCACAGGAGTTCGAAATTCATTCGGGTAGGGCTGACCCTACTAGCCTTCAGCCTCTTTTTTAATATGTCAATCTGTAAAGAACTCGATCAGCAATACATACATATATTGCTAGTCGTGACCTATCGCGTACTATTGAAATATCTTGCTAGCGTCAGGAACTCTATGATAATCCTGCACACAGTGACGATTATCTGCTTTCTTACCCTTAGTACTGGTCAATCAGACCCCAAGTGTTACCGGCAAATGCAGCGCTGGCTTGTTTTTAATCATTGTTCTTCGAAAATGTGCTGGCATGGAAGTCGACTGCAGATCCCTGAAGATGGAATGTCTCTCGGATTCAGGAAACTCAACTTGTCCTGTGTATGCTCCTAATCGCTAACGAAAACTCAGAATTAACCAGCGAGACTGGCCCCTCAGAAGTTGAGTGTCGTTCGCTATGCGCTGTGCATTAGAGAATACCCCAATCGCGAATGGTCCCCTCTTGTGTCGATTTCGGGCACCGAGGAGAGCTGATAAAAATCTCCGCGCCAAAGAAATTGAAGGCTGATGACGGTGCATAATCATTAAAAGTTGAATAAACGAAGAGGGGCGTATAATCAGACCTTCTCAGGGTTTGATAATATCCTAATCCGGAAGGTGACTGACTTGGGACTGAGGTGTCCAGGTAGTGTGCGACTGCCGCGCAACCCCCAAAGTCACGAGATCAATCTCTTTCCTTTTGTTCTAGCTGTTTCATACCTTTAACTCCCACGTCAGCTTCAGTAAAAGGAAGACTCGAGACAATCTACCATCGTCAACATGCAAGAGGCCAAGGTTTGCCAGTTGGGTCGTGTCCGCCAGATCACTGTTAGTGCAGCTTGCACAGCTCTGCACGGCCTTTCTACCAGTCCTGTATGGTCAGATCTTGATTTCCTTCAGCCTCCGACCTCCGAAGATCTCTATTTTGCTTGTCGAACGAGGAAAACGGACTTGGTTCATCCTAAGGTTCTCTGACTAGAGGATATTTTCCCTATATGGACGAATGACATGACAGTTCCGGTCGACTTTTATGACTGATCACATGCAGATCACAGTTGGGGCGACTTTGAAATTTGCCAGCTGGCTTTGCAAGTCGGCTTTTACTGTGGTATGACTGGTCAGCTGTCGTGCGGCAAATTCATGACAAGCAATTACTACCGTCAGCCCCGTTATCCGCATTGGTATTGCTGGGCAGACAGAAACCTATGATCTGAATGATGTTCAGGTCTTCCCTTGTCGCTAGTCGGATATGCAGGCACGTACGTTGAAAAGTGAGGCGGCTGGTTTCTCGCCGTATCATACATCGTGATTGAATGGTTACGTATTTCCATTATCTTCCAAGGTTCCCGGGGATGATAAGGATGTACTGTGCATTGTGCAAATGGTACTGACCCGATTATCCGTTAGACTTGTTTCTCGACGTCTAGGAGACGGTGATATCGGTTAGTGAAACTAGCTGACAGTCTGAGATTTCGCCATTGATGATCAACTCGACCCAATGGCGTGTAACTGATAACCAGTCCCACGATGATTTCTCCGCAATTGACATGACATGCATTAAGAAGTTTATTCACAACTCTTCATGACTATGCAGCGAACAAAATGACATCATCGACGAATCAGATCGCACGAGAAACGCTTCGTATAATTAGATCTAGAGTCTGCTCGATGTTTGTTTAAACACTTGCAGCTGTCCTACTCAAGTTGTCAAGTTTGTGTTTGGATTATGTATGCTGATTGGGCTGCACCATCATGATACCTTGGACAATTCGTATTGTGCTATCGTCGTCAAAAGGGCGGTCAGAGAAGCAACCCCAATCAAGCTACATCATGTGCACACATCTGCAGCTGTCAGACGCAAGGGATAGCCGATAGCGTCCGTCCGCATAGGCACGTATTGGGGTGGATGTTGAAGAATTTATGGATTCAGATTACCGATGAGAACTATAGAAATTGACATTTGAGATCCTTACTACGTAAGATTTACTCCGAGATATCCAATCTGTTAGATTACACTGCATTGCCACGGGCAAGTGCTACAATACAACAAGAGACCGGGAAAACTCTCGGAAGAACTTAGCCCTAAGCCACCCGGTAATTACCTAAACAGGAAAGAATATTGTAGGCACTCCAGCACTATGTTTTCTGCTTAGGTGCGTACTAATCAAATATGAATGTACTTCGCTATAGAATTAGGCAATGGAATAATCGCTAGCACGAAATACGTACATCCTTGTTTTTAGCTTTCCATCAAAAAGCCCATTGTTTCAGCCATATCTTCATCCAATGAGATGAAACAGCTCGTAAGCTGGACGCTTCCGAGCTATCCTTCAGAAGATTCGTAACTTCAAACTCGGTTTGTATCTTCTTATCATTTTCACCTTCAGCATGGGTATTGCAAGTCTGGTCAACAAGCTGTACGATAATCCTAGCCAGAACATCAACCGGAACCCAATTGACACTGCTCATCGTTCCCAGAGAATCCGGAAGTAATCCCAAATGCTTCGAACTAGCCAGTAAGCTAGGGAACCATTTCTGCACATTCCAAATACCGACTGTAGACAACACGGGGCCCGCGATTTGACCAACTCTCATGACAGAAGAGGTATACCCAGATGTTAAGCTATGAGCCTCCACTAATCTTTCCGATATGTATTTGGATTCTCCATACCCAAGAAACTCGGGACTATCGAGGTCATGGATGATAGTTTCAAGTACGCTCTGTCCAGGGTTCTTTTGCATCCAGTTCAGGGCTGTAGAAATACTTGATATTAACAAGATCGGGGCTCGGTAGGTACACTTTCTGCTTAAATCAATCAGATGGCGGGTACCGGCAATTCTCCAAGACCCAGGTCGGGCTTGGATAAGTCTGCTGTCAAGAATTCGACTGGATTTGACTCCGTGTCTGGCGAGTCCCAGGGTGTGAGTAAATTCTTCTGTTTGTTGCCTGCTGTCTGTCTTTCTTGAGCATCGGCAGATCTATTGAAGCAGACGACCTTGGCTATCTGAGGGCTTTTAATGAGCGAGTGCAGAACATAGCTCCCTAGAGAGCCCGTGGATCCAGTGAGTACGACAGTCAAGTTGTCAGTACGCCCCTTCTTGGGTGCAAGTTTAGCGTCGAGACCGGTCGTATACTTGTCAATCATGGCCTGCATATAAATTTGACGAATGGGGACTTTATCATTAACATCTTCAGAATGATCATTATCCGTATTCACTCCATTGATAAGCCGATCAATAGCCCGAGCACGTTTATTGCTTGACGGGGCAGTATAGAAGAAATGCGGACCAATATTGCTAGTATCGACTCTCAGATTCTGTGACCTAAGTGCGGCCTTCAACTTCTGCACAGCAACCACAACTTGCAACGAATCCATGCCTAATTCAAACACGTTATCATCGTCGTCTAACATGGGTGCGCCTTCATCAGAATTTAATAGTTGAGCATAGAGCTTCTTTGCCAGTGATTTGATTGATTCAGCACTCGAGTGGTCTGTCAGCTCTAGTCCTTCACTCAGCAGACCTTCCCCGACTGCTGAGTAGAGGACATCGATTTGAGAAGTGAATTTGAGGACGGTGAGTTAGCGTTAAGCGGTCATCTTCCCGCTTCGATTAAATGTTTCTATTAGTCTAAGAATATAGACTAGTGATTTTGGTACGCGTGAGAACCTCGGTGCCTGTAGATTCGCTTCACAGATGATTCCCCATAGTTTGTCGATCATCTCCCGTGACTCTTCCTCAGTGTTGACTGCATAGCCTTCCCTGAGCTCGATCAACGCGAGCATACAAATCTTGTGTACGGTACTCTTCAAGATCCGGGAAGAGCCAGGATACAGGATGGAATACTCTGTGTTTGGGACTCAGAGAGATGACGAATTCGGAGACACCAGGCGAGACTTCCTCGAATCGATAACCGACGCGAGTGTTGAATCTCAGACAGTCCCAATGACTTGTCCCTCTCAATGCAATGCAGTGCATAAGCCCATTTTCAGTCAGTCCAAGTGCACTGGACAGATTCTTCACCCGTGGTGCAATAATATTACCCGTTTGAGGGGAAAGAGGCCCTCCTCCGTAGATAACTTTGTCAAGTTTTGATAGAGCTTCCAGACCAGCTTCGGTTCTGGATAGATCTGTCAGGATTGAGTCAGCTGCACCCAGGGATGTTGTGACTCCTTGGTTTATTATGTTTATCACATGCTCGGCTGTGATTGCTGCTGCGGGGTGATTGACGACCAAAGACGAATCCAGGATTGCTGTCAGCATATAGAAGAATAGACCTGCCATCTACATTCGATTGATCAGCCATCTCACCAGAGGAACCTATTTTTGTCTAAAACTTACATGGAATGGCGGAAAGAATTGCAACAGGTTGGTATTTCTGATCAACCCTATCGTGTTGTGGATATCATCACCATCGTCGGGGACATCGAGAAATGAACAGGCACTGAGCCAAAATGCCGGGCTCTCTCCAACTGGTTGGGGTTCCCTATTCATACCGAATCAGCTCCTGATCTGGCTTCAGAGTCTACCTTACTTACAAGACGACCCTGAAGTATGTAAAGAGAACATTGGTTCATTGAAATTCTCATCCGTAATTTGTCGCGCTTCATAATGAGGCACAATAGTTGCGTCAAGTATTTCTTTGTAACCAAGCACTTATCTCGTCTTCATCTCAGGTACGGCGTCGAAAAGTGGTTGTAGATTCTTTTGCAGTTCCTCTCCGTATAGAATAATGCTAACGTTTGTCCGTTCGAAGAGCTTTTTTTGTGCAGAGATTGTGTTTCTCAATGACGGCAGCATTATTTATTTTACCCATGGACGTTAATTCATCATAGTTCATGACATGGACTAAAATGCATAGTCTGGACCTACTCTCCTACCAGTCTTTGCGACGCGAGACTGAGAAAGAGATATCTCAAATCCGACGGTCCCGGTTTGAAAAGTTCGACCTGGAAGATGTAATGTGAATGACTTCCTCAGGCACAAATCCGGCTCAGTATCCGGTTGTTCAGCGAACAATGATGTTGGACACATTACAGTACATACGAAGTGATTGCTATATGCAACTTCGTGCGTAGTTAGGTGGACTATCGCGTACTAAACATCCATCCAAGCAAAAGTGGAAAATAGGTAGACCCTATGATCGAACCAATCCTTGGGACGTTCGGCACATTTGCACCGATCTGCGTTGCCTTATCATATTTGACACTAGATTACTAAGTTACATATATGCATAAACTATTGGCGCACCTCTTAGGTCTCTTTGCTGAGGTGTCTTGTCTGACTGCTTCCTCCAGGCTGTACGTTGAGAGCACACGGTGTAAGTCTCAGACGGAAAGCTGAGTATGATGAATATCTTGCTCCAGCGTATGTAGTCGACATGTTCCCTTACCTGAAACCTGGAGACGTAGTAACTTACCTAAGCAAGCAATGTACGATGTTAGGGTTACGGCTTTATCGACGCAGCTCTTACCCTTAAATGGGTTAAGGATGTTCGACGAACATATTGGATGTTGAGGGCCAAGGTTGAATGTGCTGCATATTTGTTGCGATACTCGATGCTAATCATTGACATCATGTTCAACCATAAATACCTATCTAATACAAGATCATGAAATCCTATCCTTGGGAATCTAACACGACACCGATATTCCTCTTTTTCCTTTTTACATACTTTTAAAGATAGTCAGTACAGGGCCTGAGTGAACGAATGAACAGGAATAATGTACGTACCGTGAAACAGGGTTCAATCCCAACAACTTCATACCGTTGTGAAGCACTTGTCGAGCAGACTCGTACAATGCCATACGTGCCAAAGCCAACTCTTGCTCTCGGCCAACAATACGTAGAATGTCGTAACTCGAGCTAAGCATGTGTGTCATACGGAACAGATATGTAAGGACAGTAGTAGGTTCCAGGGTCTTGACAGTGTTAAGGACCACATCCGGCCATTGGGCCAAATATCGCGCAAGATCAATGGCGTGAGATTCAGTGAGAAGGGACAAATTAGCCTTGGGAAGGTCTTCGACATTGATCTCGGCTTTTCGGAGAATGGAGCAGAGACGAGCGTGAGCATATTGCAGGTATGGACCTGTATCGCCCTCAAAGGAAGTCATGGCATCGAGGTTGAAGTCATAACCGTTGATTCTACGAATTAGTTAGTACATATTTCGCTGTATACGGAATGGAAAAAATACTTACCGCTTGCCAGACATGTCTTGGACCATAACAGCAGTGATACCGAGTGTGTCTGCAGTTGCAATAGGGTCGTCGACTTGCACATACTTGTCCTCGTTCTTCTTCATAACCTCGTGCATCTTGTCCGCAACGTCACGCAGGATATCATCCAAGAACTTCACCGTGCCCTTTCGAGTGCTCATTCCCCGGACCATTCCGAAGTTGATGTGCTGGCATTTATCGGCGATATCCTTATACCCCATCAGCTCTGTAACTTTGAATAGTTGAGCCAAGTGCAAATCTTGCTGGGAAGCAACCACGTAGATCATTCTGTCAAAGTGGTACTTGTTGTGTCGTTCGACAATAGCACCGATGTCTCGGGTAAGGTATAGAGGGGTGC